ACTGCGCATGCACCACCACCACAACAGCTAACACCCCAGCCAGCCGACAAACAGCTGAGGGACTCAACGAACCCCCCTTATTAAATGGAACGATAACCTAAGCGGTACTCCTCAATCCGGTCAGGTAAGTTTTGCTGATTTTTGCGTTCCTCTTCATAGGTAAGTTCCCATCGTCCTTTGGCTTCCTTTGAATGCACACTCACCTTGAACAGGTTTCTTTTTGTAATATCAATGGCGTCTCTTTTCCTTCCTTCGACGCCGAAGTCCACGTCTGCATCCACGCCTGCGTCTGAGAAATCCCAGACTCCCGGAAAATGGCGGCATCCACAACTGGATGAGATTGTGCGGCGACAACAGGCGGGGACTTTCGGGGATCGCAACGCCAAAAGACTGATGTGGAATGGCGGTGCTTTATTGGCAACTTGGACTTTCGGGTCTACCTTCAAATCCTAGTACGTCATATCACATGTCGTTTTTTGTAGTTTGTTGACCTGACTGGGCCGTGGCCACAGCTCTCGTTGGATCCAGATGAAAACTGAGATTCCCACATACGCTGATTTGTCGCTACTTATCATGCAACTAATTTTCCTTCTCAACATACTTGTCGCATTATACCCCCTTTTCCGACCGAAAGATAATATGTCCGATATCCCTCTTACCCCCACACAACGCGCCCTTCTTGGCCTTGATCCGTCAACAACCTCCTCTTCGGCCCCAGCGACATCGTACGTGACCCCTCCGAAATACCGCGTATCCTCCGGGTCAAGGACAGCAAGTCCAGCCAGTCACTCTGGCTCACCGTTATCTACAAGTGCGAGCGCCTCAAGTCTTCGGTTTTCCTCAGGCACGCCCTTTTCTCCGTCTCCCAGTCCACTATTACACAAGATGGTTGCAAATGGTGGCAGGGAAAATGTACGCAGGCAGAGCTTCGGCTCATCTTCACCGCTTAACCGGGGTTCTCCTTTCAAAGAGTCGATTGTTATGCCAGCCACCCCTTCTCCCGCCGGAGGAAAGAGGGGAAGCTTGGGAGTAAGCAATAAGTGGTTGTATGAGCGAAGCAGGCGTCCGTCTCTCAGCAATGGTAGTCTTTGAGTGGGCAGTCGTCGTGGTCCGACTGCGTTACTACGTCCGAAATGATGTAAAATATGTTTTCTGGTCTTCGCTTGGAGGGGTGTTTCGGCTTGCTTTTTGATCAATCATTATATGCGCGGCGCATACAGCATTGCTGATTTTATATGCGATCCCATTTATAAATTTTGCAAAGAAATCGGAATTAATTCCTTGATTGGCTCCTTAGTAAATTCTGCAGTGAATGCTGTGCTTCTAGTGGCGCGAATGTTGCACATTTATTAGTGGAGAGAGGCGCCCCCGGATAACAGGTACAAATCTCCAGCTTTTGAGTCGAGTTCCCGCACCCGTCTTACTCCAAGAAAGCCAACATCACCACTAATTTTATCCACGCGCCGCACCAATATTCCCAGGCCCATTTCGTGCCTCGCTTTACTCAAAGAGACGCTCCTATTTTGAAGCTCTTGGGCCATTTATCTCCCGCATGAAGTCAAAGGCCTTCCAAGTGTCGTCGGCGGTTTAAGATGGGAGCCTCGGAGTCGAAGCTAGTCTTCAAACAGGGAATATTTCGCTTATCGGAGGAGAAGGGGATTCCCGCAGATGATCCATACTGGACCAGAGTAAATAGTCCTTATCCGGGTTTCCCCAAGGCTTTGGCGAAGTTTGAATTGCTGACAACCAAGGTGTAGTTCTGGGAGCTCCCCGAATCTACGGAGGATGTTTTCAGCCTATTCACCCCAGCGGACATACGGCGAACCCGCGACAATGCATTAGGAAACTTCGAAACGTTGTTACTATCCATAACCTCTCGTTTAACGGCCCTCAAAAACCATCCTTCCTTCCCAGACCCGGATCTTGCCCCCGACCGAGATGCGCTGAACTGCATTCGTATTCTGACTCGACTCCTCCCATACGTGTACGAAGCCGAGCATCTAGAAGAGTGGGAGGGAAAGTTCTTTTGGACTCGTCGAAGGAAAAGGACCAGGGAAGCTCAGCTGGCTGCAGATGTTCTTTTCGATGAAGCGCAGGCGGAAGAGGGGCAGGACCCAGCGTCTCCTCCACTCAACGAATATGAAGATGTGAAGCCTTTGGCAGAGGAGTTGATTGACACGCTGATGGACCTACTCTTTTATACGGACTTTACTATTCCTAAGTTACCCTCCGCGAAATCTAAAATTTCGTACTCCATCTGGCAAAGTGGTGTTGGGTGCAACACTTCTATGGGTTCGACAAGGGAATTCGAAAGCAACCGCTGCGAAATTCTTCGATTACTCCTCACAATTACTGGAAAGGCAATGTACACGTCTTCTAGTAAGCTACTATCCCTATCTTACTAGCGGTTTAGCTTATTTAGCTTACCCATCATCTAGGTTTACTGCCTGTTCAAGGTGTCAGAGCTATTACGTACATCACGACTTGCCAGGAGAAACAAGCAGTATTGACACTGTTATGTTCACTTCTAAACACGGTACGTCCCGGAAGTCATATTAACATGTTTAGGTAACTGACAACTTCTCCATAATAGGCAATCAAATACAATCCTGCATCGTGGAGAGTGCCCTACGATCATGTTGTATGGAAAGACCCCAGACAAATATTAGTGATTTATAGTCTCCAGTTTCTCCTTGTGCTCCTCCTGTATCCTGTTCCCGAGGACGGCCGTGGAAGCCCTCCCAAAAACTACTACCGTCACTATTTCGGCCGCCTACACAGACCACAAGACTTTCAGTTCTTAGTTGATGGAATGACCAGGATTTTGAACCAACCAGTAAGTCAATTCGCTTCAAACACCGTAGGTTTACTTACACAAAATTTTGCGCAGATGCAAGCAACGACGGCTTACCTTCCCGGCAGCCAGAAATCGGTCAAGTGGGCACCAGAGATGCTTGTGCTGTTCTGGGAGGCCTTGCAATGCAACAAGCGGTTTAGGTCATTTATAATTGACTCGAACAGATCTCACGACTTTATAATTCTCTGTATCTTCTACAGCATAACCTATAAGTCCGATCCAGCAAAGCAAGGCGTGGTTCGGATGTGCATATTTATTCTGCAAACAATGAGTGTTGAGCCTACGTTTGGGAAGAGTTTGAACAATAAATTTGAAGCCCAAGAGACCCTGCCACAAAGCATTCGGGTACCTGGATTCAGAGGTTCATATGCTGATTTTCTCATTATAGTATGGCTTTTTCCCCCTTCTTCTATATCAACATCATGCTTCTAGCTGCTAACCCATCGTAGTCCATCCACACCTTGATTACTACTAGCAAAGGCAAGCTGAACGCTGTGTACCCTGCTCTTCTTGCGGTTATCAATAATATTGCACCATATGTCGAGCACCTGGTCGCAGAGACATGCTCCAAATTGCTGCAGCTGTTTATATCTATGTCAGCTCCCAGCTTTCTATTAGCCAACGATTCAAACCACGCGCTACTTGCTTCGGTTCTCGAATCCATCAACGCGGTTCTTGAACATAAGTTCACAAGTACGTCCATATCCAAACTCATCTGTTGAAACTGCTAATGATGTATAGAAAATCCATTTCTTGTATACGCCATTCTCAAATACAGAAGACGCTTTGAAGCAGTCCGGGAATTCACTCTTGAGAGTGGCCAGCAAGAGATTGAACGACAAAACGAACGGAGAAAGGCTGAAAGTCGTGACACTGTCACCAGTCCTGTTCTTTCAGCCTCCGAAGATGATCCGCGCCTTTCTTCTGGTGCGCGGTCACCTCTTGGCCGCATCCCAGAAGAAAATAACAGTCCTTTCGCCATCGGTGGGGATGACTCGGAGGATGAGGGTGAAGGTCAACATACACCAGCCCAAGACTCGGCTTCAGTCCAAACCTCGCGCAGGCAATCAATCTCATCCACTGCCGATGAAAGTGTTCCGCCACAGCTGCGGGGGATGTCGGAGAAGGCTCGGGGCAAGATGCCGGCGGGACAGCCATCGTTTTCAAGACAGAACAGCATGACGAGTCAAATCAGCATGTCAGCTCTCTTGTCTCCACCTTCAAACGGCTTTACGCCCACTACAGCTTGGGTAAGTAGTGTTGACCTCTTTCCACTTTCGGACCTCAGTATACTGACATTGAACCCTTAGCTGGAGTCTTGGCTACCCGAACTTCCCTTGCACACTATCCTTACCATCATCTCCGCTATCATTCCCAGTGTTCCCGAGACAGCGTTCCAATCCTCCTCCAATGCTGAGACTCGCACCCTAATCGCGAACCTCCCAACATTTACGGAAGACCCTATGATCCAAAGCATCACCTCGGAGCCTGCGCCTGCTCGTGGTCATTCTTTCGAGTGGTCAGCTTTGTCGATGGGCTGGTACGAATCATTGGTCTGGGGCTTCATATTCTCTTCAGAGATGGTTGTTGGGACCGCGTCTGGAGCTACACCCGGCGCGGTAGGCGTCTGGAATGGGACATACATTAAGCTGTTTAAAGTGCAAGAAGCAGCCGTTCAGGGCCCTACTCTACTAGCGCCCAAGGGTGCCGTGGATGCTGTTGGAAGTAACCTGGTGCAACGGATAGGAAACTTGAGCCTGCGACGAAACAACACGCAGCCGGAATCTCAAAGCAGCTCAGGGCCCCCGTCCGTTCGGGAGGTTTAGAAATAATCGCGGCAATAGTTTGTTGTGTTTAGTGTGTTTTTTTTTTTTTTTTTTTTTTTTTTTTTTTTTAAAGATACCTAGTTTGTGTCTATAATGGAGTATATACTGATTGGCACTTGTATATCAACATATGCACTACAGAGTAAGCCCGGTATGTCATACTGATAACGCGAAATAATATTCCCCTAGTGTGCTCCGAGCAGGCCTCGGGATGGTGTCAGCCGCGCAGGTGGCCGAATGCTTACATCTTTATGGTTGCTGACTGCCAAGTCCGCTGGGGAGGCTGATCGTCTCCAGCCAATCGATTTGGCATGCTCCAATGCCGCAGGAAACATAAAGCTGGGGGAAATTCAGCTCAACTTTCTCTCATCATCACACTCTTTCAGCAGAGGGACGCCCCAGAACTTTTCAAGCCCGTCATTCTATTAAAGAAATGGTGCTCTCCAGGTCGCTGCTTGCCGCAGCCTCCGCGCTGTTTCTTGCGTTTCCGACCGAAGCCGCCGAGGGAGCTTCCGAGCTGCAGAGTGTCTTGAAGAACACCCACGGAAGCTCGGAATACAAGTATCCCACCGACTTCACAAGGGGCATTTTGCCTGTAAGTTCACTCCCGTCTGGTTGTAGGAACTTTCCGTGGGTGAACCAGCACCGGGAGCCACTAACTCTATTCCCTTCTTTTTCTATAGATCCCGGTTCATTCCCACAAGTAAGTCCCTGGATGCCATTGGGGTAGCCTGCTGGTAGCTAATGACCCTTAGTGACTACTGGAGAGACGTGCCCTTTTACACGGGTATTTTCCACACCGTACCCTTGTCGTGAAGCACTACTGATGGGTTTGCCTCGCCAGCTCTCTCACAAGGCTGCATTTCGGTTGAAGCTGATGTGTGGCTGTACAATGGCACTCTCCATGTGAGCTCAGCGCTTCAAATTTACTGCTTCAAAGCATTGTTTAATCGTTGAAATAGGTTGGCCACGACGAGTCATCATTGACTGACCAACGCACATTCGAGTCGCTCTACATCAACCCAATTCTCGACGTGCTTGAGCGTCAAAACCCCAAGAGCAAATTCTTGACGGGCCCGACCACCAAGTGCGTGCTACTCAGAGTGTGGAAGGTCGTCTTCTAACGTTTTCTACAGTGGTGTCTTTGATACCGATACAGATCAAACGCTCTACTTGTGGGTTGACTCCAAGACATCCGGCCCTGAAACCTTCAAGGCCGTCATCGAAGCTCTGGAACCACTCCGCAAGAAGGGCTACTTGACAACCCTTAAGAACAATGAAACCCTCGCTGAGGGCCCAGTGACCGTGATCGGAACTGGCAACACGCCCTATGAGATGGTTGGCCCCATTGCAGACCGCGACTACTTCTACGACGCACAGCTTGCTACTCTGGGGGATGCGGAAAATGCTGAGATCACAGCGCACATCTCGCCCATTGCATCGGGGGATTTCAGCTCGGCCATCGGCGACCTCACACTGGGCAAGGATAGCGTATTGAGCGACAAGCAGCTCGAAACTCTTCGATCGCAGATCTCTACCGCTACAGAGAAGGGTATTCTCGCCAGGTACTGGGGTGCTCCTTCTTATCCGATCAGGGCCCGTAACACTCTGTGGACTACCCTCATCAACGAGGGTGTTGGGTTGCTGAACGCCGACGATTTGGCTGCTGCTGCGCAGTATTTCTAGAATACCGGTACAGGTAAAACCTATGTAATATATAGACATACTACAGAGATAAAATATTAATGTCTTTCTGAGCTAGCCCAACTGGAGGCTTGAGCTGCAAATGCCGTCACCAAGGCCTTCGACCAAACCAGAATTGTGCACCAATACTTTCTTGTAGTTTTCAAAACAACAGGCAAAAAGGAGAGGAGAAATGTGCGCATTCACAGGAAATTACAAGGCTGGAAACACAACGCCAGTGCACGTGATACTCCCGTGAAAAGGAACGCGCTGCTGGGGGGCAAAAAGGAGACAACTGAAGAGAACAAAATGAAAGAAAAAAGGCATTGATAAACCCACACGATCGCTATCCAATCCAAACCCAGGACTTGACTTGACAGGCGGCGATGTCCAAGGTCGATGTTGATCTGGGAGATCTCTTAGCCAAGGGGCTCCCGACCGATGTAAAGGTCACCGTCCGCCACATCTCGTCAACTCCGACAGCGACCCCTGCTCTCTTCGCTGCCTCTCCAGGCGAAGAGCCCGAGCCCACCTTTTGCGAGAACCACTTCCTGTCTGCATCTGTCACCGCGGCTGACAAAGACGACGGGGCGGAGATCATCGTCTTCGGCATCGAGGTGTTGGTCTACACTACGGCGCACCTGACAACCATCTTTGTGTCCAAGGCCGATTCTACGGGTCATCTCCATCTACTCAAAGCTGCCCCGAAGAGCTCGATTCTCAGAAAGGTTACCAATGTCTTTCTCTATTTCCTTGTGCACACTCACCAACGACCCGGTGTTCGGCTGGTCGTGTCCCTCTTCGCCCGGTCTCAGAACCAGTACTTGTTTCCCGGGAGTATCGAGAACCCAGAGAAGCATGTTCTCGATGATCGCGGGCTAATCAAATGGTGGTGTCGTTCTCTGGACCCAATCCTTCGCGAGTATGAGCCGGAATCTGGATCCCAGGAGCAGGAGAAGAAGCACGAAGAGTCAACCCGTAGCTCCGCCACGGCGTATCTCATTGTACCTAGCTGCGACAGGTTCGAGACTCGAGGGTTCTTCCCTAGCACAGCCAAATCAGACGATAAGGACCGGCCTCGATGGCTGAATGCCTATCCTCTTCGTCAGTTGTGCAGCAAACCTGATGCTCCACCGCGTTCATTGGTGCCTCGTTTCCCGGATGATCCGAAAACGCGCTTTCTCATTGATTTGGATGATGAGCTCCCAGAGAGTGCGAGTGGGGAAATGGCCAGTCAGTGGAGGAGTGTGAAGTCCTTGGACCAGTTTTGGGAAATGATGTCCTTTCGTCAGGAGTGTTCTGCCGGGAGGTTGGTTGGATTCCTGTGGCTTGTTATTAACCCTCCTGGTGTTGTGAATTCGAATCCGATGCTGAGCAGCAAGGCTGGTCTCACAGAGGTCAAGGACACGCCCAAGACAGAGACACAGCCGCTGGGTACCGATTCTCCAGAGGGGTCAGAACAGGCGCAGGTCTCGGACGCTCCAAAAGGCGACAAGCCGTCAGTATCTCAATCAAACGATCAGATAAGGCCGCAGCGGGCGAGCGATGGAAGTGCATTCTACTGGCCGCAGGCTGCGCGAGGACATGCGGTGTTGAACGAAGAGGATTACAAAACAGCAATCAACTTCCTTCTCGAGCAAGACTTTTATAACGAGGAGGTCTCCTTTGCCAGCACGAAGGCGTTCAATGACAAGGTTGCAGCTCTTGCCGACGAGCTTTGGATCGGTCAGCAAGTCGTGGGAAAGAATACCAACGACGAATCAACAGTTCCCGCACAGACACCCACCACGCATGCTAATATCGTGCTGGTTCGGAAACGGAAGAAGGACGAAGGTGCAGCATCAAGCCAGGTACCGAGTGAACCTACAGAGTCAACACAGGATGCTGGAGTGAATGTTCTACAGGGCAATCTAATTCGCAAGAAGAAGAAAACCTGATGCGATACTCGACGATAATGATAATGAATCGGTAACAATTGTACAATATCAAAGCCAGCAAATCTACAAAGGATCATGAGTAGTTCAGCCAAGCCGGCCAGTAGATAGCTACTCCTCTACTATGTACTATAGCGGTAGAATTTGGTATAGAGCACAGGGTCATTCGCTTCCTTCACTCTCGTGTCCCTCATGTAAACAATAATAGCTTACTTACAGGATTCAAACATGCCCAATCTCCCAGCCTCACTCAGAGCGGGTCCCAGAATGGAAGCGAAACCACCAGCCAGCTGTTTTATTATTTGCGCTCGAGCCGATTCCAAACCTGATCCGTTGCATCCGGATGCCGATGGATCCACAAGCCGCTCGTGCTGGGAATAAGAAATAGTAAGACTGAACCAGTCAGTGATGATCGCTGTTGTTGCGCCGAAAAAAGATAACACAAAAGAGTCAGATGCCGCGGAGCTGACCGCGTCCTCTTTCCCTCCTCTTTTTTCCTCTTCCCCTCTCAAACAACTTGTCTCACCCCCCATCTCCGCCGTCTCTAGTCCGCTCAGTCCATAGAATGCCCTATTCCCGTCGCCAACGCCTATGATAAAGCTTCAGTCGATTTCGGACGCCGTCGGTTTTGGATCAGCCACCCGTCATGGCGGACTCCAGTGGTCGGTCACACTGGGGTGGATAGGCTTGATCTGGTATTCCACGGTGACGGCGGTGTGTGCTTTGGGATATTATAAATTGTATTCCTTCCTTGGCCGTCCAATTCCGCGCCGGAATTGGATCGGCGGCTTATTGTGTATTTGAGAGCTGTGCTAATTAAGCCTCCCTCAAATAGATGGAAACACTATCTTGGACGCCCTCGGAAATCCCACTCAGCTACGGCATCGGACGCACCCCATGTCACCGTCATTCGACCGGTTAAAGGCCTCGAGCCGTACCTGTACGATTGCCTGGCCTCGACGTTTCGCCAGGAATATCCCCGCGACAGGCTTACTGTATGCCTTTGCGTGTCTTCCCGAAGCGACCCGGCATACGCAACCCTGGAGAAACTGGTCGCGGACTTTCCACACGTCGATGGGCGTGTCTACGTCGAGGAAGAGGATCCGCTCCTCCAGCCTGATCATGAGCCCGCGTATAATCTTGGGCCGAACCCCAAGATTCGAAACATGACCCGCGCATACAGGGAGGCAAAGGGCGATATCGTTTGGATTGCGGACTGCAATATCTGGGTTGGTAAAGGGGTCTGCGGGCGCATGGTGGACAAATTGTGCGGTTTTGGTACAGGCTCAGGCCAGGAGAATAAATTTGTACATCATCTTCCCGTTGCTGTGGATGTTACCGGTGCTGCTAGCTTGAAGGAGGAGCGACGTTTGTTGGAGACGAATGGAGCGCCGGTCGCCAACGGAAACGATACGAAAAGCCGCTGCGCACCAGGAGCTCTAGCCATGGGAGGTGGTCGTCTGGAAGAGTTGTTTCTCTCTTCATCCCATGCAAAGATGTATACCGCTATCAACACGGTTCTTATTGCGCCATGCATTGTTGGCAAGTCAAATATGTTCCGACGCTCTCATCTCGACTATCTTACTGCTCCGGATCCGAAGAGCTCTCGCCAACTGAATCCAGGCATTGACTACTTCTCGGACAATATCTGTGAAGACCACTTGATCGGTGATCTGCTTTGGAAGAACAAGGTTCGCGACGAGAAGGAGCATGGCAAATGCCTGGGCAAGCACGCACTGGTTTACGGAGATCTCGCTTTTCAACCGATTGCAAACATGAGTGTTCGATCCTACATAGCACGGCGAGTGCGGTGGTTGCGCGTTCGAAAGTTCATCGTGATGCTTGCGACCTTGGTTGAGCCCGGCACAGAGTCAATATTATGTTCGCTGTACGGGGCCTGGGGCTTCACTACTGCGTTAGCTCAGTATCTCCAGGGCAAAGGGCTGGATATCGCTCAGGACCTCTCGACGTGGAAAGCCTTCTTCACGTTCTTCGGGCTCAGCATAGTAACATGGAACCTCATCGATTGGACAGTATACATAATGCTTCACTCCGGCAAGACGGTCGAACGGGATGAGAACACGCCGTTGTTTGTGCGACCTCCTCTGAACACAACAAGACGGCGGTACCGGTATTGGCTTGCCGCTTGGCTTGGACGAGAAACACTCGCCCTCCCAATCTGGTTGTGGGCTATCTGGGGAGGCGTGACGGTTACATGGCGTGATCGCCAGTTCCGTATTGGCCTCGATACGAAGGCACATGAGATTCAGAGTGGTCAAGATATCCAAGCTGAAGGCTCCTACTCTGAAGGTACATCGGTTCTATCAAGTGCAGGGCGTCGACGCAGGCCGCAGAAGACAGCGAAAGCATGAATAGGGATGTAGAAATGATAACGAGGCATGAAATTCATCAACTGTCTATAGATACTATATACCAGACTTTTGGATCCCAATAGGACATAGAGGGGGGAAACAAAAACACAACCCATCATAATTCATTTGCTTTTTATCCATCTCATTACGATTCCTCGGTCCCGGTAGCCTCCGCCGTGTCTGCAGGGTTCCCAAACTCCAACAGCCATTCAACCACCTGTCTCCCCTTGGACACAGGCCCGGCATCCCCAGCACCAGCATCAGCGCCAACCTCCGCCTCATCTACTTCCTCGCTTTCAGGCTGGCTCTGGCTCTGGCTTGTCTCATCTTGGGTCTTCCAGTCTGTCCTCTCCGCCAAAAAGATAGCATCCAACCCAGCCTCATTCTTAATAGAGACATCCGCGCCTGCATCCACAAGTAGCTTGACACACTCCAGATGCGTGTTGAGGGCTGCCCAATGCAACGGCGTGTTCCCCGAGTGATTTCGGCGGTTGACAACAGCCTTGACCTCATCGGTTGTCAGCGCCTGCTCAGTCGGTGACAGAGCCGAGACAAGCGTGGTGGTGAGGTTCTTGAGAATATCTAAACCGCCCTCGTTAGTATCTAAGGGAGACACGACAGTTGGGATATTTGAATGATACGTACCAGCATTTCCATTCGCAGCGGGATAGTGCAGCAAACAGCATCCACTGCCGCCTTCCTCTTCGGGCGCTGTGTCGATTGCCGATGCGATGATGACGGACTGCTTGACGTTGTATGTCGAGCTTAGTGTTGCAAGATCGGCTTCTACTGCCTCAGCGTCACCGACCCGTGCGGAATAGATCAGGTCGTCAACTTCGTCGGGGGTGAGTGTTACTAGAGGCATTTTGCTTCTTTTCTTGCACTCGATGGCGGGTCTTTTATAGTGATGTCAGGCCCAAGGGTTGTATTGTGGTTAGATTGGAGTAAAGGTCTGTGGAATAATTAGCTGTATGTAAATGTTGTCTCGGTTCAATGCAAGGTTGTAGACAGTGATATATATAAAATGGTCACGGTGCCGAAAAGCAACATCCAGGATCACAAACAAAGCAGGCTCATCTCGAAAAAATGGGAGAGGGAATAGCCCATGGGCGAATATATCAAATTCCCAGTTTCATACCGAATGGGTCCATTATATATGTGCTCGTGCATGATTTTTTAACATCCAAGTCAAAAACTTCAACCCTGCCACCGTGATGACTTGGGGAGGCCGTACAAGAATAAAAAGCACACGCGTGAAAGAAAATAGCAGCTTACCTGTTTAATTTTGTATTCAATGTGGTGCTGCTGCGAGATACCTCTATATCAAAGTTCGACCTTTGGTCTGAGAATCTTTGATGAGAGGTCATGTGAATATTTTGCGGATTGACCAATGGAGGGGCACTCGAGGGTCGTTATAGCGGCTATTGATTCGAGCCGCCATTTTTATGCAGCACCATGCTACCCAATTGGCTCACGTAACTCTGATGTAGAATGGATGTATGGATCTTGTTCGGTAATTTGATAATTACCTACTCATTAACATTGGTTTCTATCTACTACATGTACTGGAGGGCTGGAAATCATGGCAATTTGAGAGCAAATAATTTGGGTGTGGTATAGGCGAGTACATTTATCTGCCCTCATATATTCTTACTGGCGAAACTCGGAATATAAATTGTCAGTGTGGCCGAGTGGTTAAGGCGGTAGATTCGAATACCTCAATGTCTGAGTATCTTGGACTTAGGCTCGATTATCTACTGGGTTCGCCCGCGCCAGTTCGAATCTGGTCGCTGACGTTGTTTTTTTTTTTTATTATCTTACCTTTTGCAAGATAGATATTCGAGTTGTTCTATTTCTTCTTTCTTTATAGAGCATCCGTACTTCCTTATTAAATAGCATAATAATAGAATGATACTGATTTCTTGGTGGTATATTGCAGTGATGCGTGCATAGGCTGGTCTTAGTCATGAATTTATGCTGCCCGAATCACGGAACAAAATTCTTCCCACTCACCCAGTTCCGCATGCCATCATCAGAGCTCCGGCGGAGCTAAGTACGATCTATCCTACCAAGAATATCCATGATAAACCACAGCACAATGGCTGCGAGTCAAACGAAGGACGCCCCAGAGGGCCCAGCCGGCTCTACACCTCCGGCACCAGAGAATACTAGACAGAGCAGTGACCCGGCAGTGACGAGTGAGGCAGAAAAACAAGAGGAGGAACACATTCCAAGAGAATCACAAGAGAGCGAAGACAATGCCTCGCAGGAGAAAGAAGATGATAGAGAGGAAGAAGATGATGATGAAGAAGAGGGGGAGACAAAAGAATCAGATGCGCCACCATTACCAGACGAGATTCCTCCTCCCCTGCCCAACGAAGCTCCGCCAGGCGAGGACGACGGCTGGGAGCCTGTCTGGGATGCCAATGCACAAGCATATTACTTCTATAACCGATATACCCAAGTTGCACAGTGGGAGAACCCCAGGGTGCCGACTGCAGCTCCAGCCCCAGCTATCCCTCCCGCGCCGGGCACTGAAGACTCAACTGAGAAAGTCTCTGCCCCGCTAGGTGGATACAACCCCGCTATACACGGTGATTATGACCCAACAGCTCCGTATGCGCAGCAGTATGAACAGCAGGAAGAAGGTGGCCAGGCGGGGCTGGGGACAGCGAATCCGGCTAACTATGAAGCGGTTGGGGCTTTTAATCGCTTTACCGGTCGATGGCAGGGGGAGTCTCACAATCCAGAACACCACAACGACGAGAACAAATCGCGGCGGCAAATGTATGCATACTTTGATGTGGATGCGGCAGCGAATTCCCACGATGGGAGGAGTCTGCGGGCAGAGCGGAGCGCGAAGAAGCTGAGCAAGAAGGAGTTGAAGATGTTCAAGGACAAGCGCAGAGAGAAGAAAGAGGAAAAACGAAGAGCCTGGTTACGGGACTGATTTCCTCTCTTTGGCTCTCTTTTCGTTGGCCTTCTCGGCTCTGTTCTGCTTTCCATTGAGATACCTACTGGATTACACCTCGACGGGTTGGGGCGTTTGCATTAAGGCACACTGTATTTATGGCATTATTATCTTGGCATTAGAAGCGAGCGGCTCAACGCTGGCCCTGTAGTTTACCACCAAATGGACAAGGATTTTACGAAGAACCTTAGCAATTTGCAGCTTCATCTGTTCGATCCCGACACTGTCTCAACGTGATCTTCCAATATGGTCTGTTGAGATTGCGATGTCGAGCCGAGCGGGTTAGGGAATGTATATAGATGGCCCCCAAGTAGCCCAAGAGGCCCAACGGCAAGTCGTATAGCAGAGGCAAACTAGTATAAGATATGGTTATATATCCATTAAGATGCTAACGGGCTTAATCGTGTTGTCCATATTCTACCCTGTGGTGAATCTGTAGGTAAATATATTTGGGCTTTGTGGCTTTATTCTCCGAGTTGCGATGGATATATATATATATTAAACTATGTACTACAGAGTATATGAAAAACCAACATCTTACAAGACATAGTTACAAGACAATAGAATTGGCAATGAAATACAAAACTCCAAACGGAAAGCTATACTAAACTCATCTTTGAAAACCTCAGAACCTCATCTACGTCTCCTACACCTGATTATCCACGACGAGGTTGTATTCCCCCTTGAAGCCATTCTGTCCAATTACCTCTACAAACGAGATGTAAAGACTGAGGCCATGAGGAAGCGATAACTCAGACTAAAATCGTGACTTGCCCACTTTCGCAGACTTGGACTCACTATCTTGACTCACTACGCGCTGTAGACGATGCAACATACAAAACCACAGCTCCGTGAGTCAAAACTTGATACCTTCCTACGCTTGCAGTCCACTTTTTCTTTGAACGATGAGAACACGCATACCTTGCAAGTTGCTTCGCAGCCGATTCCTGATTTCCCAGCCAAGCCTCGAGAGCATTGAATTGACTTCATGACTTCATGACGCGGCACCTGCTGAACAAGATAACCAACCTCCAGGTGCACGGCCTACTTCCAATCCACGGATGGAGAACTTAAAACTTCATTCGTAAGGCATCCAGTGGCTAATTACTGATCCTTGCTTGAGTTAATCTGGAGGACCGGAAAGTGAGCCAACGCCTCTTCCAAGGCTCTTGAACCGACGCCAGTAACACTTTGAATTGCCCATTCACGTCCTCTCGCCGGAGATCAACAAAAATAAACCAAACTGAGCCTGTAAGCGATCGTCATGAAGTCTGAGTATCTCCACGCCGAAGGCTTTGCCTCCCTGGCTGGGAAATTATCTAAGGGAGACCGTGCAGTCCCTTGCCTCCGCAAGGAGACGGGAAATGAGAGATTGTCCGACAGACGCCCACATGGGCTGGTCTTGATTCTTGCTTGAGTTCAACCCTTGCAGGATGAGGCACGCAGCAGCAAACGCGGGTGTTGCAGGCTGGCCAGCAAAGTCCCGAAGAATGTTGAGCCCACCCGCATACCACACGAGATGGGTGCGGCTGATGCTGTCAAGGATGCAATTGGTGCTGCACTTGTCACGCAATCCCGTGAATATTTTCGGCTTGACGAATGACACTACGTAGGTAGATACTACACAAATGGGGAGCAGAGATCCTGGAAGAATGGCATAGTCATGCTGGGATGCAACCCTCATCCGAGCGCCACTGTTTGCATAACGATCTACACAACAGGAGTCGGGGAATGAAAAGGCGTCTGAAAGTTAACGGCCTCGAGTCTGCTGCATCAGTGACCGCCACCCGCCTGAGGGAGGCAACGAGCTGATCCATGCCTCATACTGGGTCACCGCTCAAGGGCTCATGGCGTTGGAGGACGAGACAGGAGCTTACAAGCTCAGCAGCGACTTCCAGCCGTCCTTGCATGGTGCATTCCACAGGGGCATCCCAAACGGGGGGCGGCATTCCCTCAACTAGGGCATGTTTGCGCTTCTGGTAAAAGCTGGGAAGACAAAGCACCCATCCGGCGTCTATATAAGGGAGCCAACTTCGGCTGTTCTCTCTGTTCCTCATCACGCTCTCTATTGACAATCCAGTCTCTCGTTCCAAAGTCTCTTCTCAAAACAAAAAACCAACACATCTTTTCTTCTACCCAGCCACAATGAAGTTCACCTTCGCTACTGCCATTGCTGCTTTCGCCGCCTCCGTCGTGGCTGCTCCCCCTGGCCAGGCCGCTGGCAACGGTGTCGGAAATGCTGGCAACAGCAACGTCCGCTTCCCCGTTAGCCAGGACACCACTGTCGAGCAGGCTTCCACCAAGTGTGGTGACCAGGCTCAGCTCTCTTGCTGTAACGAGGCCACCTACGCTGGTGACACCACCACTGAGCAGCAGGGCGTCCTTGCTGGTGCCCTCAGCGGCCTGCTCGGCCAGGGCTCCGGTGCTGAGGGTCTCGGTCTCTTCAAGGGCTGCTCCAAGCTCGACGTTGCCGGTGAGTATCTTCGGGTGCCGTCTAACACAAGAAATATCACTAACGGATCATAGCTCTTATCGGTGTCCAGGACCTCATCAACAAGAACTGCCAGCAGAACATTGCTTGCTGCCAGAACTCTCCTTCCGAGGCCGTACGTATCCCATCTGCCTTTCCATTACGTCCTCTAACTAACGTGTTACCAGAACGGCGACCTTATCGGTCTCGGTCTTCCTTGCATTGCTCTTGGTTCGCTTCTCTAAGCTCGTCGATGCTGGGTGTGCTCGTGCTGGAAGCTTTTCTACGGATGGAAAGCATTCTTTGCGCCGTCCCTTTTTTGTAGGAACGGCCATGGGTTTTAGCTTGTCTGTTCTGTAGGATTGCATTTGGATTCCTGTTGACAATTTTGTATCCTTAACCTGTCATTGCCACCGAGAAGAAGACTGTTCCAGGATTGTCTTATGCATTGGTGTTTGGCCATGGCATACATCTTTAATTAGACTTTGCTCTTGCATTTCTCGCGTCGTTCCTCAGTAATATCTCCCTTGTCGACATCTTTCCACATAAACAGCCACCTCATTGTAGTAAGCAGTAACCTACGCCAAGTGGCCGCGGCATGGGAGCAAGTCCCCTGATTTACTCAGTAGTGATGAGCTTCTTGCCTGATCCCTCTATATTGTTTTCACCCTCTACCGATCAATCCTTATGCAGCTGACTAGCTCTCCACCCTTCATAATTGAACTGCTACATCAACTTCGGTAGTCAAGTGGTTTTCTGCACTGATTTTCCTGCATTCTACATTTCAGATGGGCACTCAAATTATAATAATCATAGTAATTATAAGGGACATCCTTATCATTCGTCCAACTTGTGTGTATATTGGTTTACATGTCTTTGCTGTCTTCCTATCGTACTACCGTTTTTAATGAACTTAAGGACCATATATTAATAATATTATAGAGCATCGTAAAATACACAGCTCTGCATATTTAGTACATATATAATACACCAATTAAACTAACCACCCGTTTATACAAATCCCTTCCCCAACCACCCACCCTAGCCACTCCAGCCACAGGAACAATCTCCCAACCAAGTAATCAATAGATAAAAATAGTTATACAGAAGAGAAAATTTGTCACTTCAAGAGGTCACATGCTGGAAATCACCTGAAAAAAGGCCAACGCCCCATCTCCACCTCCGACTCCAGCCCCAGCCCCAGCCCAAGTCCAAACCGCAACTCCATACGCCATACCTAGGAAAAAAGAGACCTACCTGCTACAGGGGTTGTACTTCCCCTGTTGTTATTACCGTTCATACCCGAGCGAGAGAGTCGTGCCAAAGGCGGGAACACGATTGTGGCCATTCGGCGCTCTTTTTTTGTTGTTACTGCTGCTTGTTTTGTCGTAGTCGTTGTTGTCGATGTGTTTTCGCTCTCGACGGGCTGAGAGCGAGTTAGGGCTGAGTGCAGCGAGACACCCCGAGCCTGCTTCTTTGCGGAGCTGGCCGACGGTGTTGTTGAGGATGGTAGTGCAGACGTTGACATTGGCCTCTTTCTCTCGCCCTTCTGATCCTGGCTCTGGTTTCCCTCGTTACCATCGCGGTGATGTTCCTGTTGTTGCTGTTGCTGCTGCTGCTGTCCCCAAGCAGGCGGCAACGGGAAACGGAAATGTAGATTCGAAAACGACAATGACAGACCCGGATTTGATGATGCCGCAGACGGAGAAGACGGTGTAGAGCCTGACCGGGACGAGGAGAGATTGAACAATTCGATCATTGACTTGCGGCGACTGCCTGTTGCTGCGCCTTTGCTCTGTTTGGGATCTTGGTCTTTGCGTTCAGGCTGGGACTGCGATTCTTGCTGCTCCAGGTACTCGTCTTCGTCTTCTTCCGGGATTGTTTCTTCGATAAGTCTGGTTTTTATCTCGGGATGTTTCCTTGACAAGGCTGTATGGGTGATGGTGGTGGTTGTGGTTGTGGCGCTGGGAAGAGGTGGAAGAGGCCGAGCCGATAATTTCTCGTCATCTTCGTAGGTGTGCTGCTGGTATCCGTGATCGGGCTCATGGTGGTGCTCTGGTACTTCACTACCGCACCCACAGCCATAGTCCGAGACAGAATTCACGTCCGAGTCGAGAGACGTCCTCGAGTCGTAGTCGGAGCTGGAGTCGGACTCGACGATGCGGATGGACGTCCTGTGCGTGATGGAGATGGTGTTAGAGTCGAGACTTGGTAATGTCTCTGGTTCTTTTTCTGCTATTGTGTCTGCTGGGGATATGTATGCGCATGTACATTTGCGTGCTGCTATTGCATGGCTGCAGGAAGCTCTGTTGTTGTTGTTGTTGGGAGTGGCGGTGGGAGAGTTAGGGCTATGTCGGCCCTTCTTGATTCTGCGGGTCTGGATGCAGGAGAGGAAGAGGGACGAGACTGAGTTGGTGAAGCAAGAAAATGACGATGGTGGCGATGATGCAGATGAAGCTGTAGGTGGAAGGGCCATTGCTTCGATCTCTGCGACTTGGTCGTAGTATACATGGAGAGAGCGAGGGGGAGTTTGGGGGTAACTTTAGAGAGACTCGACGTCTTATATGGGCTTCGCTCGCAGTTTGATTAAAGGACGCGGGGATGGTCTCATTGACTTTATTTATGATTAAATACTGCATTGCATTGCATGAGCCCAGGGAGTCGCAACGCGAAGCTCTCCCTCGAGCTGGAGCTGGGTCTCCTCAGCAATGGGGGTTTTTGACTCCGTATATACTGCATCTCTATCCCAAACTAGCAGTTCGGGACGGCGGATGTTGGATGACTCGGTTTCGACCTAATACCCAGATTCTAATTAAGTACCTCGCCACTGGTGTTGTTTGCATCCGTCATTGAGATCCGCAAGATTTAATGCAAGGGCTGTCTGGGGCGAGGTCAAGGTTTGCTCGTGCCATGCAAGGAATTATAGAGGTGCCCTTGGGCGAACTCACGACGAGTATCGAAACATAACAGCAGAGGTCGTTGTTACTGCCGCAGAGTAGAGCAAGGAGCACGCATATATTGGCTGACTGCAGCAACATACAGCATCTCGAGCTCTGTGCCAGATACCTCGATGCCCATGTGCATAATGCAGGTACTCAGAGTTCAAGCTGCTATCCCTTGATCTCTCACGCTTCGCAAGGGATGATGCTTACGGCAGGGAGACGACCCTCGTCAATATTCACATAATATTGCATCAAGTTGTATGCGGTTCTAGCTCTACAAAAGAAACTAATTAAACAAAAAAAACCCAGCCATCTAGAGCTTGCTTTGCGGCGTTGCCTTGTACAACGACTGTGACCTGCTCAGCGTCTCTGCTGCCTCCCTCTCGATGCGATCCAGAAGATCTTTGCAGGTAGGGATATCATGGATAACACCAATAACCTGGCCAGCCGTCCACACCTACAAACATCAAAAGTTAGCTGGGCTTCGTTCCCTGAACGGTACTAGGGGAAGGAAAAACATACACCAAAGTTAATATCACCATTCAGGAAGACCTCCCTTCCGCGCTTCCCGCTAACATATGGCGCAATATCGGCAAACTCTCCAGACTTGCTCTCCTTCTCGACCTTGAGCGCCTGCTTCGTCACCTCGTTGGAGAACAACCGCGTGGTGTTCGTCCACCGTCTCATCACAAGAGCAGTATCTGTCTCTTCCGCATTCACGATGGCCTCCTTCACCTTCTGGTGAATCGGCGCCTCAACCGTAGACATAAACCGCGTTCCCATGTTGATACCCTCGGCGCCCAACGCCAGCGCCGCACCGAGTCCGTACCCGTCGGCGAACCCACCGGACGCGATGAACGGCACGCCGCCTAGATCCTGACGCGCGCGGTTCAGGAGGATGAAGTTTGTGATATCGTGCTCGCCAACGTGGCCTGCACACTCGAAGCCATCGATCGAAAGGAAGTCAACTCCCAGCTTGACAGCTGACTTGGCGTGTCGGATAGTCGTGCACTTGTGGAGGATAGTGACGCCGGCGGCCTTGAGCTGCTTGATGACAGGGCCCGGGTTGTTTCCTGCGGTCTCAACGATCTTGATGCCCTCGTCGATGATTACCTGGGCGTAGGCGCCATAGTCAGGTGGCACGAGGGCGGGGAGGAGCGTCAGGTTCACACCGAAGGGGTTCTTGGTCATGCCACGGCATCGGCGGATTTCCTTGCGCAGGTCTTCGGGAGTCGGCTGGGTGAGGGCAGTGAGCTATGACCATGGGATATATGGTTAGCATGTCTTTCCCGCCTGAGGTGTCTGCCTCTCTGTCTTAGTTGATCCGCAACTTACGATTCCAAGACCACCAGCGTTGCTGACGGCGGCGGCGAGCTCAGCGTATCCGACCCATTGCATACCACCCTGGACGACGGGGACTAAGCCATTAGTATCTGAGCCTGGTCTTTGAGGAAAGGAGGGCGGATTTACCTCGGATCCCCAGCGCCCTGGTCAAAGCAGTGTCGAAGCCCATACTTGCGAGTAGTTCACAGAACGAGTGGACAGATCAGGAGGTTAGTGCAGTTGAGTGGAAAGAGAGAATGTAAAAGACACGCTCGCAGAAGAGACAAAAACAGCCACAACACGATCAGAGTGCAGTATATGTAGTGAGAGTGTGAGACAGCCAGGTGATTTCTACCGCGGACCGCCTGTGTGAGTGTTGCGACTGAGGGGACGACGAATTGCCGAGGTCTGGCTGGCTAGGTCGGCCCGACCTGTTTATTGATTACTCTTCAACAGTCGACACGCGGGCAATGGTGCCTGACCATACGGTTTATTCTAGGCCGTTGTGGCAATTCAGTTAGACGGGTTAGCCGTAGTCTGACTGTTCCTGACACCCCAGCGCTGACATGGTTGTTGGCGTTGGTGATGTATGGAGTGTTTTGCATGTGATCGTAGTTCCCCCAATTCACTTTGGAGATTGGCAGTGAAGGATGACGGTAGTTAGTATATTATTAATTTATTACAACAAATGATGAACGTTGGAGTCAAGCATTGATGTTCAATATAACTGTAATATGCTGCCCTGGATATTGCAAACGCCGTCTATGCTATAGATAAGAGTTTCGTGCTTTTCTTTTCATTCCTTCATTTGCTGCCCTGCTGGCTCGCCAACCACGTCTCATGAAGCTTCTTCTGTCGCTCCCAGTCCTTGCGGAGCTTCTTCGACCGGCTCTTCGCTATCTCCTCCCCTGCAGCATCGCGGGTAGGAAGCCCCTCCTCATCCCACGCGCTGTACTCGTTCGTCCGGAACATTTCCAAGTGGCTGAGCTTACCTTTCTCAAGCTTCTTTAGCGCCTCCTTCTCCTTCGCCTCCTTCTCACGTTGCTTCTGCAGCGCCTGGGCGGCCTTCTCCTCACGCGCTTGAATGAGGTCGCGGCTTACAGGGCGGACAATGGCGGGTAGGTTCTCGCGATCTTCAAGATAAACACCTAGGTCGAACAAATCAACGTCGCGGACGCGGTCGCAGAGTGCGAGGACTTCCTTTCCGATATCCATGGACTCGTTCAAAGAAGACAGCCTGTTGCGGAAATCAGACACCACGGTAGCGTAAGGCTGGGTGGCGTCTGTCGCTGCGTCTGACACGGCGCCCCGTTCTACAATCTTTGAGATCTCTTCCGAGTTGAGTGTCTTAGCCCGTGCAGCCTGTCGCAGGGAGTCACGCATGGTAGAAAGCGGGTAGAGGAACGGCTTGGCCTCTTCGGGGACGTCAATACCACTCCAACCAATCTCTTGGGTATCCACGGGCGTGTCGCCGTTAAGGCCAAGCATGTTAACCATGGAAGTGACCCACCGAGCGGTTGCTTCAGCGTCCTTGGGGTTCAGAGTAGATTTATCGGCACTGTTGTATTTGGTGATTAGCTCCGAGATAGTGCCCATCAGACCGGGAGTGTTGAATGAATCGCTGAGTTGCTCGTTCGCAGCGGTCTTGGCTGCCTCCAATGCGTCAGTAAGTGTGGAATCAGCATTTGACGTATTTCCCTGGAGCCCGGCGGGGTCTTTAACCCTGATGAAGAAGTTGTTCAGCTTGTCTTCCCACGAGTTACCGGCGCTGACAAGATCATCGGTTATCTCCACGCCATCTTTCCATCCACCCAGCAGGAATACAATTCTCAAGCTACGCGGCGTCCATTCCTTTCGCTCCAAAGCTTCACGAATCGTTGTGAAGTTCTTCAAAGACTTGGACATTTTAGATCCTTGGATGGACAAGTGCCCCATGTGTAGGAAGTAGTTGACCCACTGATCGTCATGCGAGTGCCAGTAAGCCTCACTCTGCGCTAATTCGTTGTCGTGGTGGGGGAAGGCAAGATCGATACCACCGGAGTGAATGTCCATTTGCTTGCCGAGGCGGGCGGATGCCATCGCCGAACATTCGATATGCCATCCAGGCCGGCCTCGGCCCCAAGCGCTTGACCAACTCAGCTCACCAGGCTTGGAGGACTTCCAAAGCGCAAAGTCAGATTGGGAGCGCTTCTCGGTAGCTTTGTTTATCAATGCACCCTCTCCCTCGGCGAGCAGCTTATTATCAGAGCGGCTCCAAGGCTCAAGGCGTGCATATGGGAAGCCCGCTTCTTCGAAGGCATTGATGTCGAAATACACAGATCCATCCGCAGAGACGTAGCCAAACTTGTTTTCCACGATCTTCTCCACAAAGTCGGCAATCTCTTGACCATACTCAGTTACCCTAGTCAGCTCGTCCGGGCGGAGTACATTCAGGTCATCCATATCTCTCATAAACCGGTCTTCGTACTTTCGTGTTAACTTCGTAAAGATCCCATGATCGTCTGCATCTATAGATGATCCCTCCTGTGCGTCTAGGTATGGGAGTAAAAGGTCTTGCGCATCGGTGTAGAACCGCTCTGGGAAGGTTCCCTGTGCGGTCTTGTCCAGTTTCTCTGCCTCCGCGTAAACGTTCGCTGCTGACAGCACAGTCTTGATATGCATCTTAACTTTGGCTTCATCGTCACCAGCTTTCTCATTACCCGGCAAAGGTCCTCCGTTCAATATGGTCGCATAAGTCTTTTCCACCTCCTTCGGATACTGCGACGGGGGAAGATCAGGGCTCAATAGCGGCAAGTTTTTCTTCAGGTAAGCGGTATATGCCTTTTTAACAACGTCGAGAACCTTGTCGTCGATCGTAGGATGGTTTGTAACGAATCTGGTGAACAAGTGTTGCTGTCGAGCTCGAAGGATAATCTGCGAGGAGGCTTGTTAACACACGGTTCCCCACATATCACCTAGAGTGGTAGTATACCTTGTCATCGACGTCGGTAATGTTCATAACAAAGTGTACGTCGAACTTGAAGTAGTCCCGCATGATACGTCGAATGATGTCGGTGCTGACATAGTTCCTGGCATGACCAAGATGCGCATCGTCGTATACTGTCGGTCCGCAAGCATACCAAGCCACCTTCTTCCCTTGGGGGTCGATTGGGATAAATGGTGTCTTCGACTTGGTAAGCGAATTGTACACCTTCAAGGACGGAAGACGCGATTGCGCCTCAGGATGAGCAGTCGGCTGGCGCCATGCTGGCTGCTCACGCGCGGTAGCCATGAATCTAGTGAAAAACAATACTTGAGATGAAGAAAGGACCGGCCGTCGAGATCGAAAAGTTGAGAGAAGGCGAAGATGCCGGAAGGGAGAGAGGGGCATCAAGAGTGAAAGAGGGAACAAAAGAGTGGGGGATACCAAGGGCCTGAGCAATAATAATAGAGGGGTTCAACACCGTCCACTGTCCAGGAAGAGTCATACTGGCCGGCTGCCTGGCGGCCTGACAGCTCAGGCGTCCAGGACAAAGAAACTACAGGCGGTGAGTATACCGACCAATCACAATAGCAATTTAATCAAGCTCAGACCCGCGGCCCTGAGCCCTAAATGCAATCCAAAAGTAGCTTAGCGGGGAAGATTCCGTCTAGATCTTTGGAGCATTTATCGCAACGAAGGACCAGAGCTTCGTTACAGCCTCAGAACTGCAGTTGGGAACGTATTCTTTATATCCTGACTGTCGCAGTTGACCGATATGTCGTCTCCCTTCTTAACTCCGAGTTCCCACTCCCAGCTGGACCAGCTCGCCCTCCTCAATCTCCGCCGAGATAATACTATTCCAGCCATCCTCCGACTTCATGACGACGAAAACCTAGGATACAAGGAGGGCAACGTCACAAACACGCGATTCGGGTCATTTCCCCATAGCACACTCTTTGAAAAGCCATGGGGATCCCAGGTTAGAGCCTCAAAGGTTGACACCGGATCGCGAGGCCGTGGTCTTCCCGCGCGCCAGCTTAAGAAGCGCAAAGCAAACGAACTTGACTCTCCCAGCGGCACCGGCGGCGATGAAGACGCCGACAGCAGCAAACCCACACCTGAAGTCCCGATTGCAGCGGCCAGTGGTTTCCTGCACCTCCTCTGTCCGACCCCCGAGCTCTGGACTGCTTCTCTCCCCCACCGCACCCAGGTTGTCTACACCCCAGACTACAGCTATGTCCTCCAGCGTCTCGGCGTCCGCCCAGGCTCAACAATCATCGAAGCCGGTGCTGGAAGCGGCTCCTTTACACACGCATCCGCACGCGCCGTCTTCAACGGATATCCGTCGGCCGAAAGCACCCCCAAACGCCGCCGCCTGGGCAAAGTATGCAGCTTCGAATTCCACGAGCAGCGCGCCGGCAAAATTCGCGACGAAATCACCGAGCATGGCCTCGACGGTATCGTCCAAGTCACGCACCGCGACGTTTACCAAGACGGATTCCTCCTAAACGACACCGCCGGCACACCAACAACATCCCCGAAGGCAAACGCCATCTTTCTCGACCTGCCGGCCCCATGGCTGGCCCTTAAACACCTCGTCCGCAACCCACCCCCAGGCACGGAATCACCTCTCGACCCCTCCGCCTCAGTCCACATCTGCACATTCTCCCCATGCATGGAACAAGTCCAGCGAACGATCAGCGCCCTCCGCCAAAACAATTGGCTACACATCTCAATGGTCGAGCTCCAACACCGACGGATAGAAGTAAAGCGCGAGAAAACAGGGTTAGAATACGAGGGTGTGCGTGGCGCAAACATCTTCCCGCGGAACGTCGAAGACGCCGTCCAAAAGATGCGCGTGGTTGAGGAACGCTCTATTCGGTTCCGCGAAATACTTGGGCAGCAAGACAAGGAGCAGGATGGCGGCGGTGACGGCGGCGGTGATCCACAACCCGATAACGACATTAAAAAGGAACCTAATGCCGATATGATGGCGGATATGCCTACTTTTGTCCCCTCAAGTATCGAGAACATTCCGCCATATGCGCAAGGGCGTCTTGTACACCGTGCCGAGTCAGATTTGAAAACGCATACATCGTACCTTGTTTTTGCGGTTCTTCCGCGTGAGTGGAGTGAGGAAGAGGAGCGAAAATGTGCAGAGAAGTGGCCGAGTCAGAATGTGGATGAGTCGTTGCAGCAACCAGCAAAGGGAAAGAGTAAGAAGCAGCTAAGGAAGGAGGCCAAAGCACAGGAGAAAGAGGAAGAGAGGGCTGAGAAGGCCGAGAAGGCTGAGAACCAGGGGTAATACTCCAGCAATGTATGATACATATGACAATAATATACCGCCTAACAGTGAAAAGAATAACGAAGTCCTGGTAATTTCATTCAGGCATTGATTGGTAACACTATTTATATATGTACTGGCATATACTTATGGGTGTAGACATGGAATGCAACCGGCAGCTTAAGCGGAAACAAATAATATATGAAAGCGATAAATAGCCAGCTAATGTTATCGTGCAAAAGCGATATGCAGGTTCTATCTATATACAGCATATGAAGTGGGATATCTCATCAAATACGGAGCACTGCACCACAGATTCGTGACTGCACTGCAGCGGTATATATGGGTGCCAATGTCAAATAGGGCAGTAAGCGGTGCTGGCAAGGAAAGCAAGGTAGAGAGAAAGTAGATAACCATCCAGACAACCAAAACTAGAAGAGTAGGTTAAAGGTTGTTCTCCGCCTTGAACTTATCCCAGGCTTCGTTCAAGACGCCGAATACAGCACTGGATATCATGCGCTGCTCCGTGGTCGCATCGGTGGGGATCTAAAAAGTGTGCTTGTTAGTGATGATTATATACTGGCATGATATCTAGCGGCGTACCTTGTCAGGGTGCACTTTTGCGATACCCTTCATATATTGAATCTTGACCTTGCTGGGCATAATCAACTCAGACATGTTGATCTTCTTCCAATTGGCCTCAGGCCACAAAACAGTATCTAGACTAGCTAGAAGGGCACGAAGATTGTCTTGCTTTCCGCCCTTCCACGCTGTCAGACGTGCATCGACACTATCCGTCAAAGCGAATTTTTCCTCGTCGCTACGCTCCGCAGCCTGGTTAGCTTCTCGGAGACGATTAACTGCCTCAAATGATGTGGCGGAATTGGATGCAGACGAGCCACCCTGCAAATCGTCTAAAGCAGATGTTTTCTTCTTGGGCGTCGGGGCCGCTGGACGCCTCGCAGGAGCTGACGGTTTGGGCGTAGGTTTGCTGATACCGGCCGCCTTCTCGCAGCGGTTTCGGCCTTGAATACTTGTACTTCCGCCATGACCAGCCTCCACTGCCAGCTTCCACATTTGCGCGGCATCAGCCCATTTCTCCAGTTGCTCTAGAGCTTCTGCCTTGCGCATCAAAGCTTTCCCGTAAAAATCTCTCATTGGTTTATGGGACTCGCCATTGCAAAGATCGATGGATTCAGCCTCGCCCTTCGCAGGCCCAATCAGTTCCAAGATGAGATCGGCGTCACTGATTGCTACCTTTGGTTCGCCAACCTTCAGAGCTGTCATCGCATGGTTACTGCGGATAACGATGATGATAGGATGTTTGTCTGGTAACCCTGAGAGTGCGGCTGTGAAAGCTTCATGAGCAGTGGCGTAATCGCCCCTCTTATAAGCTTCTGCTGCCTTTTCTCGCTGAGAATGGGTAGACGAAAGGGTACTACTTGAAACCTGCGGGATAACTCGCGGCGGGGCTTTAGGTCGCGTAGGCAAGGGAGTAGTTGAGGGCGACGACCGTAGAGGACGGGCGGCGGCTGGCGAGGGAGTCGGTCTTGCAGGGGGTTTTGGTGCAGGAGACTCAAAGAGATCGATGCCCTGGCTTGGCTCTGGTTGAGGAGACGGCGTCGCCACAGGCCGTTTCCTTCGCGCGGGGCTAACATACGCCTGTGCTGATTGTTCTTCCACTGCCACTTTCGATAAGCGGGACCTCGTGTCTCTCGGTTCTGACCTCAGCTGTTGTCGCATGAAGGCAGGCTGCTGCGTGCGTTTTTCGCCGAAAGGGCTTTCTTGTCGTCGGGGTTCACTTTCTGTACGGGCAGGTGGCCCTTCATTCTTTCGTGTAGGGCGAGGAGGTCGAGGAGGAGGCCCGCCAGATTCGAGCAAAATAGCCTCGTCTGTAAAACCGTTGCGGGCTGGAGGTTCGGGTTGACGGCGTTCCCTGGGGGGAGCTTCAGGAGTAGCATCTCTCATCCATTTAGGCTGGCTTGGATCTTGATCTGTGTTGAATTCATGGACGACTTGCTGAACCTTCTTGCTGCCAGTTTTCCAAAGCGAGTTTGCTGTTTTCAGGAAATTGTTGCCAAAATTTGCAGCAATCTGTGAGGGGTCCACTTCTGCAGATGATGGTGAACGTATGTCATTGCGACCCCGTGGTGTCTGAGAGCGCTCAGGCTGCATCCATGAAGGCATATCACGATCCGGTCTCTGAGCACGGTCCTGGCTTCGGCCTGAATGGCTGGGATGACGATTGGTGGCAGGCGATTTGGTCTGGGTTCTTTGTCGAGACTCCTCATGGGCCTGGGTGAGGAGAATACCGACAGCAGCCTGCACGTCGGTGCCGGTCGGTGTCATACCCAATGCCTGGCTAGCTTTGTCTGCTGGGAACCCCATATCGACTAGTTCTGCAATAGCACGGTCCACGCCATTTGCTGGCCTCGGAGAAGGATGCTCTGGAGTCTGCGTTCGGAGTGAGTCCTTCGGCGGAGCTGGCGGTGGGAGCTCGGACACAGGCTTGCCCAGCAAACCCAAGAAATCATCATCATCATCATCCGGTTGAGAAGGCTGGGGCGGGGGTTGCGACTTGGGCTTCAACTGGTTGAGGCCAAATGGATCATCATCGTCATTGAATGACAAGTCATTGCTTTGCTGCGAAGGGCTTGGTCCATTGGCGCTTTGTGACCTACTCGTCGTACTTGGTGGGATCTGCAAGGAAGGGCTGGGGCTTGGAGCAGGAAAATGAGTCGACGCATCCACGGGAGCGGAGGCATTGAACGCAGCAAGGATATCATCCTCATTTGGAGATGAGGCCCCCTGTCGTGAAGGCGTTGTAGATGAACTGAAGGGATTGGTGCTCCCTCCTTTCTCCAGATTGTCCCAAAATTGATTATTCTCTCCTCCGTATTGTGACTCGTACCGCGCACGGTTCTCTGCTTCCTTTCGAGCCTTCTCCTCTTGTAGCCGCTTCTGTTGCTCGACGAGTGGAAGATTCTTGTTGGCATTTGACGAGCCAAACGAAACCAGATTTGCGAAACTGTCACCACTGGGAGTCGCAGACTTCGAAGGGGGGTTCGATGGGCCGGAGGAGGCGGAGAGGGGGGTAGATCGACCGGAGGTGTTATTGGGTCTCGCGGCTGGGAATAGAAAGCCAGAATTCATCGGTGGCGGCTTTTTGGTATCATTTGGAGAGCTAGAGCTCCAACTGAGGCCGTTCAAGTCATCCATTGTGACTTTATGGTTCGATAGTAGGTCAGTCTGGAAGACTTAGGCTTCAACGAGACGGAGATGGCTGAGTTGCGGCTCGCGGCCCGGTGTCAATTCTATCGGCGCAAAGAAACAAATGATCTATAAACGAGAGTTCGGCATTACAGGGTTCATTTTAATGCAGCAAGAGTTCATAAACACTTGGTTTCACACCTCGCTGTTCTCCTAGAGCATCATACGCGGCCAGTGTGGCTCATGAACGTGGCTCATTCATTGACCGCCTCGTATTCTGCCTGAGCTTTCAGACCGCTTTCACTTGTGGTCTTGGATCACGTGTATCTTGCTGTGTTTGGAACTTTGGGTAGAGTTGAGAGTTCCAATTTTCGCATCCAGTTATTTGCTGCGGGAGATCGAGAAGAAACTCAGAAAACACGACATCATCGAGAGTGAGGCCACCAGATGTTCCCAATGCCTCGTCGGAGCAGGCAGCCAATCATTAACCTCCCGCCAGCAGATCGAATATTCGATAGGATGCTTATGGTTCTTATTTAAGTTCTCTCCCAAGGTTGAAATCAAAATAAGGCGCCATGGTCCGACCCAAACCTTGAAAAAAGACTCGCTCTACTTCATTGTCCCTCATTAAGGTTTAATGTTTGACCACGAGTCGGAACCGACACTTCGAGATTCGAGAACTTCTCAAGAGCGTCCGAGGTTTGGAAATGGTGGAGTTTACAAGTTTAACTCATTGGCATCATCTTGGTTCACTCTATTTCTTCCAGAAATTCAATCAATGGTGGAGCGAATATCGACCATTCTGGATCGTGCTCGGACCAACGCTCTAATCAATCTCGCGGCTGGCCGTGGCTGCTGCAATTTCCAATGGCCGCCACGGTGCCACCCGCCCAGCACTGATAATACTACGTACGCACTGAGTCCTGAAGCTCCTTGTCGGATGAACTACGGAGTATTTCGCTCGAGATTACGGTGTAAGCCTGCATTATTGAGAAAGGGACGAGGTGCATCCCCATACCGAAGTAATGCCGAGCCGGCCACTTTCGAAGAGAAGATACTCTGGAAGGTAGGTGAGGCGTCCGAACCCAAATATAGCGTTGGACCTTCGTCCGAGAATATCCCACAGGATACCGATGATGTAATTTCCGCCTTTCTATTCTGAAACCAGACGGGACTGTGCAGTGTGCAGTGACACTGTATTCAGCACGGTCGGTGCTTGACGAGGCCGATGAGTCTTGACTTGTTTGAGCCTTTTGAGGGGCAAAAAGGGTCGCGGAGGTCGCGGAGGCCGCAAGTCTTGTCCGTGAGTGGCAGTGGAGACCGAGAAGACCATTGTCCTTAGCTTGCGCCGCGCACAGTGGCCCAGCCCACAGCTGTGCGCACATTCGTTCTTTTCGACTCTGTTAACTGGTTTGGAGGGGCAAACTTTAAACATGAAACCACACCGGTCGACCCAGCAGTATGGCCCGGGCAAGGTCTCCCGCATTAGCGGACAGGCCAGTCTGTCGACATTTAAACGGGTGTTGGAACGGTGCATTGTCTTAGTGCCGGGCGGGAAAAGCAAATATTCGGGCCAGGAAAAGCAATCAAAGCATGTAAGCCAATATCAATACGTATCATTTCCCGGGGCAATAATCACATTGTCGCAGCCACTCCTTCGTACTATTGTTGCTGGCCCGTTGTCAACGGGACAAGTTTCCGGACTGGAGCTCCAGGTGGCAGAGTGGGTGGGCCCCCGAGCCATCCTTTGATGAACTTTTCACGAGGGATTTTCCATTATTTTCCGTTTTTCTATTTTCATTTCTGGCTGTTCCCTGTTACAGAAGTGCTCTCAGTGCCCGGGGGAGGAGGATTAATAATTGGAGTGTCAGTTCCGTCTGGTGGAGAGAGAAGGACAATAACAGAGAGCGCTATGGACAGGGAAAAGAACCCTCATCGCCCGTGCCTTGCATGATGACATGTGCCGGTGGGGAGTTGATATCCGCTTCATATTATTATTGTAGGGACGGGGCGGGAATAATACTCGATCAATCTAATAATAACGAATAAACCGGCATCCTTCCTGCGCCCGTTAATCAGGCCAGAGCAAGAGTTAGCCGAATTAAATTATTAATCGCCGAAAATCCAGGCCCTCTACTGCAGAGTAGCAGGACCTGAGGGCGAATGTGCACAGAGCAGAATACAAATCATGCACTGGGACTAGGGTACGCTAGCCGCTTAGGCAGACTCCAAGCTCCCCACCTCCCGACTCCGAGGCTCGCCCACTTGACGAGTTATAACCAGGCTTATCACTCTGCGGAGTGCGAAGTACGGCTCAGTTCTTCGTCTGTCGTTTTGTCAATTCCAGTGCCACTCTTCGAGCTTGCGCGAACCTCCTTTTTGCCCCGGCCATGCCCTCTTAATTTGCCCTCCCCCTCCCAACCGCCCCGCCCCGGCTCTCTCCAGTGCCACGATTTGTTGCTCTTCCGTCCTCAGGTACCACACCATCTGCACGCTCTTCTCTCTTCTCCTCCAGACGCGCTTTTCTGGGCCCTGCACGGTTCCCATGTTCCCAGACTCGGTGCCATTCCTCGTCTAAAAAAAGGGGCCCCTTCGGACACACTCCGGGGCATGGAAAATCGATAACCTCGTTCAAAACCGGGATAGAAAAACAAATCTGAAGCGATTGCACCTTAGCGGGCAGCTCTGCAGATCATCATCTTTTATGTATCTCCCCTCCCCTCTCCTATCTGAGTCCGTTGCTGTGAGTCGATAGTGTTTGAGCAGGGCCGCTAACCCCTCGGCTGCTCCCTTTTAGCTCCTCCTCTTCAGCCTCTTCTTCAGAACCGAACAGTTCGATAATATTACCCTTCCCCCTCTCCGTCTTCGTCTTCCCGCATTAGCCCGTACACGCCTTTGCCGCCATGGGTATCTTCAAGCGCAAGGACTCGAAGAACTCGATCCAAGCGGAGAAGGACGATCGGGATTCGTTTGTATCCGTCAACAGCGCTCGGACTTCAAATGCTTCCTTAAAATCGCCTGGCTACAAGGGAAGCGGCTTACCCTCATCCATCCCTGAGCTGTCAATCGCAGGTCCACCAGATCCAGCCCTAGATCCAGCAGCCTACCTGCGCAGCATCCATGCCGTTCGACATCGATCACATGTTATTCTCAGGAAGGCGAAGAGGAACCAGCTCAATCATTTCGATGTTGACATGACCAAGTTCGCTGAGACGGCGTCGTATGTAGTGTCGATTATCAAGGTGAGCCCATCCCGTCAATTTCTTACCATTACCTCACCCCATATGCTTGTACACTTCTTTGGCCCTCGCTTCTGATTTCGCTCACAAATCCCCCTCTGCTATAGAGAGACTACGCTCCCGACTACGCGTCCATTCCTGCCCATGGCCGCTGGCAACATTTTGATGTCGGCGGAAGACCCCGCGTCAACCAACTCCTTCAATCTTGGCCGAGCACAATCGATGCGCAGGAGCGAACTCGACGACTAATTGACCTCTTCGTGGTTTCGGTGCTCCTGGATGCTGGTGCAGGAAACAAATGGTCTTACAAGTCCAAAGAGTCCGGCAAGGTCTATTCTCGCAGTGAGGGTCTCGCGGTGGCCACGCTTGAGATGTTCAAGAGTGGGCTCTTCAGCAGCGACCCAACCGAACCTTGTCAGGTCGATGGAGAGGGGCTCAAGAAGATCACCGTTCAAGTGCTGGCCAGGGGGTTCCAACACTCAGAAAGCAACCCTTTGGCTGGCATCGAGGGCCGCGCAGGCCTTTTGATACGGCTCTCAGACGCACTATACCGTCAAGACTTCTTCGGTGTAGATGCAAGACCAGGAAACATGCTTGGTAGGGCTACTAGGCGCGTTATCGTTTTTTGACCTTCAACTGACATCGTTAGACTACTTGCTTTCGCACCCATCAACATTAGCCTCATCTGTACCCATAGTACCTATAACGACACTATGGTCTATCTTAATGGATGGTTTTGCTTCGATCTGGCCCCCTTCCCGAACAAAGATCGATGGGCTGAGCATAGGAGATGCGTGGCCATGCTCGGATCTCCCACGTTCTCCCCCTGCACAGCCATGGGAGTCTATCGTTCCATTCCACAAGCTCACCCAGTGGTTGTGCTATTCAGTCATGGTCCCGATGTCGAAATTAATGAAGATTTACTTTGCCGGTAGTGAACTGCTTACCGGCCTTCCGGAATATCGAAACGGTGGTCTTCTGATCGACTTGGGGCTTTTGACCCTCAAGGAGGCCGACCTTGAGCGAGGTATTGCGGCATACAAAGATAATGCACAGATCAAAGGACAGCCTAGCGTAGAAGTGGTGCCTCTTTTTTCCACCGACGACGATGTGGTAGTCGAATGGCGGGCACTTACTGTCGGGTTTCTAGATGACCTTCTGGAAGAGGTCAATGGGCAGCTAGGACTTCTGGGAGAAGACCAATTGAACCTGGCCCAGATGCTTGAAGCCGGCACATGGAAGGTGCGTATATCAATTGCCCCGACCAGGGTTGTGTTTATACTGACAAATATATTTAGGGTGGTCGTGAAATCGCCGAAGTTTCCAGGCCGAACACAAAAGAACCGCCTATTATGATCCGCTCCGATGGTACCGTATTCTAATATGCACACATTCAATTCTGCCGAACTTCTTTTTAGATACCAGACACCACCAGCGTGATGTTATTAGAATAGCTGGGGTTCATTTTACGAAGCAACGACCATGGTCCGTGTGTACGCTTTTCATTCTTCTTCCACCTTTCATATTCGCCCCTTTGTCTTTTTCTTTTTCTCTTCCATTTTCTATTTTCTATTTTTTTTTTTTTTCCTTAACCTTCTATTCCATTCCGGCACTATTATACGCTATTGGTGTAGATATATTATCCAGACAAGATTCCTATTCTTGTATACTTTTTTGAGGAGCGGCGGCGGCGACACATTGGACGAGGCTATAATCACGTCTAGTTATAGCTATTCTGAATAAGAAATAACCACTTCATTCCTGGGCCTGATAATCTTCCAATTTCCGACCTACTAGCTATCGCGACTTCCGCCCAGTATGGTAGGCTTACACGTGACCATCGGAATATAATTGGACCGGCGATCCGGAGGATATGACGACAAGCTGGTCCAGCGATTCCCGAGGCCGTCTCCAATCTCCAGTCTTGATGCAAGCGAGAGCTACGTTCTCTGCGTTATCAAGCCGTTACATTCAAAATCTCAATTACGCAAAAGCCCAAATGGGAACAAAAAGTATCGAATGCTGAACCTGGGGCCACACAAGAGCTGTTTCCCTCTTGGACGGCAGCTGCGGGGTACAGGTTGAATCAACTGCTATCTCCAATTGAGCGATAACGATGGATGGCCGGAAGAAGAAGAGAAAGGTCCTCTTGATGGGGAAGAGTGGCTCGGGGAAATCGTCTATGCGGTCAATTATATTCAGCAACTATGTTGCCAAAGACGTACGGCGCCTTGGGGCGACGATTGACGTTGAGCATAGCCATGTCAAGTTTATGGGGAATCTGACTCTGAATCTCTGGGACTGTGGAGGGTTGGTGTTACCTTTGTTTTCCTAGATGCCTGGGGGTGATGCTGTAACTTTGAGATCCTGCTAACTGGGTATGTTGTATAGACAAGATGCCTTCATGGAGACCTATCTCGCCTCGCAGCGTGGGAACATATTCTCCGACGTTGCGGTCCTAATTTACGTCTTTGATATCGAGTCACGGGAAGTTGAGCGTGACCTAGACACATACAGCGCTATCATCAGTGCGCTCAAAGAGTACAGCCCGCACGGTTATGTCTTTTGTCTCGTTCATAAGCTCGACTTGATTCAAGCCGAGCATCGTCAACGGATCTATGAGGAACGCTCTGCCCTCATCCGCAGTCGCACAGAGCACTTCGATATCGACACCTTTGGAAGCAGTATATGGGACCAATCTCTATACAAGGCATGGGCAGGAATTGTACACAAGCTCATCCCGAACCTCACAGTGATCGAGCGATTTCTGCAAGCCTTTGCCAAACGAATCGACGCCGAGGAAGTAATCCTATTCGAGCGCTCAACTTTCCTCACGGTGACCTCTGTCTCGTCTGAGATCGGCGACCTGAACCCAATCTACGACCGCCATGAACGTCTGTCCAACATCATGAAAGCGTTCAAACACTGCGCTGCCCGCAACACCCACACAACGCCCGCATCCGCCGGCTTCGTCGTCATGCACACCAAAACCCCGCAGTTTAACGTCTTCCTCGGCCGCTTCACAGACAACACCTACATTTTCATAGTTGTGCCTCCAGGCGAGGCTGCCTACAACTGCGCTGTGCTAAACACCATGCTCGCCAGAGAGGGCTTCTCCAAAGCCGCAGGTGCAGCCCATGGGGACGGCTTTCCGCTCCCCACACCGGAAACCCCAGACGGCGAGGCCGATATTAACTAACTGACCCTTCAGCAAACAGCTCAAGGCCACTGATGATGCCCCCTAGCCGCACTACCACCATGCATCCATTTGCCCGTATCACCGGGAACACTCTCCTTCCTCTCATGAGCCTCAGCACTCGACTTTAAATAAGCCAAGCCCCCGTTTTGAGATACCCAAGTTCGCCTTCAGATTCAGTATATGTACAGTGGGCACTTGTATCGTTATTGCCATATTAAAACAATTAAGCCAAAATAAAATAAATACTATAAAAACGGGAACAGGTTACAATATATAAGTCCTCTTAGTCCCGTAATTGGAACGTTTCGCGTGAGATGGTGACAGTATCCTTAGGTTATTTGACCCCCCGTATATCCACTATATATCCCATATCTCACATTTTCAGTGAATTACCGTTAGATGTTGAAATTTTAGTTTCCCGCTGTAATAACTATTTGCATGAGGTCTGAAAAGATCTTGAAGACCTGAGAATACAGAACACCTTCTACAATGACTTAGTATAGTATAATAGGAACTGAACATCATTAATACAGTAGGATTAACAACTGCAGGTAAAGTAAGAAACCATCTATTTCAACTACTGTATAACGCGTATAAACAATGCAAATAAGAAAAAGTGAAGGAGAAGCTTTACATCATTGTACATCAGGCATACGGACGGCAATATCGCCGGATTGAGTGATGTATCTGACCCACGGAAGGGATGGGTATTGTAACTATATCAAAAAAGATATGGTTAGTGGATATGCTATGAGAAGGAGGCTCTTTTTTCCCCCTCTTTTTCCTCTTTGAAAACTGAAAAGGGGAGGAAACACGCACCTTAGGTTCCGTAATCTTCAAATATCTTACTTGGATACCGCTAGTGGTGAAATAAGGAATTTCGAACTTGACGTTGATCGGACGCTTCGCTTTGCCTTGGGCCGTACCGCCCATACTGCCTCCAAACCCACCAGTCATACCGCCACCGAGTTCGTCGTCGCCCTTGACCGAGGGGAGACCAAGTTCGGCGCGCATGAGGAACTCCTTGCCGCCACCGAATTGCTTGATCTTCCAGACGATGGCGGACTGCTCGGGAGCGTAGTGAACTGTGCCGATGTTTGTACGGAAGCGGGGGGAATCGGCGTCGTCAGGGACGGGGACGACAATTTCAACGTTGTTGGCGGTGCTGCGGCGTTTGAATTGGGCTTTGGCCTGAAGGTGGGTTAGTCATGAGTGAATAATAGGGAAGTCCTTGGTTAGTAGAAAGCGCACCTTCAACATGTATTCCATCCTGGAACCGGAGTGCGATTCGACGAGACACTCGACCCAGATAAGAGGCTTGACTTGCGTGTTCAGGCGGTAGCTCATCAGCTCGAACTCTCCGTCCGGCGGGATAAAGCTGATTGTGCGGTCATTCTCAAATCGAGACAGTCGGACACATTGATGGAATTTAACGTCCTCCATCTCAACAGCCTTCCCTCGCGTGGCCCGCCCGGTTGTCTCAAACATGACCTTGTCGTTCAAACCGAGACGCAGCTCTGGCATACCACTCAGATAACACTTCATCTTTACAGCACCCAGAATCTCCGATCGTAGCACGTTGCCAGACGCAGATACGAGGAGGTTGAGCGATTCGACCACATCGAGGAAGACTTCGTTCTTGCGGTAGCGGATACCTTCGCTTCGCCAGGAGACTGCATTTGTGACTGCGATGGGCGGCCGGGCTTGCACTTCCAGCTTGTGTGATTCTTGTGTTATGTACCTAGAGGACGATCAATTAGTCCGCGTTCCACTATATAAAAAAAAGACAGCAGAGCCTACTCTTGTAAGATCTTGCTTTCCGTAGTTTGTGGGTATCCAAAATCCATCATCTCATCGAGCAATTCGTAGATAATGACAAAGTTGTCGCGAATACTCTCCTCCTCCAAGACCTTGAAGTATTCCGTGAACACTTCCACGATCTTGTGGAGGAAAAGGAGGATTTCGGTCGCATTGGTGTTTTTCTTTGTCAAGGCGAGGATGTAGAGGTTACTGTGACGGATATAGAGATACTAGGGACGACGACAATTAGCACAGAGACAAACACAAACGACATCGAGGCTCCCTCTGAGGCTGCACCAAGTCACAGACTCGCAACAAATTCTCATGAAGCGCCAGGTGCGGTATGCACAGAAGCCAAAAACCAGAGCCATGCGGGTTGCGGGGAGCGGCGGGGAGTGCGACACGTCAGGAGCCCGGTCTCCGTCGCAAGCATCAAACGTACATTGATTCCTTCATGAGAGAAACATGGCGGTACAGCGGAGCTTTCTTCTTCGGCGTCACTGAGGAGGATGGGGAATTTCTCGACGGCGGACATAGGAATGTCTCCGCGATAGTTTCGGGCTAGAAGGGTCTACGAGAGGTCGGTCAGCACGAGGTAGTCCAGCAGCCTGCAGCGGAAGAGGCATTGAGGCGGAAATGAATAGCCTTAATCAAATTCACGTACCTTGCCCTTCAAATCTAGGAAGAAAAGAGCCGACGCCATCGCGGAGGATAGGGGAGGTGCGGTCGGAGAGGTGAAGGCGGAGGTCAGGAGCTCTTGGGCGAGGTTCAGGCCAGCGAAACCACTAGGCGACTAAAGTAGGGGCTCGGACGGGGTATGCTGGGCGAGGAGCAGGAGTTGGAGTAGGTAGAAACAGAATGACACTTTTTTGAGAAGGCTGAAAATAGAGATCAAATCAATAACTGCGTAGATTTGGATTTTCTGAGGAGCCAAACCAGTCGGGGCCCTGGAGTAGCGTTTCTTGGGGCATCTATACACGGCTAACAGTGGGAGATCAGTGTGGAACGGGATTTCAAGACAGCAACGCTGTTCCGAGACACGCGAAAATTAACAAGCCCCTATTAACAAGTTTTAATTATATATACATCACAATCAACCAAAATAATCCTAATTTGAAGGTTCTCGGAGGCCTTCAATCTGTGTGTTCGACAATCGAAATCCCCATCACGTGAATTCTAACCACATCCAGCCAAGCTCAACGCTAGCCAAATTGAGATTAGTAAGGCCCAATATAATTCGCATTTTTTCTCCCGCAACTTCTTGCTTCTTTCTTTTTCTTTCTTTGTACCTTACGCTCCCAATAGACAGTTCAAGCTAGCATAAATCCATCTTGTTGTGATTTCCGTCGCCAATTCGGCATTCTGCTGGATTGGCTTCGGGTTAAATTGCTGGATTGCGATACAGTGGTGCGGAGACTATGCATCGTAACGAGGGTTCCATTAAGAGCTGGCCGGGTATTTTGCGCTGTTACTCGGGCGGTGTCAGAGGAACCGTACATTCCTTCTTATATATCTTTGAGATTATTCAATGGAAGACTGGTTCAATAGTATATCTCTGGACTTTAAGTGGTGGTATTGCCGTCATATAACACAAGCTGGTAGTAGTAAAAGTACAAGTAAAATGGTAATATACCCCCTTCCCCAGGCCGTCCTCCCAACTCGTACATCAAAAATTATCCAAGAACAGAAAATAACGCCTTGAAAATGCTCTTGCGGCTATTTTCACACTCTCAACAACCCCGGCCTTATACCGTCACCTTGAACCCCAGAGGTGCCAATATCCGCTCCCGTGCTACCTTGTTGGCGACCTGGTTACCCTTCTCCAGAGAGACAGCTCCGACGAGAGCGTACAGCGTATGCGCAAGGACGACCTCGACTCCTGAACCTTCGAGGTTCTCGGGCTGTCGACGTTAGTATCGACGCAAGAGAAAGAAGAAAAGCGAATCATTTTGGGGAGAATATGCTCACCTTCCGGGGAGACCATCTCAGTACACCTTCTAGCTCGTATTGCCGCGCAATTTCAGCGAGCTTTGATTTGTCCGTCATGAATTTCTTGGTGTTGGAGGTCAGGTTATCAAGGCCCTTCAGGGCAGGGTGCGAGAATGGCTCGCGGCCATATGGATCAGGGGTGACAGTGCCAAAGGTTCCAGGAGGGCTCTGCGCCAGAGCAAGAGAAGCCTGCAGCTGAACGATACGTTTTCCTAAAAGGAAGTTGAGATCAGCCCATGCCATGTGGTGGCCTTTTTGCCGAAATGCAACCTCGCAAAAATAAAAATAAAAATAAAAGCCTTAGCACAAAAAAGAAAAAGGCAACATACCTAGAAACGCCAATCGATCATTGAATCCTCTTCGACCCTGATCAAAACTCTTGTGCGTGACTGCAAGCCATTTGACCTCGTCGGAGAGAACTTTGTCGCCGTCATCGCCCAAGAAGCGGATGTAGAACTGGTCGAGCAGCTTGGGGTCGGAGTTGACGGGGTAATCGCGCCTTTTGGAATCAAAACGTAGGGAAAACGGTGCCTTCGTGCGAGGAGGCGTGTATGACCATCGCGGTTTGTCCGAATAGTCGACTGGTTGTTGCTCCGCGGGAGTTGAGAAGTTACGGCGAAGGATAGGGACGGTGAGTTGCGCCGGAGCAGAGGATGTGAGGGAGCGACATGCGGAGCAGGAGACGGTCCTGGCCGCTCGTACCGGAAGCAATGAGGCCATGAGATGGGGTGTTGTTGAGAGGTGCAACGCAATTGAACTTCTCCGGGTCTTTTTCAAAGTGGCCGCCGTGGAATTCGATGTCTGGAAGAATTCGGAGATTGGGCGCTAGTCCCAGATGGGAATAGTCGCGCCAGGTACCATTTACTTCAGCTGCCACTGAAATTGCTCGTCATTTCATGTACCTTGTACTTGTGCTACATCCAGGAGTTGATGAAATTCCTGAACAGATTACTTCAGTCAACTGGATTCTACTGCCGAGGGTGGCTTGCATTGATCGGCTGGAGGTGCTCTCCCACTCGGCGGCTCGGTTGGCGGGAAGATTGACCCATGCCATGATACCTGCGGACCCCAGGGTACTTTTCTGTACTTCTACATCGAATAGGAGGAGCTTTGCAATATCCCACACCGCAATATGGTAACTACTCCCATGGCCGGAGAGAAAAGCAGTTTTGAACAAACCCTGTCCATGTATCACCGTCGGCGCCATAGTGTGAGGCCACAATGCAAGGTTGAAGCCCAATGGCACCAGGCAAACACCGCCGCGAACGCCTTCGGACATATACATGGCGGAGGATATTTATTGCGGATTTGACGAGAAATCGAGTGCCTGAATTTTCGAGCTGCAAGAACAGCTCATCTTGCCCCCCCTGCAAGTACATGGACTTCAATCTCGACCTTTCGAACCCCGGAAGAGGAGACCGGCGGTAAGCGGTCTGCATGCTTACGCTTGATGATGCCGGGTGACATCCGGATAGCGATCCAAACGTACGCTTCTAGAACGCCGCTACGGCGGAAGCTCACGGGCGACCCCCGGCGGGGAATTATGTCCGTGTTCTGGTTACCCATGAGGCGTGGCTCACAGACGATTGGGTTATTAAACGAGGCAAAAGAGGACTGTGCGAATATATTTTGATTTCATTTTTGCGTAAGTGATGCTGCCTAGTTGTAACATTAGAACCTGCCATTCCAGATGCCAGACTATGAAGCCTTGCTGGAATCAGGGCAAAGCATGATCCCAACCGCTTCCGCATTGATGACAAGGATACTTGGTTGTGGGCCTGAAGGAAGAAGACGAGACATGGTTCAGAAGAGAGAAACAGGCACAGCATGCACTGACAGTACATTTCTATCTTTTGCTATGCTCGTTTCTTTCCTCGCCTTTCTGTCACGGTTGGCGGCAGCTTCTGCATTACCAGAGAGAAAATGGTATTTAAACATAGAAGCTGATTCGGAAATTTTGACATTAAAAAGAAAGAACAAGGAAAAAAGAAATAGAATAATATTTTCGACGGAGGAGACTCGTCTCCATTCCCAATCCTCACTGAGCAGTAGTATGGGCTGTCAAAAACGCGTCTCTCCCGTGTCTATTGTGCTACTCAAGAACGGTGTACAGCATGCATGATGAAACCATCCACGTGTCCGTGTTGCTTGCTTTGGACACCGTCTTTATCCCAGGCGAATCTGCGTTGTGCAGTAGGTGTCTTTCCGCCTTCTTCAAGCTGCGGTATATCTGATGCTTTCTGTTGATGATAAATCGCTTGAGAATACAAGACGGACACGGGGTCTTTTACTACCACTCAGGAGGGACGGCGGCTAAAGAGAAACAAAAATCCACGCTTAAGGCAGTCGAGGACAAAAGGCAACACTGGGGTTGGATCCGCAACAACTTGACATCCTGGTCGCTTGTGGGTCTATTACCTTGCTGAGGGATATTTGCTTCATCACGGACGCCACATCGAGCTGAATGCCTGAGACTCGTCTCGATAAACTAAGGCCCGTGCACTTAGCTGCAGGATAAACCAGGGGCCCCGAAGCTGACGAGCATGATCCAGAGGTTACCCCGGCCGCAACATGGGAAGGCAGACTAAAAGGTGGCCCAACGGATCTGGGGAACCATGAGGCATGAGCTTGCCGTTGAAATCAATAGGGCAAACGGTTGTTTCAGGATGGGTCTAGAAAGGCTAGGGGGCATAATGAGGCCTGCAAAACCCGTGGCGCCTGACCAAGCTGCTTTCGTTGGACCGCTGAGGACTTCAAGTGTCCTGTGTCGACCAACCATGTAGCATGATAGGAAATTATTTCTGCAACAAACCGGGAGCGTTTAGGCGCGGCGGCATTGAGCAGGCATTGCAGGCCTGAGCGGCCACAGACCCGCGAGAAAAACGTATGATCGTGCATAATCCAAGGAGTTAAGCCTCCCGAGGCAAAAGCATTTGTAGCCCCAATACGGCTGAGAAAGGATGTTGTCGTATAGGGGCGGAGCTGGCCGGTAGCAAGCACCTTGTCTGACATCCTATACACCTAGCGTTCCGTCGGGCCCTTGCAGAAGCCGAAGGCAGCTTTGGATTTGACGCCATTTGTGAGGATCGACTGAAAGACCGTTGCAGTGCCTTCCCGTAGATCGGATGGTGTCGTTGTAGCGGTGTACAACTTGTTCAAGGGAAACAATCTCTCGGACTCGTGGCTGGGCTCAAGACCTGGGATTTTAAATAGAGAGTTAGCCTGGAGGTAGAGGATGTTTCTCGGATTATCGTACAGCATTTTTTTCTCTCTCGTTCCCCAAGTCACTCTAAGGTTAGCTGAAAGAAAGCTTACTGCATTGAACCTTGACCTGTTCTCCATACTATTGATCAAAAATCACCGAGCAACACCCTCTACTCTACAACATGGCATCAGGACCACGCAAGGCAAATACCCATGCTCTGCACCTTGTCAGTGCCAGCATGGGCCCGAAAGATAGACGAGAACTCCCACGTATCGACGAGGAAACCACGACGCGCGAATCCTCGGTCCAAGATCCACCTTCACCTCGGCCATTTCCCCCGAATCCTCCTCCGAGCCCAGCCTGAATGCATTCGGTTGGAGTTTCTTGGGAATTCATTGCAGGTAGATATGATCATAGGTAATTCCTGTTGGAATGGAGCGAGTGACAGGCCATAGACTGACAGATGCTGCGCAGAAAACCGAGCAAATAAACGGCCGCCTATACAACAATAATACGAACGAGATTGACTGTACCTCTCGATATGATTAATTGAGGGAGCCGCGGAGGTTGGAGTCGAATCATAGACCTTGAGGAAGGCCGGAGAATGTTGCAAAACTTGAAAGGGAAAGAAGCGAGCGAATTTAGAATTGGAATCATTTTTCACTGCGTGTATTGAGACTCACTAGCCCACTTGTCAGTAATAAATACTTCAGATGTCTCTTTACGTCCCTTGCAACATAAAGCGTATCAACCAAGTTCAGTACCAGTCCCAGATTTTGTGTACTATAGTCGATTGCGGTCGAATGATTAGTCTCTGCGTTTATTCCTTACCAACCGAGGAGTCCTTTCAATGCCTCGAACTGTGTATTTTCGGTAGATGCTGGTGATATCTTAGACACCTTATACGTGCAATCGAATGGCTAAAGTTGGATAAGCGCGGCCAGGGAAGAGATATTGAAAAAAGAAACATTCCATTCAAAAAATAGTCCTCAAGCGACCTGTATAAAATATATTGCAAGAACAGATTTTAAAGAAGCAAAAACTCATAGGTATGACACAGGAAATTTACAGAAAAGCGAGGTAAAGAGCGCTAGCCACGCTGAGGCCAACAACAGTCCAGCCAGTCTTGATAACCATCTTGTTGTTGATACCCCGGCCGGTATCCCATGTCAAGTGTCGGAGACCGTTCATGCAGTGGTAGGTGAAAGGGAGAGCGAAGAAGCTCTTGAGGCCGATCTGTGCGGCCGCAGGGAGACCAGCAAAAGCAGCAGCCAGAGAGGCCGACTCGAGGTGCCAGCCAAACAAGGGAGCAGCGAGGTAGGCGGTTGCGAAGAGGTACAGGGGGCCCGATAGGATAATTCCAGTAATTCGGTGAAGACCACTGAGGTACCACGTAACCTGGGGTTTGTAGATGGTAAGGTGGGGAGAAACGGGACGTCTCAGACGCTGCTGGGCGAGGAGCTTAGTGGGATCAGTGGGAGCCGCGCTGGAAGCGTTGTATCTGGTCGCATTGTTAGCACTCGACCATTCACTTATGAAGTTCCTCCGCTTGTTGGGTTCCCCATGGGATATGGATGCATGACGTAGAACGCGACGGGCCGTCGTAGATGTGCATCGACCAAGAGGACCGAGTGTCAACTCGCAAGTAATCTACTCACCTTGTCTGAATGTTCCTTCCCATGGCAACAGCGGCGGGAGAGGCGGCGTTCATAAGAGACCAGCGCATGGCGTAGGGCTGCTGGACGGCAACTGGATGAAGTTGGTTAGCATCGTCAATCACCGACCCCAAACAAATTGAGGGCACATACGCCGTCGCAGCGACTGTTGAGCGATCTTCTGAGAGAGCATGGCTGTTTCGATGGAATCAACACAACGACGAGGAAGCTGGAATCCAAGCACGAAGAAGAACGTCGTCGTCCAGAAGAAAGTGGCCTTGAATTCCCGAGCCTCTCGCAACGGCTCGGAATCACGGGACGGACAACCTCGGGTTCAGTTCCAGGTCACGGGACCGCGCGTGAGGGAGGGATTCAGCCAATCAGCGCAGCTGTATTACCAGGGGGAAGATTATTCTTCCTCGTAATCACGTGACACACAGACAACTTTGCCGCCTTTTTTTTTGCACCGCTTCCTCGTCTTTTCTTTTCTTCCCTCAAGGGACTCAGCCCACGTTGTCTACCACATCCGGGATGATGTTGACGTGCTGAGCAAGGTCTCACTGGTACGGCATTCTGTCGCTACCGCAGAGGCCAATGAGTTACCTGAGAGGAAATCCATCCCGTCGTTAATCGCCCAGTTCTTTCTTGCCATGAAAGGAAAGGGTTTCATATCAGGGTCACATCACTCGTAAAGATTAGCGTAGTATCAAAAACCATTAAGTACCCTGCTCCTGTTCGTTGGCGGCAGGAATTGAGAGCTGAACATGTTTCAGCAACACTGCTATCCAAAGTCTGGCCTGATAAATTTGTTGCTGAGACAGGCCGAAGCTTAATTTCGCCCAGAGCTGGAGGCCGAGAGGATGGTTCCTAGATGTGGACCGTCCTCGATCTACTGCAGCATTGCTTCTTTAAACTAGATCGTTTCTTCCAAGCTTCTATACGGATAGTACCCGTCACTGCATCAAGCGCGAGTTAAGACTGCTAGCTGTTTGTAGATGAGCAGAAACTGGAATATTTCTGTGTCTCAACCCAGAGATATTACGAGGCCATCGATGCTAGAACACAGGTGCTCCCTGTAGCCCGGCTTCTATGAAGTACTAAAGAGATATTTTATATATTGCCCTAGCTGCGGTTCACCGCATCAGATCACACCTGGTCTATTGCAGGATATCTCCAAGCCCGTCTCTAGCACGGCGACGGTGTTTCAGCCGACTCTGAGCCCCGAGGTCAGCTTTGAAGGCCATCTTTTAGGTGAACAGAAAAGCCGGGTATATCGGTTAGAGCTTAGTCGTTCAGATTGCGGAGCTGGCGAAACAAAGTACAGGTATGCTGGGTTGACGAGTGATAGAAGATAAAATTAATACGTGATAACACCTCTACGGTATCAATATATTCTGTGAAATGCAGGATAACTGATCGCGCTTTTGGGAGGCAGAAGCTTAGCCTCCAGAGTAGTGCAACGAGCGGCTTGAACTCTGTACCTGGTAGAAATTTTTGTAAGGCTGAGGATTATTTCCCGGGCATACGAGTGGCCGAGGGGCTTGAAAATCTCTGGTAACTCATTATTTTTAGACCGTATTATCGACCAAAAACCAAACTGTTTCAACTAGAGGACAGACGAAAGAAGAGCCCGCATGTAATTCCGAGGCACGTCATCAAATCCGAGACTCAGCCAGCGCGTCGTCAGAGGCTGCGCGTGTGTGTCCATATCGGCCTGACACCCGATCTGGCAAACTGCTCAACAGCCGGACCAGAGAGAGCAGGGATCGAGAGAATGGATTAGATAGAATACAGTAGTAAGGCAGGCAAACTACAAAATAACCTCAATAAGAACGATCAGATAAGAAAAAGCAGCGGAGCCGATCGGGAGAAACAAAGCCCACCCGAACCGACAAATGCAGCCAGTGTTGCCAGTCAGCGCATACCGGCTCGTCTCAGCCGAGTTAGTAGCTGGCGTATTCATATACAACACTCGTAGAGGACCAGTGAACTTCATCTGATTTCAATTCGCACCCCTGGCCCTTCCGCCTGCGACCCTCCCCCTCCTTCGCTCCTACACCCTCTTCGCAAGGTACTCCGAGCACCGCCTGTGACTGCTGTGATGGGCCAGTTCGATCGACTGGGGAACACCACTGTGTCATCTACTGACGAATCTGAGCCTGCCGAATTTTAGTTTGATTACCAGACACTGCCATTTACGCAGTCGCTGCGATCCGCCCTGCCGCTAGGAGCAGTTAGCGAAGTTGGGCGTGGTGGTTGACGGGGAGAAATGCCGCTGACGCAGCCCCTGTGGTGCAGGGCCCATCCATCACCAGCTGCAGTCCCAGCACCAGCTTCAGGCCTTGTCCGCCGTTCCAACTTGAGAACAAGACCCCGGCTGCCTCGTCCTGCACTTGCGCGTTCTCCCTCCCAGTTTCGAGTCCTACGCACCACAGCCACGTCCCTCTTTCGTGTGAAAAGCTCATATTCCCCTGCCCGCCCCCCTCCTTTGCCTTCAAATGTCCACCTTCGTCCTCTTCCGCCGTTATCCCTATTGACCACCCCAACAACTCCCACCACAACCCCCAGCCTCACTCTTCCGCTCATGGCGACGCAAACGAGAGGCCATGGTGGTCACGGCCACCACCACCATCACCACCACCATGGAAACGCCTATCTGACTTCTTCGAATACACACGACGCCGGCGTCCGGATCACGCGCCTGGGTCTTGTTGCGAATCTCGCAATGGCCATTGGGAAGTTTATCGGTGGCTATGTCTTTCATTCGCAGGCTCTTATCGCCGATGCCTACCATGCTCTTACAGATTTGGTCTCGGACTTCCTCACACTGGGTACCGTTGCGTGGTCGCTCAAGCCCCCCAGCGAACGATTCCCGAACGGGTACGGGAAGATCGAGAGCATTGGTGCGCTGGGTGTGAGCGGACTTCTACTTTGCGGAGGTGTATTCATGGGGTTGAATTCTGGACAGGTATTACTGGATCAGTTTTACCCTGAGGCCGCAGAGGCGATTTCTCATTTGGACCTGGGACACGGCCACTCGCACAGTCATGGAGTTGACGCCCTTGGACCGAGTATTCATGCCGCTTGGCTTGCAGCTGGCTCCATTGTTGTGAAGGAGTGGCTGTATCATGCTAGTGAGTGTTTCCTTTTTCTTTTTTTTTACCTGCCCCTTTTAAATGTTGGAAAATTGCGCTGACCGGGATTGTTTTCCTACCCAGCAATGAAGGTTGCAACTGAGCGCAAGTCGTCCGTCCTAGCCTCGAACGCTATCCACCACCGCGTCGACTCCCTCACAAGTATTGTCGCTCTGTTCACAATCGGCGGAACGTACCTCTTCCGGGACGCGTCCTGGCTGGACCCTGTGGGCGGACTGCTCATCTCGTTGATGGTCATCAAGGCTGGATGGGGAAACACTCGCACCTCGCTCCTCGAGTTAGCGGACACTACTGTGGACGATGAAATCAAGACCGCCGTGCAGAAGGCTGCGGCCAAGGCACTCAGCACCGTCAATGATGGCGGATCAGTCAAGATCCGCAATGTACAAGGCATGAAGTCAGGACAGAACTACCTGATGGATGTTGAATTAGCCGTCCCTGGTGTGTGGTCGGTCCAGCGCTCTCGCGAGATTGAAGAAAGAGTCCGAGCCACCATTGGCTCCAGTCTTCGCGGGGTCAAGCGAGTCAAAGTCCGGTTTATTCCTCTCGAGCATGAGAGTTTGGACTTCTCCGAGGAGTTCATTGCGCCGGAAGTTATCAGCCAAGCCAACCCGGAGCCCGAGGATGGTGTTGAGGAGGAGGCGCACCATCACGAGGATGAGCATGACCACAAGCATGAGCATGAGCACGAGAACGGCACCCGGAAAAGACGCTGAATTAGAAATGGAGCATCAAAGGGCTAGCCATGGGGTTTCCGGTTCATGTTTCATATAAGCGCTCCTATTTTGGATAATGGATGGCTGTATATTTTTCTTCTTCTTCTTCTTCTTCTTCTTCTTCTTCTTTTTTTTTTTTTTTTTTTTTGCTTGATACCCGGAGAGACTAGGATTACGCATGAAGCCAGGTTACATGGATAGATAGAGGAACTCTAAGGAGGAACCTAAGCCCTAACAAACCACGGGCTCAGAGATGGCGTTTGCGGGGTACAAGAACTGATCACGAGGTTCACTGTTGCTATACATGTACATACTATCGCTCAATCTATTTGACAGACTAGACGTGATCTAGAAGGCTCTGCGACAGTAGCGGCGTTTGTTAGCCTGTCTTCAACCGGGCAGCCGGGACAGCCTGCGGTTCAATCGGTTGATTTTGCGGCGGGGATTCGGTGGATGAATCCAGACTTGCGCGATGATCTAAATTAACCGGCTAATTGCCGTCAACCCTGCATACTCGGTATTTTCCTAGATAGACCATCGCAAAGACCATGTTGTATAACCTCTGCCATTGGCAGCTCTCAGGCCCCTAAGGATTCGGAGGGAAGAGTTACGTAGCAGTTACCTCAAGGGTCTCCCGGTGGGTGACATCAGCGAGGATCACCCCGCGACTGTCCGGTACTATGGAGAAGAGCTGCACCACCAGCCCTGGTGGCGGATTCGAGACCACATTCACTCGTCCAATAATTCTTATTCGGCGAGCTGGCTTGCTTTATTGCCTGAAGAGACCGAAAAGAAAAAAAAAAAGGTCATGGAGCTGTGTGCTCCGCTATAAAGCTTTCTGCTATCCCCATCCCACCATCCTTCACCTTACAAACTTGACGCCACTCCCTCCTTGCTTTTATTTTTGTGCTGTCATTAATAGAGCTAGACTTTGCGTGACTCGTCTAATAATCCTTTCGACTGACTCGACCCGCGGAGCTCCAAGCTCCCATTTCCCTTTCTCGCACACCGCAACCTCAGTTTTACTCTTGACACCCAAAACTCACCCACAATGGCCTCCCCCGCCCCCAAAGGCCCGCTCTACATCGGCTTCGACCTCTCCACCCAGCAACTAAAGGGTCTGGTCGTCAACTCCGACCTCCGGGTTGTCTATGTCTCCATCTTCGACTTCGATGCCGATTCGCACGGCTTTCCCATAAAAAAGGGCGTGCTGACCAACGAGGCCGAGCACGAGGTGTTCGCTCCCGTCGCGCTCTGGCTGCAGGCGCTGGACAGCGTGCTGAACGGGCTGAAGAAGCAGGGCCTTGATTTTAGCCTTGTGCGTGGAATCAGCGGCGCAGGTCAGCAGCATGGCAGTGTTTACTGGGGGGAGAATGCGGAGAAGTTGCTGAATGGACTGGACTCGAAGCGCGGGCTGGAGGAGCAGCTTGCCGATGCCTTTTCGCATCCGTTTAGTCCCAATTGGCAGGACTCGAGTACCCAGAAGGAATGTGATGAGTTTGATGGGTTCCTGGGGAGCCAGGAGAAGTTGGCTGAGGTGACGGGAAGTAAGGCGCACCACGTAAGTTCCCTTGGTGGGATTGCTTGTTGGTTGGTTGCTGACGATTGTGTCTTGTAGAGATTTACGGGGCCCCAGATCTTGCGATTCCAGAGGAAGTACCCAGACGTGTATAAGAAGACGTCTAGGATCTCGCTGGTTTCGTCTTTCATTGCGTCGCTGTTCCTTGGCCATGTTGCGCCCTTTGACATTTCTGATGTCTGCGGTATGAACTTGTGGAACATCCACAAAGGTGCATATGATGAGGAGATCCTGAAGCTCTGCGCTGGTCCGCATGGCGTCGACGACCTCAAGCGCAAGCTCGGCGATGTCCCTGAAGACGGAGGCATTGACCTGGGCAAGGTGCACCGTTATTACATCGACCGATATGGCTTCAGTCCCGAGTGCACTGTCGTCCCATCCACAGGTGACAACCCCGCCACTATTCTTGCCTTACCCCTACGACCATCCGATGCAATGGTCTCCCTAGGTACCTCAACCACCTTCCTCATGTCCACTCCCAGCTACAAAGCCGACCCTGCAACCCACTTCTTCAACCACCCTACAACAGCAGGCCTCTACATGTTCATGCTCTGCTACAAGAACGGCGGACTTGCGCGCGAACAAATCCGCGACGCAGTCAACGTCTTCAAAAAGGACCCTAACCCCTCAAACCCATGGGTCAACTTCGACTCCGTCGCCCTCGACACCTCGCCCCTAGGCCAGAAATCCCCATCAGACCCCATGAAAATGGGACTCTTCTTCCCCCGCCCCGAGATCGTCCCTAACATACATTCCGGCCAGTGGCGCTTCACCTACGACCCGTCCTCAGGAGCTCTCACAGAAACCGAGCAGGGCTGGGACAAGCCCCTCGACGAGGCACGCGCAATCATCGAGAGCCAGCTCCTTTCCCTCCGTCTCCGCTCCCGCGGGCTCACATCCAGCCCCGGTGGCGGAATCCCGGCCCAGCCGCGCAGGGTATACCTCGTCGGCGGCGGGTCCAAGAACAAGACCATTGCCAAGATCGCCGGTGAGATTCTAGGTGGCAGCGAGGGTGTGTATAAGCTTGAGATTGGCGATAACGCATGTGCGTTGGGCGCCGCGTATAAGGCTGTTTGGGCGATTGAGAGGACCAACGGACAGACCTTTGAGGATCTGATCGGGCAGCGATGGCATGAGGAGGAGTTTATTGAGAAAATTGCGGATGGGTACCAGAAGGAGCCGTTTGAGTTGTATGGGAAGGCTGTCGAGGGATTTGAGAAGATGGAAAAGCAAGTTTTGGAGCAGGAGAAGAAGAAGAGAGCGTGAGAAGTATGATATTCAATGAATGAATGGCGGCCTTCTTCTTCCTACTTTATAGATATGTTTATGAGCGCGATATCTATGAGCACAATAAAATGATAAAATGTCTTGCTGATTTCTATACACCTGTCTACCTCCGCTACAACACCATTAGCTAGCTACTCGCTTTTCAGCCATAAGTCATAATTCATCACATTAGATCCCATCAAATCAAGACATCCTGGTCTCTAACCCTAATAAACGCCTTCGCATTCGGATTCGTACCGACTCCACTGGCATGGTTTATATCCGACCTCGGAATCTCAGCCATAAACCTCCACTCAAACCGAAGCAAAAGATAAGTCAAAATAACCTTGATTTCGTTCGCAGCAAAGAACCGTCCCGGACAGGAGTGCCTGCCGTGTCCAAAAGCGAGATGGTCTGCAGAGGTCGTCACAAACTGCCATTTTGTTGTTTGGCCGGGCTGTTTACGCAGGTCAAGGAAACGGCGGGGGTTGTAGGCTGGATCACTGCTATTAATATTGTTGATGTTGTTGTTGTTTGAGGATATGATTTTCATTTTGTTGAGGGCAACCATTATAGACGTGTTTTTTGGGATTGTGCTGCCGTTGGAGAGTTTTATGGGTTGTGTGGCTACGCGGTGCATTGATCCTATAAGCGGACGCAGACTCAGCACTGTTTAAGTCTGTTTTATGGTAGAAAACTCACCGATATCCCCACAATGGTGTCGCTGGGACTCTTTCATCATACTGTCCGTCAGCTTCATTTCATGCAGCGCCTTCTTCGTCCATCCATGAGCCTTGATCATAGACGCCATCTCTTCACGTAGAGGCCCAAACCACTCAGGATGAGAGCAGAGATCCGCAATGATCCCACTAACAAGCTCTGATGTCGTATGTATAGCCGCAAGCGAGAGGCCGAGCTGCAATATACCCGCATCGTATGCCCTCCCGTTGGCTACCTCGTCCATCCAGCCCACGGTATCTGCTACTTTCGAAGAAAAATCCCCGCCCGCTTCTCTCGCCAGACGATTTTGTTCCTGGCGCTTGCGAACGACAGGTGCTAGGATCTGTCTGGCTCGGGTTAGTTCACTCCTTAGCTTGCGGCATTCAGGGAGAACCCAGTGGACGAATGGGCGGAGGGCCGGGTGCCAGCGGCGCAGGGCCTCAGCAGCGCAAAATGCCTGTGTTGCGTAGTTTACGCTCACGTCGAGCCAGTCCTTGTTGGATGATAGCTCTGGGCCGATGAAGATGCGTGCTGAGACTTGGGCGACCAGCTGGCGGAGCATGTCCTTGTACTGGATTTCTGTCCATTCTGCGGTAAACCAGCCGTTGTTAGTTTTGGAACTATGTCTATTGACCATGGGAGCGTACCTTTTGGTTGCCCGCATAGAGCCTTGAGGGCTGCGGCGGTTTCTTGTGCTAGGGCTTCGGTGATGAAGTCTGCTTAGGGTTAGCATACCTGGATAGATATCGGATGCAGACAGTAACCGACTCAGTGACTGAGTGAGTCTTCCTCTCACAATCTCGACTCCGATTTCTGCTGCACCATGTGTACCAAAGGGCTCAAACCCGGGCAACGTGCCGAAGAATTCCTGAGGATAGGGTTAGCATTGAGTGAACTAATACGAGTCTGCAATAGTAAACCATACCTTTGAAACAGCCTGCTGGAAGCTGAGATGGGGATTATTCCGAATCTCATCAGCAAACTCGCCCGGAAGTACAAGCTTAGGGCCCGATGCCGTGACGACCTGGAAGCATCCTGGGAACTTTGTCAGGCCCTCGTTGACGATCTCCTTGCTCCGATGCAGCCAGCTCCGGCGCGCTTTCTCCAGCCGTCCAAACCATCCAGACTCCAGCCCCGCTATTGGGAAACTGCTGTGAAGCTTGGGCCCGGAGGTGGCGAGGGAGAATATGAGAGTAAGAGTGCCAGCGAGGACCAGTATGACGGGGTAAAGAAGAGGCCCATCAGCTCCTGAGATGAGTGCGGCCAACGCCATCTTGCCAATAATGGTGCCGGCGACCAAAAGCCAGGTCTATTGATTCTTTAAAAACGATTCCATGATCATGGATCGACCGAGCGTTGAACCCGAATAGGAATCCGAGGAGCTGGCCCGGAGTTACCGAGTTTTGTATGGGGACGATCCGTCCTGCAGATCTGGACACTTGCACATACTGTTTCCAGTTAGTGTTTCACAGAGCACTATCCAGTCCAGGCTACTTGCATGCTCTCCGATTCAAGTTCATTAACCTGTTGCAGGCCAACAGACTGTCCACGTCGAAATACCCGACTGACTCAGGAAAGAGAAGTGCCGAAGCTGCATGCAGGGTTGCATAATTGGTGCTTGATTGGATGCCAAGTGGAGGAAACAATCACAGGCAATATCCGTGGGGAAATTTGCGAAGAGACCTATTTATTTTTTACAATATCGCGCGGGCTAAAAAAAGTCTATACAATAGCCCTAGAAGGGCATGATGGTTAAACCCCTGCAGGCCAGTTTCTGTTAAACGGAACAGCCGCTCCATTCATCGTCTTCGCCAGCTCACGATCAGCCAATAGAACACAGAACTTCGCAACATCCTCAAGGGGAACATCGTTGAATCCAGCCTTGAACCCCGGCGTATGCTTCTCGACCATTCCCAGCCCCTCCTGATTCACCCCCGTCGAGAGAGAGTCGAGGATGTTCGTCGTCGCCAGACCACCCAGCTGAAGCATAGTGCAAGTGATTCCGTGCTCGAGATAGAACGCAGCCGTGTTTCTCGTGAGCCCTAACACGCCATGCTTCGATACTGTATACGCCAGTCCGCCGTTCGTGCCGCAGACGGAGGCATTGGAGCCCATGTTGATGATTGTTCCGCCGGGTGGTGACTGCGCTTGCATGGCGCCTACAGCTGCCTGGGTGCAGACGTAGGGACCGGTCAAATTGACGTTGAGGACTCGATCCCATGTCTCGCGTGCACAGCTGCCGGCCGGGTCAAAGGCGTCCAGGACTCCGGCGTTGTTGATGAGGATGTCCAGACGGCCGAATTTGTTGGTGGTCGCCTGGACCAGGCTTTCGATGTCGGATGCAGATGAGACGTCTGCTTGTTGCGCTATGAACCTGCCCTGGTACTCTTGAGTCCATGCCGACGATGTCTCGGCCAGACGGTCCTTGTTGACGTCGCAGATGGCAACGTTGGCGCCCTTGGTGAGGAATGCCTCTGCGATGACCCGGCCAAGGCCCCCGGCAGCTCCGGTGATTAAGATTGTGATGGGAGTTGGGAATTGAGACATTCTGGAGTATATTCAAGTTGCTATTTTCTTGGGAGAATTTGTACGTATGGGGAAAATTGTATAGTTAAGTATACCCCTGGTCGGCTCCACGTACTTCGTGGCCTCCGTGGCCTCCGCGGTCTCCGCGGCGATGGCTTCTGTTGACCCATACGTCGGCAAATTGTCTATTATAGACCTTGAACGGTTGTCTACAAAATGCATTGGATCGGCATGTTTTGTTCTCCTGCGAGCTGCCTTTCCACTGTGTAGGTCCGTACTCGACGGGGTGCTGTATAGCACTAGAGTAGTGAAGTGGAGCTGCCCAGGAAAATCCGTTGTGTGAATATGAAATATGTTTGTATTATCAGACCTTGGCTTTCAATAAATAATGGCAGACTTCGATACTCTGCAAGACGTGGCTCTATATCATTGTATATACTCCATGTGGATAAGTTAGTCTGCTCCGACGGGATGACGCCAGCAACTCCTAATTCTTTATCCGAAGCACCATCTTTTAACGTGGTTTCTTGCCCCGAGCAGTGGACCCATTCCATCCATCAATTCATATATTGAGTCAGTCAATTTGGGATCATGCGCCCTGGGTTTCAGCATGGGGACTGATGTTGAGCTGGCTAACAGGGACGATGAGCGTCCCCAGGATTCGCCCCCGCAAAATGGCGAAGCGGAGCAAGACCATCCCACCAGGTGAGTAAAACAAGCTTTCAATGGAACCCTGTCGGCTGATGCTGTTCTAGGCAGTATGCGCTGGTCGTATTTGCCGGCTTTTCGGTGATGTTCACGACATGTGCTTTTGTCTTCTCCTACGGTGTATACCAATCTCTTTACGAAGAGATGGCTCGTGCCGAAGGCACCCCATTCACTGGGAGCTCGACTGCTCTCATAAATCTGGTGGGGATCCTGGCCATCGCGTTGATGTCCATGGGCGGCCCGTTTGCCATGCACTGGTCCAAAATATACTCGCCACAGGCTGTGATCATCGCCGGAGGCTGGATCTTCGGCATCGCTTATATCTTATCGAGCTTTGGGAGGGCGCTCTGGCACTTTGCTTTGACCCAAGGAGTATTGCTGGGGATTGGGACATCCTTGTCGTATGTCCCGACGATGAGCGTTGCGCCAACCTGGTTCGACAAGCGCCGCGGCCTGGCGATGGGTGTGATCATCTCCGGCTCTGCAGTTGGAGGCATGATCTGGCCTCCTGCTCTTCGTGCCATGATCACTCATCTTGGCTTTCGGAACGCGCTGCGGATATCTGGTTGCATCTCCCTGGCACTCGTCTCTGTTGCCGGATACGCCCTTGGCTGGGAGCCCAAGTTCCATGACCAAGTCCGTCTCCAGACTCAGGGTCTTCGACGACGAACTGCCTGGATCCAAGCGCCGGTGGTCAACTTCCGAGTCGCGCGCTCGAAACGGTTTGTGGCACAGGCACTGGGTTGTTTCCTACAGTCGGCAGGATATTCAACGCCGTTGTTCTTCTACGCTGCATACGCGAACACACTCGGCTACAATTCCACCACAGCAGCCAACTTCATCACTCTAAACAATGCCTCGAACTTCATCGCCCGCATTGCTATTGGCTACGGCGCTGACAGGTATGGGCGCATCAATGCGTTGTTTGTGACGACGCTGCTGAGCGCTGTCGCCGTTTTCGCCTTCTGGATCCCGTCTATGTTCCATAAAGCCGATGTGTCCAAGTCGAGTGCTGACGGCCTTTTCATTGTCTTCACTATTCTTTACGGCGCGTTCGCCAGTGCGTATATATCCCTCTTTCCGGCGTCCCTGATCGAGCTCTTTGGAGTGCAACACTTTACCAGTGTCAACGGCGCCTTGTATCTAATCCGTGGAATGGGCGCACTTATTGGGACCCCCCTGATAGGTATGTTGATTCCAAGCTCTGGTGCCCTCACTTCATCATACATATACGAAAGGGCGGGGATAGTGGTGGGGGTGTTGCTGATGACGGCGACCATGGCCTGTCTCTGGGTACGCATCGAGGCGACGCTGGGATCTGCGTGGAAATGGCGGGTATAATATTGTGCGCCAATTCGTGAAATGTTATGTGGCAATAGATTTGTTCTTTATCTTGGTAGATCTGTTTATACAAATTGGTGCCTGAACCACAAGGCCGCGACATTCCCCTTTCGGTCGGACCCTGCAACACACAAAATCGGGAAAATTCGAGAAAAAATCCATATCCCATTTCCCACGGCAGGAATCCATGAAATAAACATAAACCTGAATCTTTGAGCCCCTCGCAAGCAGCCCGCCCCGTCTGCAAGGAGAATTTCCCGTTTCTTGCTGGCCTGGGCCCTGTTGGTTAACGCAAAGGTGCCGAAAACACCGCCCAACCGTCACCGGCCCTCACCTTCAAGTTTCAATCACCTTCAAATTTACTGCAGCCCTCCTGTATTGCTCCTTTGCCCAGACAGACACGCAAGTCATGCTCCGATAGGCCTTTCCGTCTTTCAAATGATATGACCGTTTGCCGATATCTTGAATTTCTCTCTAAATACGCTTGATTCTTGCCCCTCGTGATATTTTTTCGCTTTCGGAGTCCCGCAGACTGTCCAGGCAGCCCGGCCGGTCGACGATGGAAGAGCAGGTAAGCACTCGCAGTCTTCGCCGGGAAACCGTCTCTTGGTTCTCCAGAAGAAGAACACCCCCTTGCAAGACAATTGAAGCCAAGGAAATAAAAATATCCCATGTTTTGACCCCCGCCGCCCCCCGATCTTCCCCTCGTGTGCCCCTCCTTGGCTGTGACGCATGTCGATATATTTTTTTTTCTTGCACCACAAGATGCCCTGCAACCATCCTGACTGATTCGCAATCTACTAGGTAGCAAAGGCCATAGAAATCGCCGGGGACCCGAACCCTAACTCCGATGCCAGCCTGAAAGCTCAAGCCTTCGAATACATCAACCAGCTCCGCTCCGACCCCTCAGGCTGGCAGGTCTGCCTCGCCCTCTTCACCAAGGACCCGCCCCAGTCTGGCATCGTCCGCCATGTGTCGTTAGAGGTTGTCAACAGCGCTGCCCAGGCGGGCCTCATTGATGCCCAGGCGCTTGGGTACGTCCGGGATAGTATACTGGGGTACCTGCGCCAGGTCTACGGCCGTGAGAACTCGAACCCGGACCCGGCTAGTATTCAGAACAAAATTGCGCAGACCATTACCTTCCTCTTCTCCGCACTGTACGGCAACGGGTGGGAGTCCTTCTTCGATGATATTCTTGCCCTCACGCACAAATCGCCGTCCAGCACCACACGGGACAACCCGCTGGGTATTGTGTTCTACCTCCGCGTGATCAACTCGATTCATGATGAGATTGGTGATGTGCTGGTGTCACGGTCTCGCACCGAGCAGGACCGGGCGAATGCACTGAAGGATTTGATCCGGGTCAGAGATATGCAGAAGATTGCCAACTCGTGGCAGGAGATTCTGTCCCAGTGGGTGGATGGCGATGACCAGATTATTGAGATGTCGCTCAAGGCTGTTGGAAGCTGGGTGAGCTGGATCGACATCGGGCTGGTGGTGAACCAAACGATGCTCGACCTACTATTCCAGCAGCTCGGGCGGGCGCAGAAAGCAGACCTCCGCGAGGGAGAGGATAAGGTGAGGGATGCGGCCGTGGATGTTTTCACGGAGATCGTCGGCAAGAAGATGAAGCCGGAGGACAAGATTGATATGATTGCATTCTTGAACCTTGATAGTGTGATTTCCCAGATCTCGTCCAGTGCGCCTCTCTACGCCAACCGGTTCACGTCCAAATACGACACCGATCTCGCCGAAACGGTTGCGAAACTGGTCAATACTACGGTGGCGGATATCGTGCGGGCTTTGGAGCAGGAGACTGTTTCCGCACCGTGCAAAGAGAAAGCCAACGGGCTGTTGCTGGTCTTTCTTCCTCACATTCTGCGGTACTTCTCCGACGAGTATGACGAAGTCTGCTCGACTGTCATTCCGTGCGTCAGTGACTTGCTCTCGTATCTGCGGAAGGTCGCCAAACTCAACCCTGAGCTCGCCTCTCAAAACTCATCCATCCTCCTCCCAGTCCTGAAGGCGATTATCTCCAAGATGCGATACGACGAGACTGCCTCCTGGGGCGACGACGATGATCAGACCGACGAGGCTGAATTCCAGGAGCTCCGCAAACGACTCGGAACCCTGCAGCAGATTGTCGCGACTATTGACGAGAGACTTTACATGGAAGCAGTCTCGGAACTCGTGGCGGCCACCTTTGAGAGCATGCGCCAGCCTGGGGCTCAGCTAGACTGGAGGGATTTGGACCTTGCACTGCATGAAATGTTCCTCTTCGGAGAATCCGCTACCAAAGGTGGCAGTCTTTACAGCAAGGGACAGCCTAACAATCCATCTGCGGAGAGGCTAGTTGAGCTGATGCAGCGCATGGTCGAGTCGGATATCCGATCCTTCACCCACCCAGCGACCCAGTTACAGTATATGGAGATTGTTGTTCGCTACAGTTCCTTCTTCCAACTCCACACCCAATTGATCCCCAGCGTTTTGGAGAGCTTCCTTCAACTTGCACGCCACCCAATGAAGAAGGTCAAGACCAGAGCCTGGTACTTGTTCCAACGCTTAGCGAAGCAGCTGCGGGCCTACATCGGTAATGTTGCCGAGACTGTAGTAGAGGCATTGCGTGACTTGCTAGTCATCCAGGCCGAGCTGCCCTCTGAGGGCTCTGACGGAGACGAGATGTCGTCGGAGGACCACGAAGGGTCTGCCGATGCCGTCTTCAACAGCCAGCTGTACCTATATGAAGCTGTTGGAATCATCTGCTCCATCCCCACCATCCCTGCGGACCAACAGGTGCTCTACGCACAGTCCGTGTTGACACCCGTCTTTGTCGACATGGAGAAGAACTTAGGTCCTGCCAAATCAGGCGACGAGCGAGCCGTGCTCCAAATACACCACGACATCATGGCACTTGGTACATTGGCCAGAGGGTTCTCGGACTGGATGCCCGGAACCAGTTCCCCTTCTCAGCTCCCTGCACCCGAAGTGTCCGAAGCGTTTTCCCAGGTTTCAGAAGCGACCCTCGTTGCTCTAGAGTCTCTCAAGGGATCATTCAATGTCCGAACCGCTTCCCGTTTTGCTTTCTCCCGGCTGATTGGTGTCCTCGGATCCCGGATCCTTCCCCAGCTCCCAAGATGGATCGATGGTCTGCTCACCCAGACGTCGACGCGGGACGAGATGGCGCTGTTCCTGCGTCTGCTCGACCAAGTTATCTTCGGCTTTAAGGGTGAAATATACAACATCCTTGATGCCTTGTTGACACCTTTCCTACAACGGGTGTTCAGCGGGATTGCTGATCCAGCTTCTGGCACTGATGATGAGATCCACGTTGCGGAGTTGAAGCGGGAGTACTTGAACTTCCTGCTGGCAGTGCTAAACAATGACCTGGGCGCTGTGATAATCAGCGAACGTGAGTTTCCACAAAAGTAAATTTGGTCTAACATGCACTAATAATATCTAACAGGCAACCAACCCATGTTTGACACTGTCATTACGACGATCGAGCATTTTGCCAAGGACGTTGACGACTTCATGACTGCTAAGATGGCATTCAATGTGCTAGCAAAGATGGGAAGCTCCTGGGGTGGTCCGGATATCGCACCAGAAGCTTCGAACGGAGCCCCCGCAACGCAGGTCGCACTCCCAGGCTTCGGACAGTTCATGATCACGCGGTTCTCTCCGCTCTGCTGGGCCCTCCCAGCGAACCCGTCCTTCAACTCGAAAGACGCGCAGGCGAAACAGGTCCTCGCGGAGGCGGGAGGCATGCAACGGATCATCTACGGGAAGACGGGTATGGAGTATATCGAGTATCTCCGGGACCGGGAGTTGCCTGGTATGGGTATGGGTGCAGACCTGGTAGAGGAGTATGTGGGGACACTGAGCCGGCTGGATCTGAGGAGCTTCCGGCAGTTCTTTCCGGTACGTTTTCACAAATCCAAGAAGATGGTATATATATATGCTAACCCACGCGCAGTCATTTATCCAACGATTGAGCGCATGAACATTCTCGTCATCTCTGCATAACCATGTCCCCCTTTCTCAGTTTTCATTCTTCATTTTTTTTTCTCGATTCCCACTTCTCTTGGTTTATTTCCCAACATCCATTCCATTCCAATATGTTTCATCTTCTTAGATATCCCCTCGGTTTGATTTGACGACTGATGTTTACGCCCCCCCTTTCTTTCTCTCTCTCTCTATCGGCGGCCCATTCCCTGCCATCCTCAACTGAATTCACCTCTCACGCACGGACTCTCATGAATGAATATACAGGGCTTGGGATAAAAGGTATATAGTTTGTGAGGCATTTGCATGAATTGGCGTTGAAGTGCAGAGTATTTCTCTAGCATGCAGAAGCACAAAAAAAGCAAAATAAATGTAAGTAGTAAGTAGTAAGTAGTAACTGGAGTACCTAGGTTTAGAGTAGGTAGGAAGGCGAGGTATCTTATGAAGACTTGAATCCGCAGAAATATCGTAGGAATGTGTTTACCAGTAATAACTATGCGAGGGCCTAACTTTGTGCAGCAACCTTGTTCCATTCTCGCCCAACCCCTCAGCCAGGGCACTCCCTCTCTCTCTCTCTCTCTCAGCCTGAGGCAAAACAACAACAACCCGTTTTCAAGGGGCGAACCTTTTTCTAAGTTTAACTCGTCCACCAATTGCTTCATGGCACACAGGGCGAGGCTGAGCGGGTGGGATGGCAGAGTGGTTGCACAGATTACGAGAATGGGTAGATAGATTAATGCAAAGTACTCGAAGCATCCGGGTTCGGGAGGGCCCGGATCAGACGCTGCCAGCTGTTAGCGTCGATCTGCCAATTCTTTGTGTCGACTGTCTGATTTGGCAACTGGTCGTTTGACTTGTCTCTGCCAGGTGCACTGGTGCATTTCTTCCTGGTATACCGGTATTGTGCTATGCTCATATGGGGGAGACTGGATTGTTCTCAGAAGTAGTACATATATGCCTTATATACTTTTTGTAGTATTATGAACAGACCTGTAGATGACACAGATATGTACTGCACCACCATCTCCACTGACACCCGAAACAGACAAAGCAACCGGGATTCCTGGTCAGGCACAGGAGGACAACCGGACGGGACTGTGCAGCCGTGATGACGGCAGCTGCGTCCTCTGCCTCTCAGTGTCCATTCTCGTTTTCTCCTTATAACTTCTGCTCCCTCGCAAGCTGCCTTGTCATTCTTTGATCCTTTCTGGCTCCGTCGACCAGCGGCTAATCTTATTCTTTCCCATTTCAGCACCTTGGGTGTGCATACCATCTTTCCGGCTATCCCGTATTCCTGTACGATGGGGGTATTCAAGAACTTCATCGAGCCTGGTGGTCTGTCTTATCCTCGATGTTTGTGTCTTGAGTATACAGATACTGATATGTTGCTGCGCTAGGCATCGTTATTATCTTTACCGCTACTGCCCTCTACAACCGCCGTCGCCGTCGTCCTGCCGTCAGCCCATCAGACGCTCCTACCGTTGAATCTCCCTTGCTCCCGGATCCAAATGATCCAAAACCGATAGAGGAGGATGGTTACATTCGATCAGCTGAGAACAGTCGCACAGTCCAGTCGCGAATCCTTGCCCGCTTTCCCTTCCTGATAGAGATATGGTACTGGCTGCTTATATACTGGGTATGTTGTTCTCGATGAAGGCTGGTACACTCCTAACGACGACTCCAGATCTATCAGGGTCTACGTGCAATCTCAGCAAGAGCTATCAGCGGGCACGACTCCATCTTCGACAGAGCCGAGCACCATGCCCTTCAGATCCTTGCGCTGGAAAACACTATCCATATTGATGCCGAGTTGGCGGTGCAGCAATTCGTCCTCACGAAAGCGCCCTGGCTCATGCCCTTTTTGGCCCGTGTATACTACTCGCATATAATGCTGGGCGTGGCATTCTTCGCCTACAGTTACACCTTCATGAAGCGCGACAAGTTCCAAGCTATCCGCCGCGCGCTGGCCTTTGAGAATGTCATCGCCTTTGCTATTATAACCCTATGGCGGTGCTCGCCGCCCCGTCTCCTTCCGGAAGAGTACGGTTTCATCGATGTGTTGCATAGTAACGATGGCGGCTCCGCCTGGACGCAGAATAAGTTCCAGCTCACCATCGCTGCAATGCCCTCGCTGCATTTCGGCAACTCGATGTTCATCGCGTTGTGTCTGGTCAGGTTCAGCCCGCACTGGTACTTTAGGGTCATTGCACCTCTGTGGCCTGTACTCATGGCGTTCACAATCGTCGCGACAGCTAACCATTTCATTCTCGATGCGGTGGTTGGGGCGTGCGTGGTGCTTGTTGCGTACCGGTTCAACTATGTCATGTTGGGTCTTTTGCCCGTGGAGAGACTGCTGTTCAGACTGCTGCGGTTGGAGAAGCCGTAGAGTTTTGAATGTGTATACTTAGCTGGCTATCAATATTACGTTGGATATTTGTATCGGATATGGGTTGACCCGATATGTAAGCGCCCAGGCATGGTGACGGATTCCTTTTCCCGGCGGTTACTCCTCGTAGCAAACTAGAACCACCTGGCCAAGCAAGCCGGGATTTTGCGATTGAGTATTTCGCCATAACATCCCGATCGAAGTATTTTTTCAGTCAAACTGAGATAGAACCTGGGTGGCTTGACTCTTGATCCGATACATGATCACGTGCTTGGACAGGAACGAGCACGAGAACCACGTTTCACCGAGGCAGTCAACATTTCGCAGTGTTCGTATTGTGAAAGTCCGAACCAAATTTTGGACAGGTTAGACGACACCAGGCATATGATGTATCAAGATAACGCGCAAACCCCAAGTTCTACTCCAGACTGCACGAGCCTCCATCCGAGTCTCCGAGAGCACGCCCGGGGGACACCCGATCCGATTCCAGTAAGAATACGCACCACCATCGGGACGGAACTCAGCCGTGGCGATTTCCCAGGCAGATGCGTGCGTGCATACATTAGTGAGTCTAGTGACTGGAGCGACAAGGGCTTGGCTTCGAGGGCCAGGACGAAGGTCCAGTACGTACTTTAGCGAGCGGGTACGTCATTTTCGCAGGCTAGACCAGAAGTCGGCTCGGTGAGAAGTTTCAGAGGAGGGACCCGATGCGAGAGCTCCGGTCTCCAACTGTGAGAGGAGAAGGGGAGGAAATTCCCCCTCATGCGGTTCCGGAGTTTGCCGTAGTTGTGCGGAGAAGCGAGTGCATTGGTACCTTGCTAGTGGAGGAAATGCATGGATGGCTTGGAGTGGCCGGTGAGTTGCACACCGGGATTACGGGGCTCGACCTGTACTTGGATGATAAATAAGTAATGGGAGAAGGAGACAGAAGTAGACTTGAGGTGTATGACTGGGAGTCTACTAGTATGAGCTGGTGAATGAATTGTAGATGGAAAGTTGGTGAGTGTATGTGTATTTGTGTATTGTAATATGCAGCCTGTCATGTGCATCGGCTTCAAGTCCGAGCTATTTATTTATTATGGGGTTCCGGGTAATATCGAGGGGCGGTGAGCTCGTGACCACAGGGAGAATCCGATGCCGGTCTGGCTCGCCTGCCAGGCTTCCCTGGCTCTGGCCCTGCTCTGGCGTCGCAGTTCTTTGGTACGGCACATGCACCTGTAGGGATTGGATCGAGATTTGGCTCGCCCGCTGGTAGGGCGGCCAGCGCCATTATCCGCGTATTTTGGCAAGGGGCAAAGAACAGATTTTTATCGCGGGCAGGCTGACTGTGTTATTGCCAGAAAAAAGCAATGTGCCACGTAGATTCCATTGGCGACAAATATTAATTTTTTGATGCTGCCAATCACCTGATAAAATTCTCCTTGAGGCCTGTAGATTATCAGTCGGGACTGATTGTCAATTGACGATCTCTCTCCATTTTTATCCCTCCGTCTATAATTTCCCTTCTCCACAGTCCGCTTCCCTCGCGACTCGCAACTCCAACCCCTTCCCTTCCCGTTTCTATTCTTCTTCCTTGCTGGGTCGGCCGTTGCTATTCTTATTGTTTGCTTCTCTAGACCGTTTGTGTTCTGTCTTGCATAGAGGATAGACTTTTTGCTCTCTCGCGCCCTGCTCCCGCCATGACAAGCGTCAAGGAAGCCGTCAAAGAGTCCTTGGTCGGCACCAATGTCGACGAGCCCAACCTGTCCAGGCAGGTCAAGGCCAACTTCCTCAAGCATGCTCGCAAGGATGCCGAAACCGGCGAGCTGTACATGACCGAGCCTGACTTTGTCGAGGCCATCGCTCCCAAGCACGAGGACTACGTGAGTTTTCCTCCCGATGTGTCATACACTTCATTGGACCTCAATTGACCTAATTTTTTTTCTTTGAATAGCACAAGATCAAACGTGAACACTATGGAATCCTTTTCAGAGTCGCGGATGCCCGCCGGTCCGGCCGAATCAACATCCACGAATGGGCTACCTTCGAGAACCTGCTCGCGAAGCCCGATGCCGAGTACGAGATTGCCTTCCGCCTCTTCGATACCGATGGGACCGGCACCGTCAAGTGGGAGACCTTCCAAAAGCTATACAACGAGAACAAAACAAAGGAGAGCATACCTTTTGACTGGAACTCCGAGTGGGCAGCTCTGTACACTGGAAAGACCAAGACCCGACACGACATGACATACCCCCAATTCGCGCAAATGCTGAGAGGCTTGCAAGGGGAGCGCATCCGTCAGGCCTTCCACGTGTTCGACAAGGATGGCGACGGCTACATCAATCCGGAAGATTTCCAGCGTATCATCCTGGAGACCTCCAAGCACAAGCTGTCGGACTATGTGCTGGAAAACCTCCCGAGTCTGTGCAACATCTCCGCGGGAACCAAGATCTCGTATGCTACCGTTCGTGCGTTCCAAAACGTGATGCGCGAGATGGACATGATCGACTTGGTTATTCGCGAGGCCACAGACAAGAGCGACGATGGCAAGATTACGCGTTCCGATTTCCTGAATGCCGCCGCTCGCCTTACGCGATTCTCCCTCTTCACTCCTATGGAAGCTGATATCCTGTTCCACTTTGCCGGTCTCGATGCGCCCTCTGGGCGTCTCTCGCAAAAGGACTTTTCCAAGGTCATTGATGCGTCGTGGCGCATTCCTGTCGCAGCTGCTGGACAGGCCATCACTACTGCGACTGGTGCTGCGCACAAGGCTGCTGATACGACGAAGTCCGTGCTTCACGGTGTTCTCGAGTCTGCTCACCACTTTGCGCTTGGCAGTCTTGCGGGTGCCTTTGGTGCTTTCATGGTCTATCCCATTGATCTTGTCAAGACACGTATGCAAAATCAGCGCTCGAGCCGTGTCGGTGAGAGATTGTACAATAACTCGATAGACTGCGCCCGGAAAGTTATTCGCAATGAGGGTTTCACGGGTCTTTACTCGGGTGTTATTCCTCAGCTGATCGGTGTCGCTCCCGAGAAGGCTATCAAGCTGACTGTCAATGACCTTGCTCGTGGATTCTTCTCGAACAAAGACAATGGCAAGATCAAGCCCTACCAGGAGGTTATTTCTGGTGGTACCGCTGGTGCTTGTCAAGTTGTAAGTACACATCCACTGGTTGGTAATTAATGGCTGCTAACAACCCAGGTTTTTACCAACCCCTTGGAAATCGTCAAGATTCGCCTGCAGGTTCAGGGTGAGATCGCTAAGAACGTCGAGGGAGCTCCTCGCCGCTCCGCGCTTTGGATCGTCAAGAACTTGGGTCTGGTCGGTTTGTACAAGGGTGCCAGCGCCTGTTTGCTCCGTGATGTCCCGTTCTCCGCCATCTACTTCCCTACATACTCCCACCTTAAAACCGACTTCTTCGGAGAATCCCGAACGCACAAGCTCGGCGTCGTCCAGCTCCTCACCGCCGGTGCGATTGCCGGTATGCCCGCCGCCTACCTTACAACGCCCTGCGACGTGATCAAGACCCGTCTCCAGGTCGAAGCTCGCAAGGGCGAGAAGGCCTACACCGGTCTGCGCCACTGCGCAGCATCAATATTGAAGGACGAGGGTTTCAAGGCCTTCTTCAAGGGTGGTCCCGCTCGTATCCTGCGTTCATCACCACAGTTCGGTTTCACTCTCGCCGCCTACGAAGTCCTCCAGAAGTGGCTCCCAATGCCCGGCACCCAGGAGGTCTCTCCTACCGGCCAGGTTGAGCCCGGTGTCGGTGTACCCGTCGCCAAAGAGCCCCTCCCTTACCTGCGATCAAGGAACGCCTTGAAACTCATCCTCGACCTCGACGAGAACATCGGCCGTATTCCCATCCCCGATACCCAGCGGTGGCCTAAGTTGATCCGGCCCACAAGCCAATAGATGAACTTTTCGGAAGAGAGAAAGAGAGATTTTGTGATTTACTAGCGATGCGTTGATTTCTTTTCTCATCTGGGATTGGATTGGATTGGATCGAAAATACATTTCCTTTTTCTTATACATACACACACCTCTACCCGCGCCGTGTTTGGTTCTTGCGGTCTTTTTCTCTTCTCTTATAGCCAAGAGACAGACTAGGGCTGCTGGGTTCACATCTCACTATGTATCAAAAGCAGATAGACTGGGAGAGGGAGAGAGTCACCACCCACAAACATACCACCATACCATACCTTACCATACTACTTACACATTGGTTTACTTTGACTATTGATGCGTGCATGATTGGTTAGAAACTGGCTTGTTATTTTCGTGAAATATACCGATATACTGGTCAGACTTGAGTTTTGTTGGCTTGTGACGAATTGCATGTTTTGGTTCATTTTGGGATTGTCTGCATGTCTGCCCTGCGTGTACATTCATTTTGCTATTTATCTATTGTATTCCCCTTTGTTTCAAACTTGCAGCTAACCTTCGTGGGTAGATATCTAATTAGTATCAAAATTTTATGTGTTCTGGTGTGCTATATATATTACTGGGCGAAGGGACTTTTGAACTTCTTGATTTGAAATTGGTTTCAGACCCAGTGGTATCGTCTAGATGAGTAATGTACATATGTAGAAAGGGTGAATATAGTTACAGTATATGCGAAAATATACCATTCGCAAATCAATACTGTCGCAGCATACTGTATCTGCGAAGCGTAGTCTACCAACGAGATAGGCCGTATGCCTAGAGCCAGTCGTCTATATTGAACCCAGCCCAGTCAGACTGCATAGTCGATGCCGAGCCGATTATTTGTGTAGACGCCAACGCTTAAGTTGGGGCAACGTCAAGCCTAGAAGAAGCTGACTTTCCGTTTCGCTTGGTTATCCTTCGCCGTTGACTCGTCCGTCGCGTCTACCGCAGGTACAGCAGGATCCTTACCCGCCTGTTCCTGCAACTGCGCACGTCTATCAGCCTTCGCCTTCTCAGCCGCGTCTTCCTCATCCTTCTTCTGCTTTTGATGCCACAATGAATCCTCGCGCTCGATTTCTCTCAGGACTATACGAAACAAAACATAGGTCAGTCACACCGGTCAAACTAAGCCAAACCCGCTCGGTATCAAGAGATTGTGAAAGGAGAGGAGGAAATAAGAAAAGGGAAAACCAACCCTCATCCCACTCCCTCTCAACCCTTTCCTCGCCCGTTCCCAGCAACTTCTTCACATCAACCTCCTCCCCCCTCTGTACCTTCCCAATAACCTCCCTCAGCAGCCGGATCTTCGCGTCCGTACTGCGCACGTACCCGGTGTACTCGTTCTTCAGCGCAATCATCCGAATCGCTTGCGACCCGATCAGGATGAAGATAATGATGTAGAAGGAAGCGGGGTTCCATTCTCGCGATTTTGACTCCGAGGCGGAGGACGATTGTGAAGATCGGATGCGGAAGGATTTGGGAAGGAGAGAGGCCCAGAAGGACGGTTGGATGATTTTCGGGAGAGAGTCGGTGCGGGTGCTGTATGCGTGCGATTGCGGTCTTTGGGAGGTTGGTGGGAGTGATTGTCGGAGGGCTGGACGTTGTGAGAGGCGAGGTGTTGGCGGGTGTATTTGTAGTGACGTATGCTGTGGTAAGCGAACGCGGAGGCGTGTGGGATTCATTGTGAGAGAGGCCGTGGTTTTGTACTTCAAACACGGTATAGGAGATGAAGTTGAGGAGAGTCGGTCGAGTTGCAATAAGGCGATGCGGATAATTTGCTCGTCGCCTGAGGCAGCAACGGAGCGAAAGTCGGGGAGACAGGTGGCGCTAGTCCCGTTCGGGAATCGTTGCTGCGACAACGCGCTCCGTTGGGTCTCGGCCAGGAATCATTAGCTTTGTGTCGTTCAAGCTTGGAGTTGAATGTCGAATTGAGCTGAATTCACAGCACGACGTCTGCATCGCTAATATTCCCCAGCCTTTCTCCAGCACAAATTACATAGAGGCATGCTATAGCCAGCCATGGCAGTTACATCCTTCCCCTCCGATTCCGCCGTGGAATCGGTAAAACAGACCGTGCGGTCGGCATCAACATGCTCGAATGCCACCGTGTTATCGCTCCAAACACTTTTCTGGAGCCCAGCAGATGTCGAAAGTGCAACGGTGAAGAAAGTAGGGAGGTCTGCGAAAGCTACGAATTCAAATACAACGGCTGCGTCGAGGGCGAAGACCTCACGGGCGAGAACGACGACGAAGACGAAAACATCTACACTAGAAACTGGCCTCAATACGCTCGGCGAGTCGCGATTATCGAACCAAGAGAAACTTGTACTGGCGACGGAGGTGTTTAATACGACATTGAAGACTCTTTCAGATGCGGTGAAAACATCCGCACCAAGGCTGAAAGAACGGAAGGAATTAAGTCCCGTGAAACGGGGGGCGAAGACGAATCGATCAAAACAAACGCAATCGGAGGAACAGACACCAACAGAAACGGACAATGGGGTTTCAGCAGTCGGGGAATGCGCGAGACTATCACTCTCGTGTCTCCGGTTGTTGAAAAGTGAATCGGGAGCCGGAGGACAAGGGGATGGATTGCCGAATATGCAGCTCGAACAAGGCGCGTGCATTTTGGCGGGCAGGCTTTTAGGTCTGGGTCTCAACGATATGGCGTATAAAGAGCTGAGGGGGCTGAAGAGGAGAATCCAGCAGTATCTTGATGACCTGGCGAGCGGTAGCAAGAAGGCGGGGAAAAGGGATGCTCGTGATGGAGAGGCCGAAGAAACGACTAAAGAACGCATGTCAGACCTTTTGTCATTCTCAAACATCTCGAACGCTCGGTCGGTTCACGGTCTACTCGTGTCGTTCCAGTCGAATGCGTTACGTTTAATATCAGCAGAGAAACGACCTGCTACCATCCAGAAACTCGTTCCATTCCTTCAACTGGCCCACGAAAGTAGCCCGGCTAGTGTCATATTGGCGGCCATCGAATCAGGAGCATTATCGAAGGATAAAGGCGCAGTTCAGCTTGCGTTATTGTCCAGTACCGTCTCGTCTCTTTCCGTACAAAACAGCAATTCAAACACTGGAAAGGACCGCATGAAGCCGGTAACACTTTTGACTCTACAACTCCTATCACTCGAGATCAGATGTATGTCCTGGAAGATATCTGGCCATGTCTGTGAGGATGGCAAGGAGATGTGGGATCCTTTGGCACGATACATCGGGGCTTTTGCACAGGCGACAAAAAGCATCCAGAAGGTCGAATTTGCTTCCATATATAAGAGCATCGTTCGACTCCAGTCTGCTTTTGCCAAGACGCAGACCCGTTCCTCGACGAGCGTTAAGGATAATTTGTCAGTCGCCCGGATTGCAACTATCCTGGGGCAGCTCGCCCAAGACGCAGGGTGCTTCAAGGAATCCTTGCAGCTTTTCACGGAATCACTTCAACCGTTCGCTAATGGTCAATTTCTAGGATTGGCCACTGGTCGGTGCAAGATTGCGACACTTCATTTTCAAGCAATTAAGTCATCAGCAAGACTCGACGGGCAGGTTTCCGAAGCAGTTTCTGAAGCAACGACTGCCCTCAGCCTGCCACTGAAAGGAAGTTCGCATGATCTCGATGAGCTGCTGGTTGAGGCAGCTAAGCTGAAGAAGCTTGCCATGGGTTGGTTTGGCGATGTAGTATCCAAGGAGCAGGACTCACAAAACAACAATGCCACCTTCCCACGAATCTACGAATATTTGAATGCCTTTGTGCGATTCTTGCGACGCTACATTGGACGCCGACCTGCGGATGATGAAATGAAAGACCAAGAAGGGTTCCAGAAACGCATCGATACCGCCCAGAATATTGTATTCGCAGCTGTGGATTCTACTGTCGCCATTGGAAGACTATCAGTCATGTCTCAGCGCCCGCCTTGGGATGAAATAGTCTCTACGCTGCTTGATTGCCAACGCCTTCTAAAGACGATCGAGCCTTCCGAAGACAACCCAGCTACGGCCGATTCTACTGGCATGGCCCTCGTGAAATTGTCTAATATTTTCTGGTCTCGATATCTCAAAGAAAAGGAGGCTGGCAAGAGTGCGCGTGAACTTCTGCCGTTGTTGAAACAATCCTCTAATCTGCTTTCTGGGTGTTCGCCTTCTCAGCGGACAACTGGTTTCGCTCCCCTCAAATACGAGAGACTAGCACATACGTATATTGAGGCAAATGGCATTTCGGAGGCAGAGGCTGCATTTTGCCAATCTATTAGCGAACATATTGCCACCGGGGCTCTCGACAAAATTACTTCTAGTACGGATGGATGCTTCCCTCATCAAATTAGCCACGACCCAAAACACAGCGAGTTCACGCTTGGACGAGTTTTTTCCGCTTATCTCAAAGTGAAACTGCGAAATAAGCGGTCTGCGGTGAATGAGATCTTCGATGACGACGCCCTCCCTACTGTCCAACGAGGTCACGTTCTGGAGTGGCAGTTGGGCATTCTAACCGAGATCCAGTCCGCTGCAAACAATGAGCATATATTCCGCTCCGTTTTCACTGAGATTGCGTCGAGACTTTTCGATGTTTACCCCGCGGCGCAATACCCAATTCGGCGGCTGCGGGTTGCTTTGTGCGGATTACGATTTGCACTGGAGCAGCCCGGGTCTTTGGATCCAGAGCTCCTTGAGCGATTTGTTGACGAGGCACACCACGGAGTGGACAGCGATGATTACCAAGACGACAAAGATATAGCCTCTCTGGGTACGCACTTCAAGAACTCGGTTCGCCTCACGTTAGGCCTTCTTGAAGGTACCCTCGGACCTGAACAGCTGACGTCCATCATATCATCCTGGAATGCGATGCTGCAAGACTGCACGGAATTGAAGTCTCTCGTATCATGTGTCGGCAACGTCGAGTACTATATGCTTCAGATGAAAGCTGTTGTCGACTACACCGAAATTCACGGTCTCTGGAAATTTCAACTTTCCACGCTGGAGTTGGTATTGCGTGTTACCGAATTACAGGGAGTTGGAGCATTCTCCGAGGCTATTGTCGTTCTCTCCCGACTTATTCTGCAATATTGCCGCCTCGGACTTTGTACCAAAGCACGTTCTCTCCTTGGCCGGGCAGACGGCTACATTACACGGCATGAAGTCTCTTGCTTGGCGAGGTTATCGTATGAATTGGCTCGCGTGGGATTCTACCTTGAGACGGGTGATAATCAAAAAGCGGCGAGTGTCCTCTCGGCAGCTAGGATGCTTTATGAGAAGAATCAATCAGTGGAGGACCTCAACGATTGCTCAGTCTTGACCAAAATCTCTTGGGAACGCTTAGTTGCCGATGCCGCTTTTATGAGTTCGCGACTATCCTTCGCCCAAGGCTCGATCAAGGATGCTCTCTACTTTGCCAAATTGTCCGTCAGACTAAACTGCAGGATATGGGCAAAGGTTGAGAAGCTTGCCCAGAAAAAACAGGAAAAAATTATTACTGGCGATAGCTCCGAACTCGAGGTTGTCGTCGAGGGAATGGCAAAGCTTGAGGTGTCGAAAACATCCTCCACCTATTCCCAAGGAGCCCCATTCTGGCCGCATATCGGGTCGCATCACAGCTCGCTGCTCCATCTGGCCAACTTGTCCGCACACCATGGATTGTTCCAAGATGCCGTATACTATGGGGAGCAAGCCTTGAAAATCAACAAGTCTCTGAATGCCAACGTTCGTTTGATCGCTTCCCAAGCGCAGCTAGGCTCTCACTGGATTCTTGGCGGCCATATTTCTGAGGGCCAAGAACTTCTCAAATCTGCCACAGACTCAGCCCAGCAGCTTGAAAGCAGTCTTGAACTAGTTTCACTGCGGTTAAGCCTTGCCGCACTTCATAGAGTGGAGGGTGATTATCGCAGTGAATACAAGACCCTTCGAGAGGCAGAGAAGCTTATGGGTGGCCTTTTTGACACCGAGCCGATAATTGAATCTGCGAATGTACCTGAATTGGAGGAAAAGATGGATAAACTGCGGATTCGGCCAAAGAGTAGGGCGACTAGGCAAACCCCAGCGGCATCAACCCGGAAAACCCGCAGCGGAACAACCTCTGCACGAAGTACTCCCAAGCCACCACCCAGTACTGAAGCGACACCAATTGATTCGAACACACTCCTTCATGTGAAGAGTGAGATCCTTCGGCAACAGGCTGGGTCTTTACGTGCACAGCACGAGTTTGAGAAAGCCTCTGGGTTGCTGAATGACGCCCGGAAATTTGCCGTGACAAGAGACAGCAAGATATCGGTACATATTGGAGAGAGTGAGCACCTTCTCGCGGACGCCATCCGGCACTTTGCCAGTCATGCAGTATACTGTGTCCTTCCAGAATCGACGATTTCTTTGCCCTCACTGCAACCCAGTGCAGCCACCAGTGAGAGAAGCACCAGCAAGCCGACCACATCACGGAGAGCTAGAGCACCTACCAGAGGTACTCGGTCGAAAGCTCAGCCCGCAGTGGAGGATTTCTCTATTATGTTATCCAAGGCCGGCATCTGCTTGAACGACATTTTCGACACCGCCACCCATCTTGGGTCTACGCTGGATAGTCATTGTGCATCTCAACTGATGAGCCGCATCTCCATGCTGTCTCACGCTACTGCATCTCAAAATCAAATTGCCTGGCCGGAGTCCCCAGCAACGATGAACGAAATTGGTCGCATTGGTGCTTTTGCCAGAGAAAGAGCTGCTATTGGTATCGATAAGCAGTTGGCTGATTATTGTGATCCTCTGCTTTGGCCGCGCTCAGCATTGATCGAGTCGGACGACGTGGGTTCTGATTTCACCGAAGAGTACGTTGACATACTTCCGGATAACTGGAATGTTCTCTCCCTGTCTCTCAGCGCAGACCAAACCGAATTTGTTGTTTCGCGCTTGCATCAAGGTCGCGCGCCGTTCCTGTTACGCCTTCCTCTTCGACGCGGAAACTCTGAAGATGAGGAAGAACAATTCACGTTTGAGGACGGCAGGGACGAAATGAAAGAGCTTATTCGGTTGGCTAATGAGAGCGCTCACGCTGCGAAGTTGCAAGTCGACCGACAAGCTAAGAAGGGATGGTGGAAGAATCGGGAGGCGCTTGATCGCAGGATGGAAAACCTACTACAGAACATTGAGAATGTCTGGTTTGGAGGTTTCAGGGGAATATTCTCTCCTATCCCGCATGACACCAAATCTCTTTCTAGATTTGCAAGCTCTTTGGAGAATATTCTTGACAAGCACCTCCCTTCGAGGCAGAAGGGAAGTCGGGTGGAAGGCCCAAAGCTGACCCTGCATCCCAACGTGTTGGAATTGTTTGTTGGTGTTAAAGACTTGGACGAACAGGAGGATCCGGAGGATACGCTGATGGATCTGCTTTACTTTGTTGTGGATATCCTACAGTTCCAGGGCGAGCGCAATGCGTATGATGAAGTCGATTTTGACATGATGGTTGTTGAGACATTAGATGCCGTCAGGGCTTATCATGAGACGGCGGGAAGCAATGGTGCCCGGCAGCAGCGACCGAATAACACTGTCCTTGTTTTGGACAAGTCTTTACACTTGTTCCCGTGGGAGTCGCTGCCCTGTCTACAAGGTCTTCCGGTCTGCCGAGTCCCGTCCCTAGAATGTCTTCGCGAACGGGTGTTGCAGTTCCGTTCCCAGAAAAAGTCCACCCTAGGGATTGACCGCCGCAACGGCACCTACATTCTCAATCCCACCGGTGATCTACAGACGACCCAGGGCACCTTCGAGACAGACCTGTCTAACCTCAAAGGTTGGAATGGTGTTGTCAATCGCCAACCCTCAGAAGAAGAGTTCAGCAGTGGCCTCGACTCCAAGAGTCTATTCCTATACTTCGGGCACGGAAGCGGCGCGCAATATATCCGGGGTCGAACAATCAAGCGGCTCGATCAATGCGCGGTGACCTTCCTCATGGGCTGTAGCAGCGGCACTCTGACGGAGGCCGGCGAGTATGAGCCGTACGGCACGCCGATGAATTACCTGCAGGCTGGATCTCCGGCTTTGGTGGCTACCCTGTGGGATGTCACGGACAAGGACATTGATCGGTTTGCCAAGGCGACTTTTGAGAATTGGGGGTTGTTGGGGTCTGGTCCAGACCACTGCGGAGAAGAGAGAGTTGTTGGAGACGATGACGCTAAAGTTGGTCTTGATGCAGCGGTTTCGCAGTCACGACGTGCGTGCGTGTTGAAGTATTTGAATGGCGCGGCGCCGGTGGTTTACGGCGTTCCTGGTATTTTTCTAGAGTAATTATTGGATAGGCCGGTGCATTGATAGAGGAGTTTCCAGGCTGTATATATATCTTTATTATTAATGTTATAATGATTGCATCTCCATTGCTTGTCTTTCCGAGGGAAACATTGCCTGAAGGAGAGAAACGATGCGGGGAGTGGGGGAAGCCTTGCCAAGCCTGCCCCTCATTCCCCTCACTCGCTCTCTTTCTTGTTTCTTCCCGCGCTCGCAATCATAACAGCAACTTCAACATCTTCCACCTAATCCCAGGCCGCCGTATTCTATCGCCAAAATGTCCGTCACAACGAAAGCAACCATTGCCTCTTTCGGCGGCAAGCTTCTCAAGCTTAGCCATGCCGCCAAGTCCACCAACTGCGAAATGTCCTTCAACCTGTACCTCCCGCCGCAGGCATACAAGACACCCAACCAGAAACTACCTGTCCTGATCTATCTTTCCGGTCTGACTTGCACAGCGGACAACTGCTCTGAGAAGGGCTTCTTCCAGCACGGAGCCAGCAAGAAGGGAATTGCCGTCTTGTACCCAGACACAAGTCCTCGTACGTCATAGCCCCGATGATCGAATCGAGTGAAACAAACACAACTAACAGCAGAAAAGGCGGCCTCGACATCCCCGGCGAAAACGACTCGTGGGACTTTGGCACTGGTGCCGGTTTCTACGTCAACGCCACAAAGGAACCCTACAACAAGGGTTACAACATGTACGATTACGTCACTGAGGAGCTGCCCGCGACAGTCTTTGAAGCGTTCCCACAGCTCGATAGCAGCCGTGTCAGTATCACCGGGCACAGCATGGGCGGGCATGGTGCGCTGACGCTCTTCCTGCGCAACCCTGGCAAGTATAAGAGTGTTTCTGCGTTCGCACCCATCTCGAACCCGATTAACTGTCCTTGGGGACAGAAGGCGTTTGGCGGGTATCTTGGGGAGGAGAACAAGGAGCAATGGAAGGAGCATGATGCGTCAGAGTTGGTCAAGGGGTGGAAGGGGAAGGAGTTGGATGTTTTGATTGATGTGGTATGTTCACATCCAGCCGGATTCCATATGCGAATGAGATAGACTAACAGGTGCAGGGAACGGGCGACAACTTTTATAAGCAAGGCCAGCTTCTCCCTGAGAACCTGGAGAAGGCGGCAAAGGAAGCTGGTGTCACGGGGATCAAGGTGCGGTACCAGCCGGATTATGACCACAGTTATTATACCATGGCGACGTTCTCGGATGACCACGTCGAGCATGCGGCCAAGTATCTCTTTGCATAGTGGGTTCTCCCCTTCTCTCTCTTCCTCATTCCGTCTCTAGGTGGAATGTGTCGGGGATGATGGCGGCATGTTCTGATATTGGCCAGCGACCGACAGGCGAATCTTTGATATAGATAAAATGATACGTTGTGAATTACAAGGTTATTCGTTCTCTGAAATGTTTTAAATTCGGGTTCACTCTTGAGCTGAAATGAAAATAAGATTCGCGCCGTGTCCGACGATTCTAGTCTGGGTCGTGTGAATAGTACCAGGAATTGTAGCATGGAAGTTTCTGATTGCACAGGAGCATCAGAGACTTTAAACAACGTACTACTCGCAGAGCTTGGTAAAGATTGATAAAGGTTGCTTACATGGCTGAATGAGTTAATTAGGGCTAGCGTGTGCACTTCTCGCAAAACAGTTCACCATCAGCAAGGAGCCAATATCTCCATGGCACCGCAGGAACCGTGCAACACTGGTGCATCGAATTGTATAATTGACTTGATGCTGGAGGTAAATCAAGTGTGGCTATGGGTTGTTGATGAAAGTATAGTTTATCTCCCTGGCCTCGTTTACGCTCCACGCCTCCTAACTCGGACTAACGTTTGCCCTAGAAACCATCATACTAAACATGAGGCATCCGTTGGAAGATGTAAATAACGACTTGCTTCAATACGTAGTGAGGGAATTGGGGTCTCGAACAACGGACTCCCTAGCGAAGGACATGGACGCGGTAATTCACCTCGTACTCGGCACAGCTGTAGATATTTTTTCGGAAGAAAGAAATCGATATCATTGGTCTGCCTGTTGTAGTTCCTTGATTTCCATGGTGTCCAAAACGGGCCGTCATTATAGGGTTTAGGGCGTCCGGCGAAACCTTCACCCGAGATCCGGTGCGTTCTTCGGGATCCGCCGTCAACAGCTTCAATGCGGCCTTCTTTGAACTCATGCTGTATCTGCGCCCGGCTTCAGCTGCTAGCCGCAGGATCCTCTGCGGCGGATCTCGACAGAGTGTGCTCCTACCGCGCCGCAGCCTTTTGACGCTTGCGATTGAATCATCATGGTAAGTTGGATGACTCCAAATCCAGAATGCACGTTAATTCCCGTCTCCAGTGACGATACCTCCGTTGCAATAGTCGATAAAAATCAATTCGGCTCAGCCAAAATCCACTTCCTCGAGAATGTCACCGCCGATTTGACAGCATACCAGGGCATCCATCCTATTCCCGCCCTGGAATCCCATCAAGAGAACCTCGCAAAGCTAGTCAACAAGGCATTGGTGCACCTCCCATCCGCCGTGGACTCCGAAAATGATAACAGAAAAGTACTTACGCTGTCCGACGGCAACAGCCGCCAGAAGCCGGACTTTATATCCGTCACTCGGGGCCCAGGAATGCGCGCAAACCTCTTCGTCGGTCTTGACACAGCCAAGGGTCTGTCTGTCGCGTGGCAGATCCCCTTCCTCGGCGTACACCACATGCAGGCACACCTCTTAACGCCCCGTCTTGTCTCTGCCCTCTCACACCCCTCTACAAACCAAATAATGACGCCCGAGTTTCCATTTCTCTCCATCCTCGCCTCTGGGGGACACACCCTCCTCGTGAACTCGTCCTCTCTAACCGACCACTCCATCCTCGCGACAACCACCGATGTCGCCATCGGGGAAGCTCTCGACAAAGCTGCCCGTGATATCCTCCCATCTACACTCCTAGAATCTTCCAAAACAACAATGTACGGCAAACTGCTTGAACAGTACGCCTTCCCCAACGGACCCGCCGACTACGCCGACTACACCGCGCCCCGGACCCGCGGCGACGAAATCGCCATTGCCAAGAAAGAATCGCCGTACGGCTGGTCCATCACCACGCCCTACGCCCAGACACGACAGCTGGCACTCAGCTTCGCAGTCGTCGCGCCGGCCATCAGCCAGATCCTCACCCGCAAACGAACCGCAGGACAGTCGGTATCAGATGATGAGCGCGTCGCAATGGCCCGCGAAGCAATGCGCGTCTGCTTCGAGCACCTTGCGTCGCGCACGATCATCGCGCTGGAATCGCTGTGCCAGTGGAAACCCAAGCCGAACCACCGCCCCATCCCGGAGAGCGTGCCCGTCAAGACGCTTGTTGTGAGTGGCGGCGTGGCGGCGAATAAGTTCCTCATGACGGTGCTGCGGTCGTTCTTGGATGTGCGTGGGTTTGGACATGTGGCTATTGTGGCGCCGCCGCCGGCGCTGTGTACGGATAATGCGGCGATGATTGGATGGGCGGGGATAGAGATGTTTGAGGCCGGGTGGAGGAGTGATTATTCGGTGCGGGCGTTGAGGAAGTGGTCTCTTGAGAAAGAGGGGGGTGTTTTGGGGGTTGGGGGATGGGTGAGGTGAATGTACTCTGTGTATTATAGTGTATAACATGTATTTGTAAATAGTGCCTACTATACGAAGGAAACTTATATAAGGATTGTATTGGATTGTTCATGCCAGTCATATCATAAGTCATTAAGTACATCGCTCATTTACACCCTACATTTTCAAACACTCTCTTCCAACCCTTCAGTCACCATGCACATACACACAATAGATGAATCAAAGCAACAGCAATTCACTCCCTCACAATCCACCTCCTCTCCTCCTTGGACAGCTTTGTGTACGTCCCGTAGTACTCATCCCGGTTCTCAATCGGCGTGATGCAGTGCACCGTCGGGCTCGCAAACTGGATGCGCTTCGACGCCGATGTCCCCGTCGGCCCGGCCTGTTTCTTGAGGATGCTCTTGGATGAGCACGAGTTGACGTAGTTGTAGCTGGGGGGCGCTGGGACTTGGAGACTTGAGAAGCGTTTTGCTGGCGGGGCGGGGCTGGGAGGGCACAGCGGACTGCGTGGGGAGAGCAGAGGGCCTGGGGACTTGAGGGAGAGGGAGGGACGAGAGACGGTGGATTGGGCGGCGGCAATGGAGACGGAGAGCTTGGGCTTTGGGCGGTACATTGCTGCGTTGTCTTGGTTTTGGAGTTGTGGTGAGGAGTGAGAGTTCCGGCGCTGGTTCAAGAGCAGGAGGGTTGGCGAGGTGGTAGCAAGCGATGAAGATATAATGGCGAATTGACGAGGCAGACTTTGGTCAACAAAGTCTGAAACCTGGGGATGAAGTATGAAGTATGAGATGTTTCCAAAATTAATCCGAGGGCGTTTAAAGATAGACGTTGTCTGGACCAGCCAAAGCAACAGAAAACAAAAATAGAATGGCGACGAGGGCGGAAGAAGCGAAGATGTTTCAGAAAACTGCAGCTCGGAGAGTGGGCGGCTATATATCTTAAGAGAAGAAGAAGCAGCAGCAGCAGGAGGAGGAGGAATTAGGGCTCGGCCAATGAGTCTCCCGCCCCCTGCTAAGCGCCGACCATCTGCACGCCCAGCACACCATCACATCCAGATCTGCCAATAATATCCCTTGGAGCAAACCCCTCACATCTGGCCCATGCAGTCCCTCCCAATCAAGGCACAGCGGAAACTCTCTTCCCGGACAACTGCCAATTATAGCCCAGCTCCACCCGGAGAGGAATGGGATATCTGCACTCAATCACACCGCGATCACAGCAGACTTGTAGAACGGGCTGGAGCAGACCGTGACAGACTTGCAGGTCGAGGAATATGAGCCTATTGCTCTGCGCGAAACGGGCAGAATCGAGTCAGTTGGTTCGGTCGACGTGATAGATGCTTCACCCCGCGTTGGTTTCCTGTCCAACTTGCCAATCATGCTGTGCGATGTGATGAAGGATTGCGGTGTTTTCAACCAGCCTCCAAATCCTGTGTGAGAGTATAGTCAAAATAGTAATCCGTAATGAGTGGGGATTGGGAGGTCCTGTTCTGATTGTTTACAGTATACGGAGTACTAGACTACCCTGGTCATGGTAGAGTTCCCTCTTTTAGTTCTCGAGCAAAGTTAGTAATGGATACAGATGCCATTTTCTCTTTCTATAATTATATTCTGCTTTGAAGTATTTTTTTTGCTTGTTACAATCGCACAATTAGTAAGATATGCATTGCTGGGATGGGACCGAATTCGAGTCTTGTACTACAGTAGATGCAATGTAGCAAAATGAAGTTGGTCTGAATGATCTTGCCTCTTGAAATTATTTGGTTATCAATAGATTATTGGTTGAATGAACGAAAAGTATAACAAGTATAACAAGTATAACAAGTATAACAAGTATAACAAGTATAACAAGTATAACAAGTATAACAAGTATAACAAGTATAACAAGTANATAACAAGTATAACAAGTATAACAAGTATAACAAGTATAACAAGTATAACAAGTATAACAAGTATAACAAGTATAACAAGTATAACAAGTATAACCAGATCAGCATTAATGAACAGAACTCAACCACCAGCCCAGCTCAACTCCCAACTTCCCCGGCTGGTCATACATCACCAAATGGCCAGCCCCCTCGATCAGCACCACCTCCCTCGCATTCAGCCTCTCCTTGAGTCTCCCAGCCGTCTCAACAGGAATCCATCTATCCTCCTCGCCCCAGACAACAAGCACCGGCATCTTCTTCCCAACCTCAGGATACCTCCATTCCACCTCCTCCGTACTGCGACTATTCGCCTGCACCATCTGGCGCACAAAGCCCCTCCTCCCCTCCTCACTCTTAACCCACGGCCTCTTCAACACCTCCATATCTTCCTTACTCAACTCAGTAAAAGCCGCATCCCGAATATAAGCCTCCACAACGCCCTCAAACACCGGACCAGTTAGGGAATCAAACACGCCCTCATTCTCCGCAATAAGCTTAAACAGCGGCTGTCCAAACGGACCCAGCGCAACGACATTAATCAGGCAGAGACTTGCAAAGGCGCACCCATGCACTAAATGCGCGCGCAGGGCCATGAGCCCGCCATGATCATGTGCGATTACATGCGCCTTCGCATGCTGGGAATGCCAGTCCCCGGCCCAGAAATTGTACAGCGCGGCGAAGACCTCGGACTGCTGCGCGAGGTCTGCGTCTAGGGCGGTTTCTTTGGTGATTGTTTCTTTCTTTCCCGGGAGGGGTGTTCCCAGTGGGCTGTGGCCGAAACCGGGATTGTCGAAGAGGTAGACGTGGAAGTGTTTGGAGAGGGATTTTGCATAGGTATGCCAGACGAGAGAGGACCAGGGGGTGCCGTGGACGAAGATTAGGGGTGGGGAGGTGCTGTTTCCGAGAGATGTCCAGCGGATGGAGTAGGTATGGGTGCTGGTGGAGTGGTGGAAGGTTGACTTGAGTTGGATGGATTCCATAATGTATAGCTGGTGTATATATTTATATTTTTAAAGGTTTAATTACTACATGTATCCTAGGTTTATATACTGTGTCGGCTTCCCCAGCCGAGTACACATCGCTGTTTGATTGAAATGCAAATGTGCAAATATGACGTATTTGGGCTGTTTGACTTGTATGTTTTGTCTATTATAGTTAAAGTCTAAACTGCCAAGTCAATGCAAACAGTCAACTGAACATCACTCAACTGTGCCGCGGCATAAGCAAGATCGTGGAGCCCTAACTGAATTACCACGATACCTTTATCTCTCACCCACAGGAGTATGGATCCCACCGGCCTCAGCCTGCTTGCGATTTATATTCTTCGCTCGTATATTAGCCCACCGCCCCTCCCTATTTTGTGCCTTCACCCTCCCAACCTAATAATTCTCATAAGGCGCCACCCTCTCCATAATAAGACCAAATGTGGGTGGCGCAGAACGCGGGGGCAATGTTAAGAGAATCTCAACGTCAATGCCTGTGAAGTCGAATACCGGCGATCCAGGGGAGACTGTCATGCTGAGGCAGAGGGCCGTTGCCTATTTGGTCTGTTGCTTTGATGTTCGCGCCGAGTTTTGTGCGTCCTGTGAGGTAGGATCGCACGGCTTGTTGGCCGTTTGGATGGTGCTCATATAGGTTGCTCTGTTGGGAGGGCGTATCTTCGATAAGGACTGGACAAGTGTCGTGCCTTCGTGGTTCGCGGCGACTTGGGCTTTAGGTCGGAGATGTCGTCTTGGATATGGTGGCTTCCTGTGCTGGGATGTGCTCCGGGGCTGAGGAGGATATCGGGATACCGGTATCGTTGAAGGTAACATTTGAATAAGCTTGAAGGATCTTCTGCGCCTTCTTGCCATAGATCAGTAGGTTTGGGGGCATGGATATGCCGCCCGGTCCGCGAGTATCTGTATATGCCACGTAGAAGGCCACTTAGCTGGGTTTTCGAAGAGAGCGAGATGGACGTTACCATATCCATACTAGATGCCTTGGATCTACTAAGCAAACTGAATACATCACCAGCCTTATCTTGGATCCGCACAAGGGAAACCACCTCATCACAATAATCGAATCCATATCGGTGCCAGATATGGCTATCCTCTGGCCCTCTTCGGTCTAGGGGACGTTCTGCTTAAGAACGAGCGGCATCGCCGGTTCGTACTTGATAGGCTTCTGGGCAGCCAAAGGTCAGTGTGAGGTGGGCAATTGAGACTGAAACATGCATTGGGACGAAGGATTTGGTTGGATGCGGATTTGGATCTTCGAAATCAGGTTTGTTGAGGTCGAGTTCGAAGGTTTAGGATTGGGGGCAGGACCTGTTCGGTATATTACCTTGCGTGATATACTATCTCCAAATCAGGTAGTGGGTACATTGTTCATATACAGTAAATAAATTCCCTCCTTAAGGGCTGAGCAAAGTACTGTTACTCAATATGGAGAGTCCACAGGTTAATGGCAATAAACTGGCCCACTAGTTGATCGTCGAAACTACTACCTGACAAGGAAAATGGTCGACATGTATAAAGTCGTCCTAGAAACTATAGCAGTCTATTCCAGGAAATTGGAGAGATATTAGAAGTCTTGTTACTCTAATCTATCAAGCGCTAACCCTAACCAACGCCGCGCCATGCCAAACAAACAAACCCTTTTAACCAATATGTCCACAGTGTCCCTAACATATCATGCACGAATCGTAAGACAACCCAACTGGGAAAAATAAACAAACAAACACCATATCCGGAAGCAGAAACAGGAACAGGAACAGAATCAGAACATGCTCTTCAACCTCCACCCAGTAACATGAATTCTGGCGACAGCAAAGAACACCGCCGAAATCAAAAACGACAGGCCCGTAAACAGAATCAAGCCCCAATAGAGCTCCGTCTCACCATGCGTCTGCGCCTGCAATATCTGGCCCGCAATCGGCAGAGACACAAGCACACCGACCGCGACAAAGGTGTAGCAAGTACCGTAGCGCTTGCCAAAGTCCTCTGTCTTTGAAATCTGCGCCATGCACACAGGTGCGAGACTGAAAGCAGACCCGCTCCAGAACCCGAAGAGCGCCGCGTAGGCAATTATAGCCGACTGGTTGGCTCCGGCCGTGAGCCAGAGTACCAGGGTGAGGATTGCGGTGACTGTACTCGTGACGACCATCACGTTGAACCGGCCCCATTTATCCGCTGCGAAGCCCGGGAGGAGACGGCCTAGAATCGAAGCTCCATTAAGGATAGGCGTGAGAGCGTAGGCAGACTGGACGGACATGCCGTTGGCAGAGCCGTAGGACGTCAAGTAGGCGACGGGGATGGTGAAGCCGACCTCGACGAAGACGATGGCGATGGTGGTGTAGTTGAACGTGGGCTCGCGGAGGACGCGCAGGTCGATGGTTTTCTTCTGGCATGAGGCGTCGGGTTCTAGGCGTGCTTTCTGTAGCAGCGTGCCTGTGCCGCTGGTGATGAGGACGATGAAGCCGAGCACGCGGATTGCCCAGGCCCAGCCGAGTTTGGGCGCCAGCGCGCTGAAGATCTGGGGGAATATGATGCCGCCGATGCCTCCGGCTGTCATTACCATGCCGGTTGCAACGGCGCGACGCTTGAGGAACCAGTGGTTGACGACGGCGATGCTGGGGGTGAAGATCATGGAGGCCGAGAGGCCGCCTAGGACGCCGAAGCTGAGCATGAACTGGTAGAATTCTGGTACTGTAAGAATATATCCTGAAGCTTCTGAAATGGATTGTGCTTACCTGCTGCAACGCTGAATGCCATGACTGCTGCAGTGAGGCCGACAGAGCCCAGAGCAAGGAGGAACTTGGGGCCATATCGATCGAATAGGGGGCCTAAACAGTTAGCATTGGTAGGTAGAAAGGGTTGAACATCAACATACCAGCTTGGATGCCGCCCATGAATACAAAAAAGTTGTGCACACTGAAGATCCACGAGATGGTGCCCTGGTCATAATGGCTCAGCTCATGCGTAGAGAGCCAGTCCGAGAAGACGCCGTTGCTGTTCATGAGCCCAAACGCAGAGATGCAGCCACACCACGCGCCCAGGGCAACAAGCCATGCCACCAGGCCTCCATCAGGGTATGTATCCACCAGCTCCTCCTTCTCGTTGGAGCTGGTTGGGGTCAGGTCTACCGGGTGCGCGACAACTTCATCGTCCGTGATGCCCATTGTGAAGCTTGGTCAGATCTGGCTGATAGAAGGATAGGTTTCCCAGATGGACCAATTCTTAAATACATATCGGCTCGGATGATCGCCAAGGGGGTTCGGAGGATAGCAAGCATGTCTGGTCGAGAACCCTTGCAGGGGTTGACGAGTTCGACCCAGAAGATGTGGGACATGGTGGGACTGGCCTTGATATCACGACAAATAATCATCGGCTGACTTGCTGGATGGGAGGCATGGGATATGGAGGAGCCTCCCCGGCTGTTGGATTCGGGCTGAATGGTATCCTACGTCATGCTGTAGACGCTGCGTTTCCTCAACATGAAACATGTCATGTTCTTCATCGGGAACGATGTTTGTATACTGTTTGTATACTGAGTTTCTCTCACTGTATACCCTGTATACTCGGCCACTGGATCAACAACAGCATTCCACCACCCACCATATTCCTTTTGCCAACTAGCCAACCGGAAGGAAACGCCACTCGCCAGCAAGGCACCATGACCAAGGTACGGTCAGCCCAGTCACAGTCTCATGGTGAGACGCCCTGTTGTCGATAGCAGATCTGCACGGTCCGGAACAAGGGATAGGTGGATCAACACATTCCAATAAGTGAATCAGAACGCGCGTCAAGCATCTGAAGACGCTGTGACAGACGCCACAAAGGCAAATCCAGCCTAGTCCGTTGCTTGCCCCCCAGAGGGCCATTCACATGGGATGGATCTCTTGGAACTATAGGTAGAGTTCACATACCCGGCCGCCACATACGTAGTAAAGCATATTGATCAAGCCTACTTGGACGTGGTACCTAAGCATTGGAATTTGCTTGAATTGAACTGTTTACGGTTACTGGTTGGCTGCTGATGTGGTTACTGAGTGATATCCAACTTGGATGGCAGTCCAGCCACGCTCCGCCCTGCACGCATTATCGCAGGCGTTTCGCCGGTATCACATAGCGGACGATCTAGTCGAGACTGGCCTCAGGGGTCGCCACTGCAGGACCACCACTACAGCACCACTGGAAGTACCTTTGCACAGCGGCTGATTTACAGAGCTGCACGCTGTAGATCCAAGGCGGCTCGCCACTGATCTGGATAAGGAGGATCCTTCAATTCGGCTGCCCGAATCTAGACCGAGGGATCTACTCGGCAGTCAACCTTGTGCTCCGCGGGGGGGACTTCCGAGAGGAGCTCCGGGTCCACGCCAGCTCTTAAAATATCGCGGTGTTTCGGATTCTAGGTTAATCGCTGCTTGACGGAATGTTGTTGGTCGGTTCATTGAATATCAGGCCCGACATCTGCCAATTGCCAACCGCTGGGCCGGGCTCTATACACTTTCCGCAAACGGAAGCACAAGCCCTACCCTGGTGGCAACAGCAGCACGCCCAATTTATATGCAGTCTGCACCGCTGCCCGCAATATCCAATTATTAGGGGATCAGTCAAGTCAGCCGAGCCGGGCCACAAAGCTTGAACACATCTCGAGGATTGCCAGTAGCTGCATCAGAATTGCCTCATGGGGCTGCGAGTGCGACTGCGATAATCGATTGCACCATCAATGAAACGTTAATCCTTATTCCAGATCCCACAGCCCACTGTGCGGCTGGTCAATCCCTCTCCACCTCCTGGCCTTATCCCTTCCCCTGGAAAAGGGAGATCGGCCTGGCCTAAACAGCCACAACGCACGATGCCTATATAATCCCCACCAGGCCAGCAGACCCATCTTCACCTCTACAACCATCCCTGAAGATCACACCACGACAGTGTATATCAGACCGTTGGCAGTTGAACTTGAAGCTGGTGGCTTAAGCTGACAGGCTGTTCTTCTGAGTCATAACATCCGACTGCCCGTTCTCCACCAGAGCTTCATCAGCTTCGCCTTTGCAGCTCCACCGGTTCGTGGCCAGAACAGTCGACCAATTTTCAATCCATGTATACCAAAAATAGGAACAACTCTTTGTCTTGGACTCAAATAAAGCTCTGCCGTGAGGCATTACATTAACCATGGACTGGTATAGTCGAGAAAAAAAAATCACTAAAATACGTCCTTTCGCCCACTTGTCTGGAGAAATCACGACATTCGCACGAGTTGATCACAGGTCCATCATGCATATGGTTGTTTCGCATCGCAGATCAACAGCGAATAATGAACAAACCTGTCTTGTCTTGGGTATTAACTTGAGATACACTACTGTAGCCGGAAGGAAATGACCCAGGGTGTTCGATATGCCCATCTAAGTATATTCCTGAATAGAGGCTGGTGTCTGTTCCCAGTCCAGCAATATACTGAACAGGGTATGATACCTATTAAGAAGTAATACTTATATCTCGCAGACTGCATACATATTCCCCAATGCGGATCTTCATTAGATATAAACTCGAATCCCGTGCAGTTGATTTCTCGAGTTATATGTCCATGATATGCTGTGTCCGGGGGTTGGCATATCAAGAATCGGTAGACTAATAGTTCTATGGATTTATCAATAGAATAAGTTTCTGTATATAACCAGCCGCTGGGATCAAAATAGAATATTCTAGAGCCAAATCTCATAAACTGCCAGCCCATCTTACTCAATAAGCTTTACCAGCACAGGCCGTGGCTTGTTGCAGTGGACTGCGGGATTAACCCTAAACACAACAGCTCTCCGGCGACAAGACAAGTCAAGACCATCGTCAGTGTTCACTATCCCCTGCCCAGTTAGTTTCACTTTCACAATGAATTGGACGAAAGATCTACACGGATCAGCGCACGGCCCAACTGCTCGCTCCTCGCTCGCCCCTTACCTGGTTGATGGCTTGCCAACAGCCTTCGAAGGCAGTACCTTAATCTGATCACAGTGCCACTCCTGCCCTCCCCAGCGTCTCTTGTGTTGCACTCGCAAGGTGCGAGGCTATTCTAGACAGGATACAGCTTACCAAGCTGAGGACTCGATGGCGTCATCCCACAAAGCCTTTTTCTAAATTTATTCTGATACAGTGATAATACTTCTGACAATTCGAGCAGCCATTCCAAATAATTTGTCAGGCTAGGTATGCAGATCGTCCCGGATTGTATACTATAAGCAGATCAATCCACCCTAAGGGGCGAGTGTAGACTGACTTCACTTCACCGTCTGATACACGGCATCGCGTGATATATCATATAACGAACAACGGCCGGTCGGCTACGACAATCAATCCCATGAATAAAGTATTGAATTAGGTAACAGGTGGGATAGATCGTCCTCTATTTTTTAAGGTCCCGTGTCGATCTGCACTCGGCTTTCATGCCTTATGGACTTTTCGGGGCCTGGACGCTCGAATCCAGATCAACAGATCAACGTATAGGACCCACATAAGCTTGTACCCGGGCCCTGACGAGCTTCGGCAGGGGACACATGTAATATCCGGCCGCTCCTATTCGTGGGAATAGCATTGGAGACGGGATTAAGAGGTGCGTGTTGCTTGTGGATTAATATTGTCTGGAGTTCCCGCCATCCGCGGGATAGGTAAGCTTGTCTCCTGTCGAGTGTGATACACGGGTTCGGTACCAGCTGCCAGTGTCGGTGTTCTGTCTAGTCGTGAACTAAAGATAGAGAAATGCCCATTCCAACTGCTGAAGCTCTGTCACATTGTTATGCCTTCTGTTGGGTGGCGCGATATGGTTTGTATCAAGAGTCGCAATCGGATAACTCCGTCGGCACTACTCCCTTATCGTATAATGTCGCGTGAAACAGCCAGAGCAGCAAGTATTCCTAGTTCAAGAAAGACCAGGCATCTTTGAGAAGGATCATACACAGGACGATAAGGGGTAGCTCGTGTTCATTGCAACTCCACACCCAAGGAGAGCTTCGAGAAGTTTGATATACTGGTATCATAACCAAGTATGTTCCATATCTATTTATTCAGAAATAATGCAGGACTACCTCGGTATATGTAGGAGGTGGAATTGAATTGTCATCGACCCAGATATCCGTGATGTCTGACGGTCACGGCTGGAATTAGAAGGCCGTGTCGGTGAGGTATGAGGCGATTCGTATATTCTCAGGGATGCTTCTGATAACGACTAGTTATGAATAATATACAATTAAATAGAAGAGTTAACAAAGGATCTTTGTATTTGGACGTGAGAGTAAAATGGCAGACTGCTTGAGAAGACTGTTTCAGGCGCGGTATATGGTCCTTAGGGCTTGAATGCTACTCTCGACCCTAAGTTAGAGCAGAGGTCTGCTCTTCATCAGGTTCATGTCGACCAAGATCTAACGCAAACCTATCGATTTTCCTGTTGGCAAAATATGTCTAACAATATAAAGCCAAGGCAGGTTTTATATTGCTGGAGAAGGTATATGCCAGGGATAAGTGAGACATTGCAAATTCCAAATATATATTTCCGAGACAAACACCCCAGCGACTAAGTATAAACCAAACACTACAATATAGCTTTACAAGCGCTAAGACTATATCTTCAAGGTATCAAGTATATTATTCTAGTAGAACCCCCTAAGCATCGTCTCTGGAATATCTGCAAGTAGACCTGAAACCAAGCATCCAGCACAAACTCTATACAAACCCAAAAAACGATCGCCAGTCGATCAAGGCATTTGATAACTGATACTTTCAGCTAAAGGGAGATCGACCGCAATCACCATCCAGCCGGGTTTCTGCAAAAAGCTTGTTTATTTACGGTAAAACTGTACAAATAAACACGGACAATGCATCTCCCAGAATACGTAGTACAGGCCATGTTGTACAAGTGCGTCATAACATGGCAGACAGGGGCTGCTACCTAAACCTCCACCCTAGCTAGGGCTGGCCCATGCGCGATCAGTGGAGCGATAGTCCGGGCGAGATGCGTAATCTGGGAATCTGCCCTCCAAGGCCCGACGTGGCTTGATCGATTTATGTTCGTGAGTCTGCTGTCTGCAACTCACGTCATTGCCTAGGATTGTCGGTTCTTATGAAGATCGGCCCCTTGGACATTCCATCCCTTGGGACTTGCATAGATCCGCCGCGCCTTACGAGAGAAACTACAGGGCTGCGGATGCAAGGGGCTATGGCGGAATAAACATCGAATTGCTTGTATGGAGGCCGTGGGTGAGTATTGGAGTATGGATATACTAACCCACCAGTATGAGCTGACGCAAACATATACTGTGGTACAGGATCAGCTGAGGAATGCTTGAAAGGTATCATTTGACCTGTGCATTTCCTTTTATGCTGTAGGATAGATGAATACTGTATCGGTCTGCACGATGGAAGTGCTCCAGCTAGGTCTGATGCTATAAGTATAACATTAAAGCACGCACACTTGGCAATGTTTTAAAATACGCATCATTAAGTTACCATTACTACGTCTAACCTCTGGTTAATCCGAGTATCGATAAGAAGCGTAGGCTACTAGATCATAACAACATTGTTAAGAACCGCCGGCGTTGGGACCAGATGACGAGCTGGGCGTAGTATCCTCGACCTCCTGAGACTTCCTACTCCCCGTGATATGGTAACGGGCGAGTTGACTGTCGGCAGCTTGCCCGTTCTTACTCTCACTGTTCGTGTTGGAAATGTTGGTGTCAGTGTGACGGTTGTCTTGGATATTTCGTGTTAAATCGTCTATGCTTGGAATATTTCGAAAGTCAAACGAGGACGACGCTCGAATAGGCGGCGGTTGATTCTGGTGTACAGACACTGGGCATTGACCGGGGGCATTGGAACTGGCGTCTGTCTGTGAGGATGAGGCGATATCAGTGATTAGGGCGCTGTTAAAGTCAGTACAGCTTACTTCTGCACAGAGAAAGAACATACGCTATTTGGAGTCCAGGTCCCTGAGCACTTTCTACACCAGACTGATCCGCATTGGCTTGGACGACAGGGTGGGCCTGGGATCCGGCCTGAAACCCGGCCTGGTGTACAGGATTTTGTGCAGAAGCCGGTGGAGGGTTGGAAGCATTGCTAGTCCTTCCTGGCGCTGGAGCTCTAGAATATGGATGAAATCTGGGATTATGCCTGGATGCCGGTGCCGGTGCCGGTGTCGCTGATCTGCTATCCTGTCGAGATTCTTCCCTATCTTGATCTGATTAGGGGCAGCCCAAGGGGTACAGCATGTAAAACCGAGGAGCGAGACTCACAAGGACTCGGAGGAGCTGCATTAGAGAACAACTTTTTCCACAGACGTAGCCAGGCTTCTGCTTGGGTCAAGGGGAGAGGAACAGTGCAGTTCTTCTCGTGGTTACGGCGTATAGCCGCACTTGGAAAGCTGTTGAGACATCTCCGACACACATACACAAGATGTTTCGCGTGCAGGTGGTCACTGAAACCGTCAGAAATAAGCAGGGAGAGGATAGAAGGGTAGAGAGGATACTTGCATCAGATCCTCCATATTTGACCACGAACTCGTAGCACACAATCTGAAACGCCAGATCCGCTCTGAGATACTTGGATTATTTTTATGGCACGGACACGCGAGACCCGGCATTGCGGGGAGTATACGAAAATAGACGTGTCGCTTGGACTAAAACGGATAGTAATGATATCTTTAAGTTTTTAAGATGTAATACTGATGATTGTTGATGTGCAAGACAAGAGATGATGCTGTAGAAGGCGACTGTAAGCGAAGAACCAGCTGGGAAAGAGCACAGCAGACGTTAATAAAGCAGGAGCTATCGTATACAAACTTAGTCTAGGAAGCATCAAATAGACAAAACACCTAGCAATAAGAAAAGTTATGTACATGTATCACAATCGAGTCTAACCAGACGGTGGTGCACTTTGTATACTGATATCATTTGCAATCGGCCGAACCAGTGAATCCACCCGTGTTGTCAACGCTAGGATGAATTAAATGCATAGTAGAGTGTTTGACTGGATTTGAATAGACATGGCAGTGGTTCTGTAGGAAGGCACCGCTGAGCGTTATATACTGTTGAAAAAGTTGAACAGAGCTGCTAACAATAACAATGTTCCTATCGAGGGTAAAGAGATATAATTACATTCTGAAGGTATACTGATGTCCTCAAGGAACTCCTTAGATCACATAAAGAGTTAACGTAACATACATAGACTCAACAACCCTCCAAACCCTCCAACAACCGCGCATCACCAGCCTCAATCTCCCTCTCAACCCCCTTAACCAACTCCACACACCTGGCACTCCTCGGCTCAACACGGAACCCAAAGGGCGTCGGATAAGCCAAGATCCCCGGTGTCGGCCTGACATCCACCTCAACTTCCTTGCCATCCTCACCAACCGCTTTTCTAATGTTAAACACCGCCAAAGACCGCGCGACATTCAAGTAAAGTCCCGCGTCAGCAAAGAATCTACCCGGGCATATCCTGCGCCCGAACCCGAATATCTCAACAGCCGGATCCGGCTCGTTGCGAGGCGGCAGGAAGCGGTCTGGATTGAACGAGTCCGGGTCTGGATAGACGGCTGGATCATGCAGGAAGGACCATACGGCAGGGAGAAGGGTTGAGTCTTTCGGGATATGAAACCCGTTATACTCAATATCCTCCGTTGCGGTGTGTGGAAAGCCCATGGGCGCAATGGGCCACCAGCGCAGAGTTTCTTTGACCATGGCGTTGATATAGGGCAGGCTCTTGCGGTCTTCGAAGGTAGGTAATCGGTTTATTCCCACGACGCGGTCGAGTTCCTCTTGGGCCTGTTGCTGGATATTTGGGAACATGGCCATTGCTGCTGTAAAGGCTGTTAGGGTTATGACGATGGTATCGGAGGCTGCGCCGTAGAGGCTTGCTGCGGTCCAGATGACGGCGTGTTCGTCTTCGGGGCTTAGACTGCCATTATTTTCGCGCTCGAGTTGCTGGACGAGTTTCGATACGTAGGAGGGCTGGTAGTCACCCCTAGCCATCTGTTGCCGCACGAATTGGTATGGAATGTGTGCTGTGTCCTCGATTGATTTTCTCCATTTACGGGCTGTGCTCTTGAAACCAGCTCCGGGGAAGGTATCAGGGAGGTATTGCAGAGCAGGAATGACATCAACAGCCCACGCCATGGGAACTGCGGCCTGGGAGAACTCGGTCATCATCCTATCACTGAGCGTGACCAGGGGATCTGGCTCGTGGGGTTCAACGGTGTATCCGTATGCCATTTTCAGCACCGTAGCGCCGGCAGTTCTACCAACTCCATTGTTAGCAGCGTGTACTCCGTATTCTGGACGGGTGAAGCTCACGTCTTGAAATGCTGCAGCCACTTCCCTGGCTCCTTCAACGCACGCACAAGCTGCCGGTCTACTTCCATTTCCTGGATACCTCGGAATTCCGCCGCAGAGACCGTCGTGCCGAGCTCGCGGTGCAGGAACTTGCGATACCGGTGGAAGGTCAGGCTGGAGGTCTGACAAAGGACGATGTTCTCGTACCCGCATAGTCTGTTCGCCATGGTCATATTTGGTCGGCCGGATGTTTTGCCCGAGTCTCCATCTAGCAGCTGGTGTGCTGTTTTCTTGTCGTGGATCAAGACCAGTGTCGTGCCTAGCACGGAAACAGAGCTGATTCCGCCATACAGGTCTTTATGGGCCAGCCAGTGCTGGGACTCGGGTGTGCCAGCTGGAGGGAAGTCATTTAGATTTCCGAGTATAGGGAGCGGTTTAGGCCCTGGGGGCAATTTTGGATGTTTTTGAGTCCACCGGTAAATCAAGTAGGCTGCTAGGACTGATACCAAGAGAGTCAGAGACATGTTGAAACTGCTACAGGATATCATGGTTCTTTGCTGGTACCGTCCTCGATATTAATACGAGCTGTGCTTTGGCCCATATGACCTCATAGCACCAGGATTTTGGCGAAGGATTAGACCTGGAGAGTGCGATTCGCTGATGACAGTGAGTTTCGAGACGATGGACTCTGATTGAAACGTTGATTGAGGCGCGGTTTGATCCCTGTTCAGGTAGTCTATAAGGCTCATCTTTATGACAGTCATGTGAAGGTGGCAACTAGATATTGAGACTGAAATTAGAATTAATTATACTGCATCACATCTTGTAAAGTCATATACTCGTTAAACCTGAAGCCTCCACTGCATGGTATGCCGCTGAGAACCAGCACCGACAACATACCCAGTTCCATCCAAAGAAACATGTAAAGAGTCAAGATCATGGTCTAGAGAACACAATGGAACAGGCCACGCCTGCGAAGCCGTTTTAACATCACCCCAGTACATGGAATCACCAGAGCACAGATATATCACCCCGTGGGCCTGTCCGTACGGCGGTTCGAAAACGGCCAGAATCTTGCCATCATCGGATACATTTAGTATCGGATCATGGCAGTGCGCAAGAGGTAGATTCTCCAAATCCCAGCGATCCGCATCTGAACTGTGACCTTGCAACGGCGTTCGTGTTTCGAGGTAGCTTGTGAACTGCATCCGACGGGCTGGGATGCGCTGTATAACATCAACCCCGCCACTCGATATCCGGGCAACAGCGTACTTATTCTCACACGTTCCCGGTCGAAACATTGCAAAGAAGTACTTTCCAGCCCTGCATGTACACTCCCCAGGTCGCCGGGGAGACTTGACCAACCGCATCCCCCGGAGAGACATCCCATCTCCTAAACTATCCTCGACATCTCTCGAATCCAGGTAAACATGTCGTAGCGCAACCTTCCAGAACTTGAACTTCAGCGCGGCACTTAATGATGCCTTTAAACCGGTACAGCTGCATTTCCTAAAGCCCAGATACCGCACATAAGACCCCTCGACGCTATCAACCTCGCAGCGCAACACCTCATCACCCTCTGCAAACTCCACGCTCTGGATCGAGTCGAGGATGCTATCACTGACATTCACTTCCACATGCTGGACCTGGTTCTGCCTCTGCTTTCCCATCTGAGTTAAGAGATAAACATGCAATTTCTGCCCTAACCCGACCGCAACCAGATTCCCACAATCCGACAGAGCAACCTGCAATCGCGCAAACGAGCGCGCACTGAAGAATGCTCGGCCATGGGTACTATATTCCATTACCCGCTTCATTGCATCCGCGGACGGGAATATCGATGGCGACAGCTGCACCTCGCGGCCTTTCCCTGCAAGACCGGCAGATGCAGAAGGATCCAAAACGAGCGTCATCCCGCGCACATGGGCAGACTGAACGCCATGCCTCGATCGGACGGGGATACTCCCAATCTTGCCCGATGAACAAATCGATGACTCGGGAGTAGAGAACTGCACGCCGTTCCGTATCCCGATGAGATTCCGGCGACAGACGTGCTGGTATATGCGCTTTAGGTCCTGCTGCGTGGTGTGTAGGGAGAGGTCAAGCCCTGGGACGGTTTGTAGCTTATGACGCAATAGATGCGCGGACTGGGCTGCGTTTCGCCACGTTCGACATGTTCGCGAGGCACAGTGGAAGGAGTCGAAGTCGAGGAGGAGGAGGATGGATTGGAGGAGTTCTGGGGGGATATTCGTTGCCATCTCTAGCTGCTTTCTTTTTGCAGTCGAGACGGTTACAACGGGGAGTTCGTCTGAAAATCAAAGCTTTTAAATTCAAAAGTTCAAAACTTGCAAAGCTATGCGGAACCAGCGGAATGATATCCAGAGAACAAGGTCCTCACGGGCTGGCGGGTGGTCTGGGCTTCGGGAAACTCGGCTCGGCATGCCGTCTCTGACGGGATATACAAAGAGTAATTCAGAAACAACAGCTGTATACGCAGGTAGAGTAGAGCTTATCTAGACGGACGGCGAACTCCGAGAGCCCCATCCATTCCTGAAGCACGCCATAACTGCTTAACTAGTATAGTCAGTGGGGCCGAACCGTGAATATCGACCACAGAGCCACACAATATATCTTCCATAATGCCAGATATCTTCTGCGGCAGCGCACATATGGGATATGACTTAGATGGCGATGTATTTAGAATGTCCTACAGTCCAGTACCTCAAGGACACTGGACATATGGATATATGCATCATGCACGAGAAGGCAGACAAGGCACACGCACATAATCACGCAATTATAGCGCCAATGAGAATGTCCGCGTAAGACCAGAAAAAATATAAAGCTACCTGATCGACCGCCGAGTGCTGACAAGCTTCGACAAGCTTCTCTTAACAATCTTGGCGAGATGGCGGTCGAAATCGGGAAATCGAGTGTGGTGAACCTGTCCCACCCAGACCAAGTCGACAAGAGACAGAATCATGGGCAGTCGACAGCCGGTGAATTGGATTTCAGCGAGTACACGCAGGGAGGGCTCGGTCGGCATCTGGGCGTGTTCTCGACGATATTTCTCATGTTAGTTTGCTGTTGTCTTGGGACGATGAGTGTGCTAACTGGTGCTGGTCAGTGTCGGCCGTATTATCGGGACGGGTATATTCTCTACACCCTCGTCTATCACCAGCAGTGCTGGGAGTGTCGGGGCTGCGTTGCTCCTCTGGGTGCTCGGTCTCCTCCTGGCAGGATCTGGTCTCGCAGTGTGGTTGGAACTAGGATGTATGATTCCGCGCAGTGGCGGGGAGAAGGTCTACCTGGAGGCAGCATATCGCCGACCAAAGCTGCTGGTGACAGTGATCTTTGCCGTCCAGGCCGTAGCTCTCGGATTCACAGGTACGTACGTCTTCCATTGAACACTTCCAGTACTAAGAAGTCCAGCCCAGGGATGCATCGTGTTTGTGTCCAACATGGTCCTCGCATCCGGAAAGGAGGCGTCTGAATGGGAGGAACGAGGCATTGCAATCGCAGTAATCAGCTTCATCACCCTCGTCCACGTCTTCCTCCCCAACTGGGGCGTGCGCGGCATGAACGCCATCGGGATCATCAAAGTCATCCTGCTCCTCTTCATCGTCGTCACCGGCTGGGTTGTGCTCAGCGGCCGAGTGCACAGTGTCCAGGACCCGTACGCCAGTTTCCACAACTCCTTCGCGGGCTCTGCGACGTCGAGTAACCTGTACGCAACGGCGCTGTTTAAAGTACTGAATTCGTTTAGTGGGTGTGTATATGCTATCCCTCTTGTATGATAATGACCACCATATTGACATGATTCAGCTGGTCGAACGCCGCATACGTCCTCAACGAAATCCACAATCCAGTCCGTACGCTCAAAATCGCGGCCCCAACGGGCTTGGGAATCTGCGGCGTGCTATATCTCCTCGCAAATGTATCTTACTACGCCGCTGCAACACCCGAAGAAATATCCAACAGCGGTACAACAGTCGCCTCATACTTCATGGGCAAGGTCTTTGGATCCGCCGCCGAGCGTGCCCTAAGGTCTTCTCCTCCATCCTACATGCTATCTCTAGCCCATAGCTAAATCAGATACAGCGTCCTCGTCGCAATATCCGCCTTTGGCAACGTCATGACGGTAACATTCGCCCAAGCCCGCGTAAACCAAGAACTGGCCAAAGAAGGCGTGATCCCCTTCCCAACCTTCTGGGCCTCAAGCTGGCCCTTCGGCTCTCCTTCCTCAGGCCTACTTCTGCATTTCATCCCGTCCCTGATCGTCATCGTCGCGATCCCCTTCGGCGACGCATACAACTTCATCCTCGATCTCGAGGGATATCCGAGCAGCATCATCAACTTCCTCGTCGTCGCGGGGCTGTTCTATCTCCGCTGGAGTGAACCAAATGCATCCCGGCCGTTTCGGGTGTGGTGGCCCGTGGCTGTATTCTTTATGGCTGGGCAGGCGTTCCAGGTTGTGGCGCCGTTTATTAGACCGCCTGGGGGGAAGGGGGATACGAGTTTGCCGTATTGGCTTTATCCTGTTGTGGGTATTGCAGTCCTACTTGCTGGGGTGGTGTATTGGGGTGTATGGCAGGTGTTGCTGCCTTGGGCTGGGGGGTATAGACTGCAGCCTGAGCATGTGGTTTTGAAGGATGGGACGACGGTGGCTGTTTACCAGAAGAAAAAGGACTGAATATCTTTTGACTGTATTGCTACGGCCGTAGAAAAGGAGCTACTAGTATATCCACTGCCCCTTGACACCCATTCAGCCCATTCCCAATCTCAATGTTCACAATATCGATTTGGCTTGTTCGGACTAACATCCTCGAGCTGGCCACTGCCACACTGCTGGATTCCAATCCAGGGCTGTCACGGTCGGTTAACACATTCTCTGCATTAAGAGGTAGTGAGACAGTACCTCTTTACTATTAAAGCCGGTAAAGAGTAAACGTTTGCCCTCATCGTCGAACTTGTAAGAGTGAGCAACTCTGGGTAGTTCACGGAGACTCTGTGGAAGTCTCCTGTTAAACAACATATCATAAGAATAAAAAGGCATATAATATGAGAAGTTTAATGTAGTTAGAATATCTTAGTAAGTAATTGACACTGTGGAATAGATCTTATTCAAAGCATGTAAGAGTAATATATCTTGATACCCAGTACACCGAGCCTTTCTAGCCACGCCGGTGTAAGCCCTATAGAAGCCAGCCGAGATGCTGTGACGATTGAAGAGTCTCCACGCTTCATGAATGTTAACTACATAAAGTAATCGACTCAAAGGTCGCCATATTATACAGTAATCAAGGAGATCCTATCCGATAGATACCTTTCGGGTTGCACGGCACTCATATCCGTTTATGCTGGATGGCCTCAACGCGGACGGGCTCTGCAGCGCACAGGGACCGGGATCTGAAGCCCATGATCAAGAGCATCCGAATGGCGTGAACACATCAGAGTGTCCAGACTAATGTCAGGAGCTACCTCATGGGCATATGGCGTAAAGCCGCGTTTCAGGTGTCTCCAAAGCAGATCCCGATGCCTGATCATGCATGATAACCGTTGACACTAGATTAACCCGGAACGTTCGGAAGAGCCCTGTCCACGTCTATCTGGACCGTCCTGGAGCAATTGGGACTTCTGCAGCGCGGGATCTGCGACGGTGCCGGTCTTGACCCACTGTGTATCAGACATGAGGCCAAATCCCGGGGATCTCACGCCATTGCAGACACCGACGCCAAATACCGAGTCGGCATGAGATATACAAAGACGAAGTATAAAGGTTGGACAAGATCGGTTTACCCTACTCATCAGAGTTCTCATTCTCAAGCCGATATCACCTGTATACACAATGACACCCGTTCTCAAGAAGTACAAGGCCGCCGCCGTCAATGCCGAGCCAGGATGGTTCAACCTGGAAGAATCCGTTCGCAGGACCATCCACTGGATCAACGAAGCCGGAGAGGCTGGTTGCAAGTTCATCGCCTTTCCCGAGCTATGTACGTACACCACCACCGAGTATTGCCCTATCTAACCGTCTAGGGATCCCCGGCTACCCATACTGGATGTGGAAGGTCAACTACCAGGAAAGTCTCCCACTGCTGAAAAAGTACCGCGAGAACAGCCTCCCCTCAGACAGCGACGAAATGCGGCGCATCCGCGAAGCCGCCCGCGCAAACAAGATCTACGTCTCGCTGGGCTACTCCGAAGTCGACCTGGCGAGTCTGTATACGACTCAGGTGCTGATTTCGCCCGCTGGTGACATCCTCAACCACCGCCGCAAGATCCGGGCCACGCACGTTGAGCGCCTTGTCTTTGGCGACGGGACGGGCGATACCACTGAGTCGGTTATCCAGACGGATATTGGCCGTGTCGGGCATCTGAACTGCTGGGAGAACATGAATCCGTTTATGAAGGCTTATGCGGCGAGTCGGGGCGAGCAGGTCCATGTTGCTGCTTGGCCGTTGTACCCTGGACAGGAGACGCTGAAGTATCCTGATCCGTATACGAATGTGGCCGAAGCCAATTGCGATGTACGTATACGCCTACTGCATGTTGAGTCTGGCTAATTGGTAGCTTGTTACACCGGCCTATGCTCTTGAAACGGGCACCTATACGCTTGCGCCCTGGCAGACCATCACTGCTGAGGGCATCAAGCTGAACACGCCTCCTGGAAAGGATCTGGAGGATCCCAACATCTACAACGGACACGGCCGTATCTTTGCTCCTGATGGGCAGAACCTGGTGCCACACCCTGACAAGGACTTCCAGGGCCTTCTCTACGTTGATGTACGTCCCCATATAAAAGAAGATAGAACAATCTAACTATTCCAGATCGACCTCGACGAAACGCACCTCACCAAGTCGTTGGCTGACTTTGTAAGTCAATAAAGCTGAACTATAGAGAGAGAATGTGCTAACGTATCAGGGTGGACATTATATGCGGCCAGACCTCATCCGCCTTCTCGTCGACACCAACCGCAAGGACCTCGTCGTCGAAGAGGATCGAGCCAACGGGGGAGTCAAGTATACCAGGACCGTCGACCGAGTTGGTCTCTCCAAGCCTTTGGATCTGTCCACTGAGCAGGATGAGTAGACACTACACCTGTACTAGACACCACACCTGTACTAGACAACTCCACTCAATATAAATGGAATTGACCATGAAACTGTGATGGTTGTCTATCTACAGCTTCGCCTTTTCCCTACTGTCCAGCTCCCTCCTCTGCGGCCCTCCACGGCTGCCATCTCCCCAGAACGCGTCCTCGCGATGCTCATACTCCGTACGGAACCGCCATTTGTTCTTCAAATGCGGCGTCAACTGGTTATTCCACGCCAGACCGAGATACTTGCCCAGCACGGGCAGGAACTTGAAGCCACTGTTTTCGTTAGCATAAATAATAAACATATGTAGTGTAGGAAGCGTACTGTCCACTCCCACCACCAGCAATAAAAACATTCGTAAAGTCCGGATGCGAGTCCATAATAAAGTCCCCCGTCGGCGTGTCCGTATACCAACACATCGCCGCCTTCTCAAACGCCCTATCCCCAAGCTCAGGCAGCATCTCACGCAGCCCAGCACGCAGTCTCTCCTCCGCATCAACAGGAACGTAATCCGTCCTGACCCTCGGCGGGATAAGCGGCGGCGACGATGAAGCCTTGGACCCTAGAATACTGGTCTCCTTCGCATCAAGCGCCCTGGTATACCCCCAGCCGTGCACCGCAAACTTCAGCATCTGCGTATCCTCATGCGGCGGGAAATTAAACCACCCCGTCGACGCATTCGCGTAGATTGGCAGATCCTTATACTTGACCATCTCCTCTGGCGTCAGCCGCACATACCCAAGCACCTGCCCCGTCGCCAGCGCAGAGTTATACATGGGCACGAGATTCGATATCCACGCCCCGACAGATAAAACAAAGTGATCCCCTTCTACCCTTGTGCCGGCCAGGGTCTTGACAGCTTTGATACTCTTAGCTCTGTCACCGTTATTGCTGGTGTAGTCAAGACCAACAACCGTGCCCCTCGGTCCACATATAAACGAAACCCCCAACTCCAAACAATCATCCCTCAACTGCGCCGTGGCTTTACTCGCATCCGCCCAGCCCGCCTGCAGGTTCATATACCCATTAAACGGATCCCCGCCCAGTGGCCCACTAAGCACGGGGTATGCCTTCTTCGCGTCCTGGACGGAGTCGATCTTCGACCACGGCATGCCCCTGCTCTGTAGCGCTGTGCTGGTATTCCTAATCCAGGCCTGGCCGTGCGAACTCGTATTCCCTGTTAAGATGTATGGACCACTGTAGTAGATACCCTTGTATCGCGGCAGCTTGCTCCACTTCTGATACGCCTCGTAGGCGATGTCTAGGTAGTCAGTGTCTGCGTAGTCGAAGCGGACGACCCGGGAGATGTCGGTTGAGGAGCCGTTGGGGACCTACTCTCATCAATTCTGGATTCTTGATTATGACTATAGCTTAGGAAAGATGGGGGTAGTACCGGCGGCATATGTCTGTCCAAGACAACGACATCCTTGTAGCCCTCCGAGGCAAGCTGGTGTGCGATGGACAGCCCGAAGACCCCGGCGCCGACGATCACGATTCTGCTTTTCTTGTCTGTAGCCATTACTTGCAGTGGTGATGAAGGTTGTGGTGAACAGGTGAGGGGAAATATCTTATTCTTATCGCTCCGCCATCGGCCTGCTCCCCGGTCCCACCGGAATTGCTGTGGGGCAACATAACCGTTGTCATCCGCTTGCCGTACACCAGATATAAATAGTTTGATTGGTGAATGTGACTTGAGTTACACGTTGTATTACAGTCTGAATATGTTACTATTGTTTGGTAGAGATGGTAACCGTGCGGATGTTGTGGATGTTGTGGATGTTGTGGATGTTGTGGATGTTGTGGATGTTGTGGATGTTGTGGATGTTGTGGATGTTGTGGATGTTGTGGATGTTGTAGATGTATACAGTCACGAGGCAAGCTTTTGGTGGAACTTATAAGTTCAACTGAGCCTCTTCTTTCCCTTCCTTTCTTTGTTCCAAGCTCCAAATTGCGGCACAGCAGCTGGCGCCCAGCCTGCGATGATCTGGCCAGTGTTAGCTACCGCTAGCTAGTACTAGGCAGTCCACTGCAACGTCTCTCGTCACACACCACTATGTTAGAAGGAATACGTGCTGGTTGGTGGAGGGGTTCTAGGTTGTAGAATCTCTAAAATTTACTAATTAGAATGGCAGAGAGATAATGAGCTAATGTAGAAATTTAATATACTCGCGGTTCGAAAATTGCATTGCATGCCCCCATGACATCGCAAACCACCTTCCTTGTATAAGCCGTGAAATGATGCACAGACCACCACTATGCCTTAATGCCAGCGTAAGAAAACGAAGTCAAGGTCAACTTTCCCGACTCTGACGCGACCTCAATACCCTCGGCGTCTTCATTCGGGTAGATCAGGGCGGACAGCGCTGCGACACCATCGTTCACGAATACCTCAACCGAGTTCCAATCGACGTAGATTGCAAGCTGGATTGTGTTCCCACCTGCAGGATTTACCCAAGACCGTCTGGCGTCCCAAACCTGCTTGGCCTCCAATGCCAAATTATCCGAAGCGGAGCCATCAGAGTCCCTGAGCAGGAAGACCTCGGAGTTGGCAAAGTTGTAACCGACTGTTGTGCTAGAGGTCCCGTCAGATTTAACCCGGAAGTATACCTGGTCTCCGTCGTCACCGTCGGCCTTGGAGACTGTTGCTCGAATGACATATGCGCCTCCAGCAAGCTCAGCGGGAAGCGAGGCCGTTGCCGCATCCGTTGTGATTTCCGCCCCTTCGACAGAGACGGGGCTTGAAAATAAGGCTTCATACCCGGCAATGGGAAGACTGACCAGCCGGGGAGACTCGTTGATTGTCTGGTATTTAATCTCCCGCACTAAGCTTTGCTGGCCCTGGAAACCTCCATAGTAGGGCAGCTCGTTGGCATAACCCCAATTGTTCATCCAGCCAATGCAATAGCGGCTCCCGAATTGGTCGTCTGGATTTTCCCAGCTGACAGTGGCGTAAAAGTCCGGGCCCTCGTCCATCCATTGGGGGTCGCTGTCCGAGGCTACAAAATTGGTGCCATCCCATGTGCCAGCCCAGTAAGCGGTACCCGTTATCTTTCCCTGGACATATCCATTAGCACCGACGGCGAGGATCCAGACGCGGGTGCCCGAGTCGCCGTCAAGGTCGAGCTGGTATAGATCCGGGCACTCAAGAGTACCCAAGTCGACGCCGGAGTCCACTGGCGAGAAAGTCGACACAAATTTCCAATCCTTGAGATCCGCCGATGTATAGAACCCAATATAGCTTCCTTCCGCGACTGCAGAAACCCAATTCCCTGCGCCCTCGTCCCAGATGAGTTTGGGATCCCGAAACGCTGGTTTGCTGTCCGGGTCCGGGCTAGGCATGACAGGGTTGCCCTCAAAGGGAGTAAAGGTGTATCCCGAGTCGTTAGAATAGAAAAGAGACTGCTGCTGAATACCGTCCGCCATCTGAGTTAGGACAGCCACCAAAGCGTTCTCGCCGAAACCGGCCGTATTGGCCGCGTCCACCACGGAGCTGCCAGTTTCAATATCGCCCAAGTTCAGGCCATCGGGGGTGGACTGATACTTCTCAATCGCCACGCCCTGGTCGTTCCATTGCACCATGTCGGTGCTAGTGACGTGGTACCATTCCGTCCCGCCTGCGCCAGGATTTGCGCTGTCCCAGTCGGCATTCCAGAGGTAGTAGAAATGCCATTCACCTTCCAGGAATACTGCCCGTTGGGGGTCATTCATCCATTTTGTTTCCGGAGTGATGTGGTAGCTCGGTCGCGTTTGGGCGGAGGCAGATGGAAGGATCGCAGCGAGCAATATGAATGATGAGACTAGGAGACTGTGAAACAGAAGTCTCTTTGGTGCAGAGGCGAGAGAAGGAGGCATCACAAGTGGAACGGGTGTCTATGTGGTAGAGCACTGAAAAGACGAGGAAATTAGAGACCAGCTAGAGTTTCCTGCGTACAGAATATACTGTCGAAGGAAACCAGAGCCTGTCGCACCCCCAACTACTTATACTACTTGGACGACTTAGACGACTTATACACCTACCGGTCTTGGAAATGATAGACTGACGGAAGTTTAGTGCGCAGATGAACCAGGGGTACCCACCATTGACGTCTTTCCACCCGTGTTAGATATATATTAAACGAGAGAAGATGTAAAAGTAGTTTGGAAGGTTAGCCCCCGTAGTCTACAAAAAGTAACAAAGATATAATGCTTTAAATCATGCCCATTTTAGCTAATTTTCTATTTAAATGTTACTTAGGCAGGGAAAGAGGTTGTCATAAGCATTTAAACATTCTTATGGAAATGGCAGAGATTTAAAGCCAACCCAGATTCAGCCGCCCCGGTTTCTGCACACGATAGATCTGTGGAGACCCCATCTCATCTGGCCTGCATATGCCGTCAAAGGTGGAGAATCCAGGGGTAGACTGTGGGACGAGCTTGCGTCCATCTTCCACCATATCGCGGAGGGGATAGATCCCTCCGCGAGCGGGCCCCCACTCTTTATAAGCGGTGATCAGCTGTCTCTTGGGCGTTCCGCAGATTATTCCTGTGAGGCGAACATGCCAAGAACGCGCCCTGTCTCCTACGCGATTATTACCGGGTAAATTAAAGTGTTGCACGATGGGGCGACGCTCCAAGATGATGACGTTGAGCAGGTGGGAGAAGCCTGGCCAAGAAAGAGGCCGAGCTGAACGATACTGGGTCCACAGATGAGTTATTACAGTCACGGACAGTGAATCAGCGGGAGGATGATCAGGAGTGCGATCGAATACGTTGTATAGGGGAGTATGAGGGATTTGATGAATATCACAGTGGGTGAGGATACGCAGCCGGCTGACATTGGATCATCGCAAGCGCTCAAGGTGTGCGACCCCTTTCGGTGGTTACTTAGCTAAAAAGACTGTAACATGGCTGGTATGTACAGCAAGGCGTCAAGATCTCACAAGTATAACTACATTGTTAGCCAGGAAGAGAGGTTGCTAGAGGAGGCCATTTTATATAACATGTTTTGCGTCTAAGATTGGCTTGGAAACGAAACATGCAACATTCCTGGGTCTTGCTCTTTGCATAGTAGATAGAGCCTATTCTGGGTGTAGTCCCACTGTAACCTGGTGCAGATATACCCGTCCACCACTGACTGGTTGTTATTCACTGCGTCCAAACATAGTACATTATATATAATATGGTAGGAGGTGCATGTAAAGGTCAGGAGAATATGAAGGCTAATATGCAAGATAGTAGCATCCTAGCTGCAATGCTGGCTTAGAAGAGGCAGAACCGCCCCATAGAACACCAGGCATTTAGGCCACCACATGCCGTGCCGAGGCTCCGAGCGGAAGCAACAGCTTATTGTATATAGATATAAGAGTTTCACTTTGTTCGTGATGTGGCGGCAGTGAACGCGTGTTATGCGCTATCATCTGTGTAAGGCTGTAATACTAATATATAATAGTTATTTCTCTCTCTTAAGTAATTATAATCTTATAATTAATTATTTTAGACAGGCCCTATAGACTATTGAATTAAATTGAATGCGGGGAGCTCCGGGAATGTGGGTACGGAACTCGCCCCGTCTTATCATTGCCTAGACTATACTCTATGGATTCTGTGATGGAACATATAATATTGGTAGACCATGGTCTCGGCTGGAATCTCCACGGGATTGCGAGTTAGCACTACCCAGTATCGAAGTTCATACCAAGCACGCAATCGCACTCCAAATTTCCCGGGCAATGCTTTCCAAGTCCGCTCCCGCTATCACAAAATCATGCTCACCGGGCGGAACCAAGGGCCGGAGAAACATCTCCTCGAAGTGAATTACTAGTGGGGCCCCCGAGATAGCAGCTGATTCGTCCTCATTTCTGGTAATGACTATCTCCTGTTCGCATCGTGCATACTGCCCCCGGGTGCGGAGCGATGGGCCCATACTCCTCGCTGTCTGCCTCGGAACCCATTTCTCTAGGACGATCTTCTCCCTCGGGCGTTCAATCAAAATAATGATTGCGACTTTTACATCGCCATTCGAATTCCTGATCCACAGGTTGGCCATTGCTCGTAGATGGTTGGTACTCTCGGAATATCCACACTCCACCACAACTGCTGGCCATTGCCGCGATCTACCGGGAGGGAGTGTCCAGGGCGAGAAGGAGGCATCTGGCTCCTTTGATATACCTCTGGACGTGACCCTAGTAGCACCATCCAAGCTAAGCTCGCTGTCCAGATTCATAGCCCAAGTCTGACCGAGAAGCTTCTTCGTGAAGGCGCCATGGGCCACCTCGTGTGGCTTCTCGACAAGTTTCACGATCAGGTCTCGGGCACCCTCGTCGTAGTATATCCTGGCTCCTTTTACGCCGAAGATCTCGATGGGATGGTCATCCGAGCGTCGAACAATGGCTGGAGGAACATCGGTGAAATGGACGTAGCAGGTGGTGTGGAGTTCTAGCTGAAGCGTGATGTACTTCTTGATACCGCATGCTGTCGAGCCAACTGCGGTCGGTGTCCCAGCCGGCAAAGATGAAGCGAAAGGCATGGCCTTGACGGAAGTCTCAACAGTCGGGGTGGTGTTGGTTGTAGCGTCTTGACTCACAGCAGAGGCGAGGGATCCCATTTTGATGCGGAATAAACCTTAGATGGTGGCGTGCTGCAAACTTTCTTCGTAAGAGCTCAAATCGAATCTCTGCTGATTCGATCCCGAAGGCTACAGTGGTATGACAAAAGTTTGCGTGTAACAGCGTGATGGTGGCAAGCAAAGGAAGAATCGGTACCCTAAGTCAGGCTACGGTACTGGCGACTGGTCTTACCGGAAGCCACGACCAACACATCGATTAAATTACTTGCCAAACAGTGCGAGTCAGCGGTCATACCTTGATTTACATCGTCCAGATCAATCGCTTTACAGAGCATCAGGTAGCTGCTGAGGTAGCACAGATCTCGACGAGTTAGATCAAAGAACTGTCACCCAGACAATAATGTCATATCGGTAGATATGGTGGTGGCAGAAACCTTTCTTCCATTGTTGACTTCTGAGTGCGCGGTTAGATCTACACAACATGCATATGAGGAACTCGCCTATTTCCACTGTAACACTGGACTTCTCATTATAGCAGTAGAGCTTATCCTCTGTCTACCATAGTAGGCATGATCCCAGCACTGACTGCTCCATGGTCCGTATTACCAACCGCCTATCCAAGTCGAACCGTACAAACCGGCACTACCGCCAATAAGAACAGACGAACCTCATGCAGGGACAGGGAGATTCGAGCCTAGTATCCACATGGTCTCGAACATGCAGGAATTAAGGTGTGACTAGGGCTTCGGCCGTGCTGGCCGGAGTGCCAGGCAGTGGCTATAAGCAGCACAGCCATGTTCACGGCTGGTTATACATGGCGGCAGTGCGCTAGTCACGCTCGCCGCGTGGGTCGATCATGTCGGTATGGCTGGTGTCCATATGAGAGGTTAGTTTTGTCCGTGGGTACTGCGCAGGTATCTAGAGTATGGAATATATGATTAGCAAGGAAGGACTGGCTCAGTTGCACCTTCCTTGTAGACAGACATGAACCATTAAGGCAGGAGTAACCATCGTACCTTCTGGATATGGTTCCTTCCACTTGGCCTGATTATTGGTCGGACCTTCCTGATATTCAAAAAACTACGATTCTTGATACCGAAAGAGCAATGCACCGGCTGTTCCTTCTTCATATTCAGCAGCCCTAGTCCTTAACTGGACATGATTGTTCACTAATAGTTGATAGTACACATAATTAGTACCCTGATGACTACCCAACCTGTACTACCGACTGGAGTAGAACGTAGTCTATAGTCTATACTCTATACGTGGTGGCACCTTCCTTGGCTGCTCAATAGTCGGACCTTCGTCAGTTATTGTATACATATTCTCACATCTGAGGAAAGAGCGATACACCAGTCGGCCCTTCCTATCAAAGTAAGGTAGTACCTGGTCCTTCCAAATACTGTAAGCCTATATCGACATCACATATAGGCAAGTCATTGAACCGAGGATTACGTGATGCTCCTTACAAGCACCTATCGAGTTTATTCCAAATACTAGCACTGCGCCTCGATAGTAGCCACATCATTTTGACAATGAATTAATATTCCAGATTCTCTTCGTAACGGCTATACACCGCCTCATAAGTGTCAGAGCATGGTTCAGGTTCTCCACAGGGCAGGCTTGGCAGGCAAATACGCATACGCATACGCTCCAGCCAATCGCATCTGTGCGTGGAACATGAGAGCAGCCAAGATTTACGCTTGATTTTGTATGGAGTATGCGTTGACAAACACCGGTAGCTGCGCCTCTGTGTTCTGCTATCAGAATTGTATATAAGGAGTCGATCTTGCGGGAATCCCAACTAACATTACAGGCACAATCACTTCAGTTTACCACTCAGCTCATATTAATACAATGGCATCTCTCCTGGTTATCGGCGGGATCCTCCTCGCAGCGAAATACGCCGACGAGCACGCCGAGAAAAAGAATCGCGAGATCGGTCCTGACTCGGATAGCTATACCGAAGTCACTCTATCCAAACCCTCAAAGCGCGACAAGTTCAAGCCGAAATACTGGCACTCGCGAAAGACAAGGCGACAGTCTGATATCTGCGAGGCTTCCCCGCCGCCTTATGCAGAGCTTCCAGCGGTATGTCACTAAAAACTAACTTGGGAGCGACTTCTGATTTGCTATTAGTACCGGGAACTTGAGAAGATGGATGACCCCACTGAGCTGGATAGCAGTGAGATTGGACGTGACCGGCTAGCCGTTGAGGCACATGGGACGCCGTATGAGGAGCGCTATATCAAAGAGCGTCTCCCAGAGCTTGCTTAACGTTACTATTTCTCTTTCGTCATGTGGAGTTTAAGGATTTGGGGTGGGCAGCGATGATTTCTTATTGAACTGCGTATATGTATCATATTGCTCATGATAACTATTTCTATTACCTACTAGATCTTACATCGTAGAGCAGGTTCGGTCTAGCCCGTAGTTCGGCAGCCAGCCGAATGCTAATGGATTAGGGCTGCTGACACCGGTGGTTCGGTATCCCTGAACGGAACTCTCCGTAATCTACCCCCGTGAGGCGCTAGTAGATGCTCCGGGGTTAGACGAGAACCTGCATATTCCGATTATGGGCCTGGATTCTTCAGCTACTGGGGCTGAAGATTGAATGCATTGTCCTACTGGTGGGGGGTGAAGAGGGGTGTTATGTTCCTTCAGAATGAGGATAAACGTTTGCAGCGAAGAGCGGTGGAGAGATACGAGGTGGCTTGCATACCCAGAGAAGCAAATAAAGGCAGTTAACATCATGACATATCACGGAAGAGGGAAGAGCGGTGTATGAGACGACATATTGCATGAGTTATAATAGAGTGACTCGTGGAGTATTCTGGAATAGTTCTTCAGCTCATGCATGAACCTATTTAATGTTACATCTGACGTTAAGTGCCTATTTAATTTGTCAGGCTGATCGGGCGTTGAGGCTGTGCCCTAATTCCACATCCCTCTGGTATACACACAAACCAGGGTCCAATTGGCTCCGTTCCACGGACTCGATGACAGTATTCCAAATTGTGCTCCTTGGCTGACCGCGGCTGAGCACAGGGCTGAGCCTGGACTCGGATCTTAAAGGCCTGACGTCCATCTCATCCACAGTCAAGCAACAGTCAAGCACCAGCACAATGTTGCCAGAAGCCCAGTCCAAGTTCAGACCCCGCCGCCGCCATCGCAAGTCGCGCAATGGCTGTCTTGAGTGTAAACGGCGGAGAATCAAGGTATTCTCCTTCTATATATCGGATAATATAATGCTAACCAGCCAGTGCGATGAAATGAAGCCCTCGTGCTCGCGATGTGTCTTGACGATGCAGAAATGCATCTATCCACCAACGTCGCCCACATCGCAGCCCCAGGGAGAGGCCCCTGAAGCGCGCGATGATCGTGCCTTGTCTCTCCCAACTCCCAGTCCGCGATTCATATCGTCATCGCCGTCCCCGTCGCAAGAGCAGCGGCTGTCACCGCTGCCTCATGTCGAGCCTAGCCAGCACTTCAGCTACGACACGTCAGACACGGGATTGTATCACCACTATCTGCAGCATACGAGCCGCACGTTGACAGACAACCCGCGGGATCTCCATGCCCTGCAGATATGTCTGCCTACTCTTGCGTTGCGCAGTAAAACCGTCTTCCACTCTATCCTGGCTGTCTCTGCGGCCTGTATGTGCTACGACATGATCAACCTAGAGTTTCCCCCTGATGTCGGGACGGTCAGCTACGTCTTGATGACGGGATATCGACACTACAATCTCGCCAGTGAGCGGTTGCGAGAGTTGATCTCTAGGCCGAGTGCATCTAATGCAGAGCCTCTACTGGCAGCTCCTCCGTTGCTGGTCCCTTTTGTGACTTGTAGCCAGCAGATCAGCCACTGGGTCTCTAGTAGGACGGATGGCCATTCTTCGCCAAAACTTCTATCCACTACGCCTAGAGATGTTATAATAATATCTCAGGTTATAAGAGCAACAATACGTGAATTAGAAGCGGATACCTCTCCTATCACAACCCCCCAGTCCATCAACACTGAAGAAATCGACTCCATGGACGAGATACCAACACCACCATCAAAGCCTCCTCCATCCCACAGCCACCCCATGTTCCAAGTCATCTCCTCCACCAGCCAACGAGCCTTCTCAAAACTCCAAGACCGCATCAACTCAGCCATCTTCTACTCCTCCACACCCAATCCATCCCTCTCCGCCTGCTCCGAAGCATTCACTGTCCTCGAAACCCTCCGCTCAGCCGTCTTCCCATCCCCAGGCTCAACCGCTCCGGCTCTCCCACCGTCAATGACAACAATCCCAACCCTCCCCCAAGTCCCCCGCTGGCTGCACGCCTTTACAGCACGCCCTTCAACGCCTTCCCCAACAGAACACATGACCCGGCCGTTCTTGAGCTTCTTCATCGAAACCCCACAGGCATATCTAGACCTCGTCCTGCCGCTCCTAGATAAACGCCTGCAAGGGCCAAGTCCGCAGCAGAGTCCGGCCGTCGATCCACCTACTGATCCATCTCTCGACCCAAGTTTGGTTTTAGGGCTTGGATCAGAGCTAAGCATCGAACAAGCACTTGCGCTGGATATCTACGCGCACTGGTCTGTGCTGATGTTTTTGGTCAGTGAGGAGAGCTGGTGGATTGGGAATCTGCCTGATATTACTCTGAACGGAATGGTGAATCGGTACGGGGATGACTTTGTGCGAAAGTGGTTTCCTTCTGGGAGTGCAGGTGGGAGGGGGGAGGAGGAGTGGTGGCCTGGGGGGATGATGAGTGTTGCGAGGGAGATTGGAAGGTTTCGATGATTATACTGTATATTGGCGTAGTGGGTTTAAAAGCGGAGCGTGCTTTTTGTGCTTGTTGTTTTGTTTTCTTGGATGGTTCATGTATACCATATGAATTATGATTATATTATACCAATAGAGCACTCTCCAGATCCAACTACATGGGTTATACCCGCAGCCTCTCTGTTACTCCTGGCTCGGTCAGTCCACAAGACGCAGGCGCTTAGTGGAGCGTCCTGTTGGTGGAGGCTGCAGCTTGGTACGACACGAAAGGCTGAGCTGATATGACTGCGAGGCTGAGCCTGCCCCTCATTCAACTGTGATCGGCGAGAGCCGATTAAAACCCAGCACCCGCGCAATGTCGTTACTGCTGGATTATTGAGATTTTGCAAATGGTACGCTCTAGATCATAGATACAACCCCATGACAAAACCACCTTTAAGATGCGGCCAGCAAACCGCGACGGATTCGAGATCGCGATTATCTGCGCGCTGACCCTCGAAGCCGACCCCGTCGAAGCGCTCTTCGACGAGACGTACGATAAATTCGGTAGCATCTATGGGACAGAGCCTGAAGACAGCAATACCTACATCACAGGGAGAATCGGGCCGCATAATGTCGTGCTTTGCTACCTCCCCGGGATGGGGAAGGGGAGTGCCGCGTCTGCTGCTGCGAATCTTCGTATGAGCTACAGACAGATTCAGCTTTCGTTGCTGGTTGGTGTCTGTGGGGGAGTTCCTTTTCCTTCCAAGGAGGAGATTATCCTCGGCGATGTGATTATCAGCAATGGCATCGTTGAGTATGACTTTGGGAGACAGAATCCAGACGGCTTTCGGCGCAAGATTGATTCCACGGAGGCTTTAGGAAGACCGAGCCCTAAGATCAGATCGTTTCTCGCGGCCTTGAAGGGCCAGGCTGCGCGGGACGAACTACGAGAGCAGACGGGCCAGTATATTCAATCGTTGAAGATGAAGCAGACTCAGTGGCAGAGACCAAGCAACGACCAGGATGTTCTTTTCGAACCGTCGTATAGACATAAGCACTACAGCCCGAAGGAAGGTTGTATCTGCCTCTCTTGCCAGTCCAACAAGGACCCCATATGCGATCAAGCGTCAAAGTCGGACTGTATAACCCTCGGCTGTGCAGGGAGTGTCATCCACCGGGATCGACTCGCTGGAAGTGCGCATTCATCCATTCACATTGGAAAGTACGCCTCTGGTGACACGGTCTTGAAGTGTGGAGAGCACCGCGACAAGCTAGCATCTGCCGAGGGTGTTATTGCATTCGAGATGGAGGGCGCTGGTGTTTGGGATAATGGACCCTGCATCATTATCAAAGGAGTATGTGACTACGCCGACAGCCATAAGAACAAGATATGGCAGCCATATGCAGCTGCAGCGGCTGCATCTGCCTCCAAAGCGCTTCTTCAGCGCTGGGCTGTTGCGCCTCAACAACGTAAGTTGATAACTCGCATATACCTCCCATACTGACCAGTCAAGGTATATCAATGAAGCCCCAGACGTCTGACTTGTCTCTTGCCTTGCGATCCTATTACACCGCAGCTCGACGCCTGCAGGTACAGCGCATCTCTGGAGAACTATTACCAATGGACCGATGCTATATAAACATGGTCCTGATCAAAGAAGACCGCTCTTCCCGTCCGAAAGCATTGAATCTCCCCCTATGGTCGCGCCTCAAGGTCGACACAGTAAAGGAAGGAGAGCACGTATCAATCCCTACTCTGTTCACGGCAGCCAAGAGAGTTCTGATTCATGGCCGAGCTGGAGTGGGAAAGTCAACATTATGTAAAAAGATCATGCACGACCATATCAACGACGGCTTATGGAGGGACCTATTCGACTTGATACTTTGGATACCACTACGAAGGCTCAAGCGCAGCTCCCAACAGAATGGCACTTTAGAAAACGCTTTCTACGACTTGTATTTTTTGGATCGTTCAGATGGCCGCGACCTCGCAGCTGAGCTTAAAAACGCCATGGACAGCACTCAAAGGGACAGAATTCTATTGATTCTGGATGGACTGGACGAGGTATCGCAGGCGTGGGAACCTGAAACCCCAATGCATAATCTCCTTATACGGCTCCTGGAACATCCACGGGTCATCCTCACTTCCAGGCCGTACGGCTTGGGAAATAGCGACCTGGACTCGTTCGACATGCAGCTGGAGACAGTCGGTTTCACCGAGGACCAGGTTGAGGCGTATATCAAGATGGCTGCAAAGGGCGACCTCCAGAGATCCGACGATATACTGGCTTTTGTGACCAGCAATGAAATTATCCAACACCTCGTCCGCATCCCAGTGCAGTTGGACGCAGTTTGCTATAGTTGGGATCGCAATTTTATGTCCCGAGACAGTCCAAAGACAATGACCGTGCTCTATGAAGCAATCACCTTAAAGCTCTGGCAAAAGGATTTGTCCCTATTACAGCAATTGGTTCCTTCCAAGAACCTTACGGAAGACACGATACGGGGCTTCAGCATGGTCAAGATAGAAGGCATGATTCAACAAGAACTGAGACTTGTAGAGCTGCTGGCGTTTACTGGGATGCATAACGGGCTGGTTGAGTTCAGCGCAGATGATAGACAGCGGCTGTATGATGCTCTCCTCCAGCAAGGAATACTGATACCAGACCTACCAGAGTCAATTCTTAGAACAGTGTCCTTTCTCAATACATCAGACACCTCAGCCCTTGACTCGGATCAGACATATCACTTCCTGCATCTCACCTTTCAAGAATTCTTTGCTGCCCGGTACCTTGTTCGCCACTGGATGGAGAAGACAGAATTGGAATGTATAAATCTCAGCGAAAGGGCTCCTAGCATTTCTCATACGCAGCCCCAAGAATTTCTCCAGATCCATAAATACAACGCCCGGTATGACATTATGTGGCGGTTCACCACAGGCCTTCTCCAGGATTATCCCCCACAGAAGCACTGGAGCGAGGATCCGGTCAAGCATTACTTTGACCAGCTGGACTCTGAGCCTCGCGACATATTGGGCCCCGTCCATCAACGGCTGTTAACCCATTGTCTCAGAGAGGTGGTCCCCAGAGTGCTCAACAATGGGATTCGCGTTAGGATTGAGGATCAGTTGCTGTCCTGGCTGCTGTTCGAAGCACAAATGGGCAGGATGTCGGGACTGTTGGGCGACAAGGAATGTCCGGAACATCTTCCGCTTGAGCTGTTACAGAGACACTCGCCCGATGTCGATAGGAGTGTTATGTCTGCCTTTTCCCTTCGAACGAGTCTATCACCGGTTGCTCTCGAGAGGATACTGGCCCTTCTGAAGGAGGATGATGAGAACCTGCAGCACCTTGCTATCAATGTGTTTGCACGCCAGACACGCTGGCCGCCGGAAGCTATGGAAATCGTGTTTCCACTCAAGGTGCCTCATTGTCTTTCAATATTTGTCGATAAAATGGTGGAGCAGGTTGCTAACTTTCCGCACATCGTTGAACGTCTCCCTCTGTATCAGAAATCCGACGATTGGCGTGTCAGGCTTGCAGCAGGGAGGGCATTAGCCCGTCAGTCCATTCTACCACCAGACGGGCTGGACGCACTGTTGCTTCTGTTGCAAGACCCTGACAGCGAGGTGAGAGGTGGTGTGGTAGCTGAGATTCTTCAACCAAAACCCCTTGAATCCGCCCTTATCGAAGCCTTGATTCCACTATTCAGCGACGAGGATAGCAGTGTGCGGGCTGCTGCGGCAGAGGTCTGGGGACGTCAGGATCATATCCCATCAGACGCTCGCGATGGGCTTGAAAAGCTTCTACAAGACAAGGACGACACAGTAAAGGTCAACGCTGTTGCTTCGCTCAGTCGACACCAGCAAATTACTGCATCAGCATTCAGCCTCCTCGTCCCGGTGCTGAAAAAGGCCGAGTTTCCCGCGGTATCCAGCACTGTTAAGCGTGCGCTCAGCGCCTTGGAAGAGCAGAAGTCTTTACCACCAGACATCGTGGAAGTACTTATCGCGCTGCTGCAGGACGGGCGCGGCTTCATACAGCCTACAATCGCGAGAGTCCTCTCTCAGCAGCCGCCAGGCCTAACTGCGCCGGTGCACACCCTCCTGCATGATTATTCTATCCTGCGATTATATGCGGACGAGGTACAACCGCCTCCCATGCCACCAGATCACCAGGACAGCATACTTCGAATCTTCCGAGAAGCTGGCGCCGAGATGGTCATGGATACAGCGCACGCCTTTCGTAAACAGGCCCAACTATCCCCACAAACCGTTAATGGCCTGCTTCAGATTATGATAGCAGGTGACAACAAAATCCGCTCAAACTACTCGGCTTCGATCCTTTCCAATCAGTCTGTGCTGCCGGCGGAAATTAAAGACCAGCTCTTCAGGTTACTGGAGAGTGAATGCAGCACTAGTATAAAGAGTAATGCAACCGACGCACTGCGCAGGGAGACTGATCTGCCACCACAAGTCATCAAAGCCCTGCTTGCGGAGGCGAAGAAGGACACTTCGCAATCCGCGCTTTATACTCTATCTAACCAAGCGAATCTACCACCGGCGATACTGGAAGAGATCCTCCCGATCCTGAATTCGAAGGATTCTGGATCGAAAATGCAGGTTGCGACCTTAACAATGAAATATCCCCAGATTGTCTCCAAGATGTCCGCAAAATACTGGGGTCCTTTGTATAAGGTGTGGTTAGAGAGAGCCATTAGCGAGAAGATTAGCTGGACACTCAAGGGTAATTGCCTTTCTGCAGATACCTCTAATGGTGTAACAGAAGTCCACTTTGATCGTGCGCAGCTCGTCGCTTTCAGACGCGAGATCCGGCGCGCACAGCTTGAACTGCGCATTCCAGCTGATACCCTGCTTCCTGAACCTCGATGGCAGGACTGGTTTATGAGTTTGGTGTCGTAAAGGAAGATCAGTGCTCGGTAATATAGACGTATATGGTTGCTTGGACTGGTTCTAGGCTGGGAAAGAATCAATATAAAGAAGAAGTATACACTCGATCTATAGAAAGCCCATGCACATACAGTTCATTTTCCCCTTCTCAGCCTCAATATCTGCATCCTGATCTGCAAAGTACTTTAACACACCATCCAACACAGGTCATCGTGGATCTCATTCGGTACCGCTCAGTAGCTATGAGACATGTTCAGAGCAAATTGCGAGCCAGGCTGCCTGCCGATAATACGGACCATGGACAAAAACAAGCAGGAATGTAGCTTTTCTAGATCATAGTCGCCATTGCCGCTGACCGACCAGGGTGGGGACTGATGGCTGTGCCGTGTTCCTGGCTTGTTCCATGGTATTGTGTCCACGCCATGCACTCGTCGTGTCATCATTCCTGACTGCTTCGGTGGCGAGATCATAGTTGTAGACTGGCTGCAGGAAGTCAATGACAGAATAATTGCTTTGAGTAGTGCAGTCTACACCATGAGTTCTATCAACGACTACTTCGACCTGGGATCCTACAGCCGGCCGATATCCACCAGCTCCAAGGAAGCTCAGGCCTGGTTCGATCGGGGTCTCATTTGGGCGTACAGCTTCAACCACAATGAAGCGGTAAAATGCTTCGAAACAGCCGTCTCGCACGATCCCGCCTGTGCGATGGCCCACTGGGGCGTAGCCTTTGCATCGGGGCCGAATTATAACAAGGCGTGGCAGCTTTTCGACCATGAGGACTTGGTCGCGTCTGTGCAGAAGACCTACAATGCATCCCGGCGAGCGATGGAGTTGGTCGATAATGTATCGCCCTTTGAACGCGGCTTAATTGAGGCAACGCAACATCGGTATGAGCGTGAGCATGATGTTGACTGGGACCGGTATAAGGCCCGCGATGCAGCCTATGCAGACGCTATGAAGCCTTTCTATGAAAGCTTCCCCGACGACCTGGATGCATGCACGCTCTACGCCGACGCGATGATGAACATGACCCCCTGGCAGCTCTGGGACCTGGACACCGGCAAGCCAGGCGAGGGAACCAGGACATGGGAAAGCAAGGCTGTGCTAGAGCACGGATTAAGCCTACCAGATGCCCGATACCACCCAGGGCTCCTGCACATGTACATCCACTGCATTGAGATGAGCCCCTGGCCGGAACTGGGGCTGAATGCCGCAGACGACCTGCGCAATCTCGTACCGGATGGAGGACACCTGCAGCATATGCCCTCGCATCTCGACGTGCTGGTGGGCGATTACCGGCGCGCAATAGCATCAAACTACAGCGCCACCATCGCGGACGAGAAATTCGTTGCGAAGCATGGTAGTATGAACTTCTACTCTTTTTACCGCATGCACAACTACCACTCTCTGATCTATAGCGCCATGTTCGCTGGGAAAAAGACCGCCGCTTTTGAAACACTCGGTCGTATGGAGGCTACTCTCCCTGTTGACGTCCTCCGCGTCGAATCCCCGCCTCTGGCAGACTGGCTCGAGACCTTCTTCGCCGTCCGTCCACACGTCATGGTCCAATTCGGCATGTGGAAGGACCTTCTCGCCCTCCCTTTACCCAATGAACAGGATCTACTCTGTGTAACAACCGCAACAATTCACTACGCCAAGGGCATCGCCGCATCCGCCCTGGGAAACATCCCACAAGCAGAGAAACACCGGGACCTCTTCCAAGCAGCGTGCAAGCGCGTCCCCGCTTCAAGGAAAATGTTCCCAAACTCCTGCATCGATATCCTAGCCGTCGGTGACGCAATGCTCGATGGGGAGATCAGCTACCGCAGGGGTCAGTACGAGGATGCCTTTGCGCACCTCCGCGAAGCCATATCACGAGCAGACAGGCTGATCTACTCAGAGCCGTGGGGGTGGATGCAGCCCGTGCGGCATGCGTATGCGGCGCTGCTGCTGGAGCAGGGGCTTGTCGAGGAGGCGGCGGAGAGTTACTGTGATGATTTAGGGTTGAATGGGGTGTTGCCGCGTGCGCATCGGCATCCGGGTAATGTCTGGGCGCTTACGGGGTATTATGAGTGTTTGGTGAAGTTGGGGAGGGAAAAAGAGGCGAGGTTAATTAAGCCTTCGCTGGATGTTGCGAGGGCTGTTGCGGATGTTGATGTTGAGTATTCTTGTTTCTGTAGGGGAGTAGATAGGTGAAGTCGTGTTTGTTCATATCATTTGCCTTGCCATTCCTGTCAAGTCTTTGTGGGATGTTTACTTTTATATTGACTATAGCACGGCAGTTCTATGCCGGACTATGGAGGATGGGAAAAGAAACTAGGGCAAGTCTGCGAGTTTACAGTTCGTACTTATATAAACTCTTCTCCATGTATTAGCTTTGAATCTTGAGTCCCTTCAGGTGCTTTATTGTTCTTCATGCGTAACGATCCTAAGCCAGGCCATTCTGTATGAACGTATATATATATATATAAACCTGCTAGACCCTGTATAGCGTCACATGACTGAATAGTCGGTCAACAAATATCAGTCCATCCCACCATCTTCCATCGAACGATACCCTCTGCCGCAATGATGCAGTATTTTTTAAACTTGCCCAATGAGATTCTATTCCTCATATTCAAGCAGCTGTCAACAATCAAAGATGCGCACCACCTTGCCCAGTGCTGCTCACAGCTAAATCGGCTCTTCACAGCACCAGCAAACAGACGAGACATTCTCCGGTCTATCACTGATGTGCCATCCCGCCCTGAATACAGCTTAGATGAAGCTTTTTCGGGTATTTTCTAGTCAGATACTAATACAATATGCGTGACTAACATCATGCAGTGCTACTCCAGGTCGGCCCGTTTAGATGGCGGATACCTGGAGAAAAAGACTCCACGTCCATTCTAATCGTTGCTGAATACAACAACGCACCTCATTGGGGGCGAAAATGGGACCTGGCTACTCTCCAGCGCCGAGACAAAGAGCGTACCTTCAAAGCCGTATTGGATCACTTTCTTATCCAATTCGAAGAGATTGATCTAAACCGGTGGATCAAGCCTACCTTCACCGAGCGTATCCTGGGAAATGCATCTCGTCGGCAGAAGATGATCTTACGTGACTTAGAAAAATCCAAGGAAGAAATTACTGACCTGTTTACTGAGAAAACAGTGATTGCTCTTGCAATTCACGCTCTCTTTCTTGTCCAGGAGATGTCCATGCTTGAGACAGGGCAACCCCATCTTACAGAAGAGGAAATATTCAAAGACGGAGGCCCGGTGGAATTCTTCGACGACGAAGACAACTCGCAACCTGGCCCGCCTCTTCCTAATGTGACACTTGATAGACAAGAGAACTGGGTTAAATCAAGTGGCGGTAAATGCTGTCCTGATAACGTCCGGCTTCCGAATGTATTGGCACATATTTCCCAGCTGTCGTTGTCACTGCTGGATACCCAGGACCCGCGCAATTGGCCGACAGTAGTTTATGTTCTCCTCCTGCTTAGCCGTATTCGAAGGGCTTTATACCCCAGCCAGCCCTGGATGAAGAAGATTCGTAGTGCAGCCAACGCGATCACCCCGCTATTTGAAGACGTGGCGCGGTATTTCTATGTCTGTACTGATGGTGGCTTTGTCTTGAGTCCGACATGGAATGAGGAGAAGTATGCGGTCTTGGTAGGGCGCTGCAGGGCGAGTGTTAAGCAGGGGGCCATACTTCGCAGACTATGGGCTCGCAATTGTAAGTTCCCTCCAACTTGGATGTCTTATACTGACATATTAGATGCCCCTGTACAACTCGCGGAATGGGATAGTTATGAAAAATACAGAGGCATAGATGGCTTTGCTAACAAGGTGGACTTCTTTTCCAATGGATCTGACTGGCCTGAGGTAGCACAATAGAACGATACGTTGGTCTACAAATTCTCCTGCGCATAGTATGTACTCATCCGGTACTTCGACTCGCCATCATACCTCGCCAGATCGTGTAAAGCCTGCTCTCCCTCCCGCTCAATTGTTGCACGAATCTCTTCACTGCGAGGCGTAATACTGCATTCGAACGGATTAGGGCGCATGTTAAGTCCGTTCCTATACAGTCAGCACACTTCATCTGGTACGGAGTAGACAGATACATACGTATAATCGAAGATATCAACCGTAATCTCATTCCCCTTCTCATCCCTCGCCTTCTCAATCTTAAACCCCCACAGTAACCGTGCTATCGTGATGAAGGTGCCCTGCTCCGCTAGACCCTGTCCACTGCACACGCGCCGTCCCCATCCAAACGTCATATATCCCTTCTCTCCGGGGAAGGGCCGTGAATCTGGGCTTCCTGGCATATACCGATCTGGCTTAAACCGGTCTGGATCAGGGAATTCACGCTCGTTGTGGTGGATTGCCCAAACATTCCCTTGCACCCATGTTCCTTTTGGGATTAGGTATCCCTATACTGTTAGTACTTATAGAACACTTAATGACAGAGGTATATACCTTGTATACATCATCCTGAATCGGCGCATGCGGCTGGCCCCCAATGATAGCAACAGACCTCCACCGAAGAACCTCCTTCACAAACGCCTTGACATAAACAAGCTCAGCCTCGTCCTCAAACGCCGGGCTCCGATGCGGCCCAACAACACGGTCAAGCTCCTCCCATGCCCTAGACAACGTCTCTGGAAACGCACAGCACGCCAGCGCAAACGTCACAAGCGTCGAACTGGATGTATCGCTCCCTGCCCCAAACAAATTTCCCGAGAGAGAGGAGATTTCCATCTTGGAGAGGTTGTATTTGGGTGCTTCATCGAAGATGCGCTGCGCGTAGCATGGTTCGTCTTGTTTCTGTTTTGCTGTATTCGAGTCTTTCTCTGCATTTGCTGCTTCTTCAGCCAGAGCGTAGAAGAATGGTCGTCCCCGTCCTTGACCACCCCCTAGTCCTTGTTTCCAGGGGGCGATACAATTCGGGAATTTGGCAAGGACTACAATCCACACATCAGCACCTCCCAACCATTAAAATCCAAAGTAAAGTAAAGTAAAGAAAGTGCATACTGGGAAAACTCTCCATAACCATCGGCGCGCCCTTCCCGGGCACATTCAGCTCCGCAGCGCGCTGCATAACAGCAATAACCTCCGTAACAATCGGATCCATATAACTCTTCACTCTCCTGCCGAATCCAATAATGGATACCACACTGGTCGCGTACCGCTCGAAATGCCTTACATACTCTTTCGGCTGTTTAAGCAAATCATACGCAACGAGTCTGCTCTCGTCGTTCTGGAACCCGCGATACTTGCGCACTTGCTGTAAACCCACGCCCATGTGTGTGAGCTTTCGGTGGAGCCGCCACCGATCGCCGTAGTACATGTTCACGAGGTTTGACTGGCCGGCGCCGAGTTCGGCGAAGACGACCATCCTCGGTCGAGAGGCGTAGAGGGCGGCGCGTTTGTCGAGGAGGGCGTGGGTAGTCCAGGCGTCGCAGAGCCAGATTGTGGGGCGGCGGCCGGTCCAGAAGGTTAGGATTGGGGTGTTGTATTGCTTTGCGAGGGATTCGAAGTAGAGCCAGGGTTTGGATGGGGGGAGGAGGTGCGTGTTGCCGATTAGGGGGAGGGGGAGGGGGCCGGGGGGCTGTTGATGTTAACATTCCATTTCATGTATTGTGGGTATGGATTTTATGCCAGGGCTTGCCATTTGGAAATGCAGATACAGCATATACCCATAGTCGATTATCAAGGCTAAGGCGAGCAGGGCTAAGATCGGTTTGGTTACCGCTGCAAGGTCTATGCTCCATCCAGGGTAGCTCAGGAGACGCTGACCCTGAACGAGTGCAACGAGCTGTTCAAACTGTTCAGCAAGCATGATGTTTGTCAGTTTAGAAAAGAGAACTGCTTCAACGTGGGCATCAGCTGTATATAGGATCCCCACATCCCCGGATAACGAGACGCGGGCATCAGATTCACGATGCCAGGATCGTCTGCTGTGATCGACCAGTTATTCCTCTGGGCTTGGAGTAGCCCCACATGCTAGACAGTTAGACACGTATTGGGAGGAAGAGGAAGCAGGATGCAGGATGGCTGGAGTGGTGCATCACAGAGGTACGGTGTACATCAGTGTACTGCAGCCCGGTGTTTGAAACAAGAGGCAGGCCGCAAAGGGACCTGACTAGGTCAATTGCATCAGAGCAAGCCAGGGATATCTTGATTCAATTATCAGTGTACTCAGAGTGAAGACATTGCTGGTGAGGCTGAACCGCCACATACCTACTCCAACCCGGGGATCCTGCGTGTGGGGGACAACACGATTGACACGCCTGACTCGTGCACATTCCAATCGAAGGCAGAACGAGATCCCTGGAGGTGGGGGATCTCCCTATTCAGACATCTCGGCATATTCTTCTAGCCGGTCAATGATGTGGGGATCACTTAAGAGCATCGTTCCCTGCTTCGGAGTATACCTGGCTCTGTAGACTGTTTTCAAGCGCAATATGGAAACCAGCATAGACACAACAACTCTCTGGCAGAACCGGAAATGCCTCTTCCTGTGCTCCCTCGTCTCGATGGCGAATCTACAGTACGGATTCGATCTCGCCGCCGTCGGCTCTCTCCAAGCCATGCCCGGCTTCCTCAAAGTATTCGGCTACGCAGACCCTTCAGCCGAGGGGGGATACGCAATTGACGTCCGCACCCACCTACCTATACCTTATTATGCAAAAGCTGACGATTGCAGAGCACCGTCCAACAACTAATAACCTCCCTCTTAACCCTCGGCTCGTTCGTCTCCTCCCTCGTCGCGGGCCTCTTCGCAACATATCTCGGCCGCCGACAAGCCCTCTGGCTCGCATGCCTCGTCAACGCAATCGCATGCGCAATCCAAATAGCCGCCCCCTCAGCCGGCGTCCTCTACCTAGGCCGTCTCCTGCTCGGCTTCGCAAACGGGTTCCTCGTGACCTTCTCCAACATCTATACCTCTGAGGCTTCGCCGGCGCATATGCGCGGCGTGATGGTCGCGCTGTTCGCGTACTGGGTGAATATCGGGAGTATTATGGGTGCGGCGGTGGATAATAAGACTAAGGAGAGGATGGATGAGCTGTCCTATAGGATTCCGTTGGCTTGTCTTTATGCCGTGCCGACGGTGTTGGCTGTAGCGTTGTTCTTTGTGCCGGAGAGTCCGAGGTGGTTGTTACATAGAGGGAAGGAAAGAGATGCCAGGAAGGCATTGGAGGTGCTTAGAGGGAGGAGTTATGCGCAGTTACGGTCGAGTCGTGAGGGTGAAGTCGGTCCGTCGTTGCTGGAGATCGAGTGGGCGGAGATGGTCAAGGGGGTTGAAGAGGAGAAGCGCACTGAAGGTGATGTTGCTGCGTTGGATATGTTCCGGGGTATGATCCTCATTGCAGCACATTAATTATCATGTTTTACAGTTCTAATATGTGCAGGAGTCGACCTCCGCCGAACACTGCTCTGCTACGGCATGATCGGCTGCCAAACAGCATCAGGCGTGTGGTTCCTCATCGGCTACCAGACCTACTTCTTCACGGTCACGGGCATAACAAAGGCGTTCGAATTCTCCATCATGAACACCTGCTTCGGCTTCCTGGGCGTGAACATCGGCATGTACGCCATCCGCGAGCTGGTCGGCCGGCGCTCAATCCTCATCATCGGAGCTGTAGCCTGTGGACTCTGCCAGCTGGGAAGTGCCATCGCAGCAAGCATCGACCCTGATTCCCTAGCAACCGGACAGACGCTTGTTGGACTGACGGCGCTTTTTATGTTCTTCTACAACGGCTGCGTCGGCGCTGCAAGTTACCCCGTTGCGACGGAGCTCGTGAGCTCGCGACTTAGGGCTTGGACGGTAGGCACTGCGACCTCGCTGGGATACCTGCTGGCTTGGCTGGTGAATTTCTGTACGCCGTACTTTATCAATCCCGAGCATCTGGACTGGGTAGGCCATATATATCCACCTATTGCATCGTTTGTTAATACTAACACACTTAGGGCGCGCAATACGGGTACATCTGGGCCGGCTCGAACGCGGTCTGCGTTGTCTTCTTCTACTTCTTCATGCCGGAGATGAAGGGCCGGTCGCTGGAGGAGCTGGATGAGATTTTTGCTGCGAGGGTGCCGGCTCGGAAGTTTAAGGGGTATCAGTGTTTGATTCGTGATGCGGCGAGGATTGATGCTGTTAATGCGGAGGGACTGCAGGAGAAGGAGAAGAGTGAAACTGGAGTTAAACAGGAATTTTAAAGGGGATGTTGAAGTTCTTATACTGTCCCTATCTTAAGTAACAAAGCCAGCAGTTGCTAACGCAGAGATATTTCATTTTGCTGATTGAATGAAGAAAGGACATGTATTCCTTTCGAAATTTGCCCAGGCATAAAATATACAACTTATTATAGATCAGTCGCCCAGTGCGACGAGAAATTATGTTAATTGCATATAATTGTCGATCTTATTAATCCCGGTTTGCCCTCTCCATAACGTGCACCCACATATTCGAGATCGCAAAGAGCCCAAGATGATTCCGCACATCCCAAGGGTGCGTCGGATCCATAAGCGCTATATCAAAGTTGCGCAGGAGCTGTCCAGTCAGTCAACAAGCCATACACGTAGGGCTGATTGCTCACCTCAAACACCGTCTTCCCAAGCTCAATCTGCGCCACCGGCCTGCCCAAGCACCGGAAATGCCCATGTCCAAACACCAAGTCGTTGGTTCGTATCATGCGGGCATACTTAGTCGGATCTGGATAAGACTCCAGCCACCGCTCAGGTCGGAACGCTTGTGCGTCTTGACCGTAGATCTGCTCGCTGCGGTGCATGGCATATGCAGAGTACCCGATACAGACGCCATCGCCGCCGGGGATGAATACATTCTCGCCGTCAACGACAACTGTATCCCCATCTTTAGGAACATCGCGCGCAAAGATATTTGAAACAGGGGTGAGGACACGCGTTGATTCGCGGATTACAGCTTGCAGATATGGGAGTTTGGCAGCTTGAGCGGCTGTAATAAGACCGGTTCCGGTAGTAGACGTGTTTAGAATGGAAGCAGGAGCATCCCCTCGGGCAACAGTATCATCAATCTCGCGCTGCAGTTTACCATACACCCGTGGATTCGTGATGACATGCAGAAGCGTACCCCTGATTGCAGCAGCAGTGGTATCGGAACCTGCGATAATCTGCTCCAGAGCTTCAGAGCGCAACTCATCGCCCGACAGCGCATGGCGCATAAACGAAGCCAGCATATCCGATTTCTCCTTGTTGGCGCTGGTTGAGAAGAAACTGGCTGCGCGCTCGTCGACGACACGAAATGCCGACGCCATCATCTTGCCGAATCCATTGTTATCACTAGGCGAGGGGGCAATGAATCGCCCGAGAATCGGTGCCTGGGCTATCCAGCTGAATCCCAGTGCTAGCGCTGTGTTGCCAATAGCAAGTCCCTCCTCGCTGGACTGGAGGTAGTTGTCCGTATCGGTATCGCTCTGGAGCATACCGAACGTCTTGCCCAGACCGACAGAGCTGATCACATCGAGAGTGAAATACTGCACCTTTTTCGCGAGATCCATGGGGACGATGCAGGTTGAGGAGAGATATTTTGATCGGATGAGATGGAGGAGTTCGGAGAGTCGTTCGTCGACGGACTTCTCGAGGTCGAGATTCTCTCGCCCTGAATACTACAATCGCCAGCACAGTTAGTCGCAGACTGTAAAAGCCGTTGGCAGGTAGGAAGGATACCCCCGGCGCCATCTGCTTCCTCCGCGCCTCGTGCTTAGCATTATCCGTCTGGCTAAAGACGTTATCCCGCTGGTACTCAATCCGCGCAGCATTGTAATACCAGTCCGAGCGCTTATAGCCGGGCTTCGTGTTAACGTGCATCCAGACCTCTGGGGACGAGGTGATGAGGATCCGGGGTGCAACGCGCGCAATGGGACCTGCTGTCTTAGCTACGTTCGAAACCTTTGGTCTATAGGTAGTACCGTATTTCTCGCTGACATCGGCATACCACTTGTGGCAGTTGCCGCTGAGCATTGCCAGGCTGTGTGGCCAGTCTGAGATGGCTGTCCATCGAGGGCCGGGGAAGTGGCGCAGTTTGGTATAGCGGGTTATGCTGAAGATGCAAATGGCTACCAGGGAACAGATAATTGTTGTGGACAGCGACATGATGAAGTCTGGGGTTGCAGAGTCCCAGGATCCTGGGTGACAGCTGTCAGATGCAGCTTGAAACGCTCACGAAGTTTAATTGTGCGGGGTCGGTGATGGACATCGTAAATGCCGAATGAGATCGCTGGTGATATCAGCCGTTGCCACGAGTGACAATGCCATTGTCTATGACCCACTTAGTCTCTTAATACTTATAATTAATTACGTTGTGTCGGTCCAGCATTCAGACAGCACGTCGCCATGCCTCCGCAGCAAAGAGCTAAACGCAGCCTTCGTAACCTGCTCCCCGCCGACCGTGACATCGAGCGATGCCAACGATTTCATGAGGGTGTCTATTTGCTGTTTCCAGATCAAGTTGTCCTGTTCACCATCGGTGAGGTGGATATCAATCATCGCCTCGATGGCCTTCTCAAATGTCGTTGCGGTTAGGCTCGGGGTGATATGGTAGGAGATGATAGGGACGTCTGCGCGTAGACCATTCTGGAGGTTGAAAGCTTCCTCTGGGACCAGAGAGAGCAGGCGCTGTGCTGTCTTAGTGACTGACGAGATTGCCTCGAGACGGTAGGATTGGATTTGTGATATGAGGTCTGGGTCGATTGATTCAGCGAGGATAAGGACGCTGAGGTCCCAGAATAACGTTATCGATACTGAGATGTTAGTAGTTATATAAATATCGGAGAAGAGGAATACCAGAAGAGGCCTTTGAGCCGGTTGAGAGGTGCTCGAGGCTTTCTATACAGCGATTCATGAACGGGCGGAATGTCTGGTTGAACTCTTCTACAGCGGTTATCGTGGAGACAACTTCAGGGAGAGATACTGCAGAATTAAGAGATTCTTTTACTCTCACGATCTGCCTCCAGACATAGAATGCCTGTGCGACCGCTCTGCGACAGACACCAGGGATATCGTCTAGATCCTGGTGGATGGCACCGACCGCGTCCAGTTGGATATCCTGCGATGCCTTTGTATGGGATGCAGATGGAAGCTTGCAGGAATGGCTGCCTGTAAGAGCAGCCCCGATATCGCGGATATACCCAGCCCAGGAAACAACACTAAGACTGGCTTCCAAGAGTGCACTATATGTCGAATGTGGCCCAAGTATGCCGCAATACTCATTCACAAGACTTTGCAAATACTGAAGATGCTCCAGCCCTGTGTTTAGAAATTCATGGGGCGATTTCGGCTTTCCCGGAATGGCAATTCCGTCGAAGAGAAGGATGGCGTAGACAATTCTGAAGGACTTTATAGATTGCGCACTCTGCAGGATTGATCGCGCTTCAAACCAGGTATCATGGTATGCATTATTTAATGAGTCCATGGATCCACTCTCAGTAGAAAGCCACTGCATCGAGAAGGCCCTCAAAACTGCCTTCAACGCCTTGGCCGACAGCTTCTTATCAGACTGCGACAGTCGGTTCCCATAAAGACCACCAAAATGGTCTAGGAAGCGTACAACGCCAAGCGAAGTCATTTGGAACCCGGCTCTTGACGGAGTCACTTGCACAGCCAGTTCCTTTTCCGCGGATCCAGCGGGTGTAGACAATCCACTTGATTGCGGACTGTGTTCGTCTCCTAGTTGGTACCGCGAGGCTGTCGCGTATAGGTTACACTCGAAGTCGACGAATCTGGAAGCACAGCCAGTCACAATGGCATTGTGAATGCAAGATAGACGGCCCTCAAGAATGGTTGCATCTACCTTCGTGTTTAACAAGTATATTGGACTGTTGGGCGAGGAGCCGACCATTGAGTGGCTGATATATACTGCAGGTCTTTCTCTCGTTCTGGTTAATTGATCATCAGAAGTCCCTGTGATGTTCGCAGGATCTATCAAGGACGGATCGACAAGCGAGAATGTGGATTGATTGTTCTCATGGCTATCTTGGCCAGCATCCATGTCCAGCCACGAGGCCCAGACATCTTGGTCTGGCGTGGCGGGCTCTGCGGTCAGGCCACTGGCGAATCCTTCGTCGGCCTGCAGAACATTAGATGGTGAGTGGAGCAGGCTGCGCTCGAGCCCGGTCCCTCGCCTATTGGACGTTGTCTTAGTTGTCTTGGATGCTGCAAACTCGAAGGTGCAGGAGCGGTTGTGATGCTGGCAATTGACGCAGCGGGTCTCGCCTGGTGCATTATCCAGGGGGGCGAAGAAGCAGCGCCGTTTTACGCGACGGCAGGGATCGCAGCTGGTGTTTTGGCGGCGTCTTGATATCATGGTTTGGTGTTTGGAAGTGTTCAAGATGGTTGTTCATGTTCATGTTGGAAGAGAAGATCATCAGTGATGACTCATCCTGCTGGTCTGCCTTACCATTTCACCAACTCAATACAATAAATTCAAGTAATATACTACAATGCGTGTCTGAAATAATTCATGCTGGATCGGTTGAATTGAGTGCCAGTCAGCAGCTCAGGCTGTGGTACAATTGCCAAGTGACTGTTACTTCCGCCGACATCGCTTCGCATAGGCCATGTACGAGTGGGCTCTGGATCCCTGCAGCGAACTTTGCAACCAACAGAGAGCTGGCTGGGGATGTTCATTGGAGAAGTAATATCGGGCGATTCCGACTTTTCCTCTTGCACCGGTTCCTTATCCACTCTTTGGCTTTAGCTGTCTTGGCTTCATTTCGTAGAGCGAGTCAAGGGAATGTCTGCCCAGCCTTCTAAATCCTTCGCGCGACTGACTCGTCAAAGTCGCCCTGATTGGACTAGACTGAATGTTCTTGATCAGATAATGCCGGCCTTTATCTGATCATCTGATACGAGGCACCCCCCACCCCTTCTGGAATCCCCTGCGGAAAATATTTCTCTCCTGCCCATCTCCCTTCAGTCATTGTGAACTCGCAGCTCATGGAGAAATCAATCGCGTCGGGCCAGGAGCCTGGTCAGACACAGGTCACGCCTGCTGGCGACAGAATCGACCCTGTTGACAATGACAATGGCCCTAACCAGGTCGTCGACGATGAGAAAGCCCTGTCAGACAAGGACTCGGCGGAATTCCAGGGTGGTGTGCAGCGTGTGCGCGCAATCACCACCGTTCTATCAACGCAGACACTGATTCTCCTCTTCGTCTTGTACGTTTCCTCTGCTATGAGACCATGACGACCGCTAATTTGCAGACTCTGGCTGGTATCCTTCGTCGACGCATTGCTAGGCTCCATGCAAACCACGCTGAACCCATGGATCACCTCCTCGTTCGAGAAACACGGGCTGCTCTCCGTCGTCAGCATCGTCTCGGTCATCCTAGGCGGTTCCTCGAAGCTGACCCTGGCCAAGATCATCGACATCTGGGGCCGAGTCGAGGGCTTCCTCTTCATGCTCGTCCTGATCATCATCGGGCTGATCCTAAAAGCCACCTGCACGACAGTCGAGATGTATGCCGCCGCGCACACGCTCTACTGGGTTGGACATATCGAGCTGCTGTACGTCGTCGAGATCATGCTGGCGGATATGACGTCGCTCAAGAATCGAATGATCATGATCGGGATTAATGGCACGCCTGGGATCTGCAGTACCTTTGCGGGGCCTAAGATTGCGCAGTTGTTCTATGATAACCTGAACTTCCGCTGGGGGTTTGGGTCGTTTGCGATTATTATGGTCGGAGTGTGTTTTCCGGTTGTTATTGTCATGTTTCTCATGCAGCGCAAGGCTGAGCGGTTCGGGACATATGTCAAGGAGCGCTCGGGGAGGACTCTCTGGCAATCGATTGCACATTATACAGTGGAGTTTGATGGTGCGTATCTTCCCCTTTATAGTGGACGAAGCTAACATTACAGTCATCGGCATTGTCCTCATCACGGCGGTCTTCTCCCTCATCCTCCTCCCCTTTAGTATAGCGTCCTACGCGCCCAAAGGCTGGGCCAGCGGGTATATCATCGCCATGGAAGTCGTCGGCGTCGCCTGCATCCCAGCCTTTTACATCTGGGAGAAATACTTCGCGCCGGTCCAGTTCCTGCCGTGGAAGTATCTCAAGGAGCCGACGATCATCGGCTCGTGCATGCTGTACCTGGTTATGTTTGCATCGTCGACGTGAGTACCCCTTACACTGTCCATATTTTCCTGCTAACATGTGCAGTACCTGGAATGCGTATTTCAGCTCGTACCTGCAGGTCGTCAACAGACTGGATCTGACCACAGCAAACTACGTCCTGAACGCGTATTCTCTGACCTCGTTCATCTTCAGCCCAGTCTTCGGCTTGTACGTCTCCAAAATCAACAATAGTGCATATTCTAATTATATAGGTTAATTCGGTATACCGGCGAATTCAAATACACCGCCATGGCCGGAATCCCCATCCTGCTCCTCGGCACAGCCCTGCTCGTCCCCTTCCGCACCCCATCCACACACATAGGCTTGATAACAATGACCCAAGTCCTCGTCGGGCTAGGAACCTGCATATTCACCGTCTGCAGCCAGCTGGCACTGATGACCGTAGTAACGCACCAGGAAATCGCCGTCGTGATCGCCATCTGGGGCCTCTTCGGCTCCATCGGGTACAGCGTGGGCGCGGCCATCGCCGGCGGGATCTGGAATAATGTTCTCGAGCCACAGCTTTACGAGCGGCTGCCGGAGGGGAAGAAGGATCTTGCAGCGAGTATCTTTGCCAGTCTGGGGACGCAGATTGGGTATGCGGATGGCACCCCGGAGCGCGCGGCGATTGTGGGTGCTTATGCGGATGTGCAGAGGAAGATGGTCATTGTGGGGGTTTGTCTGGTGCCGCTTTGTGTGGCTTGTACGTGGTTCTGGAGGGGGGTGAATGTGAAGAGGTTGGAGAGGGAGCAGACGAGGGGGAATATCTGGTAGTCTTTCTAGTGTATCTATCTGGATGGTGTTGCTATCAGTGGTAGCTATCTCAGCTTATATCCAGCATAAACCTCTCCACACATCCAACTACAAACTCAGGGTTACTCAAAAACGGCGAGTGTCCCTCCTGGCATCGCTCAACCCGGAACGCCCCCTTGCCCTGCGCAATCATCCGCTCCTGCACAGACGGCGGGAGTGCCTTGTCGTTCTCGCAGACAATATACGTACTCGGAATCTCCAGATACGCCGTATACGTTACGGGTACAGACAATGGACCCGGCGGAAACGATCCAAGCATATCCAGCGCCTCTTTCACATCGACGGGGTCACAGCGGTTATAGAAGACGTCTCTCACGGCATCTTTAGACAGAATAATCGCGCCATCCTTCAAACTCATTAGCCAGGCTTCTATATTAGTATTATATATAAAAAGTAGTACATACCTCCGTCATGCTCACACCACCATGTTTCGCCCCATACTCGTTCCTCTCCTTCTCAATCTCCTCCTCCACGGCCCCAACAGGCACCATCTGCCCAACATGCGACTGTCCCTTTGGCAGCGCCATCGCACACATATACACCAGTCCAATAACACCAGTTTGCACCCCTGGGCCATCCTTCATCCTATCTCCCTTACCAAGGCCCTTCACAGCCTCCCCCATCGCAACCCCGCCAAACGAATGCGCGAGAGCAATAACATCCCTCCCGGCGTCGAGTTCGTCCATTATTGCTTCCCGTATGGCCCGTGCATCCTCCTCCCAGCTGGATAATGGCGGGCTGGAGTTGACGGATGGGAGGGGGATGGCGATTGCCGTGTAGTTGTGGGCGGAGAGGGCGGTGGTGAGGTTCTTGTAGTGGGCTGGGCTATGCCATGAGCCTGGGATTATTATTATTGTTGGGCTTGGCATTTTGTCTGTATGGAGGAAGGAGGAATCGTTGAAGTGGAGATGTGGTTTAATAGAGGATGAAGGCGGTTCCGCTGGCGGCTCCGATGGACCCACTGGTCTCTTTAATCGGGATTAGACCTATCTATTTATTACAAGTAATTCCATACTATATATATATATATATATATATATCCCATGTATAAGGTGGTTATGTGGTTGGGGTGATTAAAGGGCTTCTGATAGTTAAATATTAGAGAGATTTGTTCTATATTAAAATTCTAAGGATTGATTCTATAGCCGCCACGGCTTTCTGGTGCCAACTCAAGAAGCGAAGTATATATCGAGTACCCAGTCTCATTAACGAGACCAACCAGGAAGTATAGCATTAGAATAATGAGCTCTGCGTCACGACCAGAAAGCCAACTCTTGGCCCTTCTCGGCATGACTCACCATCCAAGATAACCAAGACAACTACATATCATCCAGATTCCTCCATCCCCAACTCACCTTTCCTGATTCCCTACACCATCTATATAGATATTGAAATAAAAATGACCCCCCGCACCTGGAAATCCCGCACCTTCATCGCAACCAGCCTCTCCGGCTCCATCGCGCGGCAGAACCACGATATTACATGGCTTACACGCCCGTTTCCAAACAAAAACCACATGCCGCCATATAATCCACAATCCAGATCGACAATGTCATTCGAGCAGCATATCGCCGATGTAGATTTCATTGTCATGGGCCGGAAGACCTTTGACGTTTGTATGGGATTTCCGGAGTGGCCGTATCCCGAGAGGAAGCTGCTTGTGCTTAGTACGACCATGCTGGATCGGGATCTTCCGGGGGATTCTTCTCCGCCGGGTTGTAGGGTTGTTGGGTCGATGGAGGGAGTTGAGAGGATTCTGAATGCAGAGGGCGCGACGATGGTATATGTTGATGGTGGGAAGACGGTGCAGGAGTTCCTTAAGCGGGGGTGGGTGGATGAGATGGTCTTGACGATTGCGCCTGTTCTGCTTGCAGGAAAGGGGCTGGCATTGTTTGGGGACGTGGGTGTTGAGCTTCCACAAGATGTCCATTTCACTTTGGTCGGGGTGGATGTTATTGAGGATGGGATGGTGAGTTGCTATTATCAGGTGAAATTGTAATCTGTATCCATTCGATATTGGATTATCCCGCAAAAAGACTGTCGAACAGGGCGATATCGATTCCCTGGAGATCCCAGTCGGCCATGCCAGATATCATCGGATCATCCAGTGAATCACTTACAAGTTCACTTGGAATCCGTAGCTGCTCTTGTATATCGGGATATTCTCCATTCCAGCTGTTAGTCTGATAAGGCAAGCCAGATCCACCGTGCATATGCTCAGAAAAGCCCATGTCAGGCTGCGCCGACATAGAAACACCACCCTGCTCAAAGCAAATCGTGCCAAAATACGGAATATGGATATGCAGCGCTTTATCCGTCAACTGTCCGGCAATCTCGCCCTCCCCGCTCGACGAGCTCGTGCAGTATACAGCGCCATTAGCAGCGTTATTCTCAACATCGAGCAAATGCCGGATGAGATGGGTAAGTTTCGGCGCTATCGCATCGGATGTACTCTCCCGCGCCATGGACTCGAGTATCTCAGACGTGCGCTCCATCATCCCCCGATCCGTGGGCCGGCTGTGCATGAGGAAGTTGAACATACTATTGTCTCTGCCTATATAGCTGCGGAAGCTGATATGGGCTAGACACAGAACGGTTGTCGCGACGAAGGCGAGAAAGTCGCAGCCCCGGCAGTAGAAGTGGGCTGGGTTGACGGTGCGGAAGACGACGTAGCGCGAGAGGAGCTCGCGGCTGGCGTTGACGGCGGTAATTCTGCTGTGGTCGTAGATGTTGTTGCTGTCTGAGCAGCGCAACATGTAAGGTAGATGTAGCCGGGCGAGGAGGTGGTGGTGTGTGAATTGGACCATGAGGCGCATTGTATCGCTGACTAGGTCGGACTCGTTGGTGAAGGGGGGTATCAGCCACCACTGCGGCGGCATCTGGGCAGCGGCGTCTTGGAGGAGCTTGTCTGTCTCGCGGGTCTTTGATATATCGTTGATATCTGCGGCGGTGCGCTGTGCGATACGTCCGGAGACTTCGCAGTGGAGGCGTTCCAGCCGGGCCATGGGGTCGAAACCCGACAGGTCTTTGGGGATAGCGAAGCGGCCTTCGAGCGGGGTCTGTGGTAAACCGAGCATGAGTGATAGGTAGCGGTCCATGACGATAAGGCGGAAGCAGATGTAGTCAGGGTCAAAGGCTGCACGGGTTGCTGGCTCGAGAAACTTCAAGTACGGCGAGGTCCGGCCCTGGTGTATCCCCATGACTTGAGCAGCTGCTGTGGCGCGGCGTACTGCCATCCAGGCCCGGTGCAGGTGGCCGGCGTAGTTTTGATACATGGCCTCAAGCATGATGCACTGGAGTGCCTCGACGAAGCCGAGCAGCTCGTCGTTGGTAGTCACCAGCTTGATTGCCCGGTCTACGGCGGTGGCCATGATCTCGCGGTAGGTGTCTCCTACAGGACCCAGTTTGTTGATAGCAGATGGGACGACGCCCTGGAGAAATGTACCGAGCAGCAGGAGACTGCGGGCAACCAGAACTGGATGGCATCCTGGAGGCGGCAGCTGCAGCATCTCGCGGGGCTCTTTATTGTCTGTGGGACCTGGAGAGCAGAGAGGTTGGAACAGGAGGTGCGAAAGACCAGTGGGGAGAGAGACAATAACATCAAGGTCGTGTTCGCTAGGCCAAGCAGCAGCGAGCTCGCGATATAATTCATCATACCTTCCAGTCGCTCTGTCGGGAGCTGGATGCCTCGACGGTGGATGCCTCGACGGTGCAGATGCAGGGTGCGTCTTTTGCTCGCTACCTGACACCAGATCTATGGTGTTTTTCGGACCATTTGCCAGCTGCGCGAGAAGACCTTCCACCCGCTCGAGCCTCGTCTCTACCTGGTTACTGTCTGGAGTATAGCTGTCTGGCAGCTCCTGGCTGATACACGCCGTCCCCCGTCGCCTGCAGTTGTTGCAGACTGCATGTTCGGCAGTGAAGATGCACCGCACCTTGCGTCGCTTGCATTCCCAGCAGTTGTGGGTGCCCTTGCGGACCTTTCTTCGCTCGGGGGGCATTATAATAAATATAGAAAATAAGAGGAAAATAAAAGAGGAGAAAAGAAAAAGAGGAGGTAAGACGGTTCAGCTGACAAATTCGGCCGAACTCGGAGCAGCCTATATATACTACTATACTACCTATGTATACTACTTGGAATATAATTCATATACAGTAATATAACTCATACTATCTACAACTAGACAGATTGCTAGGCCTTCCCCCTCCAGGCTTCTTCCAAAAACTCCCCCGCCTTCGCAAACCGAAACTCCGGCAGGATGCGATTCCACTCATCCGAAGCCCTAAACGATCCCTTCAACAAACCCAGCGAAATCCCCGCCGCCCCGATCTTCGACATCGTCTCAACCTGCTCAGGAGGAATAGAAGGGTGGTCCATCTTAGGCACCCATGATGCCTCCCAAGTCCCAGCCACCATATCCGCCTTGCTGAACGACTCCACCTCGAACTTCCCACCCCGGACCTTCTCGCCCAGGGCAATCAGCTCGCCCAGTGTAAGCACGTCGCCCTGCAAACCGCTGACGACCGGCCACTCGCCCTCGTACTCGATTGCGCGCGTGACGACGGCTGCAACGTCCTGCACTGTTGTGAGTGTGAGTTCGGCGTCTTCCGCGCCCTCGGCGATGATCGCCCGGCGGTTGTACAGGTCGATGGGGAATTCGACTTGGTGGAGATGCTTGGAGGACGCATAAGGGCGGGTGAGGTAGTTGGTGATCAGGCCCATGTGGAACAGGGTGTATTCCAGCACTTTCTTGTCCTTGTTCAGGTCGGCGAGGTAGGACCGGATGGTGGCTTTGTAGGCGTACCAGGGGAGATGCTCGAATGTTGTTCTAACCAGTTAGTTAGTATTACATGTAGTAATAGGTAGGAGGTGGTGGAGGTGCTTACGCTGCCCACTCGCTAGGAGCGAATCGCTTCACGCCTGCTTTGATTGACGCGTCGATGAGACGTTTCTGGTTGGGGCTTTCGACGTCCTGCTCGATGATGAATGAGAGCACGGTGTGCACGCCTTGTAGGATGGTGGTGAGTTGCTGGGTGTCGCTGTAGTCGGTCTTGACCCAGGTTACGCCAGATGTTCCGGCCGGAGCGTCCTGATACAGTCAGCGGATATCATCATAAATTATTATCACGAATTCTGAGGACAACCTTTCGAGACAGGATGACGACTTCGTGCTTCTTCGAGGCAACAAGGACATCGGTGAGTTCCTGGCCGATGTCTTCAAGGCGTTAGTAGGAAAAGTGTGCTGGGAAGGGAACATACTGCCGGAACCACCTGCGATAACGATCTTGACCATGTTTATTGATTATTTAACTGAATAGTTGTTTGTTGAGTGACTTTGGATTCAATGTTGGATCCGATATTGGATTTCGAGTTGGGATGCTGAGCTATATAGACCGTTCGACCGAGGGTTCGGCCGAACTCGTTACACCAGGTAGTCTCACCACGACAATTATTGATAATCATACTTCTATTGCGCAATATTATTAACAATTAAATCGGCCGAATATTTGCTTCCACCGAAGTACTACAATGACTCGGTTGATTAAATCAGCTTGAATGAAGCCTATGCACCCGGATATCAATGACACTCGTAGGCCTACATCGAAATACGCGACATACTCATTATGCACCACTTCTCGTTAATTACCTGGAATAGACAGATGGCTAAGCCAAGAACGCCGCAAGAAGATCATCTGGAGATGGCCGCACTGCCCGCATCGGGCGCAGCATGAAGCTGTTTAGATCAGCTTATTGCCCTGCCTAGCGGGGCTGTGTCTGTCTGACAGGAGTTGGCCATATATAAGCAAGTAAGACTTGAATCCTCTCGAAAGATATCCAATACTTTGCCCACCAACCCTGTCATAAAAAAAATATATATCCACCATTACAACCACAATAAAGTCAAAATAATCACCATGAAACCCTGCCCATCAGCCAAAACCGGCATCCTGCACAGCATCTGGGCCGTCATCGCCTCGTTCTTCCGTACATTCGGCGCCGTTCTCGGCGGTTTCTTCAAACTCTTCTTCGGCACCCTCTTCCCGACCTGTCTGGGCTTGATCGTTGCACTTCTCCTCCTTCTCGCCTTCTGGGAACTGCTAAAGTTTGTCGCGAGGAAGACGGGTCTGGTGGCGTGGTGGGGAGAAGTTAGCAGGCGGGTAGAGGAAAGGAATAGGAAGGAGAGCGAGGAAAAAGGGGATTTGGAAAGGGGACCGGACAGTGAGAGAAGGGAGCTTATTGATGCTGGGGAAGGGAGGAAAAGGATTCAAGCTGAGATTCGGCTGTTAGAAGGTCTCTTGCTTGAGAAGAGGAGGGAGTTGGATTCGCTTCAGTAATATACTGTCTGCGACTCTGTACTACAATGATATCTCTGTTTCAGCGCACTGTTTATCCCCTGCGAACCCTGCAACTTCGATCTTCAGCTGCTTCGTCCGCAGACTGAACCCATTATCCCACTTCTGTACCGGCCGAAGAGACGCTGATACCTGGACCTTCTTCGCTTTCCCTGCCTCAATATCCACAGGAATAAAGCCCAGTAAAACTCGACGTGGGAAGTCTTTTACCCCCGGCAACCCATATACTTGCGCAATAAACCGTCCTTCTCTTTTTCCAGTGTTTCTCACGGTGAAATTGACTTGGATATTGTCGTCATCCAGTTTAACTGCAGTAGCACCCTCTACCTCCCACGTTGTATATGAAAGTCCAAATCCAAAAGGAAAGGCTGCTTCAACGCCAAGTTTATCAAGTAGATGCTGACCAAACCATCGAGTATACTCAATCTCAGTAGCATCTCGATCAAAGAACGGTAGATGTGCCTCGTCCGTGGGAATCGAAAACGGGAGTCGTCCGCTCGCATCTACCCTGCCTAGCAGAACATCAGCCAGACCATGCCCTCCTTCTGAGCCGCTGTACCAGCTCATCAGAATTGCAGGGACTTTATCTTTCCAGTTCTCCATAATGACGGCCCCGGCTGCGACCATCGATACCACGGTGTTGCTATTCTGTGCAGCCACTGCGGCGATAAGCTTCTCGTCTTCTTCACGAAGGCGTAACGAGGTTCGATCACCGCCGATTCCGGGCTTCATGTCGCCGCCGGAGTCGATCTTTCCTTCGAACATGGCCAGTGTCTCGCGCTCTTCGTCTGTCTTTGTGGGAGGAAGGCAGGCTCGCAGGGCTGGGTTGTCTTCGAGCGGGGGAGTGATGTATTCGCCTTCGTCTTCGTAGGTGTATCCAACAACGCAAATAACAGTGTCGACCTGGGAAGCTAGTTTCTCTGCTTCGTCTTTTGTATCTGCGAATAGGACTTCGACATCTGGTAGAGCTTCACGGATCCCTTCGAACGGTGTTACCACGCTGGGAGGGTAGACTTGCGACGAGCCCTTGTCGCCGGTATTCGCTATATTGGCGAGACGGCCGACAACAGCGACTCTTTTGAGATTGTCAGTCTGCAGAGGAAGAATGGGTTGCCCATTGACAGGACCATTCTTCAACAACACCATCGATCGTGCCGCCACCTCTCGCGCCAGGGCTCTGTGCTCGTCGCAAAAGACAACATCCAGTCCTGGCTGGCTGTCCTGCGTCCGAACTGCAAACTCAAGCTGCTTCCTTAGAATCCTTTCGCACGCCCGGTCAATATCCTCCAAAGAAAGCCTCCCACTCTCCAAAGCTGATTCAAGATGCATGCTGCGCTGCTGTATAAATGGCGCCTCAATATCAAGCCCATTCCTCACCGACAACGCCGCATCTCTCAACCCAAACACAAAATCCGACATCACCAACCCATCAAATCCCCATTCCTCTCTTAATATCTCAATCAGAAGATCCCTATTCTGCCCCGCCCACTCCCCATTTACAGAATTATAAGCAGACATAACCCCAGCAGCACCCCCCTCCTGCACAACCCGCCGAAAATGCCCCAGATACACCTCCCGCAGCACATCCTCCGCCACCCTAACATCAACCCGAAACCTCGCATTCTCCATCGAGTTCAACGCAAAATGCTTGACACATGCCATAACATGCCCCTGCACCCCAGTGGTAAGGGCAACCCCAAACTCACCCAACAGAACCGGATCCTCGCCATACGTCTCCTGAATCCGTCCCCAAGCTGGGTGGCGGGGGAGATTGATACAAACCCCAGCATAGAAGTTTGCGCCCTGCGCTTTTGCTTCGAGACCGATGGCGTGGCCGACACGGTGTTCGAGGGATATGTCGAATGTTGCCCCGCGCGCCATGGAGACGGGGAATGCGGTGGAGTGCCCCATTACGATTCCCCGTGGGCCGTCGGTGAATTTTATCCCTGGGATGGAGAGGCGTGGGATGCTCCCGTGCGTGTAGGGGACTGGGTTGTAGCGGTTTAGCAGGATGGAGCGCTGGCCTGCCCAGAAGGGGGTGTCGCCGTCTAATAGGGAGAGGCGTTCGGCTTTGGTTAGCTGGGAGAGGAGGGTGGTTGTTGTTTCTGGAAGAGATTTGCCGGAGTTTAGGGCCGCGAGGGCGTCGGTGAATGTATATTCTGCAGACATGGTTGTTTCTTTGTAGTTAATATCAGTCTGGGTGGTCTGGACACAGATGTAGCTGACAGTTGTTGAGTATAAATACTTCGGTGGGGAGCTTGCATGCTGCACGATGGGAATGTCTGTCTGTCAGTGGCTGATATTCCGCAGGCTTTAGGCAAATAGCCTGCATTTATCCGATGTGCCATTGCTGTATTTCGATATTCCTATTCGTGCACGTTGACTGCATGAGGGGAGCTTGCATATTGGGGTCAATGAGTTGTTCTTCAATAATATCTGGTAATGGGCCTGGTGCGCTTGGTTCTCCATAAGGAATTCATTCCGTCCTCGATCTACTCGTGGGCACCATGGCTAATCAAGAACTCAACAGTCTCCGGATCCTCCCCTTCCTTGGCAATTAACAGCATAGAGTCGCCTTGGGGGTTCCTCCAGTTGATATCAACCCCCCCTTAAGTAAAGAGCACCTCGATAAAGTCCTTTCTGCAGCGATTGACGAGAATTTCAATTCCCTCGTGTAGTAGTAGACTCCCTTGCACCGCCGGGTGGCTGGATACATACCTAATAACCTCGTCACTGCCGTACTCGAAGATAAGCTCTATAGCGTCCTTGTTTCCAGCTCCTAAATCCCATGAAGGGCACCCAAATTTAAGAAAGTAGTCCAGGGCCTCCATGTTCTCACACTCAATGGACTCTTTCAAGCCATCCAATGCTGCATCTGCGAGAAGATCTGGGTGTTCGATGACCGAATGGCGCAGGATCAACTTGACAGCATCCATGTGGCCGTTGTGTAGAACTGCACGTCTATGCATCAAACCCCAAACGAGATCCTTCATATTAGTAAAGATGCATTCGAGAACCGCAGTCTGACCACTTGCAGCAGCAGCAGTCTCCATCTCCGAGACCTCGTCGCACAAGTCGCTGTCCCTGGGATCTTCGAAATAGAACCCGCTCCAAATAGATCTCATGTGCTCTTGTTCATGATGTCGGCAAACACTCTCGACAATATCTATTCGTCCTAGGGAAGCTGCTATGCGCAACGGGCTCTCGCGAATTATGTTGCGAAATGTGCTGCTTATGTGGAGGCGATGGAGACAGAAGTCAAACAAGGGGAGACAGCCCGACCCAGCTGCAAAGTGAAGAGCTGTATTCCCATTGCGGTCAGACACGAAATTAAAGTCTACTTCAGAGTTCCTCTCAGCAAGAACTTTAACCGCGCCCAGGTTCCCCCGCCGAGCCGCGGTGAGAATGGGATGGTCCAGTCCTGTTGTAGTGATTGAACAGGCGCCTGGCTCCTGATCCAAGAGTGCCTCCAGGAGTGACACACTCCCCTCGTACGCGGTAGCCCGGATGGCAATTAAGTATGACAGTTTGATTTGAATGGGCCGGACATACGCCTTCGAGCAGAAATCATACAGTCGAACCAAGGTGGCTCCATCTGTGAGACTGAGACAAATCGTCTTCCAAACCCAGTCCTGCGAGCGCGAGCCGACTTTGCTAATTCGCATTCCCGAGAGGATAAGATCGCCAGCTGTTCTTATAGTCGGAACCATGGGGTATTTTTCCTTTTTCCCTTGTCTTATTGCATGCAGGAGCATCAGCCTAGCCAGCGGAGTATATTGATCCGTACATAGGGGGACTGCATCAAGGCGCAGGAGTATATGCTCAACAGCTGCATTGAGCGAAGCTAGATACATCCAAGAAAGTCAGTCCACAATGTCCAAAATAAAACGGGTGCGCAACGGAGTAAAATGGAGCTTACGACAAACACGTCTCAGATGCAGGAACTCCAGGATTTCGCTCTCAAACAACTGCTCGGTTTCGGGTAGATTGCGGCAGAGATGGTCGAAGCAAAGCTGGATAATCTGGTCGGTCAGCTCCTGGGGGAGCATCCAAGGGGATGTCATAGCTGTTCTTTCTGGTGAAATGGAAAGAGGAAAAGAGATTTGATGGGAAGAAGTGAGAGAAGTCGGAGAAGTAAAGACAAAGCAGCCGTTTGCTATCTGCATTCACTATCCCATTCACTTGTTCGGAGTAGTATTTCCAGATGTGCTAGTTGATGCCAAATTTATTTACACTATGCTGCATGTTCTATTATCTTTAACCTCTTCAGCTTTTGCCAGTGCAGAAATGTATACTGAGACTTGTTGTGTTGATGCCTTCTGCCTGATATACAAGGCTGAAACATCACTTCAATATCGCCCAAAGTCCATGAGTTTGAGGTCTTCTTTTGTTTCGGAGGTGGATATTCTCATTCGATTTATGTATTTTACTCATTAATTAGTTTACGTCTACATATTTACCTCGGTGGTGTTACTATCTATAATAACCAGCAATAATAGTAGCACTACTACTTAGTAACCGGTAGCCAGGAATTCCATGTGGAGAGGTCCATATAAACCATATATATATTCTATATTAGTATGATGTATAACCGTCCTGTGGCAACTTGCTAATTGTTTATATGCCAAGATACACAGTTTTCTCCACCATATCCAGCACTGTGATAGGCTGTTATAAGACCACCCCTTTCTGCCTCTTCTCTCGGCAATTCCGTGATATCTGCACATCAATCCTCCAACACACCATGGACCACCGGTCGCCCACCGATCCGAGAGCCCGCCACGTCGCGTCCGCGGTGGGTATCCACCGGCGGAGCACTAATGCTTGTATGAATCTGTTTCTCTTGGGCGGGGCGTTTAGCTGACTCGCGCAAGGCCAGCGCTGCAAGCGGAAGAAGATCAAATGCTTCTACAACAGCGCAAATTCCCACCGGTAGGTTGTTTTGCTCTGTAGGTAGATGGACTCGCTAATAGTAGCAGGAAATGCGTCGCTTGTGCCAAGTCCCGGGCTGGTATGTCTGTTGTCTAGTTGATAAGCAGGGCTAATGATGTAGAGTGTGAATTTGACCTCCCTCCTGACGGTGTATTCAGAGGTGATGGGTGCGTACCCTCTGGAATCAGTTCAGATAATAGCTGATATGTGTAGATATGTTGCCACCCTGGAGGCCCGCATCCAGACCTTGGAAGCACAGTTACAGGCGGCGAATGCCCGGCCTGCTCTCGGAAACAATGTGCATCTCACGCCCCCAGAAGATGCTGAGCGTAGAGGACACCGTCCCGCGCCACAAGAACATGTAAGATCTTCTTCATATGATGAGATACCTACTGACACCCACAGGACCTCAGAAGGGCCGCTATCGGGTATCCAAGCCGACGTCCCCAAGATTCCCTGTTCAAATCGCCGCGAGCACCTCAGGCCTCAAATTTTGACATCACAGTCCTGGATATGCTGCATGGCAACGCATCGACTTCAGAAATAGAAGAGTCCCTGCCTTCACTTCCTTCCAGCGCCAGCGCCCGGACCCTGGTAGACACTGTCTATTTTTATACGCAAGCGCGGTACTGCATTGTCGACTGGACTCGTGTTCGCGAGTGGCACCAGGACCGAGATGCACTTGCTTATGCTTCTCCCCAGGCGCCAGTTGAGGCGCAGAGAGGTATGTCTCCTTGTCTTGGTTGGTTTTTCTAACATCTCCAGGAGCCTTCTTTATCTGGATTATTTATGCCATCGGTGCTCGTTTGATTTCTAATCCGGAGAATTCATATGAGGTATGTTTGTAACTATACCACTGTCACTCTCTAACTTATTAGGAATACTTTGCTCGCGCTCGATGTTATCTCCCCGCTGTCATGGCATCGCAAGACTCCGCGACAGTGCAGGCCCTTCTCTGTATAGTGCAGTACTACTTTCGTGCTCCAGTACGTGTTGCTTCTCTTGTTATCTAACGTGCTAACCCATACAGACTGAATCCCCAATCTGGTTCGTCGTCTACCTACTGTCTAATCCCACCTAACGTCCAACAGGCACCTAGTAGCGTTTGCACTGCGACTATGTATCAGACTTAGGTTCCACCGCTCCGTTTCGAATACTCGAGAGTCAAGAGATATAGACCCGTACACCGTTGAGCTTCGGAAGCGGTTCTTTTGGTGTGCTTATTGCTTTGATCGGTATGTCTCACAGTGATACAAGTAGCATATCTGACGGTCTAGATGCCTTGGAATCCTGTCAAAGCTTCCATTTGGAATTAGCGATTCGGATATTGATGTCGAGGTTCGTTGTTTTCTAAGATTTCTACGACCGACTATTGACTTGTTGTAGATTCCGGTGGATATCGACTGCACCTGTACAGACCACAACAAGATCCGAGAACTACAGCGGCTGCAGGCAGCTGGGCAGGACGGACAAGAGGGTACTGTAACGACAGTATGTTGGCAACATAGATTAACCCACCTGTCAAACGTATACTGACAACGAGCAGATGACAGCCGCCCTACACCACCTGCAAGTCTACCGCATCAGATCAAAAATACTGTACGTGTTCATCCCTTTACTTTTTTCAAATCCGCTAATATCATAGATCTAATTTCACCGGACCACATGCCCAGAAACCCTCCTTCGACGACGTAATGCGTCTCCTCTCCGAACTCGACCAGTGGCGCCAGCAAGCACCACGCAAGGACGCCAGACCCTTCCCCCAGCAGAACCCGGACCGCGTCGAGGCAACATACCTGCAAGCAATCCTCATAATCATCAGACCAGTTCTCATGGGTAATCCCATTGACCCGGCCTTGATAAAACTCTGCGGTGACTTTGCCGCCGATGCCTGCGAGGTGCCTACCCTTACCCACTTACTTCCCCATCGCCAGCCAGCCATTAATACTTATGTAGAGCACCAAAACCCTAAGCCTAAACCCGCAAACCCAAGCCGACCTCATCACAGTCTACCACTTCTTCTACTGCGGGATTACACTCCTGCAATGCCTCGCCATCGATCCGACGGCCCTGACGCCCCGGCGCGCACACCAGGCCATCAGCGCCTGTCTGAGTGCGTTGGCGATCTACACGCGCGAACTCCCCGCGGCGGCGCCTTTTCTGAGACTTTTTGAGGATGTCTCGAATTTGTTTATAAGGAATGATCACTGTCAGCCTGGTGCTGGGCCTGGGCCTGGGGCTGGGGTTGAGGTGGGACAGAGGGAGGGGTTGAAGAGGTTGTTGGATCGGATTGTTTGGAGTGGGCCGGAGGAGATTATGGGGTATTCTCACTCTTTATTACTTTGCTACTTGATGGTGTGGTGCTAACTGGTATTTTAGGATCTGGCAGTCTATATCTGGGAAAGAACCGGATGCAGGGACTGGGAATGGGACTGGGAATGGGAATATCAACCTCACGCCAAACCAGCCCAACCAACAAACAGAGACGCAGTCCGCTGCAGAATCGTTGGAGATCGAAACAATGGTATTTACACTATCCCTAACCCTACTACAGCCCCATATAATAATTAACTCTGCGCAGTACGACTCCATCCTAGGAGGCCAATCTACCGTTCTAGGCCTGGACACATCGCCACTGACAATCCCCGATATCTCGAATCTGTTTACGCCGGACGTGGAAATGGCGGGGCTCTGGGCTGGAGCGACGCCATGGTTGGATTCGTCTGGTTTGGAGTTTGACAGGATGGTTGCGGATGGGTTGGAATGATTGATTGCTCTTTACAGCTATGGTACTAATGATTATATTGGAAATGGCTAGATATGAGAGCAGAGAGATATATGATATCGTTAATGGTAAAGAGCATCAAGACTGCTGCAGCTTCTTTACGTCTGTCTCGAGGGTTTTACTCCTATATCTGTCAGCCACACCACAAGAAATGACTGAAGGAAGAAGAAACTTACTTGACCCTCTCCAAATCCCTCCCCTCAATAACCTCCTCAACATCGCTATTCCCACTCCTATTCCTAATCTTACTTCTATCCCCTCCGCCCCCCTTCACCCCCCTAACACCCGTCACCCTCCAAGGCCCACTAAACATCCTATCAATCTCCTCAACCGTATACCCCGCCATCTCAGGCACAAGCAAGAAAACATATAAAATAGCAACCGCACACCACACCGCAAAGAATACAAACGCGCCCCAGTTCTCCGTCCGCTCCAGCAGCGACGGCAGCGCATACGTCATAGCATAATGAAACAGCCAGTGAAAGGTCTGGGCCAGGGCCGCCCCAAAGGACCGGATACGGTTTGGCCAGAGCTCGCCGCCAAAGACGTAGGGGAGGGTGAGGAGGCCGACTGAGTAGCCGAGGGCGTGTAAGAATATCGCAGCCAACGCGGCTTCTCCTGCGGAGCGGGGGGCGCCGTTGTTGTTGTCGTTTTCGACTTTGATGAATGCGCCGATGTAGATGTCTGAGAGCATTTGGAGGGAGATTCCGATGAAGAGGGAGTTTCTGCGGCCGAGGACGTCGATGAAGAGGAAGGAGGCGAAGAGGCTGAAGAAGAACTTGGATAGGGCGTACATGCAGGTCAGGAAGAGGTGGTGTGTTGAATCCCCGTCGACGCCGATGATCCCGAGTACAGGTATGAAGTAGTTTGTGATGGAGTTGCCGCCGGAGAGCTGGGGGAAGACATACAGGATCAGGGCCTGTTGAACACGGCGGAGGTTGGAAGGGACGGTGAAGACTTCCTTTGCGATGCTGACGACCTTTGATGGGGAGTTGTCGTCTACAGCAGAGGATTGGATCTCTGTCTCTGAGCGGATGGCTTCGGTCATGGCTTGGAGTTCTTCCTGCACGCGAGGATGGCTAGCTGGGAGGCGTCGAAGGTGGATGAGGGCTTGTAGGGCTTCATCATGTCGATCACGAAGGAGGAGCCAGCGTGGAGATTCGCAGAGGAAGAAACTAGCTACACACCAGAGGAACATGAAGATGCACGGTGCGAACCAGACGACCTGGTATTGGAGCCTGCTCGGGGCGATGTGCAGCTGCACGCCGTAGACACAAAAGTCAGACACCATCAGCCCGATGCCCATTCCAACCGAGAACCAGGCGGCGAGGAGGCCACGGATCTCGGCGGGTGCGATCTCGACGATGGACATGATGCTGGTGACGCTCAGAGCGCCGATTCCGAGGCCTGATATTATGCGCGAGGCGTATAGCCCTGCTACGTTGGGGGTTGCGATGGCGACGATCTGTCCGACGAACCATACGCAGCAGTATAAGCGGAACGACCACAGACGTCCAACGCGGTCATTGACGAAAAATGATAGAGCAGCCCCGGCGGCGTCCCCGAGGTAGACGAGGGAGACGAAGTTCTTGATAGCACCAGCGTCGGACCCGGAGCTGATACCAAAGTGGTTCTGGAAGCCTGGGAGGGAGGGAACGGTTGATCCCATTCCTTGGTCCCATGCTGAAGCAGTTAGCCTTGCTCCTGGATAGACAGATAGGATATTCTCACTTAAAGTAACGGCAGCCGAAGCATACATCATGGACGACAGGATCAAGCTCCGGCTGAAGATGACCTCGCGCGGTGCGTTCCTGATCTGTCGGCCATAGTTCGCAAGTGATGTCTTGCTGAGAATGCCTTTAATTCCCATTCTCAGAGACGTGATATCCAGTTACAATTCAACAAGGGCAGAAAGGTAGCCACAGCAGGGCTGGCGGCATTGAAGTAGAGAGGATCGCACCCTTGAGATAAGAGTCCAGGCTTCGGCACTTCCGAAATGGAGATAACAATCTCAAAATCTGGGGTTGATCGAGATCTACATTGGCTCGAGCTGAAAGAGGGGATCTGGTTGTTCGAGTTGTTCTCGTTATCTCGTCAGGCTCAGGTGGCTGACCTTCTAGGGTTATCCCTGCGGTGATATCAGTGATCCACAATATGAAACCAACATGGATACCTTCAAACATACGAGAAACTTGAGATATCTGTATGGATGCACCAAGAGTGTTGATTCTGATACCCCAGGTCCGATCCTGGGGCCCCAGACCCCGCGAAGCTGCCACAATACAGAGTAATTCAAGGCTAATTGAATACGTAAGATGGATCCTTTGGAGGAATCATCGCCAATGATATCAGAATGAAGTTGACGCGGGGCTTCTCCAGCAGTACCAGAGTGTGAGTGGGATAGAGACGTCGCGTCAAAATATTCAATTAGCCCCCAAGCCCGGAGCCCCCGAGACGATAAGCAGAGATAAGCAGAGATCAGCTCGAGATTAACTTAAAAGGTCTCGCAATTACCGAGTCCATATCCAGTGGGGACCGGAATTGCCGCGTCTCTATCAGATCCCGGCAATTGCGAGATCTATCCCAATCTTAAAACCGTATACACGCTCAAAGGTAGTTCAAGCACTGCCTTGTCCATCTTGAATAGAAGTGTAATACTGGCACAATGACGACTCCCGACTCTCGCGTTATCATCGTCGGCGCCGGCGTCTTCGGCCTCAGCACGGCCCTTTGGCTGGCGCGCAGTGGCTACAAGAACGTCACCATCTTCGACCGTCAGCCCTACGACAGGACCTTCTATAACCCCGCCGATGGGTGTGACTCGGCGTCTTCGGATATCAACAAGATCTTCCGAGCCACATACGGCACAAAGGAACAGTGAGTCTGCACACCCATCTACATCATCCCCGCCCATAATATTAACCATCCGCAGCTCGCAAGACCTCGCCTTCGAGGCACGGGATATCTGGCTGCAGTGGAACAAGGAGATTCGCGAAAGTGATCCCTCTGCTCTGCCCCCGTCGCTCACCACGGAGGATGAGCTGCTCACCGTCTGCGGGCTGTATAACCTTGCAGACGGGGATGAGATGATCGACTTCTACAAGACGAGCCTGAGCTCAGTGGAGGCGACGGCGCCCAAGGGATTTCGGGATTTGCAGTTTGTCAAGGTGAGCAGCTCACTTCCAGTCTACGATCAGTGTTAATACAAGATAGGGAAATACCAACGACGAAGAACGTGCATGGAAACTCGGGGCTGAGTGGGGGAAGAAGTACCATAATTTCGATCATTTCAATAACAACGCTACGAATGGCTTTCTGGATGCGGCTTCGGGGGTGACACTGGCTGACAAGGTTCGTCTTTCTCTAGTTGTATCGAATATATCTGACTACTGCAGGCATGTGTATATGCTCGGCATCTCTGTGAAAAGGCCGGGGTGAAATTCGTCCTCGGGAAGCCTCACGGAGAACTCAAGCAGTTGATCACCGAACAATCAGGGGCTAGCAAGAAAGTTACTGGAATCCTCACGCTAGATGGCCGGAGTCACTCTGCTGATCTTGTTGTTGTTGCTTGTGGGTGCCCTGCGTTAGTGTCAAGAGCCCTGTTAATGTGTATAGGCGGTCCCTGGACGGCACATGTTGTGCCTGAAGCCCACAGGAGTGTTGAAGCCACGATGGGCACGCTGATGTTCATTGACATTCCTGAGCACCGGAAGGATCTCAGAGAGAAGTTCCACCCTAAGAACATGCCCATCTGGCGCTTTTTGCGGGGTGAAGGAGATGGGTATGCATCTATTCCTTAAATACCATCATTAACTAACAGTATTATAGGGCCTACGAGGGAGGTTCCTTTCCTATCACCAAGGAAGGCCGAATAAAGTTCGGCTTCCGTGCTCGAAAGGTATGAGCGTACCTCTAATTTATATATCCTGCTAACTCATTAAGTTCACCAACTTCCAAGATCACCCCACTCAGAATAATATGTATGCTATGACCAGACCTTGTTAGATATTCAATGGCTGACCTGATAGCCGCCTCTCCACACCACGCACAAAATACAGCCCGAACCCTATCAACACCGTGCCGCTCTACGGCCTCAGTCTGATGAAGCAGGTTATCGGCGGCATGTTCCCTGAACTGGCTGAGTTTGGATTCACAGATAGCAGGGTCAGTCTGCCATTGTTATACATTAAGCCCATGCTAACATATGTAAAGTTATGCTGGTACACGGATAGCATCGACAACGAGGTAAGTACTCTAGTGTAACATAAAGCTACTACTAACCAGTATAGTTCGTAATCGACTACGTTCCCGGATACTCCGACTCACTGTTCATCTGCACTGGTGGCTCGTAAGTACAACATCTTCTCGTAAGATCAGAACTGACAACTACAGCGGCCACGGATTCAAATTCCTCCCTGTTCTTGGAAAGGTCAGTCTCAATGTCCCATTCTAGACAGCCAAGCTAACCATGCCAACAGTACGTCAAGAACCAGCTCGAGCGCAAGCCCGACCGCTTCACGCCGTTCTGGAAGTGGCGCCAGGTCCAGGCGGGAAAGAACTGCAATGGGCTGGAAGAAGGAGAGAATGGGCCGCGTGAGATGAAGAAGCTGCAGTTGGCTAAGCGTGAGTCCTATTCGCATACTTTTAAGAGGTGTCTATGGATACATGCTAATCTTGTGGCAGCTGAACAAGATTTCAGGTTTGACTCTGAGAGTCTGACTGGGCTTCCTGGTCGGATTCAGAAGGTTACTCTGGGGAAGGAGAACTCCCGGTTGTAACTGATGCGTCTAGATGGGAATTAGGGTCATGGATATATTTTTCATTACTCGCACCGCATTCTCTTTTTGCCCGTACTTGGAATAAATATGATAAAGTACATTGTTCTATTCAATCATAATAAGACTATTACATACAAGCTTGTAGAAAGTAGAAGATCTATCAATTCCACCCACTCCCTCCACGATCCATATACAACTCCACGTCCTCCTCAGGATTAAGCGTATTCTCTCTCAACTGCTGCCCATCACTCCAATTCCCACAACTCACCGAAACCCAGTCCGCCCCGTCTCTGATCCGGAAAGGAAGAACCTGTCCCCTGTGGTTGATCGCCAAGTGCAGCACCCATCCCTCTTCACACGCCTTGCGATCTGCAACAAGTACAAGAAGCATCTGCCAGTCTTCAACTTCTTCAGCGGGAGGAAAGGCACCTAGATTCTCAATTCGACTACCGTCGATCTGGTCAGGACAGTGCATCAATGCGGTGAGAACGTACGAGGGTATACATCCAGGTGTGGGAATGGCGACACCGTCTGAAAATTCAACATCGCTGCTCTGTGTAGAAAGGATAGAAGAAGAAGAAGAGAATTGCTCCTTGTCGTCAAAAATAAAGAACTCATCGATCATAAGCCTCATCTCTCCATATTCGGTCGAAATGACCTCAACCAAATGGGCATAATCCACATCTGCCTTCTCCTGGCTCGCTGGATCATTATAGTCGCCATACCACGTCCGAATAAAGAGCGTACGCTCTATTTGTCCGTTATGGGCCCGTTCTCTAGGACTTAGAAGGTTTTGTGGGACGTTGTTCGGGATTTCTTCTGGTAGTGGGATTGCGCCGAGATATTGCTGTGTATTTATTATCATCTATTGTTTGAGATAGAAAATGGACTGAGGGTACTCTTCGCCCGTATTTCCCTAGTTGAATCCACTCTTCGACGAGCTGTTTCTTTTGTTGCGTGGTGGAGAGGGAGGCTGGGTTCCATTTTGCCTGTATTATTCGTTGATATTAGCAGTACACGGTCTAAGGTGTTCACTAACTATGACATAGAGGTCAAAAGGGAGGAAGCCAAATTCAGGCAGGTCGAGGCCGTTGAGGTCGTCGTCTGCCATCATATAGTGCTTGACGGGGTAAATAATGAAGAGCAAGGATTAAACTGCAGGAAGAGGGGATTTTAAGTAGGTCCAATACTAGGCAGCAGTTGCCTGGACCCAAGTTATCAGATCAGCCCAAGCATACTCTAGATAAATAATCTAAACAGTATCAACCTTCCAGTTTGACCGGCAATGCTGATCACAGTGGAGAAACTTCGTTATCCACCTCGTATTCAGCAAAGGCTTTCTCCTTTGCTTTCTCCTTTTCTCCTTTCTTCTTCCATTGAACTCTCCAAAATGCCATCGCTACGAGATCTTCCCCCGGAGATTGTCCGTATGATAGTTGATTACACAAAAGAGCCCAAGGCGTTGTGCCTTGTTTCGCGTAACTTCGCGTCCATCGCCCGGCCAAGAGTCCGCCGCGAAGCCCTCGTAACCGCTGCTCGCAGAAACGACGCGACGCGGTTCAAATCCATTTTATCCAAGTCAGATTGTCTCGATGGACAGCTACTGCGAGCCCTCGTCCGCATCGGTAACCCAGTTTATGTGGCCCCGGTGCTGGAAATAAACCCTCTGGTATATCGGAACCGGGCCCTCTTGGGAGATCTGTTGCATGACGCTATACATTACGGACATACAGGGGTTGTCAAATTTCTGGTCGGTACGGAATGCGACGCCACTATAGTGCCACAATTGAATGAACTTTCCGTCGCTGTCGACAAGGGACACGAGGATATCGTTGCAACTCTGCTTGATGCACAACTGGACCAGCCCATTGATGATAAATGGTGTGCCCCAGCCTGGCCACTTGTTCTCAAAGCAGCTCTCGCTGGGAAAGTCCCCATCTTAAAACTGCTTCTAGATTATGGTGTATATCCGTCAACATTGAAAAAGGGCCTTGCTTCCATCAAGGCCGCGAAGGACGACCTTGTTACTGGTATTATTCGCCTTTTCGTTGCAGCTGGTCTCGATGTTAATGCCAGATCCGATGGCGTCACGCCGATACATTATGCTTTGCAGTCGTCTAATATACCTGCCTTCCACGCACTTAGAGATGCTGGTGCGGATGTCCACGTCCTTGACGACGGGCAGGCAACCTTACTTCATTACGCTGCGCGGTATGCAGAGAGCTCTATCTGCCAGATACTCCTAGACGCAGGACTAGACGTCAACTCCAAGGACATCCACGGGCGGCCGCCTATCCGCTGGGCACTTCTCAGCGACTCAGACCGCAGCAGCGTTATAGACTTGCTACTAGATGCCGGCTCCGACCTCAGTCATCGTAACCGAGGAGACACGCTGCTTCACGATGCCTGCTGGTTGGGCAATCCTGTTTATGCCGATATATTCTTGAGCGCGGGGATCGATGTTGATGTCAAGAACGAGAAAGGCCTAACGCCGGTTCTCTGTGCTGTTTTGAACCGAGATGTTGAGCTTCTGTCCATGTTAATAGGCGCCGGGGCTGATATGGAGGCCCGTGATGAGCAGGGGAGGACGGCGGTTGATATTGCGACCCAGCAGGGAGATGAATCCTGTCTCGCTTTCTTTCTTTAGGCAGTCTTTCCAGAGGTGCTGGACGAGGTGGGTCTGTGTAACCATGTCGCCTACTTGATCAATCGCTCAGAATGCCCCGTAGGCTGTAATCCTACAGACCATAACTCGCCATAACTAGAACAATCTACTTTCCTTCACGACGTTTATCTAGATATACCTTTCCTTCGTCCACACCGCCGTTCCAGACTGCAGGCAATGTGGCTTGAATGACTGACCTGAAGCAATACGAATCACACTGGCCATCACCTGCATATGCATGTGCACCATGCAAGGAAGCGCGCAAGGCTTTTGTGCGGCCTCCTCGCCTTTTAAATGCAACATGGCGCCCCGCGTCTTAATCAAAACAACCATCCTTTCATCCCGATGAACCCCCCAGCAATGGCCATGTTCGACAACGAGAAAGACCTCGATAGGTCTGCGCCGAAAGATGTCCCAGAAATGCCGCAGTCGCCGCATTCCAGCACGGATCTTGGACGGCAGTTAGAGCTGGATGGAGAGAGGAAATTCAATCGTCTTGGCTGGAAGCGTCTCACGGTCGTGCTGTTTGTGGAGGCGATTGCGCTTGGGAGTCTGAGTCTTCCTGCGGCGTTTGCGACCCTCGGTATGGTGGCAGGGATTATATGTACGGTGGGAATAGGTTTTATTGCAACGTACGCCAGCTACGAGGTCGGGGCTGTCAAGCTCAAGTACCCAGAGATCAACAACTACGGCGATATAGGCCGGCTGCTTCTCGGAGAATGGGGCTTCTGGCTGGTGACGCTGTCCTTCATGTGTGGCATGCTGCTGAATGTCGGATCACACTGTCTCACTGGCACAATTGCCCTGGCTGATATCACGCAAAGCGACGTCTGTGGTGTTGTATTCGGCGCTGTCTCTGCTGTGATTCTATTCCTCCTAGCCATCCCTCCAGCGTTTGCCGACCTCGCTATCCTCGGCTACATCGATATCGTTTCGATCCTTGTCGCCATCGGAATCACATTCATAGCCACAGGCATCCAGCAGTCCAAACAACCAGGGGGCATCAAGAGTTCAGACTGGTCCGCCTGGCCCGCAGAGGACATCGACTTCTCCTCCGCCATGGTCGCCATCAACAACATCGTCTTCGCATACTCCTTCGCAATCGCGCTCCCCTCCTTCATGAGCGAGATGCACACCCCAAGGCACTACGTCAAGTCCGTCTGCACCCTCGGCGCCTTCCAAGCCTTTCTCTACACAGTCATCGGGGCCGTCATCTACGCATTCGTCGGACAAGCCGTGCAAGCCCCCGCCCTGCTTTCCGCTGGCCCTGTCGTCTCCAGAGTCGCCTTTGGCATTGCCCTCCCGGTGATTTTCATCTCGGGCTCGATCAACATCAGTATCGGGGCGAGGTATATCCACGGGAATATATACCGCGATTCGCTCACGCGCTACGTCAATTCTAAACGCGGCTGGGTTACTTGGGTTATGCTGGTTGCTGTGTGTACCGCCATCTCGTGGATAGTGTCCGAGGCGATCCCTGTCTTCACCACGATATTGTCCATCAGTGGTGCTTTGCTCAACTCGGGTCTGTGTTACTATATCCCTGCGCTGATTTGGTTCGTCCTCGTGAAGGAGGGGAGTTGGTATAGTCGCAGGAACTGGCTCAGGGCGTGCTGTAATGCGCTGGTCTTTTTGTTTGGGATTGGCGTTTTGGGGTGTGGCACGTATGCGACTATTGTTGTTTTGGTAGGTCTTGTTACCCTGGATCTATTACTAGGCTGACTGTTCTGTAGATACGACAGACTAGGGATGGTGTGACTGGCCGTCCTTTTGCATGTTCGAAGTCGTAGAACTGGGGTAATCCCTTGATATATTATCGCCACAATCAATATATTTAACTTTGGTATTTGTAGTTCTCTCCTTGAGCCAATAAGAAGAACTGAACAATAGCGCGACGCCAAGCTATACGGTAACTACGCCATCGCCATACTCTGACTCACATCAACCCCCCTCCATCTAACATCAGAACTCGAATCAACCAACTATCAGTAAAAAATGCACTACGCCATCGCCCTATTCCCCGGCTTCGAAGCCCTCGACGCATTCGGCCCACTACAAATCCTCAACACCCTCTCCAGACAAACCCCTATCGAACTCTCCATTCTGGCCGCCACGCCTGAGCCCGTCTCAACCCGCTCCCCGGATCCATCCCTGCTGGCAACGGGGTCTGTATGTTCCCAGGAAATCGTCCCGACGGGGACATTTAATGATTTCTTAAACCCGTCTCTGGAGGAGGGGGGTAAGAAGAAGATCGACGTACTCATCGTCCCCGGCGGTGTAGGGACACGGTTCCCCGAGATCATCCAGCCGGTTATTGAATTCGTGGCAGAGATCTACCCTTCCCTTCGATATGCGGTGTCTGTGTGTACCGGGGCGGGAGTGCTTGCGAGGGCAGGCATCCTGGATGGCAAGAGGGCGACGACGAATAAGATCCGGTGGGAGGCGACGATTGCGCTGAGGACGGAGGTGGAGTGGGTGAGGAATGCGCGGTGGGTGGTTGATGGGAATGTCTGGACTTCGTCGGGGGTGAGTGCTGGAATTGATGTGCTGTTGGCGTTGGCGAGGGAGGTCTATGGGAAGAGTGTTGTGAGTGAGGTGGCGCGGTTTGTTGAGTATGTCTGGGATGAGAACGATGATGGGACGAGGGATCCGTTTGCTTGATCAAGAGTATTTATTAACAATATAAGTCAAAACTCGTGCTGGGTAAACTCGGTCTGAACCCTAATTCCCTTTAGAGGCACATCATCCCGAGTCCTCTTCAACCACCGCTCATTCTCCGCCTCCATCTCCTCCCTCTCCCTCCCATGCACGACAGTCTTGGTCTTCATACTATCATACCCGGGCCTAAACTGCCCCCCATCAACCCTAGTCTGGGAATCCAATGAATCACTCTCATCATCCGGTAAATGGTAAAACGAGCGCCGATTCGCACGCACCAGGTCGATATTACTCGGCGCCGACGCAGAGCCACCACCACCATTCCCATTCCCATTACGGCTACGGCTATGGCTATGGCTATGCCCCGCTGTATTCAAGGTGAGTTTCGACGTAGACGCCGTCCGGGACCCACCCGTGCGTAGCAGCGAGGGCATCACGGATCTCAGCCCCAGCACGCGGAAGAAGAAGGCGAATGCCGGGCGGAGGGTGGGCAGGCATGCTGAGACGATTCCGGCGGACATTTCGATGGCCGTCCACCCGACTGTCGGGGCGAGGGTGTAGGAGGAGTCGAGGGCTGTGTAGGAGAAGAGGACGCTGAAGCGGTATGCGGAGGCGAAGACGACGCTATATCCAATATCAGCACTGCAACTATCTCAAGGGACTTGGGTGGGTGGTTGGTTGGTTGGCGTACAAGAACCCCAGACTAAAGGCAAAGGTTAGGGCAGCTTTCTCGGCAGCTCGGAGCTGCAGTTTCCATATCTGAGGCAGAGGGAGGATTAGGATGGCGAGGTCGGAGGCGATGGTTGAGATTGCGTTTGCGATCCAGGTCCCGACCTGGTTGATGCAGTGGCCTGGGAGCTGTGGGTACCACAGTTTCTGCACGGGCACGCAGATGAAGATGAAGAGGAAGGTCACGCAGATGACCCAGGCGATGACGAAGATGGCGATGGCGTAGGCCCAGCGCTTGAAGTAGGGGAGGTGGAAGATGCGGTAGTAGAAGAAGAGGATGCTGAGTTTGGTCCAGACCAGGTTGAATGCGTATAGGATCTCCGCGACGACGAGGAACTTGGCGATTAGGACGACGTTATTAGGATGGAGAGTATTCGCATGTAGGCCCATTCCGTTGTGGTGCATGGCGAAGATGAAGCCCACGACGACGAAGTTCCAGGCCTGTTAGGTCAGTACTTGATAGATACTTTGCTTGCTTGCTTGCGTACCATTGACCAAATAATCATCCAGTCGTCCCACCAGAGCTTCTGCTTCCGCTCGAACCGTGCCAGCAGACGAAGACAGACCGCTACAAAGGCCAGGACGGTCACGGCGCTGACGGTGGCCACCGTCCATGGCTGCAGGCTGTCCGCGTTTCCCGCCATTGTCGAGTACATGAAAGAAGAAAATAGAGAGACATATTATTTAAACTAGACATCAACAGAACTACAGCGGACTACAGCGGACTACACGGAACTGCACCCGTCCAAACGTAATGGTAATCATTCTACAGCGGCCCGAGATGCCAAAATTAGTCTCCATCGTCGGCAGTTAGGCCCACTCAGGCAAACTCTACATCGTGGAGAACATCCTCGTCTAGCCCTTTACAGGCTGGCGTACTTCCGCACCATGTCCAACATGGCACGATTGACGGGCTCTGGGTGGGTGGCGTTGAGGTAGTGACAGCCCCCCTCGACCATCTGCAGTCGGGCCTCCCTGGACCGTGTGAAACGGCTGATCTGCTCAGTTGCAACGGTCGTTCCAAACGGCGTATCGTCGGTGCCCTGAACTGTCTGTCAGTTTCTGCGCTTTGCAGTGTTAGGGCTAGGGCCTCACCTGCAGCCAGTAGACCGGACACTGGACGTCCCGCAGTCTCAACAGCAGCCCGTCTCGCTCAATCAGGCAGTTCAGCGCCATCCGGACCTTCTTGCGTCCCTCATCTCCGCGGTACACCTCCTGCAGCGTCTGCTTCCAGAACGCGCCGCTCTCCTCGGTCGCAAACGCCCCAAACCCGACGGAGCCCACCATCCCGCACCACACCTCGTCCACCACAAAGTCCGGAGTCGCGCTCTCGCTCGTCCATTTCTCGTAGAACGGCGTCAGCAGAGAAGCCGGGTCCCAGCATCCCTTGGACCGAGAGTCGGACGACTCGTAGTCCATTGACGTGCCCAAGGGCAGGATACCTTGGATCTGTATCAATTTTAGCCCTTTCGCTTTACTTGTAAATGACTGGAATTTGGAAGATTACCCTCTCCGGAGCCAAGAGCGCCATGCGGGCAACAATCCAACCCCCCTGGCTAGTCCCCAGCGCAAAGGCCTTCTGAATCCCAAACGCATCCAGCACCTGGAGGGCCATGATCGCCGAGTCCCAGTAGGTGAAGTGCTCGGACGGGCAGCTCGTCGCACCATGGCCCAGGGGCTCAACCGCGAGGAGATTCATGGCACTCGCCAGCTCTTCGTTCTCGAATTGGGGCTTGTACAGCGCCGATGTCATGCACATGGAGTTGACGAGGACGCAGGTTGGCTTGGAGGCGTCGTATTCGCGCGCAAAGGCGTATCCGGCCTTTGTGCCGCCGAGATGGGGGACTTGGATTGTTGTGGCCATTCTTCCTTTCTGTTGGTGTATGTTTCTTGTAAAGATGGATGATCAATCTCACAAATCACAACAGCCGACGGGAATAATAAGGATAAATAAGGTAAAGATAATTAGACTGGTCCATCTGGGACTGCAATTTCGAGCCATCCCGGGTCCGCGTCCACGGGAGACACCAGTAGCCAGTCCAGTGTCCACCGATTCTTCACGGCCCAAAGGAGCAAGAGGGGCTGTGTTCAGGGCCCTTTGGTGAAGCCAGTAGCCTCAGATTACTGATCCACAGTGTCCACCATGCCTGATCCACTGCGTTACCGGATTTGGGCAGTGGGAAGAGACTCCCGCCAGTCTGAGCGAGCGAGACGGTGAGCTTGAACTCTGAACTGGGACGAGTTACTGGTTAGGCCATGTCTGAGACACACAGTAGACGACTCAACTCGACTGTGTGAATATGGTGGGTCTGAATCCGTTCCTTGGTTGTCGAGCCTGTCAAACCAACCTTATTGCTGTCCCAAACTCCCACTGCCGCACTAACAGGAACGGTGTATCCGTATAATGTAGTTAAAACCTGCAGACAGGCAGGGGTTAGTTGACTTAGTTCAACTTCCACTCGACCGGCGTCCCAAGTGCCGATGCATCGGAGGCCTACTTCCTTAGTACAGCAGTAGCTCCGATTCCTACTTTAGTCAGACTGTGCTAACTTTTAGTGTGAAGAGTGAGATATCCACGTATTCTAGAAAAAAACGCCGAGATAAATGCGTGGTGGAGTTCGGACGGTCCCATTCCCGTATGAGCTGTTGAGGTACGAACTTCCTAATGCGATGGAAATGCGGATAATGGTCTTGGATAATAGGTTAGGCGAATGGCAGGTGAGAATTTGTAATTATTAGTTATTACCCCTGGCTTGGAAGGTATGAGGTCTGGTATTTCTATCTGACCCGCTCAACGTTGGCTTATAAATTAGCAGACTTCTCCATACTATCAATAGTGCTGTAATACTGCAAGTTCGCGTAATTCGCAAGGCTTAGACCGTGTAGAGTGACCGTCCCGTTCCAGTAAGAGGAATATCACCCTCATCCGTCCCTTTCGACGCCGAAGACCGACCCAGACTGGATTTCCAGCGTGCAAAATACGCGTTCGAGCTGTATGCACTGTCGCCGGCATGTTTCGACTCTCTGTTCCTGCTCTTGAACAGCGGGCGCAGCGTCGGCATGCACGCGGCGACGATCCCGACGGATATTTCGGTGTACGACCAGATTCCGGAGTAGACTGCGTTGTCTGTATATAGTTAGTATATGAATTGAGGAAGAAGAATGGCCCGTACAGCTGAGATCTGTGTTTTTCATTGTCGACAAGGCGACGCATCGGATGACGCCGAATATGCATACGCTGTCCATCATCAGTTTTATACTTGATAATATATAATAGAAAGACGTACATCCCTCCCAGCAGGAAGATACTGAGAACCTGGATCTTGCGGCCGGTTCGCATCTTCAGTCCGAGGACTGGCTGGATTGGTAAGGCTAAGATGGCAAAGTCGGTGACTACATTCACGATTCTGCAGCATGTCAGACTTTATCATTCTTGAGCATATTCTTCGGTGTGGCATTCGTACGCCAGAGTCAGAAAAGGAGGTGAAACGTTGATGCACTGGGCTGGCTTCCCAGTCCAAAGACTCGACAGAGGGATGCACTGGAATGCCGCCACGAATATCAGCGCAAGGTTGTATGATATTACCAGCACGCCCATGGCATAGGAGACGGCGGTGAGCCACTTGACTGGGAAGATGCGGTGGTAGAATATAAGAATCGATATTTTCGTCAGCATGATGGTGATGGAGTAGCAGATGATGGCGCCGACGTAGACCTAGAAGGTTAACAATTGCAGCGCACTCGGCTATAATTACATACCTGAGCAAATAGTCTCATGTCCTTGAGAAAGATGATGTGCAGGCCCTCGCCGTTGGCAACATTCAGCGCCATCAGGCAGGCGTATGTGAGCTGCCCCATCTAGTGCTGTTAGTATAGCAAGAGGAGTAATAAGGTCTGCTTACCAGCGCCACGCAAATTGTATAGTCATCCCAGCCAAGCTTGACTCTCGACCGACGCCTCGAAATCATGCGAGCAACAACTGCGCTGACGGCAAAGGCAATGCCGCACGTACAGGCCGCGATCTGATTTGGCCGCAGGTCATCGCTGGCGTTTGCTTCGTAGTAGGCAATCTCCTCTGGAGTGAGAGACATGGCGAGGCTTGACTGCGAGAACGCATAATTGGCGGGACATTGCGGGTTAAGAGGGGGACTACTTCGCATGTGAAGTCAGGAGACAGCCTGCAGTATGAAGAATGATGGCTGAGTTGGTGCAGGCATTCTGTGAGAGAATGCAGTCAGCTTATGCTGCATGTAGGACTGGGGTGTCCAGATAGCAGTGTAACACAAACTCTGTTCTTTGTTCCTCCACCTCATCTTGACTTTACTCTTTACTTCGTAACACCTCCATCTGACTTCTTTATTCCTCTCTTTTTCTCCATCCCTCATCACTGTCTGTTCATCATCTATTCATCATCTATTCATCATCTATTCATCAGTCTATCATGGAATCTCCTACCGGCGTCCACCTCGTGGGAAGCATCCCCCTCTCCTCCACCGACGAGGTCTTCCACAAGATCCCTGCTGCTCTGCCCGATCGCCTGTTCTCCATCCCCGACGGCGAAACAGGCACTCGCGCCAACTGGATCGGCTGGCAGATCCCATTCTTCCCCAAGGACGCTCTCCGACCAACCCTCGGCGGGCCTGAATTGCCATCAGACTATTCTGCAGCTTTCACCCAGAGCTCACTCGAGCCAACCCAGTACGACACCCAGGCTCTAGCCTCGTACAAGCAATTCATCAAACTCCGCGATGCCGGCATCATCCCCAAGGGAGTGCGGTTCCAGGTCTCGCTTCCAACGCCGTACGCTTGCATCCAGGGCCACATAAAGCCCGAGTTCCAGGCGCAGCTGGAACCGTTCTACGAGCAGCGCATTCTCGAGTCGCTGGCTTCGATTATTAAGGAAATCCCATCCCATGATCTCGCGCTCCAGTGGGATCTGTGCTTTGAGACCACGGCCTTGGAAAATGCACGCGGTCGATTGACGGATGAGTTCTTCAAGGCGCATTTCGAGCCCGTTAAGGAGGGGCTCTTGGATCGTATTGAACGTATCTGTGCTGATATTCCGAGTGAGATACCGGTTGGGTTCCATCTTTGTTATGGTGACCTTGGCCATAGGCACTTCATTGAGCCGGAGGATCTGGGCGTGTTGGTGGACTTTGCAAATGGCATTCTCAAGCGTCTTGGTGAGCAGCGTACTGTTGGCTGGTTCCATGTTCCGGTGCCTAAAGACCGAGATGATGTGGCGTACTTTGAGCCGTTGAGAGAGCTTGAAGCGGACAAGCATACCAGGCTTTACTTGGGGGTTGTTCATGCCAATGACAAGGCTGGGACTCTGCGGAGGATCAAGGCTGCTCGCGAGGTTGTCCAGAGGGAGTTTGGAGTGTCCACTGAGTGCGGCATGGGACGTACTCCTGCAGAGGAACTTGACAGTATCTTGCAAATCGCAAAGGAGGTGTCGGTCCCGAAGGATTAGTTGTCTAATTCTATAGCCTCGGTTTACAAGCAATTATCAATCACTCATCCATTTCGACAATCAATCAAAATAATCAAATTAATTACCAATCCAAGTAGCCTCAATAATTGCCAACGCCGCCCCCTCCGGCGTCCAACACTTCACACCCCCAAATCTCCCATCCGCCTGTGCAAACAGCCCCCTCCACTCCTCCTCATCCCGCAGCCTCGACTTCGTAAACGCAAGCATCATCATATCCATATACCGGATATACCTCTCCATTGCAAGCGGCAGCGACCCGCTCTCTGGACAGAGACTCTCGTTCACAACAACCCTCGCGCCCTTCTTCAGCGCCGGCACCAGCTGTCTCAGGATCCGGACTACGTACTCGTCCGACCAGTCATGGAGCACCCATCGGAAGAGATATACGTCTGCCGTTATGGGCTGGGGTGTGAAGAAGTCGTGGGCTAGGAATTCAACCTGCCCCCGTTTGTTGACGGGGTGAGGGCCAGCTTTAGCTTCAACAACAGTATCCAAATCCTGGACAATAACACAGAGTCCCGGGTTCGCATCTGCAATCATCTGTCCAACATGGCCATCTGCGCCGCCGAGGTCGACGACAACAGAGCCCGTGGGTAGTGTATCCCATGGATATCCCTTTATTAGGAAGTTGGGAGAATAAGCCGGTATAGGACCCGTGTAGAACTTCATTGCCTCGGTGAACTGCTTGCTTTTGGCGGGGTGGGAGCGCAGATACGAGAAGAGGTCTTGGTTTGTGTTGTGCGCAAGGGAGAACCCCTGTTGTTATTAGAATAATGTTATCTTGAAGCTCAGGGTGTATATAGAAGTGCATACCGTCTCGTTTGGCTCATGCCCGTCGAACTGGTCTATGGCGTCTACAGTCTAAACCAAGTCAACGCACTGAACCAAAAAGATGAGACTTAAAGTACATACCCTGGCAAATGCCGGATAGAACTCATCAAACTGGCCGATTCCCGCTTGGACAATCCCGTCCTGGGCCAGGATCCTCGAGCCAGCGGAGTGTGCGACAAATCCCTTCTTCTCCTCGGTGAAGAGCCGGTGGAAGACAATCGCGAACCGGATAACCTGCTTCAGTTCGAAGACGTGGATTCCGCATTTTGAGGAGAGGTCTTCGTATGAAATGGAGCCGGTGGTTGGGACGTGGGTGTAGATCTTGTAGCGGGATATTGTCTGCAGAGCACTGCCGTTGTACTTTTTAGACAGAGTTAGTTCATTGTTTATTTCTGGGTTGTTATGGAACTAACAAGAGGTAGCATGCATGTTAATGGTCCTTGCAGCCGGTCGAGCAACTCCATACAAGCGTTTATAGCTTTGGTCTTTGCGGTGGTGATTTCGGCGGTGCTAGCCTGAGGGCTAAAGATGCTCTGGGGAGTGGTGTCGAGAGATGGCATTGGTAGGCCATGCTCGGTGAGAAGTCGACAGAGGGATTCTGTCGACTGGGTAATGGTCTTTGCAAGGCTGATGACCTCTGCTTCTTTCTCCATAGTTGAGTTTTACTGATCTCTATAGTGAATCGAAATGATGAGCACAGGTTAAAGTTGTGCGTTCAGTGACCTGAACACCAAATGCAGCCAAAACTATATTCTCCGTTCTCCGTAGTCTGAAGGTAAATGATCTGCATTGATACCCTAATTACAAGGAATGAACTGCAAGGTAACATAGCCCCGTCCAGGCCCGGCCCCCAGCTGCAGTACGACGTCGGAGTAAGCAGGAAATGCAGCTGTGCCGGGGGAGAACCAGTTACACCCCGTCAGCTTACAGGAGTCTGGCATCCATTTCATCCCTTCGACATTATCAGCAGGCCTGCTACACAGAAAACGCACACTTACTTCCCGCTAACCAAACAGGAGTCCCCCGCTGAGCCTCCCTTGTGTAGGACATATATACTCTGGGTTTTGGTTTTGGCCCCCGCAGGGGTGTGACCATTGCATCAGCGGAAATGCAAGGGATATGGATACTGGTATGTTGCCAGCGGGGCAGTGACAGAATGACAGAATGCTTGGATGTTGGTTAGATGGTGGGTGGCTCGGGGTATATGAACCCGTCTAGCCCAACAGAAATATTGTTCTTCTGGCAACTACATTATTCCCTAAGTCACCGAAATAAGCAACCAGGCTTGAAACAAGAAAATGAATACCTCTGGCCTCCTTAACCTCCTCCTTTTCAGCCTCGTTGGCCTCGCGACGGCTGTCCCCATTCCTGACTCTGAAGGCACAAGCGGTAAGCATGCCGGTATTGGACCATGGCCATTGACTAATACTGATAATACCAGCAGATCGTATCTACTCTGCTGAAGACGTCGATCTCAAGGCCATCGGGGATACCTATTAATCAACGTTGGGAGAAGGGCATGTACGCGAATGGGCTGTTATAGTTGTTATAGTACGGGGTGTTAGGTGGTCGTGGTTTATTCGGGCTAGATCGTATTTCTTTTCGTACTCCATGTATGCAGTAACTTATAAGCAGGGGAAGCCCACCTTTATGTCCTCTTTTGTGGTATTGCTTGCTCGTTCAACACAATATGAAATATACTAGGCTTCCCACTCTTCCTGTCTTCACTGAGCCTGGTACTCCTGCAGAAAGCAGGGCATTCATAGCCTACAAGGCTGTAGCTGCCACTGCACTCTTCTCTGTTAGCTTTTTCCTAGGCGTGGTTTTTGACAAAGTCGTGGGTGGGAATAAAGCATCAGTCGCACATTGTGGTGACTACGGATCAATAAACTCTTTTCCAGATGGCACCATCTCTCAAGGTAATCCGATATCCTTTTTAATGCTCTATCTCATGCTCATAAATGACAGTCTGCCTCTCATCTCACGTCAATCAACGCATACGCCATTACCCTGAATTCGAAGCTCCTCCGCCCGAATCAGGGCCTGAGCCTGTTTGGGACGCGCTGATTCCAGGTGCCACTCACTTTTATACTTGTATTATATCTTTCTAACATGCATGCTACTATTCAGATGGCCTAGGATATATCGTCCATCCAGACCTTTCGCCCAATACTACATCCGTGGTAGCCGTCTTCCACCAGTTACATTGTCTGGTCTGTCTACCTGCTTTTATATCACTAAAACCAATATTCTGATTCTGTTGGTCTTATAGTACCTCATCCGTCGATCATACTACACATCTACCCCCGATAGCCAAGGCAAGGACTTCGACACCGGCATCGACCGCCACCCACACGTTGGCCACTGCTTCGACTACCTCCGACAAAGCCTCCTGTGTTCCGCAGACTCAAGTCTCGAACCTACAAACGAGCGGGTAAACGGGAACCCGAGGTGGGGGTTTGACAGGCAGTGTCGCGATTACGAGGACGTTAGGCGTTGGGCAGAGAAATGGAGGGCGTTTGATATCGAGGGTTCTTTTGTTCCGTTCCATTTGGAACATGATTCATAACTAGCGGAGCTCTATATTACCTATTTTTCTTGGACATTGCGCTACTCAATCAAGTAAAGTAAGTATAGTAATATCAACCCAATTCAATAACGCCATCGCCCCCATCATCGCAGAACCCGAAATGCTCTCCTAGCGGGATATGCTCTACACTATCCCTGTAGCAGGCTGTATTCCTTGTTGCGTAGTCCCGTACCTGAGACCAGTCTTTGCACTGGTGAGTCTGCCCATCGCCTGCTGTGAAATCGCCAAATGTGTATAAAGGTGTGGTATCGGCGTTGCAAGTAACGTACTGTTTGCAGTACCTTGTCAGTAATTTGAACTGCGTAGTGCCATATGGTATGAGATATAAGCAGAAGACATCTCACCTGCCGCAATGCATCAAAGCAGTGATTCATATGTGCTCCCGGGGCATGATGCGTGTAGGGCTTTCCGTCGACTGCTTCCCAGAAGGTCTTGCGGAGTATTTTCTATTGCCAATTAATACATGTCAAACTTCATGAAATCCTTTTCCTGTGGTTTGGTGTGATATAACTTGCCAGGCAGTGTAGATAATGGTATGCTTCCAACAGATATACTCCTTTCGTCCTGTCGGAGGGAAGATACATACTCTCTGGCCAACCATTATGCTGTGCCCAGGTTCTGTCGACGGCTATAAACCCGTGAGATGGCTGGATCTGCTCCCAGAGGTCCTCTGTATGAGACTTGTTTTCTGTTGAGCTGTATTCTGTTGTCCAGTGGAATGGTTTCGGTGTTGTGTCTATATTTATGTCTACCTTTGTGAGCTTGTTTATTTCTCTAGAGAGAGGAACTTACAAGATGCTGGGTTGTCTGGCTCTACCGTTGATCGTGAAGATCCAGCAATATAGGACATAATGTTTGTAAGGATGAGGATGGGTATCAGTCCTAGCCATAATAGGATTGATCTTTTGCTCTTGGTCAGTTCATTCTGGTGTTTGAATGAGAATCCTCCAGGTTCCTGCTCTTCAGCAGAGAGCAGTCTAGCAGTGGACTCCATGAGTAGTGTGATATAGACGTCAAAGTCCAGTGTTGGTGATTTGCTATAAATTCGACTTCTATCCGGTATTGAAAACAGATTCTAATACAACTTGTCTTCTGTACTCCTGTTTTTAAGGCCCCCAACAACTGGAATGCTTGTGCGACATGAGCTGCAGTTCCGATTGGAGCCTTGACACAAGGATCACACATTGTCACCCTCTGCTGATCACCAGGTGTCTTACTCTGCGTGGATCACGGAGATCTGCCGTAAAAAGGAAGTAAGAAATAATGCGAGGCGTATCAGGGACTCGTCCAGCCCCCACCAGGTTGCACATGGGGCCGAGTATATGCAGCCGGACAGTCTCAGCCCCCTCGAGTCCTGTCCAACTATCACGCTTAACATTCCGGCTAGCTATGTTATTTCTGCCAGCCTTAAGCCTATGATTATTACTTTTTCTTTTGGATCCTGGTGCTTCCACAATGCCTTTCACCGGAAAAGCAAGTACGAAATACTCCCTGCTTCCAAACTCGGACTCTCCCACGCCAACTACCAGCGAGAAGCCCCTACGTTCAAAGCTAACGAGGTCCTCTTACGCGTTAATTGCCGTTTTGCTCGTATCTTCAGTACTGATATCTGCGTTATTACTTACTCCAAAACTCAGGAGTACATGCACACAACCACGCCTACGACAGGAATGGCGAACCCTAACTCAAAATGAAAAACAGTCCTATCTCGCAGCTGCTCATTGCTTAACTACAACCCCATCGTCGTCGCTTTCCAATGCCACAATCCATGATGAATTCTCACTACTTCATAGTCGGGTCGGGAATTACTGTAAGTCCTTACTCAATATCTATACCTTGTATATCGCAGCTAATACAACCAGCCCACAACGCCGCCTCTTTTCTCCCCTGGCATCGGTTCTTCGTTCACGCCTATGAGCAAGCACTGTATGAGTACTGCGAATACGATGGGGTTATACCGTCCGTCCCTCCCCGTCATGTCAAGCATACCACTAGTCCTGCTAACCTGCATCCAGATACTGGGACTGGAGCCTCGACTACCAGGACCTCCTCAAATCGCCCATATGGAACATCAACGACGGCTTCGGGGCAGATGGGGACAAAAACACATCGACTGACATAGACCCGAATATGGGCTCGAGAATGGGAGTCAACGGCCACTGTGTGGTCGACGGTCCATTCGCAGGATTCACACCAGTATACTACGAAGGGGCGTACCAGCCTCACTGCCTCTCGCGTGGATTCCTGGACGAAGAGACAGTGAAGAGAGTGGGTAACTTGACAATGAGACCCAGCGTGCTGCAGGAACTTGTCCGGAACGAGTCCTCGTACTTTGACTTCCTGCTTCGCGTGGAGACGATGTCGCATTTGACGATTCCGTATGTTGTCCAGGGGGATTTCAGGACTGTGACGGCACCAAACGGTGAGCCCTCCCTGTTACATGTTTCATTTACATACAAATGGACTCGGCTAACTGAATTAATGTGGCTGATATAGATCCAGTTTTCTACCTTCATCACGGCCAGGTTGATCGTCTTTGGTGGAGTTGGCAGCAGATGTCGTCTGAGCGAAGGTTTGAATATAATGGACCTGCCCGGAATGACGAGTCTGTTGATGCGGATGTAATGGATGAGCTGGATTTCGGTGACCTGTTTCCTAGAGTTACTGTTGGCGATGTGATGGATACGCAGAGTGGCGTGTTATGCTATCACTATGATAGGAGTATTCTTTAAGGTGTCGTTTACTGATTACATCTCGCTAGCTCTACTTTGGCTGTCCAGTTGTATCCCGAATAAAGTGGTTTATTCCTTTCTAATCCTGATCCCCTTGCAAACGCTTGATGTAGATCGAATATCTTTAATTAACCCTAAACCCAACTCCCCTGAGGGGTCACGAAGGATCAAACCAATCTTCATATAATTACCCGCTGCAGAAGTTCCCTGCAGTATTCCGTGTAAGTGAACATGACTCGCATTATCCATCCCATCCTGATCTGCGTACCCCGGGTTACTCCACCAATCAATCGCCCATGCCCTAACTTCTCCGCATCCTCGAAATCAATGCAAGGCCCTGGGGAAATATCCTAATACCCGCCTCGTTTACTCCAAAATCTAGCAAACTAGTCAATTAATAGCCTAATTCCATTCGGAGTCAGTCTCTATACCGGGGAAAACAATGATAAATACCCACATTCTCTCTCTCTCTTTCCCTACCACCACTCCAGCAGCGACTGCTGCTATAACCTAATCCACAATGAAATCCAAAAGTCTAACCCCCTTCCTCACCCTCCTGCCAACCCTCGCCGCCGCCGCCGCCGCCGCCGCCCCCCTCGACGCAAGCCGCTACCTTTGGTACACCACCCCCGCGCCCCCAACAGACTGGGAAAACGGCGCCCTGCCAATCGGCAACGGCCGATTAGCAGGTACAATCTACGGCGGCGTCCAGGATGAAGTGCTTACACTAAACGAGAACACGATCTGGTCGGGCCCGCTGCAGGATCGCACGCCCGAGAATGCACTCGCTGCATTGCCGGCGGCGCGTGAAATGCTACTTTCCGGGAACATCAGTGCCGCTGGGGACTTTATTCAGCGCGAGATGATGCATCCGGTGGATAGTATGCGTGCTTATAGCTATTTTGGGAATTTGGAGGTTGGTGTTGGCCATGGGGCCGGGGTAAGTGGGTATAGGAGGTGGTTGGATACGAGGACGGGAGATGCTGGGGTTGAGTATGTGATTGGTGAGGTTGGGTATACGTAGGTGCTGGCTATTTCATTGTCATATTCTGTTCCATTCGATTCGGTTGATGTATGCGAAGCTGATGAGTGCGGTACAGGCGGGAGTATATTGCGAGCTATCCGGCTGGGGTTCTTGCTGCGCGGTTCACGGCGAGTGAAAAGGGTGCTCTGAGTCTCAATGCTACCTTTTCTCGCGCGGAATCGATTACGTCTCTGCAGGCTTCTGCGTCGAATACTGCTCCGTGGATTAGATTGGATGGCACGAGTGGACAGTCGGCCGATGAAGATCCGATTGTGTTTAGTGGGCAGGCAAGCTTTGTGGCAGATGGAGGTATATGTCCCATTCATCGTGATCAATATAGGCTTCTTGGCTAATGTGCCCAGCTCGTTTTGCTGCTAGTGAGGGCACGCTTTCTATCACTGGAGCCACTACAGTCGACATCTTCTTCGACGCCGAAACCAACTATCGCTACCCCAGCCAGGATGATATCGACGCGGAGATCAGACGCAAACTCGACAACGCACTCACAAAGGGTTTCGACAAGATCAAAGACGAGGCACTGAAAGACTCGTCTACCCTCCTTGAACGCGCCTCAATCAACCTCGGAAACTCGTCGAGCGAGATCCGAGCTCTACCCACCGACGAACGCATCGCTCGTGCCCGCGAAGGGCTCGACGACCCTGAGCTCGCAACCCTAACTTGGAACTACGGCCGACACATGCTCGTGGCCTCGTCTAGGAACACTTGCGAAGCTATCGACCTCCCCGCAAACCTGCAGGGGATATGGAACAATGAGACTACCGCAGCATGGGGTGGAAAATATACCATCAACATCAACACGGAGATGAACTACTGGCCCGCGGGCCAAACAAATCTCATCGAGACGCAAGAGCCACTCTTTGACTTGTTCAAGGTCGCGCAGCCGCGAGGCCAGGCACTTGCAGAGGACATGTATAACTGCAGCGGTATGGTAATCCACCATAACCTCGATCTATGGGGTGACCCAGCCCCCGTCGATAACTATACTTCGTCTAGCATGTGGCCGATGGGTGCGGCGTGGCTGGTGACGCATCTTATTGATCATTACCGGTTTACCGGTGATAAGGAACTGCTCGAGGACACTGTATACCCGTACCTTGTCGACGTGGCCAAATTCTACCAATGCTATACCTTCGAGCACGAAGGGTATAGAGTCACCGGTCCCTCGCTCTCACCGGAGAACACCTTCACCATTCCAGAGGACTGGAGCATCGCCGGCTCCGAAGGAGCAATGGACATTGCTCTCCCGATGGATGACCAAATCATTTGGGAAGTCTTCAACGATCTCCTCGACGCCGCATCGGTACTCGGTATCGAGGACAGCGACGAGACCGTCTCAGCAGCGAAATCCTTCATCGCCCAGATCCACCCGCCCCGGATCGGCTCCAAAGGTCAGATTCAAGAATGGCGTTTGGACTACGAAACCGACGGCGCGGGGCACCGCCACCTCTCGCCGCTCTTCGGTCTCCATCCAGGCCGCCAGTTCTCGCCGCTGGTTAACGAGACACTGAGTGCAGCGGCGGAAGTTCTCCTGGATGAGCGTCTCGAGCACGGCTCTGGAAGCACCGGGTGGAGTAATGCGTGGTTCATCAACCAGTATGCGCGGCTGCACCGGGGCGAGGACGCCTGGGCGCAGGTTTTGAAGTGGTTTAGCATATACCCGACGAATAACCTGTGGAATACGGATAAGGGCGCGACCTTTCAGATTGATGGGAACTTTGGCGTCACCAGTGGCATTACGGAGATGTTTCTGCAAAGTCATACCGGGGTCGTGCATCTTTTGCCGGCGCTTCCTGGGGAGAGTATTCCTAGTGGAAGTGTAAAGGGGCTGAAGGCGAGGGGGAACTTTGAGGTTGATGTTGACTGGGCAGATGGGACGTTGGAGAGCGCCGTTGTGAGGTCCGTTGGTGGTGGGTTGTTGAGCGTGAGAGTGCAGGATGGGGAGAAGTTTTATGTCAACGGAGAGCTATACGAGGAGGCGTTGGAGACGACAGGCGGGGAGGAGTATGTCATCACATTGACCTAGCTCTCCGAAGATGCCAGGAATGCGTAGTGGTTTTCAAGAATCTAAATCCAACTTAGATAGTGGATGCAAGCAGCTTTGGTACCTGCCCATGTTACAGCTTAGCAAAGTGAGTCTTGGAGTCACTGTAGTCTCGAGATTGGCTTAATTGTCTATTCGACTTTCCTTGCTATTGGCCGTTCGCCGAGCCACAGTAGGTATAGAGTCAGTCCAAGCCAGTCCTGTATATCCATAGCCGTTTTCGCAGCCAAGTTTATTTCGTCGGCGATGTTCTATGACATGATACTCAGTCGGCCAGCAACCGATAAGCTCTTTCCCGACAACCAAATTCTCATCCGTCGTCGAAAACACGAGTCTAGAATCGAGCCGACTCTTAGTCCCTATCAGAGGGTTCACCCCCCAACCAGGTCCCCCCGCCTTAATCTCTTATCCTCTATCCTTCAACCACCGGCGACATTTTCTCCCTGTCGTAAGGCAGTCACCTGCTTTCGGAGCTCGAGAAAGAAGTCCTTTCCGTTGGCCATCGTGTTGGCTGTACATAACGACCAGTTAGTCACTGTGGAATTATGTTTGACGACTTTGACAGGGCAGGAAAGGCATACGTTTCGATCCCCAGGGTCCACCTGCACGGTTGTTCGCGTCCTTGCCCTGAGGCTTGTAAAAGTATGGTCTTGGAGCTAAGTCGTAGAATGAATCAGTCACTCGTTCGGGAACAATATCGCGGGGTAAAGGCGGGCAAAGCTGGTGCGCATACCTCCTGGTGCTGTAGTAAATGAAACGAATATTAGCAGAAGCTTCAAAGCACGACAAACCGACAACGTACCTCTTCTTAGAGCCGCCTTTGCCTCCGCAGCGTTGAATCCTCCCACCGGCACGTGTTGCTCCTGCAAGTCCGAAACCTCATCTGCCCAACTAGTACTCGGCGTGTTGGAGCTCTGCTGTCCGCCACGGGGCCCGCCCTGTGCGCTCATTGCTCTGGGATTCGACTGTCTCTGTCCGGACTGGCGGTTTTGGTCGAACGCACGGCCTCCGCGCCATCTGGATCTGAATCAGTGGTCGCATTAACAACGGACAGGGACGAGCAAGGATGGGGCGCTACCGGTCATCAGCTGCACCGCTCATGTTGTAGAACTAAGCTTCGGGGGTACCTAAGCTTGATGCACGAGGAGAGCAGCTGGGAATGCGACTAGTCGGCTGTCAAATTGTACGGAGTTGCTCAGTTGTCGTCCTTGCCTGTTTCGGTATTACCAGCCACGCCCGCAATACGGGGAATGGAAGCCTTGGTGCCTCAGGCCTTAAGGCCAGGTGATTTGAAGCCGAGACTGACCCACGGCCTCCTTCTACACGCTGCGCAAGTCTAATCCAACGACAGCTTCAAAAGGGCCCGTCGCGTGTCGCTTTCCGTGACTTTCCAGCTCATCATTGACTGGCGTCCATCCCTAACTCTGTCTTTGTCAGTCATGATTGACTTTTGCCGCCAACTGGTCGTGTCTTGCGTTGTTATTCACCACACCAAGGCGGCTCTAAGATAAGCAGCGACTGCCTCAACAAACACGCTCTCGTTCACTACTCTACCTAGCATTCCTCACCATACCATCCTACTCGCGCCGCGTGCACGCCTCGTATATCCTTCGGCGCAAGCCTCCTACCTCATACGAAAATGGCGCCCTATTCCTCCCCCAAACACCGCTCCTCCCCCGGCGGCCCGCTGAAAAACGGTTCCAAAACCCCTCTCCAGGACTCTGGGAATTCAGATGCTCCTGCTGTTGAAGGTCCCCCCATCAAGAAGCGGAAATATGTTCCCGGTGGTCCAGGTGGTGGAGGGAGGTACATTGAGGTTGAGGTTAGGGAAACGCCGCCAAAGCCGAAGCCAAAGCCAAAGCCAAAACAACCCAAGTTGAGTCCCATGAAGAGGAGAGCGTCCTCTATTTCTCGAACTCGTCAACAAACACATGGGACAGAATCACCTGTGCAACCCGTTCAGTTACCTCCGCCACCACCCCCAATCCACGCCCCTACCACGCCCCCGTCTACACGTCTAAGGAGGGAGAAGAGCCAGAACCGCGGACGCTTTGGGTCGTCGACAGCCGCTGCGCTTGCTTTACAACAGGGTGATGGATATAAACCTCGAGAGGAGCGGGGATGGGAGGAGTTTCACCCTGATTTAGATATCGACGCTCCCTTTGCCGTGTTTCCGGCAGCAGAGGTGGATCGCCCGCCACCATCTGCGCATCTCACAAATATCCTATCTCCGAACGGTCTCGAGACGAATACCGAGAACAACCCTGTTGCCGAGCTGATTCGCGCCCATACAAATGGTACCGCCCAAACGCCTGTTAAACGAAGACCGGGGCGACCCCCGCGACGTCCAGAAGCTATCCTGCAATCCCTTGGCGTTTTCACTCCCCAACCCAAAGTTGTTCCACCACCTGGTCCGAATCCGCGCGAAAAGTTGACCCTTCCTAAACCTTCCTTCCGACTAAAAGACCCTTTCACTTTCTACGATCAGCCCGGTGTTGGTCAGCAAAATTACGTGGACCGGACAATGGCCAGTGTCGGATACCAGGAAAGTGACCTGTTTCTACGTCACGACCGCCGCCTGATCCGAATGCCAGAGGGTGCGCAGGAGGATGATCTTGATATCGGTAATCCACTTCTGGGCGAAGGAGAGATCAACGCCTCCGTTGGTAGGGTCGAATACGATATGGATGAGCAGGACGAGAAGTGGCTGGAGGATTACAATTCGAAGCGGCGAGAGGATCAGTTTGAGCCCATCAAACCGGCTGTCTTTGAAATCACCATGACGAAGATTGAGAAAGAATGGCACAGCCTCGAGAAACGCATCCCGAAACCAAATCCAAAACCACCACAGACACACCGGCCGCGATCTAGCTCGGCTGCTGCGGTTAACGGTGAAACAACGGGGCCTGGCGAGGACCAAGACACGAAGTGCGCTATTTGCGACGATGGCGATTGTGAGAATGCAAATGCGATTGTGTTCTGCGATGGCTGTGATCTCGCAGTGCACCAAGAGTGTTACGGCGTCCCATTTATCCCGGAGGGTCAGTGGTTGTGCCGCAAATGTCAGCTTGTAGGGAGAGGATCCCCAAACTGCATCTTTTGTCCAAATACCGAGGGCGCTTTCAAACAAACGACTACTTCAAAATGGTCACATCTTCTCTGCGCGATCTGGATTCCCGAAGTTTCCATTGGCAACCCTTCTCTGATGGAGCCCATTACCGACATTGAAAAGGTACCGAAAAGCCGTTGGAAGCTAAATTGCTATATATGCCGCCAAAAAATGGGAGCCTCGATCCAATGCAGTAATAAAAATTGTTTCGTGGCCTTTCATGTTACCTGTGCGCGGAGGGCTCAGCTCTATCTCAAAATGAAGTCCGGTCACGGAAATTTAGCCGTCACGGATTCACACCTGCTGAAAGCTTTTTGTGACAAGCACGTGCCACCCGAATGGGCCCGTGAGCATGGCACAGCAGATGCTACAGCTGAAGCGATCGAATATTACCGTGATACAATGCAAGGTCGACGATGGGGAGACAGCCAAGCCGCGGCTCTTGCGCTAGAACCCGCACACGCTCTTGGCGGTGCTCTAGAAGACGAAGATGGACAACGGACTCATACGCCGCGAATAACTCTTACCGTCGGAGGCAATAAACGAAAGCGCCCTACTGCGCCTCGGACGATCTGGAAACTACCGTCGGGTGCTCCTGTCATTCCCCAAGTCCTCTTGAACTCCGTTGTGGCTTCGCTTCAACGCTTTGGTGTTCGACAAAGAAAGCAATATGCTGAAGATGCCTGCAAATACTGGACTCTCAAGCGAGAGGCGAGACGAGGCGCTGCTCTTCTCAAGCGCCTACAGTTGCAGTTGGAGACTTTCTCTTCTATGGAAATGACACGGAGAGATTACACTGCTATGGGAGCCACAGGCTACAAGAGACTCCAGCGACGTATCGAATTTGGAGACCGATTATATCACGATCTGGATCGACTAAGGATGCTGTGTGATGAGGTGAAGAAACGCGAAAAGGAGAAGCTGAAAGACGCCGAGATGCTTCGAAGCATCGTCGATAACGTTTACTTCCCGATATTCCCTCTACTGTGGCCAATCTTCGAAAAGGCCCAAGTGTAAGCAACCCCCTCTTTAACTTAAGCCCGTTGCTAACCCCGCTCTAGACTGGACAGCAAGGGAATTTTCAGACAAGGCCTCTTCGCAATACGCACGAAGCTAGAACAGCGTTATTACACATCCGTTTCGTCTTTCTCAGCTCACCTAGCCAGCGTTTTTACATCGGAGATAGGAGTCCAGCCAGCTGGTGATACCGCTGAACTTCAGATGCAAATCAGTGGGCGTGCACCCGAACTCAGTCTGGAGCAGCGGGAAAAGAGAAAGATGGCAAAACGAATCATTAAGGCTATTCAACCGGCCCTGGAAGATGCAATTCGTAAAGAAAGCGAATTGAATCGTCAGCCTTTCGAGCAGGAACTCAAAGACTTGGACGTCATGCTTGGGGACAGCGTTTTGTCCGGAAGAGGCTCGGAAATCGATTCTGCGGAGCGCACTGGGGACGAGACTTTTGAGAAGCCGGAACCCGAGAAATCCGAGCCCGGTGAAAATCCAGATAAAATGGATCTGGAGCCTGATTTCACTGCCAAATCGGAATCTCTGGAGAAACCTCCAGAGAGCACCGCAGACTCGACCGCTCCCGAAGATAATTTGCAATCTCAACTGTCTGAATCGCAGCACGCGGAGGCAGTTGTCACTGATGAGAACGCATCTACTGAGCCCACGGCTACGAATGATGCTGCCGCTATTCTTGTCCAGCCTCAGAGCGAAACTCAGCTGGAAGCTGCCCCCGAATCGACAGGTTATGCTGAAGAGAGGAACCAGCCAGCCCCAGAACAGGCCAACGAAGCTCCGCAGGTGCCACTGTCACCTCCACCGCTTCAAGGTGATCAACATCACTTTCTGGCGCAAGGAGGCATCCAATGGTATATGCAGCCGTTCGACCCTGTGGGAACCACAATTCATGAAGAACGATGGACTGGCCGCGAGGTAATGCGCGGCCTAAGCGAGGAACTCAGCGAATTGGATGAGGAGGAATTAAACGACCTTGTTGACGATGATGAGCTCGGAGCTGGTGCTGGTGGCACTGGTGGCTCCACCAACGGTGTTGCAGACAGTTCAGCTGGCGAGCAAGGGACGAAAGTTCGTCGGACTCGGCGGCAATGGCGTGGTTTCAAGTAATGTTTGCTTACTACAAGTACTTTTAATGGCTTCACATTTTACTCTTCGCATGTTTGAGTGGACTTTTTTCCAGATATCATGGAGGACCGGCGTTTTGATGAGATATTCGCTGTTTTCAAGGCTCCTTTGCCATTTAGATTATGGGTAAACCATGGATTGGGTTGCAATAATGGATCGTTTTTCTTTGAAGCCAGTGCGGAGTATACTATTTCTGATATTCTTGACACGCCCCGTAGGACTTGGCAGCCTTACTTTTCCGGCAGCAAATACACCAATAGAAGAGCCGCCTGGTTCTGGAACCTGCTGACTACACCGCCTTCGGCCTGAGGTGTCCAACTTCTGCTTCTTTGGATTAATCCTCCTTTCATCATCACTCATCGCCTCCATCCCTTCCTCCATCTCTCTTCCCTTTTTCTTTTCCTCTTCTTCTTTCCCCCTGCTCTTCCTTTCTCAACTTTTGAATCCGGAAGCAACACAGCAACCTTTTTTTTCAGTCTCCCCCAGGATCACTGCTTTCAAGGTATTCTCTCCCAGTGTTTGTGGCGGAATTTTCTGCGCCTCACCCAAACACCACCACGCTTTGTGTTACTCGCGCACCTTCAGTTCGTCTCTGGGTCTAACTCTTCTCAACATCTTAGTTTATTCTCATCCTTCGATTGAATATCCATCAAAATGTCTGCCGAATACGATAACGAGAGCGGCCGTTACGATGGTATGTAAACTGCTGTTAAATTCGATCACTTTCGGGCAAACACAACTAACCTGGCTTGCTTTTCTTTCAGATGAGCCGCGTTTCGCTCGCGACCGCAGCGCCTCTCCCCGTGATGAGCCCCGAGCTGACCGCGACCGCGCCCGCAGCCGTTCCCCCAACGGCCGCCTCGACGAGCGGTATGTTGTCTCTTGATCTCACTTGTCCCTAATGCCTTAACTTATTTGACTGGCGCTGACAAACGATAATTCAGTGGCCCCATTGACCCCCGCAAGCAACTTGACGACGAAGAGGGTGCTACCAACACCGGTTCCAACCTTTTCGTCACTGGTATTCACCCGCGTCTGACCGAATCCGACATCTCGCGTCTTTTCGAGAAGTATGGCGACGTTGATAACTGCTCCATCATGGTTGACCCTCACACTAAGGAGTCCCGTGGCTTTGGCTTCGTCAACATGGTGACTTCTGACCAAGCAGATGCAGCCAAGGAGGGTTTGCAAGGTGAGGTTATCGAAGGGCGCACTCTAAGCATTGAAAAGGCTCGTCGTAGCCGCCCCAGAACTCCCACTCCTGGCAAATACTTCGGACCCCCCAAGCGCGGTTAGTTCCCTCCCCAAATAATCCCAGTAGGCCTTGACTAATGTGCAATATCAGAATTCGGTGGTGGTGGACGTCGGGGTGGCCGTGGCGACCGCTACGATGACCGCCGTGGCGGCTATGGTGGTAGCTGGCGCCGTGGTGGTGACGACTACCGCTACGGCCGCTACGACTCCTACAGTGACCGTCGCGACTACGGCGGCCGCGGTGAATACCGTGACTATGGACGCCGCGACTACCGTGACGACTACGCAGGCGGCCCTGGTGGCAGTGGTGGTGGATACCGCGGTGGAGATCGCTATGCCTCCGGCGGCCGTGAAGATCGGTACGGTCGTGATGAACGTCGCGATGATCGTCGGGGTGACGAACGCCGTGGCTACTATGACCGTGATGCTAACCCTCCCAGTTATGGCCATGGTGCTCCCTCTCGCGACCCGTATGCCGGCCGTTCTTACGAACCCCGTGGTGGCGACGATCGGTACGCCGGAAGGTAGGTCGATGTTCATCTGCGTATCCAACCAACGCCTTTGCGCCTAGGCAGGATCGTACACGATTTAAGTCCTTTCTTATGTTCTTTTCCTTTTTTTTTTTTGATATCTTCTCGTTCTCCCCTTCCTCCTTGTCCTTAATTCTGTACCCCTTTTGCTCCCATTTATATGATCCTCGGCATGATTTTCTTTCCGTTCCTCGGATGGCACGATTCGTCGAGGTTAATCTCGACGGATCAACGCTTGGGCGTCATTTATGTTGTTTTGCTACGGAAAAGTCGTCTTCCAATTCACATATCCTGTTGGGCGAACTTCGAAGCATCGTCAGATTAGCGGCCATTCGAATGTTTCCGTTCCTACCATTGGAACCTAGGAGACAAAAAACGAAAATCGGGATCGACACTCATCCAACACGGGCTGTTGTTTTTTCTGTTATTTCGCTCGATACACCGGAATCTATGGCGGCAGGGAAGTGCAGGATTTTCTATTAACGTTGTAATTCCTCGGATTGTGATATGGGTCAGCACTTCTACATTTTCAGCTCTACCGGAAAGTTGGTCGTTATCTCGCTAGTCAGCTGTTCGCCTTTGTTTCGTCTTATACAACATTTTCTACGTAACGACTCGATTGTATTCGGCCAGGAACACTTTAAACTGTCTTCAGGCCATCCACACTTGCATGCCACCTCACCCTTTTATTCGCCCTCAATTCAAACAAGCATACGACATGGAGTTCGGCCGTCACCCGCCAGTCCGCCATATCACTCGTTGTTTGTGCCTGTAGTACCAGCCGCTTCGCCCTAGATGTCGACTTTCAGGCAGGCTCAACGTAAACCGGAAGCATCAGCATTCTTGCAACACCCACCACCCCGTTCATTCCATGTCTTGCCCTTCAATCCTCAGTACGGACGCAAGGTAAGTTATAATGGTGTGCACTAATATAGCTTAAACTCCTAGGCAGCGTACCCGTCGTCGTCCCATCTTTGCGATGAGGTTTGGATATGTCGCGGTCTGTCCAGTGCTCTCGGCTTTGAGGAAGTTTCCACGCTGAGTCTAGTCACATTGGTACTTCGAGGTGCTAACCTTCAGGCATATTCCGCTACGGAACCACCAGCGGTGCTTCACCCTTTCGTAATCCCATCTCGTTGCGTCTTGTATTCCAAGTTTCTGGGTTGCTAACTTTGGTACCAAGAGATGCTCAATTCTGGCACATGGGATCTCTGCGGAATGCGGATGCTGTATTCTCTTTCGTCATAGAAACCTAATTGTAATAAATTTTTGCACAATTGCATCTAACTTCAAAACTATTAAACAACCCTTTTCGTAACTTCCAACCCGGCAGAGGTTCCAAACATGGGAGCATCCAGCGGTCATAGATACACCGAAGTTCCTTCCTATCCTCCTCCACACTCTTGCACTTTCTGAGCGAAGTACCGTCACTGTCATCGAAACAAGTGTGACGGACCAAACAGCCGTCCAGAGTAGGGCCGCGAGCCGACCTCCACAAGCGGGATGGGCAGGGTTGGCACGCTGCTCTCGACCTGGGCAATAACAAGCCGTAATCCAGCAGCATTTTTCTGCCTTTTCGTGGTCAAAAGACGACCTAGTGCCTCATGCATCGTATCCCGAGACAGAAACCATGACATATCAACAAATCCATAAGCCCGCCCAGCGTTGTCTACTCCGGCGCTTTGCCAGATTGCGCGCCTTCAACTTCGTTACTCTTCTGGATGAGGTATTCACCCAGCACGCGCAGTGGATTCGCGGGTCTAAGTAGTGCCGAGTTAGCAATCGTGGCGGACACAGAGTAAAGTACGGTAGAATGATAGATGACACACTGCTCCTTTGTAACGTTTTTCATCCCCTCGAGCAAATACGGCACGATCTTCTCGTTCATGTACACCCGGGCTGGCGCGCCTCCAGGCCGTACGGGGCTCGCGTTTGTGGCGGATGTCATTGGGTCTGCCGTTGGGGTACCTGCTGCTCCGGTTTCTGTGCCGGCTGGAGGCAAGTTTGATGGGTCATTGGCCATTGTTGGTTGTGGTATAGTTGAAGGGAGAGAGTCTTGTGGTTGTGATTGTGGTACTTGTGCTAGATTGGGGAGAGGGGAGTTAGAGTTGGAATTGGAGTTTGCGGTTGGGTTGGGTGGGTATGTGGTAACTTGGGCGGTTGGCTAAAGGGTAACGACGAGTGAGCGAGTTTGATTTCGCATTGAAAGTAGAGTGAGGACGGATTGAAGAGTCAGGGAAGAGAGTGGGAATTGTGGGCAGTATTCGAGATCGCGAGGGCGGAGAAGATGGCGGAGAGCTGGTGGATCAGGGAGTACAGGTAGGAATGGGACTCACTGGGGGGTTGTCAGTCATGGCTGTCGATGGGACTGTGTATATAGTTGTCAAATGGAGTATATTGGAGGAACGATATCCTGTGCTAGAGCTTGTTGTTTCTCTACAAGCAAACGTCACTCCGTCCCGACTGACTCGGTGGTTTCCCCTCATGGTCCAATGTATTCACGTGATGTCGTGTTGCACCAACACGTGCCCACGCATCGCATCACGCTTCGCAGCAGGGACCGGGGACACAGCTGAGCGTTGTCTAGATCTGGCCACTGTTTCGTGGTACGCTCTCTATCGATATTCTTGTTGTTGGTAACTTTATTGCGCTGTTTTGGAAGTCATGAGGTGAAGGTCTTCGATCAGACCAAGAAGATATATATCGTTAATATATATCGTTAAACGGTACTACCGATGTCCTCTTCTGGATTCGACTATTATATATCAACCACAGTATGACCTTATTGGACTTCTGGGATACGAAACGACCATCTGTAAAGCGCAGAAAACTCACACCTGAAGTTTCTACGCCGCAGATAAAAACAGAACCCGAAGGCGCGAGGACGTCTGGACATTCCCTACCAGATAAAGCTCTAGACGTCAAGCTTGAGAACTCAATACCTCCCACCTCAGCCGATGAAGGACCGTTGAATGATGATGAGGGTGCTGTTCCAAGTAGCCAAACGGACCTGGAGTTCTCCCTCCCCGCTGTGGAAGCCAACGATAAAGCAATAGAAGAGTATGAATCCTCACAGAAAGTAGAGGATGGGGAGGAAGAGGAAATATCACTGGAAGAGAGAATGCGAGATGGCAAATGGCGGAAGGGAAAAAGTTCGATCTATGTGGACGCGTTCAATCTTGCGCTGGACACTGTGCTAGCTGAGGAGGCACATCTCTTCAGTGAAACGGAGAAGGAAGTGTTTCGCCACTGGAGGAGGTTGTCATATGAATCCCAGTATCTGTTCGTCCTTATTGTTGTGTTATTCATATTCCCGTTAACACGTTGGCTGACTGGGTTTTAGCTATGTCCGCCTCTTTCTGCGCAAGACTTCGGCGTGGCATCGTGTTGGCAAGCTAGGCTATTATTCCGACATTGCTGATGTGCCGCAAGTTGTAGTAGACCTACAGAGGACTAGAGCTTTGTCCGTCCCTACTATCTCCGACGAGGAAAACTCGCCTGATACACCGTCTTCATCCATTCTGGGGTTGAATGGAAACTTTTGCTTTGCTGATACAGTCGATCAGATCACAACTGTGGAAGAGGCGTCATCATTACTACTGCTTGATGAGTTAAAGGCCCTCGCAAAAGAAAGCAAGGTGCAAGGAAAGTCTAAGCAGGAGTTGATAACGGCTTTGCATAAGTCAAGTCAAAAGCAGACAGGGCTTGGATGGAATAGCAACTCAATCACTTTAGACCGTGAAGAGCACTTTGTTAAGAAAATTTTGGATTACACGGGAGATTGTATACGACTTTCGTCTGGCCCCTATGAACTCTTCGAGCGAGTCCATCTCGTCTTTTATCGATCGACGGAGTGGACGGAGAAATCACTCACCACCATTATCCTTGCAAAGATATCTCGCCGCAACTTTCCCGAATATGTCGTCTGCCGGTCTAATTCGATATTTCCATTTAGAGAGATGCTCTTAGAATTCGAATCTGCATTACGGACTCAGTTCAAGATTGACAGTGTGCTTGAGTTCGGCGGTACACCAACGAGAGACCGACTAGAGGAGATCAAAGAACTCGCGTATAAAGTCTATCCTCGCTGGAAGACTCTTCTCGAGCAAGAGCAGCAAAAAGAGGATACCATATACGAAAGTGGAGAAGGCGCTTATCTACGCCGTTTCTCTCCAGCTTGGGTATACACCAGAGTCCTACATAAGGGTCTTTATCCTCTCGGGCGTTTTAAAGAGTATAAGGAAGAACGCAGGATCCTTATCGAATTACTGGCCCAGCGGCTGTTCCACCCTACCAGGCGCGGTGCGTGGTATCAACGCAAGGCCCTTCTAGAAGAGCACTACATGTGGAACCTAACACCATCGGAAAGCCGTAACGAAGAGTCTCAGAAGAAGCACTGGAAGCGCATTGCGCTGCGTACATGTGAAGAGGGCCTCGAAGATCCATCCTGCCACTTGATCTACCACTATGATCTCCAGAAGCGAATCCAGAAGCTAGAGAAGGCGCTCAAGGTCGTTAAACGAGAGCAGCACGACTTCGGCCATGTTACGCTAGCCAAACCCGAAGAACGTACAGTTGAGGGCATCCAGATTGAACGAGAGGATTCGCCAGTTCGAAATGAACCCATCAACCCTAACAACGAAGATACACCAATGCCTAAACGCAGTGGACCTACCGTCTGGCTCGACGAACGCGAAGACGGATCCGAATGCAGAGTCGAAGACATGTGTCTTAGCTGGTACCGGGACCAGGGCTGGAAGGGCTATCACTCTGAGGGTGGGATCATTCGCACCCTGGTAAACCTCTCTTCCCTATCCCAGTATCAACGAACTTACCCCTGTACTTACCACTGAGCCAGTTCGCCTACCTCTTCTACGACATAATCTTCACCTACGTCCCGAACGTCTTCCAGACCAACTTCCAAACCTGCCCCCTAGACCTCCACACAGACGCCTTCTACCCCTCACGCGCCTCCGAAATAAACCACCGACTTGTCCAAATAACCAACGGTGAAGCCCCCTCCCTCATCCGCGCAGTCCACACCCAGCACTCCGCCCTCCAGCCCTGCGCCATCGGGCTCGACTGGTCCTTCCCGTTGGACGACCTGCTCGAGATCGCAACCTGTTTCAGCGGCGAAGCCCTTGCGACGATATGCAAAATCATGGCGCAGGAGTACCAGGCCCGGGGCGGCGGCGTGCCGGATTTGATGATATGGAGGATGGATACTAGGGAGGTGCGCTTCGCGGAGGTTAAGAGTGCGAATGATCGGCTGAGTGATACCCAGCGGCTTTGGATTCATGTGCTTATGGGAGCTGGTGTTAAGGTTGAGCTTTGTAACGCGGTTGCGAAGGAGGTTAGGAGGGTTTGAAGACATGGGGTTAGCTGGGTTTGAGATGCTCGTTTGTAAATAGGTACATACTTATGAACATGTAGACGGATATATTAGATTAGACGAAACTCGACGAGACCCATACGGAATATAAGTCAGTCGTACATTACAATTGCAGTTCGAATTACTCGACCAAAAAAGCTGGTAGGGTCATAAACTTTTTTATTTTAGATCTCATTGACTCGCGGTAGATAACCTGATCTAGCTTCGATATAAGAAACCTTATCCTAAACTAAACCGACTACCTTTATTGAAATCGGCACCGTCTCTCCCTTCCCCCACAATGGCCATCCATTTCGGAATGACCAATAACGAAGAGAACGGAGGAGTTGAAAGTTGAACGGCGCGGCCCGCCGAGAAAACCAAACCCGGGATATCACATGTCCAGACGAGAGAAGCGCATGCTCATCGCTTAAGCGACGAGGGTGCTGGCAGTAGCGCTCTCGTACTTCCAGGTGGGGGGAAGGACACCGACGGTCTTGTAGTAGCGGGACAGACGGTGGATACGGGACTCGATGAGAATGAGGCGGAACTTGCTGTCCTTGTCCTTGCGGTTGCGCTCAAGGTGCTTGCGGACGGCAACAGCCTAGGGCAAGACGTTAGCATTGTTGCGACCCGGCAGGAATGTGCGAAGGGTAGCAATATTTACCTTCTTGATCAGGTGGTACAGGTCCTCAGGGATCTCGGGGGCAAGGCCTGGGAAATCACTCTGTCAGTCTTTGGTTCGACCAAGCAGAGGCATAACCACAACTGCATTTCTGCGAGTTGGGTGGCTTTTCTACGCCTCCGGCTGTGCTGGGAATCAAAGTTGGGAATCCTCGACGTGCGTCAAGAGCGACCGAACTGGTGGTGTGCAGGGTACTGCAGGAAGGATTCATCATGATTGATTATTGACCTGTTATCGGCCTCCATCTCCATGTAAAAATCTCTTCCCAGTTCTCCCAGCAGACCGAGCCTGTCCTGTCACGCTCTCGCGCAGCCATCCCTCATTCAAGACACCAGCGCAGCCGGGCTTACGTGCAATTCAGGGGTTGAAAGTGGTGGTGTCGTACCGTTGGACTTGAGGATACGGAGGATCTTGTTACCTGTTCAATGTTAGTTTCTGATCCGAGTCCGAGTCCAATTCACGCGCAGCAACATACCAGTGACAGTCTTGACCTGGGCAACACCGTGGCTGTCACGGAGGACAACACCGATCTGAGAGGGAGAAGCACCCTTTCTGGCGAGCTTGCAGATGTGGTCGACAATCTGGTCAGGAGTGATCTTGACCCAGGGAGCGGGGGTGCGAGAGTAAGGGAGAGCCGAAGAGGCAATACCCTTTCCCTTGGAGTGAAGACGACCCATTTTGAGTGTTGAGGTGTGTGGTTTTGTCGGACGGGTTGCGGTGGTTGGCGATAGCAAGTCGGTCAGAGAGAAAATCGAATATCGAAATTCTCGGCGTTGAAGTTCGCGAAATTGTGTGTGGGGATTCGAGTCACGTGTATTGTTGTGGGTCACGTGTTTACTAGTTTCGCTTAGGTCGTGAAGCTCCAAAAGCTTTTCTCCCGCGGGTTTGATTTTGGACTGCGCTTCTATCCCGACTGCAGAGACTTCTGTCGACCCTTCAAGGGTCTTTCTTTTTGGCCAAACCAGACCAGGTGCTACGTGTTCATTGCAGGGAACATTATGTGGCTCGTGTAGAATTGGGATACGCACTGGATTGCGTAGTAAAAGGTGAGCATCTTCAATACCCAGCCTATTTGACATTTTTTCATGATGAAACATCACCTTTTTTATTATTATTTTCTGGTACCTCTTATGTCAGGGTTAGATCCTCGTGGTCGAGCCCGATGATCTAAATGGACTTCTGATTATGCCTCATTCCTTGAATGTTACTCAACTGCTGTTCTGAAGCATAGCTAACTTGCTTCAGTTAGGACTACGAGAAAGTTGTCGGAATGTTTGTCCTACAATCATAGATCTTAGCTGCAGATAGCATTTGTCGAATCGATCTTTTCACAAGCACTAAAACTCCCATCAGTGTACCTGCCGGAGCTTATTCTACGTTAGAACACATGTGACATCACTGAATGCCGCGTGGGTTTAAATGCACAACACTAGGTCAAGGATTTTTTGTCTGTCCATATGCGCAACCAGGTCACTAGGCTGCATCACAGTCTCCTCCCTTGTCGATCAGTTCTGGTGACTAGCAGCGCCCTTGTAGATTTCAGCCCAAGGGTAAGGTATACTGGCTGAGAGAGCTGTTTGCCAGGCAATCAAAATATGACTGCTCTCTTAATTTCTCAGAAGGCGGACAAGGCGAGTCCTTGAAAAGGGCCACAACGTCAAATCACAAGCAGATAACCCCGCCATTTGGTACCACGTCCAAGTTGGACAGAATGAGGGACCTGCAAAGAGCTGAATATGTCCAATAAGTCAGACTTGTAGGAAAACTTGATGCGCATGTCGCACTCTCGGCTGTAGGCATTATCACACCGCTTCTCAGAAAGAAATCGCAAGAAAGACTTGCGAATTGGAACCATGGCGTCGAAGGAAAAATGTGCATGTGCAGGATCCTCACTCCAGCCCTTGTGTCAAAAGGTTATCCCTGCTAAGTGTCAATCAATAATGTCTGCTAATCTCAAGATTGGGGACTTTTGAACTCCTGCAATTGTGTATCAATGGCCCAGGCTGCAGGCGGCATATTTCCTTTGTGTGTAACGCGCGGGAGCTGGTTGACAGGGTCATCTTTGCAGAATTACCTGATTAATGACGTCTGAATTAGACAAATATTAATATCACACCCTTTTACGCTGGCCTTACAGGACTTCCAATGGAACCGGCCTCGTTCGAAATGTCCAACCAAAGGTGTCCGCCAGGTCGAGGATGGCCGCAACAAAATCCGGATTGTCGACTTTCTGTATTCCAATTGCCAGTTGCCAAGTTGGTGGGGAGAGCAAAGAGCGAAAGATAAAGCGAAGTGCATCTCACGTCATCCACGGTGACTCACTTTAATGGCCAAAGATAATGTGCACGCCGAGAATCACAGATCAACATGGCCAGAGCAAAGATGTATAGCCAATCATCCTGAGTTGGATGTTGGTCAGCGTGAGGATTATGAATGTGGTACTCGTATTGAATTATCGAATTAGGCCGGACGCAAGTATCTGTGCCGTAAAAACAAGAGCTGAACTTGAGTTGAGCTGGAGTGGCTCGTTCGTTTCTCAATCGGTATCTTCTGCGCGCTGGACGCGGCGCAGCGGAGAGTCAATAAGAATTCAAAGGGCAATCATCAGTTAAGTAAAAAGAAAGCGGTTGAGTTCCACGAGCTGCGCCCATATTTCCGACGGTCCTATGGTGGCCACGAGCGAGGTTGCCTGCATAACCAACAGGCTTCACGATCACCTCCAGCCCTGAGGGTGCGGCACTTATTGGCTGGGCGGAGATGTGATGTTGCCGACCGCGCTTATGCATCGACCATACAGACTGTGTTTCTGCAGGGTAACTGGGAGGTGACAATTGCGGAGGATCGACGAGAGAAACGCCATGCGTTATGAGATTGATGAGACGTTGCGGACATAATCTATGCTCTGTCGATTGCTGATACCATGTTGACCAGTCAATCACCCATGCCTTGAAGTTTGTTCTGGGGAGTCAGGATGCGCCATCGTTCGTTTTGTCGGCCAAGTTGTTTCTCGCTTCTATTGGTTGTTTATTTCAAATTCCCAGGTTCAGGCGTAATCCTTCTGTACTCCGCTGAACAATGCTGTATTGGCTATTGGAGTAAACATGTAAAACAAGATGGAAGGAGAGCTCCAAGATTTAACAATCACTAATCATCAGGCAATCAAACTTCCTCATAACCTGAGTCATAAAACTTCGGCTCTCCGAACGTTTTGGCCCATTCACTTTCATTGGTGGTGCTTACTTGGCGTTTCTATAAAAAAAATTCTACTTAGGCGACAACGCCGCGTAAGAATTCCAAGCAAGACAATTGAGCTGAATCGTTGTACAGGTTGAATGGTGGGTGGGGGCTGATAGTCGAGTCATGAAAGAGTGTCAGTCCACTCCTCACACAGCCAAGGAAAAGACATTCTCGACCAAAGAAGCTGGAATGATCGGCAAATATGCTCAACAACTCTGTTCGCAGAGAATCGAGATGGGCACCGGGTAAGGTGAAAGCTGATAAAGGATTCGCCGCTCATCGAGGAACGTTTCCAGGGCACGGAGTTGCCCTTCGTCCTCTGAGCTGATACGTTCATAATCGCGATGCATTAATATAGTGTGGGGATTATCACAGGGCCTCGAACGTTACACGAGCTTAATTATAATCTCTTTGGCCAGGCTGATATGAACGCCGAGTCCTTGTGTGTCGGCGAACTTGGATTTGCCACTGAGGCTATATTGAATATTCGTATTCTTCATATTGATATCCACAGCTCAGCCTGTTACAAGCGACCGTGCTCTGTGAGGACTGAGGTGCCTGAAATAGATTCTCAATGTGCGGGAGAACAGCCTTGTCGTAACTGGTGATCAGTGATCACATCAGCAAAGAAATCGGAAGCCAAGGATGGCACCGAGCTAGGTAATACGAAGTATCCGGAGTACGGATATTATTGCAGAGAATCTGAAAGCTCGGAAGAGAAGCTACAGACGCCGCGATACCGTCAGCACAGGTGCCATGGATCGTTCTTTTCGACATTTGAAACAGGCGACAAACGATGATCAGCATTGCATTGATGCTTCAAGACTCGAAGAGAGGAGCCCGACAATCAATACTGGATTGCGAAAAAGGTCGTGCTCAGAATTGGGATGGGAACCTGTGGGAGTCCTCTGGAACCGGCTCCGGAACCCTATTTTCTACCCGTATTTCCATGGTAGAATTTCCTCCACCAAGAACGCTAATAATAATCAGAATGGCACGCGCGCAGGATACCCTATTCAGATAGCGCATTTGGGTATCGCCTCACAGTCGCAAGATGCACGCCCTGTGAGGCTCTTGCATAAGTGTTCCTGATACAGTAGGAGCATCACAAAATGGATTCTTTGAAGAGAAGTGGGTGACTTACAAATCACCACGCTCAAGCAGTGGGCCGCGTTTCAATGAAGATCTAGAAGTCTCGATTTGAGACCTTAAGCGACAGGTCACAGGCTCACAGCCTTCACGAAAGCTGAAGCGATCACCGTGTGAGGAAGTCCACCTCCATACGTGGATGGTTGACGGCCCCGGCGACCCGCCCACGTTTGTGGGCTCTCCATCGTGTCTATGGAGACCCAGCAGCTTCAGGATGCTTGCGATCCATACCACGGGTCGTCGCTACAAGGACCCAAGGAGTCAGGGACAGGGGAAAGAAGAATGCGAGAATAAAATTTAGCATTTGGAATAAGATCAAATCCCCGACGGCCAACGGCTCTCGTTCGTATGGGCAGGATAACCGTCACACAGGGGCAAGGGCCGAGCTGACAGATGCGGCCATGCTCTCGCGACCTCATGCGAGGACAAGGCACCAGGGGCAAGGTTGCAGCAGCGGCAGGCAGGCAGGCCAGGATGAGGAGACGGCTGAAGTTTCTGAGAAAGGCGCCTTCAATCAGCATAAAGAAAGCACGAAACTTGCATGGTTAATGCGGCTTGGAGGCGCTAGGCCGGGCCTTGATACTGTTCCTGGTATAGTCGCAGGCGAGTGGAGGTGGATGGCCTGATGGAGCCGCGAATCCTTGTCAACTGCGGGTAAAGAGTGCAGCACCGCTGGCCTGGACTGTCGGGGGGCACTTTCTTGAGTTGAGGGATGCCACTCACGGAGCAATAGCAATGCGTGCTATTGCTGGGAATGGCAATATCGATGAAATTTCCGGTGTTTTGGCGACCCTTGTCAACAGCGGGCGCGATATCCTATAGCATCGACATCTCCCCAGCCCTGAGTTCTGTGATAGGAACCGAGGGGCCAAATCGATCGCTGAGAGGAAATCGTGGAGCAATTGATAGCGATGCTCTCTCGATGGGTCTCCTGGGCAGACGACGTCGACCGGGGAGTGGCCGGAGAGGCAAGGCAGAGAGGGCGAGGGTGGAGGTTGGTCGCAGGCGAAATCCAATCATAATTACGGGACTGTAACAATCGGTACGGTACGGTCGCTGTAAGGTACCAATGCCCGCTTAGCGGCAGCCCCGCTTGACTCTCGTGCCTCAATTGCTCTGGCCCACATCCACTTTGGCCTCATCTTGATACACTTTGTCGGTTCTCTCCGGCTGATTGGAACCCCATGAGACTCCGGTGCGACTTCCATGCAATGCTCTCCTTGCTCTTTGGATGTGCTCTGCTTTTGGTCCCCACCTATCACTCACTCCCCCCCTGATGCCAAGTCAAGTCTCCGCTGTTGTTTCGAGAGTTCTTTTGCAGGCATGAAGCCAATCATGTTCATCTTGAGGCAAATCGCGTCCAATTCCGGGCCTGTGGGTGAACGGGCCTCCATCTTGCTCATTCGTTCCACGGAAATCTCTTTTTCCTAAAGCCAGGCGGCCGTATCTCCAGTCCGTACTATATCTGGCCATGCCTCTCCCCCCTCTCTCCCCCAAGCCTCTTTTTCCGTCCCTTTCGCCCTCCGATGCGATAACTCGACCATAACGCCTCTTGTTGCTCAATCGCAGTTGTTGTGCGGCTGCGAGCCTCTACTGCGGGGCCTCGAGCCTGGGACTTTTCGACAGAACACCACACCTTCGTCGCCAGGACATGAACTAACACGCCAATCGTCGCATCGGCTGCACTCGCTTCGTTTCAAAGAATTCTAACCTTGACGCCTGCAACATGTCTCGGAGCGACTTGAATGGAGACTGTCTAGCTCCGTTCTACCAGGAATCCCTTTTTGATGACGGTGGATGTACGTTATAGCGCCCTCATGCTTTCGAGATGGACACCATTGACTTACGAGGCACCAATAGTTATCGGTGGACGTTTCTGCCAAACAGTAGGCAATGTCTCCTGCTGCCTTCCATGTCCGCAAGCGTCGTGGATGTATGGTGACGGTACGACGTCCTCTCACTATTTTGCTGCCTTGCCTAATCCTGTTTTTGTCCAGATATCCAGCAGCAAACGAGAATCGCCAGCTGGGTTTCTGTCGCCGTATTACCTCTTTGCATATTCCTGCTCGTTTCCTATGCGGTATTGCCGGCAAAGCGAACCCACCGTCACTACTTGAGCATTTGCTTTACCCTTGGCATTTGCTGCATGCAGATCGCATTCATCATCCCCCTCGGTACGAAGCCGGACCAATGTTACAATGAGATCACTCCCCAAGATATGTATTCCAACCTGTCCTGCGCCTTTACTGGCGCAATGCTCCTTTTTGGTGGATGGGTAGTCGTGGTATTCAGTTTTATCCGCACCATAGCCTTTCACCTTCAAGTTTGCTGGGAAGTGATCCTTGGCCCTAAGTTCATGTGGGGGTCGCTCATTTGCGGCCTCGGAATACCTATCATCGGAACATCCATAATGCTCGTCTTGACGGGAGTATCATTCCGATTCGGAGAGGTATGCCATATCAATATTGAGAAGAGTCTCCAGGATTACTGGATACCTCTTATCGCGTTTGCAGGCGCGTCTCTCGTTATGCAGTTTACTACGATGGGATACTGCATACATATCTATGTCAAGTCTCTTTACGATACCGCCAGCACTACCAACAGCTCCAACATGGCATCATATACGGCAAGTGCGACTACTTTGACTGCGCGCCAAGCATACCGCCGTATCCGCAAGATCTTCAAATTGCAATGGAGAAGCAACCTTCTCGTTCTTGTTATCCTCGCCAACGTCCTCATTTTCGCTGTCATCTTCATCAAAGCAGATAAAGACTTGAAAATTACGGAAGAGAATATCAAGAAAGCAACCCCATGGCTTGGATGTCTCATGCTTAATAAAGGCGACAAGACGAAATGCCTCGATGAAGCCAAGAAATTCGGCCCTAGAAAAGCAAAACTGTTGGCACTTCTGTTCCTTTTAACATTAGTTGGGCTATGGAACTTCTTACTCTTTGCGCGCCCATCAATGTTCCTTGGCTGGTGGGACCTATTCCGCCCCAAAGAGCGTGCCCAGTTCGAGTTTGTCTCCGCTGACGCACGCAAAAACCGAGACGAAGTACACAGCTACGAGATGCTCAGCAGCAATGGATTGCCATCCTACAAGAGCCCGGAGCCATTTGCGGAGCCGTATGTGAGGCCAATTCGCTCACCTAGCCCTGCGTACACGGCAAGGACAATGAGTCCTGATTTGAACAACCATTACGGACGAGAAGCCCGATACGTGAAGCCATCTTTGAGCTTCTCCGGGCCGCGCCCCCCAATCTCGCCGAATCAACAAGGACGAGACTGGAACCCCGAGTCTACTTTTGCACCGGGCTACCCATATCAACCCCGATGATATTTCTTTCTTATCTACATATAATGTCTACATGTAAAAAGCATTGTATATTCTACGACGCGCATGACTCTATACCCTAATTTCATTTTCCATCCACTTTATCCGTCAAATTTTTGGACGCAACTTGGCCAGGATGCCTAGTGCTTGTACCACTTCACTTCCTTTTTCCTTAAATTCCATGCTGCGATCCAATCAGCATCAAAGCGGCTGGGGTAATAGGTGTTGAGCTTCGCGAGTCGAGCCCAGTTCAGTCCAACTTGATGTCTATCATAGAACCAGAAGTGCGGAGTTTAGACCCTTGTTTCATGAACATATCATATCATACCATCAATACAATAATTATTACGCCAACCCTCAAACGAACCAAGCAGAGACATCGTAAGAGCCTACCAAGTGCCAACTCCCAGGTGACGAGTCAGTCCCACCGAGCAAGAAAGAGTCAGAAATCACCCACTTCGGCATTCGGCACTTTGGTTGCGACGATGGAGGCGTCGCCACTGCGCCGCATGCTTCCATGGATGTTCTTCCCTGCAGATCATCCAATAATTCAGGCCAATCCGTCGATGATAACCAAAAACTGTTCCGAAGTGCGGAGTTGCCTGCATCTTGATTCTTTCATCAAGGATCTGCACAATAGTCGGGGCACCAGGTGGTCAATCCCCCGTCAAACCGAGTAAATATTGATTGAATATCAATAGTAGAACACGTATAACTGTCGATCAATGAACCTCATTCCAACTTCGAGTAGGAGTCTGGATATTCCGTCGTTACCTGGTAAAGCTGTCGTCGTAATTGGAATATTCAACAAGTTTCGCTACCAAGAAATCAGAAAGTCAATTGCGAACCACATACGTATCCCTCTCCCACCAAGAAAACAATAACCAAGTTCTCGTAAACACGCTCTAAGCGAAACAGCGACAAGAAGCCCTCGGCGAGGGGTTCAAGTACCCAACGTGCCGCATCTCCTGCCCCAGAGTCCGTCTGAAACAATGCATTTCTTCGAAAGTTCGCTCTCTGGTCTCGGCTCTAGCTTTCAGGTCTGGGTCTGGGTCTGGTTCCCCGGTTATGGTAGCAACCATGGATCCAACACCGGCGTTCTATCTTGTAGTGGTATAGTCCCTCCCCAACGACCCACGTGGGGGATTCTGAAACAAGTCGGGCCGGCATGACATTGAATTGGAACTATCAAGGCTTGGTCAAGGGGTAAGCCAGTTACTGTCATTATTGTCGACTGTCATGTCAAATCCAGGCAGACCGATTCTTCGCCATCATCCCCTATTCCATCGATGAAAAGCATCCTCCTTTCATCGGGCACCGTGGCACAGGTACACCCCACCGGACTATTTCGGCTGTTACACGGATATTGTAGTTACTCCAAGCGCATCAGCCATCTGTTCTTGGGAACTTGTCCGTCAATGGTAGTGTCAGTCCAGTTGGAGATAAAAGTACCGAGTTTCTGGGACTGAGAGGGTCCTTGGTAGGTTAGTGCCGGTAGTGCCCTGTAGTGTCCTGGTGTCACCTCATTATCAGCTTTAAGCGTCGTTACTCCGTGAGCTGTCAGACTTTAGTTCCAATAGTGCGAGAACACTGACAGGAGACGGTGGAAGACGGCCTCTCCACCGGGGGCCGATAGTTAGTGTATACGAGTGATCGTTTAATTCTTTGCAGTGCAAGACAGGAAGGTAGACACGAGTGTGTTGCTATGTCAATAAGAAATTATAGTAATGTCATCAACAGGGGCGCCGAGCCCTTCGAAGTGATGTTGGTACTGATGCTACTCTTGTATCAGTATCGGTATTACCGTATTAAAATATGGTGGTACTTTTAGTAGTTCGGCTGTGAATCTGTACAGCGCCGAACTGTCAATCAGAAAGTCAATCCTGCAAAATCCTGTCCGAACATGTTCAGTGTCAAATCCCGGTGTCGATGATCGATTTCATCTGGATCGAAGATGGTTCAATCTATGGAGCACCCCGTGGGGAAAGGGAGAGAAAGTGTGGTTCAGCGTCCAATTTTCTATCGAAACGAGCGAATTTTCGGGTTGTCCACGTCCGGGTCGGCATTTTGGAGCCTATGATTGGGTTACTATGACTCTTGCCTCGGCCGTTGGGATTTTTGACACCCATGACAGACCGTTAGTCTTGACGGGGGTGGAGTGTGGATGAGGAGAGAAAGACTGGGATCTCCCTCCAGGTTTTCATGTGACAGTCCAGAAACCTCACGGCTCCACTGGTCGACAAGACCGGGAGCAGTTGGGACTTGGGATCGACTATTGTACTCCGTATGTATTCTGGGATTACTAGTTCGGCAGCGTTGGGCGCCTGAGGTCAAGGTTCTGTCACTATGTGCAAGCTAGAGATCTCCGCCTTTGAGACCATTGGGCTTAACAGCTCTAGACTTCCAGGGATGGTTTCGACATTTTGTGCATTGATTTCGCTATGGTACATCATTAACCCAGGGATAAACCACACTCTCTGTTAGTCTCCCGGGAATATCAGATAAAACATCGTGGAATAGAAGAAGAATGCAGTGCAACTAGGCCTACTACCAGGCGTTGACGTCGAAGTTTTCCTTGAACATGTTAGAACACTGAGAAACACATGGGCTAGACTGAAACTCACCTCGGAAAAGTATGTCGTAACGACGGTTCGGTCGGAAAACTTTCTGCCCGCAAGCGACTTCAGTGCCGCCGTTGTCGATTCAATGCTGTCGAACTTGACAAAAATCTTGCCCACGCCTGGAGACTGTCGGCTGCCGCCTGTCGGGCGCGGAATCTTCAACTCAACAACTTGACCAAACTTGGCACACTCCTCACGCACATCATCGCAGATTTCTATCATAATTGGTTAGCATATCTCCTCTTGAAATTCACTAATGAAAGCTTGCCTTCATAATCCTCATTGTCCATAAGCTCCTCTGGCGTCACCATGTTTAGAAGCTGCAACACTCGGCTGCTCTCCAGATCCTGAGACGTAGTTTTGGCGAACATCGACATCGCATTTACTCCCATATCCAACCCAGCTGCTTGCGTCATTCCAATACTGGCCCGGACCACCTTGAGGTGTCGGTCTCCCAGCTCCATCCCATTAAGACCCTGGACAGCGATAGTGGTAGTTGCGGGGTCAGCATATTCACAGAAAGCAATTCCCTATTTAATTATTAGTTGTGATACTGATATTCGTTTTCCAAACACTTACCCGAGACTCCTCTGTGGAGGCGTCCTTGACAAGAACAAAGGACTTGAGCTCGCCAAAGGATTTGAGGAGCATTGTAACAGGCTCTTCTGGGATATACTGAGGGATGTTGGAGACACAGATCTTGTCGGGCGAGTCAGGAACATCCTTCATCGCGTTCTCTCCCTCGAGTTCCTGCTCGGCAAGGTTGGGAACAATATAGTCCTTGGGTCTTCGTACTTCTATACCCTTGGATGTGCCGTTTTCTGTACCACTGCCAGCGTGTTCCTCCATTACTATTCCATCGAAAGCAAGCGCGACAGTAGTATCATTAGGCGACTTGAACTCGAGGAGTGCGTAAGTGCGGTCATCCGAGACCTGCGCCGAAATACAAGGATCGACACCTTGAACGACATTGAGGCCATTGAGTTGAAGGTTGAAAAACGAAACCAGGCTTTCTGAGTTTGCGCTCGGTGGCAAGTTGTATACGAACAAGCGCTTTGACTGCCGAGAGTTGGACGGCTTGAGAGTTGAGCTTTCCGCAGATCCACCACCAGGCTGGTTAATGAAAGCCTGAAGGCGGCTGGGATCCATCGGCTGCTGTCGAGGGGCTCCAGGAAGAGGGAACATGCCTGATTTGTTAACTATATACCACCAACGGGTTGGTGTTGTTGTAACGCTTACCTGAAAGCTTTGCTTGTTCTGCGGTGACATTCTCGTAGCCAGGGGGCTTGATATCCCACTGTGTCAAACGCCGCTTCCGAGTCAACACCGACTGTATATCAGTCAAGTCGGGTGTCGGCTCCCTCTTACGCGAAGGCGATGGGCTCCTCTTCCGGTCTCTTCTGTCACCCCCACGCTCCCGGTCACCACCGCGATCTCTCCCCTCGCGTCTGGGTCGCTCATCGAACAAATCTCTATCTCTCTCACGACGAGATGGCCTCTCATCGTAGTCTCTGCGTCGGCGATCTCCTCGATCACCACGATCACCACGGTCACCTCGCTCGCGATCATAATCCCTGTCGTCCCTGCGACTCGAGTAGCGATCCTCCCGTTCTCTGGCGCGATAGTCACGGCTGGAGGAATATGAATCGGCTTCGGCTTCGCGTCGCGAACCTCTGGAACCGTAATGTGGGGATCTAGACCGTCGCCTCTCTCCTCTGTCTCCACGTTCGCGTCTCTCGTCGCGCTGTATCTAATGTTAAAGGAGCCTGGCTAAATCGAGGTTTAATACTCACGTAGTAGTCCCTAGAGCGGCCAGAATCACCACCTGCGCACGATTAGTTCCATCAAAACGTGCCAAAGATATCAATCCAACAGGGTATTAACACACCTCGGGACGAATAAGTGTCGCCGTTCATCTTGAACACCGCGCGATTTCACTTTTATTGATGCTCCTTTCTCAATCTCTGCCGGGATTTCAGAAGGCGATTCAAGCAAGTTGCAGTAAATTTTCGTACCAACAGATCCAGAAAAGCTGAAAATGCCGAGTCCAACGTCAACAACAGAGAGGATTGGCAAAAAACGCTGGTCGTGAAGACAGCGAGCGATGTCCAGACAAGAGCTGCGCTGGGCGAAAACTCTCAGACATGGCGATCGGCGAGAGCACCAGAACTCTAATCTCTATGCGGCTAGCGCGTTTCATGCGGAGAGCTGACCGCCTCCTTTATTGGAAATAAATTTGGCAGAATTGGCAACATTTCACTTACATTACTAGGAGCGAGGAATAATTATTTCACCCAATTCATAGATATATCAAATCAATCATGACAATAGGTGCTTTTTCAGAGTGGCGCAAGCTGCCTCTGAACATCAGTGAGCTATGCATTAACACGACTCTCCGTTGCGGGCAGTCATTCCGGTACCTAGATATCTTCTCCCTATCCATCCAGCTCATGTCTATTCCAACTGTTAATTCTCCTAGATGGCACAAAGTCCCAGACAATGACGAGTGGCGCTGTGTGCTTTACGGCCGTCTTGTCTCCTTAAAGCAAGATCCAACTCACCTCCACTACAGAACTTACGTCAATACCACTGCTCCCTCGACCGCAACAAACGGCACCGACTCCGAAGACACAACCCTGGCTATAATAAAGCATTACTTCAACCTGAACTCAAGCCTAACCACACTCTACGCTCAATGGTCCTCGTCAGATCCGAACTTTCGCAAGAAAGCTTCCCACTTTACAGGCATCCGTATCCTCCGCCAGGACGCCTGGGAGGCTCTCATCTCGTTCATCTGCAGCAGTAACAACAACATTGCACGCATCGGACAAATGGTTGAGAAACTCTGCTTGAATTACGGTGTCCATGTCGCGAACATTGATGGTCGTGCGTATCATGACTTTCCGCCACCGGAGCGCTTAGCGGAGGATGGGGAAGTTGAGGCCAAACTGAGGAGTTTGGGGTTTGGCTACCGCGCAAAGTATATCTACAAAACAGCTGTCATTGTTGCAAAAGAACGAGAGAAAGGGTGGTTGAATTCTTTGCGAAACCCCGACGCCCCTGCTTTTGGCTCGGCGGATCTTGATCCAGCTGAGGATGAGGAAATGCCCCCTGAGGGAAGAAGTGGGTACCGCGAGGCGCATGAGAAATTGCTTGAGCTACAGGGAGTTGGGCCAAAGGTTGCAGACTGTGTGGCTTTGATGGGACTGGGCTGGGGAGAGTCTGTTCCGGTCGATACTCATGGTGAGTTTCCTTACACTGTACGCTTCTTCGTGACTAACCGGTGCAGTATGGCAAATCGCGCAACGAGATTACAAGTTCGGCAAAGGATCGCACAAATCACTCACGAAAGCTACATATGATGCTGTCGCCAACCATTTCCGCAAACTCTGGGGCAAAGAAGCTGGCTGGGCCCATAGTGTGCTGTTTACGGCCGATTTGAGAACGTTCTCGGATCGGTTAGTTGCATCGACCAAACAAGAGAAGGTCGATGTGAAAGTGAAAAGAGAAGAGAAGGAGGGGACAAAATTAACTGCAACTACGACAGTGACAAGTGTTGCGCTGAAGAGGGACGCAGATGAGGACAAAATCAAGCTTGAACCAGATGACAAGAGAATCAAAGTTGCGCCAGAGCCTGCGACGAGCACGAGGAGAACCTCGAGACGACTTCGGCGATAAGCACCTAATCATAAGAGCAATTACCTCCTCGAGTACATCCATGCGCAGTATGTGCCTTGTTAACAATCTGGGATACTGCGGTCGATGTGGGTAAAGAAAAAAGCACTCCGACGCAGACACTATTACTCTCGGAATTTGGGGTCAGGCCAGCGCATCATCACGCCCCGCCCGCTTTTAGATCGGACCGTCAGCAAGAGAAAGCCTGTGTTAGGATAGGGAGGATCCCAGCAGATCTGAGGTTCAAGAGCAGCATCTAACTACCCTGCTTTGCGGAGTAAGCTAAGCAGTTCGCCGACAACCTAAATCCTCAAAATCCTCAGCGTGAAGTCAAGACTCCAAAGGGTTACGCCCGGTTTACTAAGATATCCCCGACGCCCAAGGCCCGGACTCCCTAGGACCATTGGGAATTAGGCTGAAGGAAACACCACTGACGCAATGCTTGGAGGAGAATGCATCGTGATCAACTTAGCGCACCCAATTTTAATGCATTTCAAACCGTCAAATTAACCGCCGCTGCCACACAGATACCCAAACCTGTCACCATTAGGCTAAGGAACATTCACCCCGCAGTTCATATCAAAATAAGGAGCATCATATATTTCTTGAAGACCACTCTTTTTTACAGGCACCCAGGTCACTCAGAGGCTTTACCTACTCGCTTATCCTGTCAATTCAAACATGGTCATCAATGTAGGAATCATCGGCTACGGCAATTCTGCAAAAAACTTCCATATCCCTTTCATAGCCACCATCCCAGAGTACAATATTGTAGCAGTTCTACAGAGGGCAGAGGCTCCTGCGAACGTCTCGTCCGCCGTCCCAGGCTCCCACTGCACTGTCGACTTACCCGGTATTCAACACTACCGTACACCAGGCGAGTTCTTCGCAGACCCCAATACGGCACTTGTCGTCGTAGCTACGCACATCGATACCCACGCGCTATTCGCCGAGAAGTCGTTGTTGGCGGGGAAGCACGGTGACTGAGCCCTAACGGAAAGTTGTACCGCAGAGCGAGCAACTAACAGGAAGGAAACTACAAACAGTCATTGTCGACAAGCCATTCGCGCGGTCAACTGCCGAAGCAGATAAAGTTATCCACCTAGCGAAAGAAAAGGGCCTGGTCCTGACTTGTTTCCAAAACCGCAGATGGGTAAGCTTCCTATCTCCTCCCTATCTCACGCTCAATATCATGATGCATCATGGATTGGTCACATTACTGACCTTATAACTACCCATCCTTCCAGGACGGCGACTTCCAAACTCTCCGAAAACTCATATCCCAAAATGCTCTGGGTAGGATCGCAGAAGCAGAAATCCACTACGACTTCGAGTCCCCCTTCTGGATTAAATACATGACCGAGACAAAATATGTTGCGGGACAGGGTCACTCATTTGGTCTTGGTAGGCGAGAATCCCATTTACCCAACCCAATTACCCCGTCTATGTCCTCTCACTAGGCACAATCACTCGCTAACTCTTGCTATTGCTAAGGCTCCCACAGCCTCGACCAAGCATACACGCTCTTCGGCCGCCCGACATCCATAACCGCCTTCTACCGCAACCAGCGTGGCATTGAGAGCGAAATCGAAGATTCATTTACCATCATCCTGCAGTATGATGGAGACCAGAAGAACCTTCTTGTCACCGTGAAGAGCGCCATCACGACACTGCTAGCTCAACAACTTAAACTTTTTGTTCGTGGGAGCGAAGGATCGTTTGTTAAGGTGTGTTTGCATTTGAGCAATTGAGAAAATCACAGTAATTTGCTAATTACCTTGGTCCCTGGCTAACAATTGACTGGAAAATAGTGGCAACAACGCAGTACATGTCCGCAAGAAGAACAGATCGCACGAGGCGCAAACCCCACAGATCTCGGGTTCGGCGAGGAGCCTGAGGAATTGCGCGGCGTGTTAACGACATATAAGGAATTCGATCCTACTGTTCAGTCTTATGATACCGAGACGGGGAAGTACACGGGTTTATATCCGACGGTTACAGGTCGGTGGATCGGGCTATATGAAAATGTGGCGGATGCGATATGCGGCAGGAAGGGGTTGGAAGTTAGGCCTGAGCAGGTCAGGGATGTGCTTAGGATCATTGAGCTTGCGAGGATTTCGCATGAGAGAGGGGCTACGGTTATTTGGAGTGATGGTGATTGATTGAATGCGAAACCATTCGGGAGATAGAACCAATTGGGGAAGGCAGTTAGGGTTTTGTTATATATCCTTCTTTGATGTGATAGCTAGGTATGAAAATGTTAGTTTTCTCAGAGCTTCAAAAAGCAAAGATAACTACATATGCCCTATTTCGTCTTCCCATTCTCCACTGCCGCCTTCGGACTCGTTCTGTAAACAAAGTTCCTCGCCACGGGCTCAAATACTCCTCGCAACCAAAAGCTTATCTGACTAGCAGGGTAAAGCGTCATATTCCGCCCCGTGGGGTGTAAATACCAGCTCGCGCACCCGCTCTTCCAGACAAACCCTTTACTTGCTTCATCAATCCACTTGCTATCCTTTTCTTCTGCCTCGGGCGTCACGGCAACGGTGGTCGGGGCAGGGTGCGAGGAAGAGAATGGGTTCCAGAACAACCTTGACAAAAGGGATAGAGGAGGTCTGTGGAGGGGGCTGAGGATGGGATTAAGGAGCTTGAGAGTAAAGTCGATTTGACACTCCGTTGTGAAGATGGCGGATGTATGTCCGGTTACTGTGTTGGGGCCAACGAGAACGAAGAAATTAGGGAATTCGGAGACACATGTACCATAGTACGCTTGCGGCGCATGGGAGTAGCTGTTTTCCCACTACGTGTTGGATGTTAGATATGATAACAATGGGCGTAAGGGCATGGGAAATTACGTACGTGCTCGGTTATGCTGACTCCATTTTCGCCTCGAATTTCAATCGGGAAAAGAAGCTGGTTGGCTTTGAATCCTGTCGCAAGAACTATAGCATCCGCATGGATCTCTCGGCCTGAGTTTGTTCGCACACCTGTGGCCGTGATCGATTCAATTGGGTCTGCATGGACAAGCTTCATGTTTTCCCTGTGCAAGCAGGCGAGATAATCCGTGTCCATAACTCGGCGCTTGCAGCCAAGCTCCGTCTTCGGTATCAAAATATCATGGTACTTCTCTGGCGCTGTTCTCTTGAGGTACGCCGTTTGGGTCTTCATTCTCTGCTCACGAGTCTTCTTCCCAGCGACGCGCTTAAAGGTAGTGAAGTAGCTCTCGAGGTAGAGGAAGAGAATGCTTCGGAAAAAGCGCATCGCGAACGGCACATTGCGGAAAACCCATTTAACAGCTGGAGGGTATTTAGGATTTGGTCGTTCCTCTAGCCAGTGAGGTTGGCGGATGAATTGAACGACATTTTTGGCGCTCTTTTCACCGTCGCTCAAGATGGGCACGAATTGTGTTGCGCTACAGCCATTGCCTGTATGCGTGTCAACAACATTACTCGTTGCAATTTTAAGTGATACCGAGCTCACCAACTACCACCACATCCTTTCCAGCCCAGTCAAAAGATTGGTCCCAGCGGGCACTATGGAATAGCTTCCCCTGGTAATCAGCCGCACCGGGAATATGGCAATCATTGGGCTCCGAAAGTATACCCACCGCCGAAATTAGGACTCTCGCACGTCTTTCATACACCTGGCCAGAGTGCTGGTCAAGGATCTTCACAGCCCAGGTGCCCGATTCTTCGTCAAATGTCGCACTTTGAATAGTCGAGCGAAAGGTAATGTGCCGAGGTATATCGTACTTCTCCGCTACGGCGCGACAGTAAGCATCAATCTCAGCCTGAGGCGCAAACTGCTCGCTCCATTCTGGATTCAGAGCGAAAGAGTAAGAATAGAGATGCGACGGAACCTAGAACACATTCCATGACGTTAATACCAGTCCGGTTCGGTCTCCCAATAGGGAAAATGAAGAAAACAGAGCGTACATCACAAGCGCATCCAGGATACGTATTTGCCCACCACGTCCCTCCCAGTGCCTCAGCCTTTTCGTAAATCTCAAACGTAGCCCGGGGATACTTTTGCTGGAGTCGAATCGCAAATCCTACCCCAGACAGGCCAGCGCCCATAACAAGGACGTCGGTGTCGATTAGCATTGTCGCGAGTATGCTATTATTTTCCGATAACTAGTTGCGAGGCGAGGCGGTGCGGTTGAGGTTTAACAATTTGGGATCCAAAGGACAAGAAGACCCCCAGCCTGTGTTGTCTAATTTCGAAGAAAGGACGCTTGGGCCTAAGGCGGCCACCACGATTCACGGTGTACTTCTACTTTTTGAGTGGCTCGATACCTAGGTAATCATTTTGGCCCGTGCAACCTGCTCCGGCGAAGGCCGCCAGATAGGTGAATGCACAGGCTCTGATAAAAAGGGTCTGGCAGTCGAGAATTCGCCGAGTCAGTGGCCGGCCTATTTTGCATGGCTTTGGACCGTTGGTGCCTATACCGGAGCTAGTGATGGCGTCAATTCGAGCCACGAACCAGGTTGGTCAGTTGGAATGGCCAAGAAAAGCGCAGGGACCGTGACCAGTCCTGAAACAGCAGGAGGAAACAAGAAACAGCTTGATCATCCTATCGGAATCGGTTGCCTTGTGTTTGACACTGACAGATGAACAGCTTGACAGCTGCGGGTGAAAGGTGGATCAAATTCAACAGTGCTGGTGAATGGTGATCACTGTCGGTCCAAGGATCAGAGGAACAGGCAAGTGCAAGCTTCTGAACCGGAATTCGGGGTACACAATTCAAGAAGGGATTTGCAGTGAGCTGGGAACTGTTGATCGAGGCTTGCAGCTGTCATGACTCAAGACGCTAACACGAACACTCCGTGATGGGAAGCGGAAGCGAGAAGCAACGCGGACACACTTCTTTGCCTCCCAGCCCCCAATTACTGCTGATCACTCGGCGCCAAAGGCTGAAAGTTCAGCAATATACATTAATTACTATATACTCTATATATTACTACCGAAGTCCTCTGGTAGAGAGCCGGTATTCATGTCCCGAAATGCCTCAAATTAATATTTACCGGAGCGCCACGCTAATGCAAGAAAAGCCCCCCTAAAACTGTCAAAGGAAGCAGCCCCACAGGATGGAAAACGGTGAAGAGAGCAACAGAAATCGTGGTATCATGGGAACAAAGATTAAGTGCTAATCAACGGGTGACCCCGAAAAGTTCATCGCACGTGTGGATGTAGACGCGGCGTAAGCACCCAGTATAAGTGAAAGGCCCGAGGGTTGGGGATGCTGTTAGCTTGTTGATTCCGCAGGCGCAGGTCCGCGGCCTCCCAAACGAAGAGCTGGGTTGCCCCTCCGAGTGACCTGACGCGTTAGCTGCTCGGCGCTGCATGCGGGTGCACAAGCGTTGCAGCTTGCAAGACCCAGAGTCCCGAGTCCAGAATGTTGGCATGTGAAGCATAGCGGAGAGCCCATATTCAGCTAGTAAATGCCTTGGATAGACAGAAAACCGGTGGCAGGCTGTGAGACATATCAAGAAACACCCGCGACCTTGGTGTTTTCGTCCCAACCCCACTCCCTAAGCAGTTGCTTGACGCGGTACTCGGTTGCCCAGCCCAGGTCTACTTCAATGTCTTGTAGTAGGCGCAGAACCATCCTTCGCTCACTAGGATCAGTCAGACATTGGCCACTGACAAACAGTGGTTGGAGTGAATTGATTCGGACGGAGCCTGCGGGGCAGCCCATGGCGATGCCTACGATCTCACGGCTGTGAGACTGGATGTCGGTCGTGTTGTATCTGTTGGTTATCGGATTCGTTGTACCGCTAGGCTGGGGAGGCTTGTGGATATGGAGCAATATACGACCCATATGGTAGTGCTGCATGGCGGACGAGCACATTGGTATGCTATACCATATCTCAGACAACGATGACGCATCATCGGTAAAGCCATCGCTCTGATTCGCAGGCTCAGGAAGACCAATACGAGCACAAGGATGGAATGTCTCTGGAAGGCCTTTGTACCACATATCAAGCTCGGCTTCAAGACGGTACCATCGTTCCAACGAAACCTGTTGAGGGAGACCCAAGGGGCTCGCATTGACGGCACCAGAAGAGTTGACTTGCGCATTGTTGCTCGGGTTTATGAAATTGATGATCTTCGAAATAATCCAGACCAACGCATTTGATATGGTGTCCTCCTTCATGACTTCCTCTCCCGGGCGCCTACCCGCATTCGCAGTACTGGCGCAAACAAACCCTAGGCTATCGATCTGAAGCCCTGCTTCCGTCCACAAAGCTAAATCCTCGGTATGCAATCTGGTGCGACTCCCATTTATAACTAGCAAATAATGTCAGCAGGTTATACACAGGTGGACAAGTCAATGGGCCTACAAGCTGCTAAATAATCTTGCCGAGCAAAGTTCCAGAAAGTTGCCTTTCTAGCTTTCGAAAGACTCGGCCGCTTTGGCTGCAAGGAGAGGTCTCCCGGCGGTGGACGCTGAAGTGGGCGCATCCCAACCTCAGCCAAATCTAACAGCGATTTGACACCACTCAAATGACGGTTCCATGCCGGGCCGGTGGCATCGAGCAATTCATATACTGACAGAATAGCAGTGGCGGCAAGAATTTCATCAGAGCGGACCCCATGGGAGAGCCTATATTCGGTGTAGCTTCTCGCGCGCTGGTCATCAGTATCCTCGTTCATTTTATTCCCCTGGGTCGGTCCGAGCATATCAGGGTTCCCAGGGCCGGGTTGCAGCTCCTTCATCAAAAGCTGGATGGCCTTTTCATAATACTTGGCCCCTCTCCAACACCAGTCAATGTTCTTTGAATCCTTCTGCACTCCTGGGAAAGCTCGGCTGAGGCGAACACCAACAGATCTTGCTACATTGACGTGCCCTAGCTGCTTCGCAGCCTGTGCGCAAGCGGAAAACTTCAGCAACGGATTACGAAGCGCTTTTACGGGTACCTGTGACGCAAAATACGTCCCAAAGTCGTACAGGTCCATCCTAAGATCTCGTCAGTTGTTGTATCGCGACATATCGTTTTGCCATGGTAGCTTACCAGGGGCCAGGAACCTCCGAAAAATGCCTCAAGAGAAACGTTATCTCATAATCCGTCTCTACGGGCCCATCAATGTTGTTTTCGGTGGATCTAAGCGCCAGCGGGGATCCTCTCGAATCTGGGGTGCGCTGAATGGTTGGATCAATAGGTGGTGAAATGGATTGCGACGGGTTCAGCAAGAAATGAATGTTGGTATTATTGCCATTATCGGAGTTGATCGAAACGGGTGGGGAAATCTGGGCAGATATCGACCTCGGTATCTGGTTTGGGTGATGAGGTGCCGGCATCGAAGTCGGGATAGTACTGAACGGGGTTGGGGTGACACTTTCGGCAGATGAAACAGGTTTCTGGTCAACTACCAGTGCAGGGTACGGCAGGTGATCGTGCGTCGCAAGGGTTGAAAGTGTTTCGAGGCCCTGGTTCTCGCTTCGCTCCCCGGAGGATAACTGTGGCGGCCCATCCCAGCCCACGCTTTGTGAATTCGCAGCTAGAATCGCGGCCTCGGACTCCGTCAGGGCGGCCTCCAAATCTTGAGCGTACGGATCAGAGTTGTCGACAAAAATCACTAAATCGACCGAAAACTCCACGTCAGCTCTATGTCCTCTCGGAGAGTATTACGCCGACAGCCATACCATGCTTCGGAATATCCAACCAAACACTATCCTTATCAAACGTGTTCTTATACGAGTAGAACCCTCTCAGGCTTCCACGTCCGTCCGATGACCCTTCTACGATATTCTTGTTCATGGAGGCATTTTGCTGATGGCGGAAGACAACCCCTTCGCTCGGGCGACACTCCCTTCCTCCCTTCTGGCACTGAGAACACACGGGTTTTTGTTCGTCGCCTAGACCATCGCAAAGGTATAATTAGTTTCATTCGCCTTCTATCGTAATGTACAGAGTATAGAAATAAATAAGAGAGGCGGACTCACATTTCAATTTCCGGGTGCGACACGTCAAACTGTCCAGACAAGAGGATGCAATCACGCATCCCAACAACGGTCAGCCTGCAATTCCTTTCCCATGTATATCCATCTAAAAGCATCGCCAATAGCTGCACTAAGTGTGCAGCTCCTGAATCCAAGGGCAGAATGGGACAGAAAGAACCGGGGGTACACGTACCAGCCTGTGCGGGATCGCATACCGTACGGTAACGTCTGCGGTTGAGCGAAACCATGTGAGGATCAGGCTTGCCCTGGAATATCCTGCAATTAACAAAACTAAACTGGGGGAAAGAAGAAGGCGAGGCAGGCAATGGACAGATAGAACGGCTATCTAATCCGGGGGAGTTGACGTGAGAGTCAAGTTGGTCTCCGCGAATTTGGCGTGAGATTTGCGGAGGCTCGGCGGTGGAAACTGGAAGGACCAGGAGAAGCGGGGAGCGGAGCTGGAGGGCGTGGGTGTGGCGATGCTCCAATCTGCGCTTCCATGGCATGACCTAAGCGACTCCAATAGTCATTTAACTCGAGCATTCCAGGTTCCATGTTGGACGCATCCGCTACGAGGGTCCACGGGGCTTTGCGGCTTGTTTTGGACGCTCTACTGTTCTTACCAGCAGATCAGGTCTGTCCCCACTCCTGTCGCAATTCCGCCCGTTCATCGGGTTTACTCCGCGTTTACATGTCAACACACCAGCTAGTGTTGGAAGATAGCTCACGGTTTAGCGCATGCCATGTATGTACATATCCACTAGCTACTAACAATGCTTCGTCCACTCGAAGTCAGAGTAGGTATAATACAGAGTTCGGCATAATCACAAATGGCGCAAAAAAATATAAATCCAGTAATCCTCCGGACATGTCAACACGGGGGGATTAGAAAATAAAAGAAACGCAGTGCAAGCGTAATAGGTGCAGAATTAGAGTAAGGGTATAAGACGGTTTGTCCCAGGAACGCCGTTTCTGAGATACCACGAAGAATTAGAGGTCAAGTAAATGCCAACTGTATCTTGATAGATAAAAAGAAAGGTGTCGTCTAGATGTCATGATCCGGATCATACAGTCGGTGCCCCGGGGTTCGGCTGCTTCAGGGAATTGAATAGGTACTCGGGGGGGAGCCGACGCATCGATGTTGGTCGATCCGTTCCAGGCGCTTGAGGGGCTGCCATATAGCCCTGGCGGCGACGCTGGATCTTATTGAAAATAACACCAGCGATGACAATCAGGAAAACACAGCCAAGCGCACAGCAGAAGGCTACCAAAACGACGATTCCGTTTGACCGATGTGAGCCTATTGCAAATGTTAGCACCCATCACTAGTATGATATACAACGATACTCACTTTTTCTAGCATACGGATTGCTGTTTTCGTAAAACATGCGCGACATGCGGCCAGGTTGGCCATCAGTTGTAGAGGTGAGAATAAATGGAGTCAACGCGGTGCCATTGAACAGAGCAGCCGACGCGGTACCAAAGTCTGGAACGGCAATTTCACCGGTAACCAAAAGAGCCAGGTCCTTGTTGAGTAAATCAGTGTGGTAATGGTCGTTGGCTAGAGGAAGAACCTCAAGTCCACGGATCACGGTTCCATCGCCAAATATTTTTTGAGGCGCTTGGAAGGCGGAACCGTCGTAATTGACGACAAAATTAGACCCATCTTCCGATTGTCCGGCAAGCCAAAACGTTGAGATGTCCGCGCTCGCCGGGCTAAAGGCCGTCACGTTGCCTGGAATGGCCGATTTTGAAGCTCCTTCAAAAGCACTCCATTTTTCTTCTTTGGCGGAATAGGTTGCGACTGCAGTCTCAGTACCTGCAACGGTCAGGCTACCGACAGCGATTAAAGTATTTTTGCTGACCCACTCAAGGGCCAGGATGTTCCCATAAAGCTCAGCTCCTGGTCTATTCCATTGTTGTGCCTCGGTGTCGAAGTAACAGACACCGGGACACGGGAGAGATCCAGCGGCCGAGAACTGCCCACCGACATACATCTCTTCCGAGTCAGGACGAGCAGCAAACGCACTCACAGAAACATTGTCGCCATAAAGATTGGGAGGCTGGTATTGTGCGATGGTCCCATTCTCGAGGTCATATAGGACCAACCCATTTAATGGAGTACCACTGACGTTTCCAGTAACCATTCCGCCAGCGTACAGGATGTCACTTGAAACGGCGAAAGACAAGAAGGTCGAGTTACTATCAATTCCATCCCCTAGGCCAGTGATAGAGCCCTTGCTACCATCCAAGATGGCTAGGTTACGTACTGTAGAGCCATTGGTCGTCGCGTTGAAGTGGCCTCCGAGGATGGTCAGGTTGCGATCAGAGCTCGTGTCATATATTCCAGTAATGATTTCACCCATTGACTGCGCGCTGGTCAATAAGGGATCAAGCCGAAGTTCATCATCTTCAAGTAGCGATACGGCTCCACCAGCAGCCATTCCTCCTGAGATGAGAGTTCCACCAAGAATCGTTGTGCCGTTAAACTTGGCAAATGCCGAGAGTTGACCTGAAAATTGTGTCTGGGTAACATTGAGGTTATGAAGCCAGTTGTTGCGCGATGGAACCCATGCAGCGAAGCCAGAGACCGTTACTGCGGGATGTTCGTCAAAGGCAAGCAATTGGTCAAATTCACCACTGACAGCAACAATTGTCTCGTTGACGTCAGTAGAGATGTTCAGTGGAAGCGCGAGGACTCGTTTGACAGGCCCGTTGACTCCTCCTCCAAGAGCGGACCAGGATTTGGAGTCGAAAGAGTATGAGGCAATATAATTGAGTTTGTCGTTTGCATCGTCAGACGTCCCAGTAAAGTTTCCGCCAACATACAACTTGTCATCAAGCACCGACATTGTAGTGACCTCCGAGTTCAACCCTCCTTCAGGCATTGCGGTAGCATTGGCGTCTCGTTCGAGCGAGAAAACGTTGTTGATATCAGATTTCGAAAAGTTCCCGGCGGCGTACAATACACCTGCATGGCTCACTAGGCTGTTGATTGAAGCGCTCGAATCTAGCTGTTTGCCCGCACTATTGATCGAAGAGTCTATCAAATTTGTGCTTGGCTTATTCGAAGCTGGGTCATATTCGAATAAGCCATTCAATTCATCGTCACTTGTCTCACTTGTCTCACTAGTCCCATTTGAACTTTCAGGTGAATGGAGCTCAAACTTGACCCGTGAGGCTACCACCGTGATATCTCCTTGGCCGGGAATAGGAGTCAATGTCACTCGTGGGCGGAATGATTCATCACTAGTGTCAACATGGCCAGTGTAGATAGTATCGTACTTTTCATAGTTGTTAGTCTGGTACAGGTGGGCCTCAACAGGCTCGTCAGATTCAGCATCCACGGTGGCCGTAACATTGACAATTCCCCGAGAACCACAAGACCCATCCTGCGTACAACCAGGCGTATAAACGAGGATAGAGTATTTTCCAGAACGTTGGACATTCGGCTCAAAAACGATCGATGTACCGGCTGCGTCTGAGTCGGATACGTGTGCCGTGAGGTAGTCAGAAGGGCTATCGTCAGCTTCCGTCACAGTCCACGATCCCGATTGTATAGCTTTAGACGAATCACTATCATCTGTACAGAGGGGTTCGTTGAAGTCATTGATGGCGTAGGTGTAGACATCTCGCGTGAAGATTTCGATGCCATTCAAACCCGCACCAGCGCCATAATAGTCGCGAACTTCGAACATGAACCCAGACATACCAACAGGGTTAACAAAATGAAACTCACGATACTCCTCCTTCGAGTCATCCGATAGTGAGCAGTATTGGTCGCAACTGACTTTGTCGCCGGTATCTGGGTCGGTATAGGTCATGTTCATAATTCCGTTGTCGGGTAGCCTTCTGAACAAGAAGGACTTTGTGCCTCTTCCTTCAAAGTGTGTGTTATACACACGCAACTTGGTGGGATTGAAGTTGTAGCGCATATCCGCGCGCCAGTAACCCAGGGCATTGTCCGCCAATAACCATGTTTCACCCGCACCCCCGTCACCGCCAGTCTGGCAAATGATGTTCTGAGGGTCGGTGAAGCCGCTTCTGGTGGAAGTCGTACTGGATGAGATTGTTGCATTCGAAAGGTTTATAACTTGTTCAATTTTCTTAGAGGTCGAGTTGCCGATACCATCAAAAGAACCGCCGAACACAATATTACCATCGTCGTTTTTAACAATCGAGCTGACCGGTCCGTTGAGCCCACCAAATGATAGGTGTTTCCAGCCTTCACCCACAGTCCAAGCCGCCGCATTTGATATATTACCTTGCTTAAACTCGCCGCCAACGTAGACAGTATTGGTGTCCTGGTCGCAGAGTAGGGCCGACACTGAGCCCGAAAGGCCTGGCATGGCCGTCACCTTGTTTGAGTTGGGATCATAGAACGCAACTCCCCGAACCTTGTCATCACCAAGACTCGTGAAGTTGCCACCGATATAGATCCCAGCATGGTTTTCATCCTGTTTGGTGAAGGCGCACATTGCGTTGATATCGGCGTCGGTGGTTGACAGGCTAGTAAGGATTCCGTTCGGAAGAGGGGCGAGGATAGATTGGGAGTCATCGTCACCGGAGGGTATTTTTGATTGTTCTTCGTACGAGTAGAATGTTAATGCATCAAAGTCTCCTGCAAGAGCAACCTGGCCGAGGCGTGAGAGATCCAGGTCAGGTTTAGCGATAGGATGGAACGTCAGCGCAGAAGCACAAGACAATTGGCCCAAGAGCCAAAGTCGAGTAATTGTCGACGAGCCAGCCGTCGCAGGCCCAAACAGTGAGGGGAACCTCATTGTTCAGGATCGCGACGACAACTCGGAGTGTCACAATCCTTTTATAAAGGGGTTTCGAGCGAAAATAAAATCTCCCACGGCATTCAGATAGGCATGAGGCGGTATTAAAAGGCTAAGTCCAGCCGGGCGAATTCGCAATCGAGTCGTGGGTGAGAGTTGATGTATCGTAGGGGAGAACACGAGAAAAAGGAGTGACGGAGTAAAGAATGTGGAAAAAGAAAAACCAGTAAAAACGCGAGAAAAGAGAGTGTGAGAACAAAAAGACGGTAAAGTCTCGACGTAAGAATTAAGAATGGCCAGGAAAAGAACGAATGACTGGAGGGAGTTGGATGGGCCAAACGAGTGACATGGCAAGGGCCTTGTTTGTTGGAAGCCTGAGCCTGCTCTCTGTCTGTCTCTCTCAGGAACGCGGGACGGGAGAACCTGAGCAGGTTCCCTGGGACGGCCGGCGGCACGGAAGAACTTGACTCCGCCCGATCCAGCCACTGCCAATCACACTCTCTCTTGCTCTCTCTCACTGGTCTGGTCCGGCCTTTGCGCGTCACAGTGGAGTTGGCATGATGTTCCACACTGAGACTTGGATTCTCCGGCTGTATCTATATGTAGATACGTACTTATTTTTATGCATACTTGCCCTCATGAGTCGTGAACTCTCCGATTCACACAACAGCGGTTGCATCGCTCAGGGTAACCCAAGGGATGGCAGGCTGGTTGGCCACCCAGTGCGGACAGAGATGTCGTGAAACGCTTGGGATTGCGTGAAATATGAAGGGTCATGCCCAAAATTCGTGCCCC